ATAATTCACAGACTTGCTGAGTTAGCCCATGTCTCTGTGGTTACAGCAGACTGTAAGCATGACCTGATTTACTTTATTGTCTTTTTTTCACAGTTGAGAGGAAGGAGGTTTAGTTTGAGCTCAGACTTTGCAGCTTGAACAGTTATCAGGAGGTTTGTTCGGATTGAATCTTATCTTATATGGTGCTTTAGTGAGTTTTTAGATTGGTTAATTCTTGGTTTCCAAAAATATTGTTTTTTTCTTTGGGCTTTCCTGCACCGTAGTTTGAGTTGTACCAAACTGGAGCATGCTGTTATGTCGACATCATTTGACAATACTTTGGAGAGAAAGAAGCTGTTTGAGTGTTTTTACAAGTCTCAAACCTTTCTTATTATACAAACAATGATCAGCTTCATTCCTGAGTTTGTTTGATTCCTGAACAGATCTCACAGTAAGACACTTTCACTCCCTACATCAGCTTTTAGTCAGAGATGGAGGAGTGGAGCTATTCTTCTGCCAACATGCCTGGCAAGTAACACACAGCCTTGAAATTCCTCTTCCCCTGACACACAGGAGTCCTTGAGTTAGCCTTGTTGTAACAGTGTTGAATCCTTGACTGTTTTTTATGCAGACGTCCCTCACTTACACATGTACTGAGAAATTTGCACCTGACACTATGACTGAATACATGAACCTTTTAAATGGATCACTGGTTGAAGCTTAACCATCCTTCGGGTATCACTCTGAAGCCCCTAAGTAAAAGTCATGCAGGAGCTAAGTCTCACAGCAGTTTGCTGGTCGCAAAATTTGAATTAGAATAGAATAACAGCATGATATTCACAGGAAAAACAGAGACACGTCCTCACCAAGTCTGGTATCACTCTTAACAGATTACAGGCTAATTAATACCAACAAGAAGTACATTTTTATTACAGGAAAAGCTTTTTCATGTCAGCTATCATCAGTCTTTGCATCTTTATGCTGCACAGCTCAATCTCCATCTCCAGGAGCCTCATGTTATTGTCCCATGCAAAACCATCTTTTGCCTTTCTATCAATTTAAAGTCCAAACAGGCATTACCCATGACTAGAAATCCAACATACATCGAAGTAGATGCACATAAATTAGATGTAACAATGCCTGCATGTATTGTAAGGGAAAAATACATAAGCTTTGTTTAAACATACATATGTTTGTCTTTGTGTGAACAGGGGTGGCATATTTTCATTTTAATTATAATACAATTTTAAATAAAATGAATGTAATACAATCATGTATTTTAAGTATTATTAGAAAATGAAAGGTATTAAGCCATATAAAGGACACTATAGTTGGAATCAGTGTTTTAATTCATTACACTGACTTGGAGAAAGGTAACAGCTTACAAGCCTTAAATGTGAGAAAATACTGGCTTAGTTTTTAAAGTCATATTCGTCTAGTTTAAAATGTAAATGCATTCAAAATTTATGAAATTATTTAGAGAAATTGCATATTTTATTCAGTGTGTGCTTATAAACTTAAAGGTTGAGAGACTTCACTTTCACTCATCTTCACAGCTGTTTGGACATTTTTGAGGAGGGAAAATGATTCTTAATATGACTGAAACAACCCTTTACTTTGTTAAATTTGCTTGCAGGATCTGAGAAATACAACATATGTAGTGAAGAGTTTATTAATGTAGTCTCATTGAATAGACATGAAGAGACTACCAAGACTCAAAGAGAGATTATGATTCTTTGATTATACAATTCCAAATAGTAGAAGTATTACTCTAAATTAGTGCCTGTGCCAATTATTCATGACATTAACCAATTTATCTAATGCTTGTACTTAGTGGCAAAATAGGACAAATAAGAGCAAAGCATGATGATAAACACCTTATCACTATCCAACCTTCAGACACTGTGGTGAATGAAAGCAAAAGATGTGCCTGACGTCCACCGCATGGTATTGTTTTTTCTCATAAAAGCCCAAACTGGTACCTGGTAACAAGTACTTTCTGTGTTTATGTATACATGAATATACCAGGCAAGCTAACCCATAATACCTGCCACGGTTTGATTCATCCCATTTTTTATAACTCAGCACATCGAAGTGGGTTGAGTAACAACACCCAACTCTTCTCTTTTGGGTGTGTCTTTCACATTTAACTCACATCCATAATGTCCAAGGTGTATGAATGCCACAGTGAGTGTAGCTCACTGTATCATTACACTATTACATTTCTAACCTAGAGACAGTAAAGTGACCAATATTTTTTTAACCTAGTGTTATGGACTGCTCACCTCCAAAGAAAAGGAGATATGAGAAACAATACTGCAGCTGTCCTGGGAGTCTTGACTGCAGGTGTGAAACGTCACTCCCAGGGGACAGGGTGCATTAGCGGTTTCCCGTGCAGCAGATGGCAAACTCTAGACAATGAGGGGATGAGACAGACAAGCCAGGTAAAGAAGGGGGAGGGGCTGAAGTAGGGTTAAGCTTGCACTGCTTCAAACCTACGGTATGAACCACAGGGTGGGGGTGGGACTGCTGGTTTAATGCTTTTAACACTGTATGACTCTGGAGATAATTATGAGCTATCTTCTGTATATTTTGTTAAAAAGTAAGTTTATTGAATTCAAGGGAATTACATTATGGTTTGAATTTACAGAGTCTTTCCACATCTTATGTCCATAGCAAAGCATGAGGCAAAGATTCAAACCCACCTGTTGTCTATTGACCTCCAGTAACCCCCCCTCCTTCTCAGTGTAGACTTTCATTCAGGGAGTAGCTTAGCAATTTAACCAAATAGGCTTACAAGTCAGACTCATCTGCTTCGCCGGCCTCTGCATCACTTCTGTGCTTTCTCTCAGTTATGCAGACTCTTAAGATGCTTAGATCTGCTGTCATCCAGCCTGATCATGTTTGCTCTGCTCTGAGGCAGATAAATCCATCATGTGCATTTTCGTAACAAGTAAAAGGTCAGCAGTGGCTTCTGTGGATGTTTTAGCTCACTCTGTGTTTTTTTTTAGCCACGATCAACAGGACAATTAAGAGCTGGACAGACTGTCAAAAATGACGATAACTAAGCCCATTAACTCCTCAGGATAAGCATCTTTGCTCTGAAAGACTACTTAAAAACTGACCTACATTTTCTCTATTTTTAAACATTTTTGTTGATACAATCTGAAACAGTTATCCAGGTAACTGAATAATTAAGCCGATGACAATTTAAGGAAAAGATAGTATTAAGGGCATCTCGTTGGCTAATCCAAGAGACTGATTTTACTGCATCGGCATAATTAGATTCAAACTCAGACACTTTTTTGCCTGTCATTACTTGATTTCCTTTCCTGACTCTCCTCAGCTTTCCCAATCAAATAAAGACAATAATAGGATGCAAAAGGAATTAATTGATTACACACAACTTATTATTGATTTGTGCTTCAAGGATTCAAGGATGCATTTGATGTAAAGTGCAATCTCTAATTAAAAAGTGCATCTTGACCAGTCTTGACTTGTGCAATTAAACTTGATCACAAGACACCTGGTATTATTCAATGGTAGTTGTAATGATGGACTGCAGTTTCTTTATGTTATTTTTACAGCACTTATAAAGCATTAATGAGACACTATAGTAGGCAGGGCACAAAGTAGTGGAGTCTTGTGTCATTTTAAAACAACTCATAAAAACTACGTAATTTACCGCCCTCTGGTTGGTGCACAGAACAACTTCTTGCTTCTGTTTTAAGCAGACACAGAGGGTTATGGAAGTTCAATGACTGTAATGTTTGTGTTTGTTACATACCATTCCCTCTTTACTCTGTCAGATCAGTAGAGCACTCTGCTCAATCACGCTGTCAATCATTATGCCATATCTCCTTTTTCCGTTAAGCCATAACTAATTAAAACCAAACATCTATGCTGTTTAGCCCATTCAGGTTGCAGGAAGGTAGAAGCCTATCCCAGTTGTCATTGGGTGAGAGGCAGGATACACCCTGTACAGGCTGCTACTGTATCACAGGGCTGACATGCAGAGACAAAAGACCATTCATACCCGTTCGCACCTACAGGCAATTTAGTGTCATCAGTTAACCTGATAAGCATGGATTTGGACTGCGGGAGTACCCTGAGAGAACCTACTTATAGACTGGAAGAATGTGAAAACGCCACACAGAAAGGCACCTGCCCAGCTCGTGCTAGGAGCCTTCATGCTGTGAGAAACCCCAACCACTGCATCACTGTGAAGCCCTCAGTTATTTATTCCTTTTTTGAGAAATCAAAATGTCATTATTTTTGTTTTGAATGTGCTTTTTTTTGTTTTGTTTTGAATGTCTGAAAAGAAATCAACAACCACACATAAATAAGCATGAAGCTGAGTAACTGCCATGCAGAAGAAATGTTTAAGGAAAAAGGATTTAATGTGGATTTTAATTATCTGGTTAACCCAGGTTACATCTGCTGTAATGATGGCAGTCTTTAAACTTCCTACTGTGTTAGCTTTTACTACGCACCCACCATGTTCAGGGTCAGTTTTAACCTGTGTCTTAAATCAGCTGTTAATTACACTAAAAACAATTCTCTATTGTTCAAGTTGGTTCTTATCTCTAGGTTACCCTGGTAGGCTTCATTATCCATGAAAATATTGCAAATTTATTTTGTTGGGGGTCTCTGGGCCTCATACCCCTCATACAGACAGCTATACTGAACTGGTCTCATATGTCTGGACATGTATGACGTTGTTTTTGTGCAGGGGGAAACACGGCAAAATGAGAATTTCCTTAATCTCACATGATTCGAAGAGGATCTGACTGTCAGTGTGGTGCCTGACAGTTCACTTATGATTTTAGTTTCTGCTCTAATTATTAGATATTGATCTAAATGGGTCAACAGCAACACCAACACGACAAGTACACCAATTTTAATAGGAGCATTTTATAATTCAGTCAATTTGTTTTTTTTATTTTTATTTTGTTGAAATAGAGGTCCCTGACAAAGTCAAGAAGTCTCAATGCAAAAAAGCTAATTTATGCGGTTCTTTTAAGCATTTAAAATCAAAAAGACGCTAACACAGGAGGAGGGTTAAAGACCTACACAACAGCCTGTCTTCAGTGAGCACTTTTGGACCTTTGGCTTCACTTTAGGGGAATTGGCGTGCTGTCAGGGTTTTTATACAGCCTATGGTTTGGACCCAGACACTGAGATGATGTTTGCTGTTTAATTTAATTTAATTTAATTTTTTCTTTATTCCATTTTATTTCTATGGTGAGAGCCTTCCTACCTTTGGCTTCACTTGTGGGGAGTTGGTGTCCTGTCAGTGTTTTTATACAGCCTATAGTTTGGACCCAGATACTGAAATGTTAATTGGTGTTTAATTTTTTTTTCTTTGTTTCAGAAAAAACAATGGAAAAGTTTTGAACGACCGAAAAATAGCGTGCTATCGTTATAAAACGGTAAATGTTTACGGTGAGATAGAGTGTGCCGTGCAGTTCAACGTGCTGTCACCGCCGTGGCTCCGCCCCCTCTCTCTGACGTATCAGGGAGAGTACTGAGCAGAGGGAGGAAAGCAGCCTTTAATTGCAGGCAAAAAGAAAAGCCAGCGATGGCTTCGCTCAGGCAGGAGCACCAGTACGGGCTCTCCTGTGGAAAAAACAACAAAAACAGCTCCAACAGGACGCTGTACCATGTCAAGCTCACGGACACGGCTATCAGAGCGCTGGAGGCTTTCCAAAACCTCAAGGTACCTTATTTTTGTGTTTGTGTGCGCGCGAGCTTTTAGAGATGAATTGTCAAAGTTGTCGCGTGAGCTTGTGTTTGTAATTGTTAAGCTGTTGAAATCGGCAAGTTTATTTTTTTCCAGTTATCGTGGGTCTTTATTTTCCTTCTTTCTTTATTGTTGAAAGCGTTGTCCCTCCTGCTCGGTCGCCCGTGTGTAATTCAGTGGATTGGTGTTAGGTTCAAACTCGCTCACTTCAGTTTAACTAAATCAGTTGGACACATGTCTGTATGGCATACCAGGACTGAACCCTGTGATTGTCGGGAAAGACGAGCCCATCAGCTGTTTGATGGGAAATCTTCCTCATGCTTCTTCAAACACTGCCTGTGGTCTGCCAAGTTTTCTAATTGATACAGTAGACTAGTTTGAGTCATTATTAGTTCAATCTCAGACCACTGGAGTCACGCAGGCTGTGATGATTGTGAAACTTTCACACATACACACACCCTGTAAACACGCTACAGTATTGTACTTGCAGTACAAATATAAGGAGTTACATGGAATAAAGTGTTGTTTTTTCTTCCTTCTTAGGGATCTTTACCGAGTGAACCATCGATTTGTTTTAAAGGAAACCAAGGGGTAAGTTTATGTTCATCTTATTTTCCACAATTAATATGATCTTGCCTCAGAGGGCGATCAGATGTGTCAGAATCTGTTTCAAACACACACCAAGTGATATTTCTTTGCTTCCCAAAAGGCCCCCCCCCAAAAAAAAAACACATCATTGATATTTTCAAAAACAATAATATCCACCAAATAAGTGTTTCCTTAGCCACTGACAAGCTTTTGTTCACCACACACACTGCTGTAGACTCACATGGCTCATCATACTGCGGCTCAGAGGGGAGCTTATAGCCGCTCGACTCCAGCAGATAGGAGGCATGCAGGTTACTGGGTCAGGCTGGTGACTGTGGAGAGGCTTTGTTGGGTCAGTAAGCGGCGCTGGGAAAAAGACAGGAGGGGAGGGAGAAAGAGAGAGGTGCACTCACAGAGCCAGCAGAAGGGAGAGGAGTTATTTTAAGTCGAATAAGGTGCCTTCGGATTGTCTCATTTTGAAGATTACATCGAAATAATGAATATTTGTGCAGATGTTTCCACTAACTGTCCCTAATACTCAGAAAGATACTGATATATCTGCAATAATCTCGGGCTCTTGAGCTGTAATCTGCATGTAGGCTGAATTTAGTGTGTTTTGACTTGAGTCAGGAGCAGCTGTGTCCTTGGGGTGTGCTTTACTTTTCAGTTGGATAAAACAGTACAGAGTGTTTTCAAAGAGCTGCAGCCCCCTTGCTGCCATGACAAGCTGCACTGAGTGCTGGTGGGTTTTGTAAAGGGGGCTTGTGTGGTAAAACAGACTGGATCAAACCTGTGAGATTGTGTGAGAGTAGTATGTAATTTGCTGTAGTACTCCGTCTGAATTTGAGGGACAGTTTACACCTGTAATTGAAAGAAGCTTTCTGGCACAACTACATGGAAGTGAAGAAACATCCAAAAAAGGTTAAACAGCCTTTTTGTGCGATGAAAGTGTTGGTCTGACAACAAACTACATGGTTTCTTAAGTGTTAACCTCTGTAAGCCTACTCCATTTTTGCTCTTTCCTTTACGAGACTGAGGACAGTGTCGCCCATTTTTACTAGTATTTTTGGTGCAGTGTCCAAACTGGCTCTTACAAAAACTTAGATGATACTCTGGGCTTGTTGGACTCAGCAGCACTTTTCTGCTCCAAGTCATCTGTCTAAGGTCAGGGGTCAATTTTATAGTTGCTCTTTTTTTCTTCTGACTGTATGAAACTGGGCACAGAGCATTGACAGGAATATGTGTGGCATGAAAAGGAAAATAAGGATTAAAAGGAGATACTGCAAATCGAGTCCACAGCTTCATAGCTCACACACTTTATCCTGAGGTTGAGTTTGTGAAGGCGAGCAGTTAGTACTGGATTAATAATTATAATCATTTGATTCATTTTTATCAACTAAAACTATAAATTTAGTGTACTTAAATTGACGCTCATTAATTTGCCTATTGCGGGATTGACAGATTATTGGCTTTGTGTGTGCCACCTGTTCAAACAGAAAAAAGGAAGTTTAGAATTTGTTTTACACAACTGGTTTTATGTACGAGTCGATATTTAGTGTTAAGAAATTGAGTCACTGTCCAAAAAGATGCAGTTCCCCTTGTGTTTATTTGAGGCTGGCTCCAAATGCTCAAGAATCCCCATCAGAACCTACAGCCCATATGACACCATGTTTATGATAACAGGTCGGACTTGTTACCTAATACATAATTTCTTCTTTCATCATTTCAATTATATTGGGAGATATAGCGATGCTTAATCAGCGGGTTTTTCTGTATTTTGTATACTTGTGTATTTTGGCTTTTTATACACATGTTAACAGAGCTGTGGGTCCCTAAAAATGGAGATTTTGAAAACTGTGTTGTGTTGAAAAAAAGTTGTTGAAGGACATCGCTCAAACTTGTGCATGGTGATTGTTTTTGTTGGGCATGTGCCAAGTTGGCTGGCTACCAGTTTATGTATGCTTGGTGTTTGGTTTAATTTCATGTTTACAAGGAAAACGGTCCTTTCTTTAAAATTGTTGGTAGTGGCGTGCTGAGTAAATATATTTACACAACAGTTTGTAATTCACCACTCCATATGCAGCTGTAAAAACTCTGTTAACTCTCTTAAAAACATTGCACTCTCATAACAAATACGTAAATGTTTCTTTCTGTGGTGTTTGACATGATTGACTGTTAACACATTAACACTGCCCACTGGCCTGAGTTAGGATAAGAATTAAGGTTAGGCTAATGTGCATTTCAGCTGTTTCTATGTTATCATAAGGACTGCGTTGTTTTCCACTTAAAAAAATTAAACTCTCCCACCTGTGGACTTGGCCTGTCAGGTGCGCACAATGAAGCTGTTTTCCAGGAGGAAAACAGCTTCATTGTGCTCACCTGACAGGCCAAGTCCACCTTAACTCTACCTCTTAACTTGTTTAGCTGTCAGTAAAGTAAGGTCAGTATTTCCCTCTTTGAAAACTGACCACTGATATCACTGGGACGATGTCTGTGATTTTTTTTTGTCTGTGGTTATATTCTAGTTTTTCTTGAGTAATGCTAGAGAGATGTCTTATAGGACAGTGCAGTTTATGCATGAACAGCATAGGTGTTTTTGGAGACCTGCGTCTGTATCTGAGTTTTCCTGCATGACAAAGTCTCATATTTACACCTGTACTGTCATTGTGAAGTCTGGGGGATTGCAGAGACTTTCGCAGCCCTCCCTGTATTTTGCACTGTGAGATAAAGTCATCAGCCAAAATGAATGTTTAGAGGTAATTACAGTAACCATAATACCGTTGATTACAGCATGAGGCATCATGACTTCTGTTTGCATTTGCTTTCCCTATCTGCCTGACTCAGACAGTCATGAGTGTGTGTGTGTTTTTGTACGGGTGAGTATGTGTGCAGGTAGATGAAATGAACTCTGGCCTGCTAATTTTGCTGTCCCACTTTTTCTGTGTGCGTGCAAAAAAAAGAACACGCCTTGTTTGCTAGAGTAGTGTGTGTGTGTGTGTGTGTGTGTGTGTGTGATACACTGGCTACATTGTTGGGTGTTAAAAGCTGTGGATAGCTGTTGTTATTCTGTGTTTTTGCTGTGCCCTGTGTGGCCTGAAGGCATGATTTATTCATGTCCTTTTTCCTGTCCGGCCCCCTCTGCTCATTGTGCAGCAGCCTTCAGGACCAGAGAGGATCTCCCAAGGACCTCTGTGTGTTTGTTTGTTTGCCTCGCCTTTACTTTTCTATGGCTTGGGTTTTCTATTGATCTGTATATGCTTGAGTGTTGGATTTTTTTCTCTCTGAGTGTGTGTTGGGCCTGCCTGAGCTAAGATCCCCCAGACTCCTGCTTTAAGTGTGTGTTTCCTCCTCTGATTTGAATAACAATGAGTGGGGGAATGTGGGCTGTTTGTTGTCCCCCTCTTTGCATCAGCCGAAATGAAGTGAGTACAGTGGGTCCAGATGTGTTGGGGTCTGCCCTGAGGGTTTGTTTGAGCTCCATATGACAGAAACTCCCCTGCTGTGGATCTAATGGAGTGGAGACTGAGACAGAGAACACTGAAAACATCGTCCATTAAGAACACCAAGTTTTTAAGCCATGACCAAAGTTTGGAGTGGAAACTTTTATCTGACATCTGAGAGAAAAATTACCTCTGATGCAGTAGAAGCTGAATACGGAAGAAAAGACACAAAACAGCTAGATGACCTTAATGAAAAACTTTTAAAATGCACTCTCAATTGATGCATAAATCCCCTTGTTTAAAATTTACATGAGTTACAATTAAGAATGCAGGGTTACTCCACAAGGAGCTTTCAGTGATCTCTTTATGATAATGTTTTACCAGCCCCCAAAACGGCCTGTTTACTTTGATGACAAACTTTTCAAATACACTCTTAATTCATACATAAATTATCTTAAAACCTGTTGTTTAAAATATACATGAAGGACAATGCAGGGGTACTCCACAAGGAGCTTTTAGTAATCTCATTATGAGTGTTTTACCAGCTTTCTAACATCAGGTTTCAGGAGGTCCTCTAGTTAATCAATAATAGCAACTGGCGTCTCTCCTCTTGCATTATCTGTTAAATAAACTCAACCGGTATCAGAGGGGTATTTTGGATCTGCTATTGACACGTAGTAGAGGTTATAGACTGTATAAAACATGGACCCAGTTTCTGTGACACTGCTTTGCGGTTTGCGGTGACATTTTGAAGCTTATTGATGACTGTTTTAAGGGTTGACTCAACTTAAAAACAGCTGAACAAGAGGTGGACCCCGTGGACTTGTTTGTCAATTTGGCCATAACTGTAGTAATGCAATTTTATGTTCAACTCTTAGCCCTCAAATGATCTCAACAGGTGTATTAGACCCACTCCGATGAAAATCATGTTTTTCTTGTTTTTTTATATCTCCATATGGTATTTTTCCGATTCTGTAGACAGATCATGAGAAAACTAAATGCGAAATTTCTTTTCTGAGTATTTCTTCATTCAGATCGCTGTGAATCTCTGGCAGACCCAAACGGCAGCTTCAGAAACAGTGAGATTTCATACGTAACCAATCCAAGCTCCATCCCCAGAGCCCCGCTATGCAGGCCAGACTCTGCATATAAAGGAAAAATACAGAGGAAGATCGCGGAACAAGTATGTGCATTGACGGAATGGCTATGTTCGTAAAAAAGCTGATTATGATATTAGCTTTCATCATGTTCCCAAAGACATTAGTGTCCGAGAGCTGATTAGCTCCTATGCTACCTGCCACTTCTGCTGCACCAGTAATGCTAGGCTACAAGCTAACGCAAAGACGAGTGTGCAGAGCAGCGCTGTCTCCGCCCACGACTCAGCAGTGAATTGCTTACGAGCTACTCGAGCTCTGCAGAAGAAAAGCCCTTAAAAAATGACACAGGTAACACGACTTTTGGTAAAAACTTCATAATCGCAATTCAAAGACCGCTGAGAATACTTTAAGTAGTAAAAGAAAAACGATCGGCGTGGGACTATAAAGACAAATCATCCTCCCTACAGTGTGCCAAAATATGTAAGTAAATGAGCTACAAACCTTAAACTGTATTTTGAAACCGCCTGTATTTGACAATATGGGCACACAAAATGTGGCGCTACACGTCTAGCAGTTTGCCCCCCATTCATTGTGAATTGCAAACAGATAGCATTCTTGGACTCCAGGCGGCATCACTTATTAGCAACTTCTTTCCCTCAGCGTGTCAATATCATGCATTTACAGCAAACATTGTAGAGTGTCGGTTTTATTGATAAGACCACTCAATTCAAGACAAGTGATTCGACCTGAGTGGGTGGGTGTCTCTCAGCACCCTGACCACCTCTGGTGAGCGATACTGTGAGGATCAGCAGTGTTTTGCAGTTGGTGTTAGCACTGGATTCACTTACTATAGGTCTTGAAATTTGTATCAGGAGGGGGAAAACGAGTGTCAGTGCCAGGCGCTGTTCATGTTATGCATGCTGGTCTTTGTAAGTGAATGGTGTCTTTCTCAGATCAAGTTAATCTGTGTGTTTGACCACAAAGGGCGGGCTGTTGAGGGATTATAATATTTAACAGTAATGTTTATAACTCACATGCCAGGAATGAAAATCTTGTGCACCAACCTGATTGTGTATTTAATAATCCAGCGTCAGTGTGCAATACGATGACAAGCAGCCCTCTGACATCCATCAAACAGCTGTAAACCCCCCACCTCAATGAAGCGGCTTGGAGATATGGAGCACATCTTGGCTTGGCGAGGAACCTGTCCCATCTAATTCCCTCATGTGAAAGTCCACACCACCAGCTAATGAGGCGTAAAAGGGCGTTTGTCCACCCCAGACATACACACTCGGGTTTGCATCTCTGTGGAGGATCCCACCTAGCTCGGGGGAGAGGAAGGAGGGGGCTTTTTGTCAGACACAGTGACCCACAATTTGTTGAAGTTGACAGTCTGGCCCGGCGGCACCAGCCTGAGACGTATCGTTCTTGGCATCGGAGGGGAAAACCTCGGGGGATGCTTGTACCACAGCACCCTTACTGCCCCCCCCTTCCACTTTCGCCCTCCTCCTTCATACTCAAATACTAGAGCTGGTAGCTCTGGCAGCAGCTCTGTCCCTGTGTGAGATTGCAAATGAAAAGGAGTGGAGGGTGATTACAGACTGGGGCTTGATTACATGCACTGTCTCCCACTCAAGTCGGCCACATTAATCACCCAGTGGCAGCATGTGGATCACAGTGAGAGAGAAGACGCTGGGTAGCTCCAAGCACTGACTGATTGACTCTCGGATCGTAAACACACACAAAAACCTGCAAAAATCTCGTCTATTCCCTTGTACATCCCTCAGCCCCCCTGTCCCTTGTTCTTCCACTCTGTGCTGCAGACACAGACACACATTGTGTTTTTGTATCACTGTCTTCCATTGTGGCATGAGGGGGGGCTTGTCTTAAATGGCATGTGTCAACTTGTGGGCCTGGGAACGATTTGGCTCTTTTGTTTGCGATTGAAGTGAAGAAAAGTCGTGTTTACCAGAGTGTGGTGAAGATGAGGGTGGTGTCTAGCTGTCTGTGAGTTTTTAGAGATGTTTAGCTGATAGCTAGATTTAGGCCTTCCTCCCTCCTCCTCCTCACCCTCATGAGCAGCAGGAGTGAGAGGAGCTGAGCCTCTCCTTGCTCACGCTGGATTAACACACACACACACGCACGCACACACACACTCACACCTCATACATACACAAAGTTTGCATTAGCCCCCAGCCAGAGTGACTTGCCTCCTGCTGACAACAGACAGCGGTGGTGGCGACAGGTTACACTCCCTCCTCCTTCTCCTCCCCCTCCTGCACCTCCTCCCTCTCCTCCGATCAACCAGAAAGGGGGAAACCGTGCCATGGCATCCCACACTGGAGCCGCGGAGGTCAGAACAAAAGCCAGCCTGTTTTCAGAAGGCCATTACTCAGGCTGCAGAGGATGTGGAAACAATAGGCTGCATGAGATCTACACCCAGACCTCACATTCAACCAACAGCTAGCAGGAAACATAAGTCCCATGCCTCTTCAGCAGTCTTTCACAGTTTTTGTCCAATTGGCTTTATAGTTTGATCAACCTGTGGAAAAGTTACCATCACGCCGAGTGTCCCCAATGAGAGACAAGGACAATGGCAGACATTTATTTCTGTTATTTTTATTTAACTCTTGAAAATTTCCAGAAGTTATCCTTCGGGAAAATGGCCAATTTTTTCCACCCCAACTGCACTGTACTCATCAGCTCACCCTTAAAGCCCTTGTGAGGAGTTTTTAATACAGCTGTGAAAGACTGACATCCACAGTGATGTTTTTTTATGAGAGAAAAAAGCAAACAAAGCCATCTGCAACAAGACTGATCATCTCCAGGTTGTAATGTTTAATGCTTGTAGGGGGTAGGTGCCAGCCCCGATGATTGATAGCAGGCCAAATAAAAGGCTTTGTTTTACTTGGTCCACAGCAAATCCACTAAATGAGTGATGCATATAACCATCTAAAGAAAGCAGGATGGGATCTTTCACCAGAGAACACTTGCACAGGAAAGAATCAATAAAGAGATCAGGAGTTCTACTTTGTCTTCCAAAAAGAAGGGGGGTATGGTGGCCGAGAACCGCCACTGCTGCAAATAAAAAAGAAAATTAAAAAAAAAGAAGCCACAACGGAAGTTACCGATAGAAAAAAAAAAAAAGAAACCGAAGCCCACTGCAAATAAAAAAAGAAACGGTGCAGATTAAAAAAAAAAAAAAAAAGCTACAACGGGTGGTAAGGACGCAAAAATGGGTCTGCGTACTTACTTATTTCTATGAGTAAAGCATCCGAACCGTAAAGCTACCGAACTTGATTCTCCTTGATTCTCCAGGCTGTAGTGGGTTTCCCAAGTTAGCCATAGCTAACACTACACTGGAAATTTTGTTTTCGCAGTAACTTTTTTTTTGTTTGTTTTTTTGCATCAGCACTTTTTTTTCATCGTGAACTTCCATTGTGGCTTTTTTTTATCTGCACCATTTCTTTTTCCATTTGCTGTGGGCTTCATTTTTTTTTTCATCAGTAACTGCCGTTGTGGCTTCTTCTTCTTTTATTTATTTTTTATTTTTTGCATTCTTTTTTTATTTGCAGCAGTGGCTGTTCTCGGCCACCATAGGTGGGGAACCAAAAATTAGACCAACACTGAGTTTCTGACAGGAGCTTTAAAAAATTCTGCAACAGATTGGGTTGGATTAATGTGTGAACACAGCAGGATTTACTTGATCTGGTTGAAGCAAGTGGGCGTAGTATGATGCAAGTATTATCTGACTAATGATTTTAATGCACACACTGCTTTTTTCTTCCTCCTGCTTGCCAGTAAGTCCCCTTTTCCTCTTTAGTTTTGATTTGTCTCTGCTGGGAACACATGATCTTCCACTCCACACCGTTCACACGAAAACCTTTGACTTCTTTTTTAAAATAACTTTAGGACTATCAGGTGCCTAGGTGGAGCATGCGGCAGGAGGGAGAGGAAAAGCAATACTTTGTAATGGTGAATGCTTCTAAATTACTATCAGTACTTTGAATTAAGGTCAATTTCTACCTTACAAACACAGTGGAAGAAAAGTTATCATCAACCGAGGTGAACAGTACAGATTGAAGAGTAGAGTAACTCAGATCAGCGAATTAAGTTTTCATTTTGTCAAATGCTTTGGATAAACAACTTTTACTTGCTGCAATTACACATCGACTTACGTCAAGTCTGTTGGAGCGGGGTGAACAGATTAAGCTGTTTAATTTCACATGCTGTAAAATGTCAGGTGAATGAATTTTCAGTTGTGCAGTGCGACTGGCGCTTTGGTGACTTTTAATGAGCACTAGGAATTAAACTGTAGGCCACACTGCTTATTATCACAGTTATTAAAAAAACAAGGTTTTAAAATTAAAGTAACAATAATCCAATGAACAGTTTTAACCAACTAAGGCCAGTCTCACAAAAGTGTACAATGATCACACTCTCCTGTGATTTTATGAAATATCACAGGATTTACTACTATCTGACATTCATTGTGTCCGTGTGTAACGATATGAAAATCATGAAATAAAGAGAGAACTGATCTGCTGTTGGAGCAGATCTTTAAAACACACACCCTCATACAGTTGCAGAATTAGTTGAGAAAAAAAAAGCACACTAATAGATGTCAGTGTACATACTCGTATTTCTGGTTTTCAGACAGACGTTTCTTTCAGCTCAAACCCAAAGAAGAGCAAGCAACAACTCATCAAACATTTAGCTACCGCTTCTCTGATCTCTTACATAAGCAGGGAGGTGAAAAGTTGAAATTTTATGCCATTTTTCCCATTTTTTAACATGATGACTATAGAAAGATTATGACTGAAGACATCAGAGGCCTGAGGGAATGGATGCGTGCTGAAAAAGTTGGGTGTGAAATGAAGGGAGTGAACAGATCAAACAGATACATAAGTTCATAAAGTGACAGGGAAGACTGTATTTGAGCTAATGCAGAACGGCAGTGGGATTTCATTTGATTTTTATTTGCCTCTGTAGACTCTGAATGTTAATGAAAGTAGTGCTCTCACTTACACGCAAATAGGTCTCTTTATCTGTGTTGTTGACGCCTACAAGCTTTGATTGCACTTTTAGTGCTGGGACCAATCACCACTTAAGCATTGACAGCATTTTAAACAGTGATTTTGTGGAAACGAAGAACTCCACTCTCTGGTCACATTTATACAACTGAATGACTCTCTGCTCCACCACAATTTGCACAAAGAGCAAAGATAAGCCTTAAAATGAGCTCATAGCCATTTTCGTTTTTTATCATGCCACTCTTTGACACTTACAGACCTTATTAATATTACTCTGATGTCTGAAAACCTTCCTTTCTGCACTTTCTGCAATGCTTTGTTTTGGCTTCTTTTCCAGTGATGTAAAATTGGACTCAGCTTGTGGGTGTTACTTTTTGCACAGCTTTGTAGAGGTGAAGCAACCTGAGAGTTATGCCTTTTACAAATAATATTTGAAGCTAGCCATTAGCTTCCTATTTTAGCTAGTAGTTAGCTTCAGTAACATTCGAGACACAAATCCAGCTCCTACTGGCCTTTTGTTTACAAAGACGTCATCACTGAACTGGCAAGCACAGACAGTTCTGTTGTGACTGTTTTCTTCCAAACATGGAGGGAGCTGTGTCCAGTGAGGCCTTTATTTGGTGCTGGTAGCGCCCATGACCTCAATTTCAGAGCACCTCTCTGCTGTGTACTGTGCCTGAGTTACAACCTGGGCTGCTATCATTCAGTGGCTTATTTTACAAAACCTAAAACGAGTTGAAAGCAAGTGTGTCATAGCATTAGTAGCAGCTCCAAACCTGGGATTGTTCTTTGAAAAACAAATATGGTCTTTTCTCTCTTGAGCAGGCCTTCACCATTGTTGTAAATGAAGCTATCAGAAGTTCCGCCCCTTCCTGATTCTGATTGGTTAATAGTCAAGAAGAGACATTGAGAGTGCAGAGCTGTTCAAAAAGTTTTTCAAAGTATGACTGACGCTGAAGGCATTGACCTTCCTTGAGTTTGAGTAGAAAATAGGTGTGGCCAGTGCTCAAAAATGGCATCAGTCAGCACAACACTTAAAAAAAATTCCCTACTGGTTTTTGGTTCCTTCGCATACAGAAACAGAAAACAGCTATGATTCTCCCACAGAACAAAAAGAACAAAAAAGAGCAACTTTCCAATATGTACTGAGTCGATTAAGTGCAGAATAGAGGGAAAGCTAAGAGGTGAACTGGACTGTTCAACCTCTAGGTGGGCGTGTCTTTGGCTTGTCCTCTAACACGGTCCTAAAAAGATGGCAGATGACATCAGGTTCAGGCCAAGGCCTTGAATGAGCTGTTCAAGAACTCAGCTGGGTATTAACATCAGTGTATTTTATGTTTTGCACATCCAATATTGTAGCATCATAAGTATGGATTAAAACAGAGACCTACTTAATAGGTCTCTAACCCTTTAACATACTTTAAAATTGAAGTCTAAGGTAGGTGATGGAAATAGAAAAACTTGAAATGAGTTGGTCCGTCTCTATTGATGCAGAAAGTGTTGTGACGTTTGCAGACAAAAAACAGATGGACACACTTTGTGTTTGCCAAGAGTAACGCCTGGGAGAGGGAGATTGATGAGGACAAAAGAAAACAGAGGCAGGCAGACAGACTGGTGTTATAGAGGCGGGAAGAACTGGGACAGGCTTGATATTTTCTGTTTACGAAGACAGAGGAGGAACGATTGAACAGGCAGAGGAACCAGGATGAGACTGTGGGCGTATCTCTGATTGAAGAAAGGGGGATGTGGGATGACGGGCAGGTTTAGGGATGAGACCGGCTTGTCTTAGGGTGAAATGTTTGAGTTAAAAGAATTATATGTTGAAACACTTCTCAGATGTTCTCTGCTCACAGGGTTTGCTTTTTGGCCTCTGAGGGTCAGTGAGCATTACTGGGGTCAAAGGTTATTATCCAAGTCAAGGGCAACTTTTATTACACAAATTTCTTCAGCAGGGAATTTTTTGGCAGGTGTGTTTAGACCTAACTATCCACAGAACTTAATTTTAAAAAAGTAAGCAATCATGAAGAGTCACCAAGTCCAGAAGAAGCTTTGAGATTCTCTGAATATTTTACTTGAAAGGAAGACAATAAATATTTCATTATTCATGGTCAGTTAGATTCTTTTACGGCCCAGTCCTTTTGTAAAAGCGCCTCTCTGGGTTTGAATTGCCATGTGTGCCTTTCAGGAGAATGTGCGAGCCAGGCTTTTGGTGCGGCTGGGAACTAAAGTGCTCGTTGTAGTTTGCTCAGTGGGGGTGTACAAGTCTGCCCATGGAGGTCATAGGAGCAGACATCACTGGGTAAATGCCAGCAAGAGCTCCTGGGTGCACTCCATGACCGGGCATTTGAAACAGCTGGAGTCTGTAACAGCAAACAACATGATCAGATAAAGTCAGAGTCTGTAAATGGTTAATTGTATGTTATTGTGGAGAAAGATTTAAGGAAATACTGTCTGATGGTGTCCTTGATGAGTGGAAAGCACTCTCTCTTCGAATCTGAAATCGTTTCATTTTTATTTTTTTGTCACAGACAGCTCAGACAAAACGAAATGCTGGTCTTAAAAGCTTGTGTTTTGGTTTTAGTTCTGCAATCTCAGAGAGGATTTTGAAGTTTGGCACAAACCAACACAAGTCTGGTTTTATGATTCTAAGGACTGGCTCTTATTTTATGTTTCTGAAAAGGACAAGAGCTCAAATTACTCTGTAATGCTCTGTCTCTCTGCTGTCCTAATGCCTCCCTAGAAATGCTAATAACACTTACCGTGAAAGTTGGATTTCGCTGGAAGTGGATTTCAAAACATCAAAAAGACTTTTCACCATCTGTCTGTGCTGTTTAAAGTAATCCGTGTGGGCAGCATCTGCCAGGTGGAGTGAACCTTTCATTTAAGAAATTCCTCCTTCTCAGTGCAAAAGCCAAACGGACCTCGACCTTAATCTCTGTCCTGCTCTTCATCACGAGAGGCTGTGCTGTTTTGTAGTGGAGATTAAAGCTGCAAGTCTCCATTACTGTAATTATAAATAAAAATAACATCTATTTGACCTCTTGAAACTGCATATTTTGTACCCCCAAAAGAACATGACCCACAGCTGTTGAATATAAAATGATTTGAACTAATAAATAGATGATAAACTTCAAGCCTGAAACTGCAACAGTGAGTGAGTGCCTGGCTGTTTTGCTTCTCTTGCCAAATCTCAGTAAACACTAAACTGGCATGACGCACAAGCAGAACACTCTGAGCCGAATTGGCACGCATTTGTAACTCAGCAAATACAAGTCCCTGTTAGCTCTCTTTTGGTTGCCAACATCTCCTTATATGAAGGTCTTTCACTGGGAGTGTCTTAACAAGCTAGTGGCTAATCTGGTCTGTTTACATCTACTAGATGACAACTCTGTCTAAAGGCATAGTCATCGGTGTATAATGCTAATAGTGACAAAGCTAACACAGCCCATCCTAGTTTAGATTGTTAGCATGCTGGTGTTCTGGTCGATTTTCCCTGAGAATCTGTTTTGTATTCTAAATTCAGACCACATGTATTGTTTATACATGTTTATACTGTTAATACAAAAATCTAACTGTTTTAGCATTTGTCAGGATTTTATTAAACAACCTTCAGTTGTTAAGTTCTGCTTTGTCAGAAGCTCTAACTTTAGGCCATTTCCCTCAATTAAAGGGATATTCCGTAAAATTAATTTAGTGTCAAACACACCATAACACCAAGTTAGACACCCCCTTGAGAGATGAATGTTGCCGACCACTTGCTTTTCTAGTTATTTAAACTTTATCCAGTCCATTACAGACTGCAGCGGGGTGACACAACTCGAGGAAGAACATCTATGATCATTACTTTATCATTTTCTTGAAGTAATAATCACCATATTAATCATTTTGCACCGCAGACGCGGTAGTTCTTCTGCCTTAGCGTCTCGGTCTGATTGCATTTCCATAAAAAAATATGATCATAAATGTTCTTCCTTGAGCTGTGTCACCCCGCTGCAGTCTGTAATGGACTGGCCTGAGGTCTCGCTACAAACAAGTAGCTACTGGAAGAGAGTAGGTGAGTTGTGTTTAGTCTCTTTGCTTAAGAAATTAGGCAAAGCTAAAAAGATGTTTGGTGGCTAGTGCTGTGGCTGAGACCCTATATGTACTGTTGATGAAGTTAGGTGCTGTTCTGAGCCATTTTGGTTGAATATCCCTTTAAGTTCTGCTTTGTCAGAAGCTCTAACCTCCAGCCATTTCTCTCAGTTAACAGTGACTCTGAGTTTCACAGTCAGAGGAGGATCATTGCCTGAACAGGTTTAAAGGTGTACTATGGCTTGGACTGACAAGTCTGGAGCTACACTTTGACATTTATTTATATGCTATCAACTTCTTTATTTTTTGTTCCACATTTGCTGTTGAAATAAGGCATTAAACGATGTCTGATAGTTATGACTTAGCAGTCCTTAACTATGTGTATTATCTTGTGAAATGTTCACAAAACTGTCAAATGGTGATATAAGATCCCTCTGGATAGCTCTCTAGAGAAATAGCATTATTTTTTCTGACCTCTGTTTTTCCTACAAACAACGAGACATCTAGTGTTGGCTTACAGGCTTCATTGTACTACTCAATGATATGATATAATATCCTGAACTACACTCATTCATGTTATTTGAAACATGCAGCATTCAAGCTGGTCTGTATCTCTGTGTGCTATCAGAGCTTAGCTGTATAGTTTGTATGAATTCCTACATTGAAGGTCTGCGTGTACAGACATGTGCTGGGGGCTGATAAGAGAAAAGAGCCAACATCTGTGGTACTTTGTTGCACACTTGCGTCAATTCATCTGAAATGACGTTTTTAGTCAAAGAAGCAGGCTCCCTGCTGAATGTTGGCTGTGCAGCACACACTCAATTATTTATGCAGATCCAGTTCACAACCCTTTATAACATTTGCTCAGTTTCAGTTATGTGAAAATAGTTAAACCTCCGGGATAGGATTCACATCAAGTAATTTTTAAAGCTTTGGAAAGGAAGACAGTTTTTGGGGAAGGGCTGGTTTTTGTCTGAAACTTAGTTTAACTGATGATTTGTACTGATTACAATTGTTGTTTCATCTTTTCCTTGGTTCTGTTTCTGCTTATCCAAATTTGGCAGTCTGTAATCTTTTCATTGAGAGCCTTGTGCCTGTCATGCAAAAGTAGCCATTATGTTCAATATATAAATATATATTCTTAAAAACACCACAGTGTTTTCACTAAAGGTAGTTCTGCATTTTTTTTTTATTTTCAAACTCCCAAAGCACCTGTTTGGAGAAAATCATCAAATTAAATGTTTTCTGTAGTTTGAGCCTTAAAGCAAGATACTGATACAGGGTTGAGGTAACAGTTTAGGTTATGAGTTAACAGGCTGCAGTTTGTACCTGAGGAAAACTGAACTTGATCATCAGTTCTTCTGGCTGCATGATAAACAGTGCCCCTCTCAGTGGAGGGGATTGTTATTAATGGACCCAGAGAGACACTTAATCATACGCCTCACTGTGATGCTAAGAGGAATGCATCTCCACTTGCTTTGAATCACTTGAAAAATTACAGAGCTTTGGATCATGGTTGAAATCCTCTTTTTTAGCGTTGTGATTTATATAATCAGACATTATGCAATATAACTGTCTTCTGTCTGTATAGAGCAATCATTATTATGACCTTTTAAAAAAAAAAGGGTTTGGGGGCGCTTTTGGCAGAGACAACACAATATGTGCCCATGTATATATATATATAAATAATAAAGGAATGGTCAGGCAACAGCTGCTTTTGAAACAACTAGCAGAAATTAACATTTACAAAAGTTTTAATGTGTGTTCCTGTGAAACTCATCTATTATATCCAAGTTTTTGTTGAAAAGGCACCTGGGTGTGTTGAAGGTTCTTGAAGAGGTTTCGCCTCTCTTCAGCTCTTAAGTGAAAGGGGCCAAAGTTGGAAATGCATAGCCTAGGTTGGTCATCCAGCTGTAAGGGGTGGGTGATCACCTGAGAGTCGTTCACAGCTGGGTCACCTGAGAGTCATTAGCAGGGTCATTGACCTGGCTTCGCCTGGGAGGGTGCCCTCTTGGGTTTCTTCAGGTTTGCCATGCTTGCACGTTGTTGGAACCTGTGGTCCAGCACGAGAGTGTTGTTTTGATTGTTGTCAAAAGGAATCCAAAGCTGAATTGTTAGTGGGGAATAAGTGATGCCTTAGTCCATTGCCTCTGTTCAACAATGGTTCCTCCAGTTTCACACAGATTGCCTTCTTGACACCTCGTTCAAATCCATTATACAATTTATATCTGTTTTTTGGTCTCCCAACTCTTAACGGAAATAAGTACTGTGCTTTTTTAAAAGTGTGTCCGCCTCATATTCAATACTTCCATATTCACACATACAGGTGAGAAAATCTGTGGGAAAAAAAATGTATTTTGTAAACTGAGGCTTGTGGGAGAAAACCGTAGAAAGTATAAGAAATCCCCTGTTGTAACTTATCTTGTAAACTACTTCCTACCCTCCATAAAAAGATGGCAAGCTGCCGGCAGCATGAAGAAGAGGGCTGCTGTGAAACTGCTGACCTCTCAGCTGCAGTTTGGAGGCAGTAAAGAATACTCATGATGACACTGTGGATCTCCTCTATGTGAGGACTTCTCACTCTGAGTTTCAACAGAATTATGAAAGTCGCTTATGGCTAGCTAGACTCTGCCTACGTATCCATCTTTCTCCTTCTTCCAGTTAAATGCCCATGTAGAGCTTTTGCTGCAAAATTTCCCATAAACCTGAATGAAAATAGTAGAATTCTGCTTCCATAAACATGCAATTTCGTCTTTTTAGTGGTCAAATCAGCATTTATCTGATCCTCTTTTTTTTCTCATCTGTTATTACATGTCTGCGTGTGTGTGTGTGTGTGTGTGTGTGTGTGTGTGTGTGTGTGTGTGTGTGTGTGTGTGTGTGTGTGTGTGTGTGTGTGTGTGTGTGTGTGTGTGTGTGTGTGTGTGTGTGTTCTCGGGTGCATTTGTCTGCCCTGGAGGTTGCAGCCTTGGCTCTGCTGCGCTCCACTGAGTCTGCCAGGAGATCTCATGGACGCCTCAGTGGAGCAAACTCTTAAAAACACTGTTTACCCAGGGAGATTTATTTAAAGTTACAGAGCAGCACAAAGTCTCTCTCCAGCTCTTTTGTGTGTATGTGTGTGTTTGAGTGTGTGTTATGGTATTTACACATGGCAATCGCTGATACTCTATGATAGCAAACTGTGCAAGTGTTGGATTTGTATCATTGTTCCCTGATCCTTTTTTAAGACTATAGTTACTTTAAAATTTCACCTCATTTTAGTTTGTCTTCTCAGTGAAGTGTCATCCATCCCAAACTGATTTCTCTGTAGTCACACAGCTGCACTGAGTGTTCCCACACAAGTTCTTGTTATTGCACGGATAGATTTGTCTCCCCAGTGACGGTCATGTCATGCATGAACGTTCTTCCTGCTCCCTGAAGGTAGATCCACATACATGTCATCTGGATTTAATACAGTTTTCTTGACCTCCGAGGAACATTAATCACATATACATTATCCATACAACTATTAATCTACAGTTAACAAACAATAGGGAGAGGTTATTTGCTTTCATGATATAATCTTTAAAGTGTTTCCAGCTTTTTCTGTCATGTGATTTACTTCTAATTGTGCTCAACTTTAAATGTTTTATATGTTATCTATTTAATTATTATTGTATTTGGAGTATGGTGAATGTTGACGGGTTAGTCATGGGTGCACAGCAAGTACAGCACTGATAGTACATCTTACTGTACAACCTGCTGTAAATGTTAACGCTCAGTGTAAAGTTTCTAAAGTTTAACACCCTGAAGGACTCTATAAACATGTCAGAGGATGAATCAAGATGAACCCTTAAGCAAGGATGTGAAGTTCTGTATTTTCAGAACAAAATATGCACATCGGAATATTTTGAATGAAGTGAGTGATAAACTGCAAAGTGAAATGTCAGGTTATGTACAGGCTCAAATCTGGTGGTACTTTTATTTCAAAGCATTCTAGCTAATGTTTGTGGTGAGCTTGTACCCAGCCTGATGAGTTGGTGCTGAGCTGTTTTAGCTATTTGGGCTGTGTTTACACTTGAAAGAAAGGTAAATTATAAACAGCTAGCTAACAGTACAAACATAGACTGTATACTTACTGGACGTAGCGCAGAGGCATCACCCATCTGTTTCTGAATTGGAGTTTTGATTCATTTTGTCAGCCTACCTGAAAAGGGCTTTTTTTTAACCCATGCTGTAAATGTGTGTATTTTTTCCCCCAAAACTGGTGTTTTTGGCTCAGTGTCTTTCTGGTTTCTCGTGCTCCTGCAGCCTGTCTCACACAGGCAAAAAATGCAGTTTTTAGCACTTGTGCATTGGCTTCATTTTTCAAGACCGGAGGTTGCAGCTTGGGTACCAGTGGCACCATTATGCTAATAATGTACAATCTTAGCACAATTCGCACTTCAGTATTTTGGTACACAATATTCTGATTTCTGAATAAGTCTGTCGAGAAATAATATTATTTCACATTAGCTTAGCTTACAGTGAAATGTCATTGAGGGTATTCTTGCTTTTTATCCAGTGTGTCTCACATCCCTGTTTTAGATTTTAGAGACTCTGTGAGCTTTTTTGTCTTGCTTTTTTCGAACAAAATGTGATCTTTGCACAAGATACTGTGCATAAAAATTCACCATACGCTGAGTAGTTATATTAATCGTCCAAATATAAAACATGGCTCCAAGCAGTTTTCTTCCCCAGCTTTTAAGGGTTATTTCATGGTAAACTACTCTTTCTTAAGCTTTTATAACTACACCAGTCACAGTCTGTTCTTTGTTGTGGGTTGTAAAAAGAATCTTAATTTATGTTGATGACAAAAACTTTCAGTTGGAGAGCTCTGTGTTCTTGGCTCCAATTCATTTGGGAACATTGAAGTTTGATTTTAATAGTCTGCTGAGTTGATAATTGCTTTTCCCCAAACTAAGTTTACAGTTTCACAGAAAGCACAGACACAGAACTCAAAGTTCTCAAGAACCACTGACAAGTTGTAAACTGGTTGGTACCAGGCCTGTGAAACAATAAAACCCTATAAGCACACATCCACACCAAAACCTCTTCATATGAGCAAATAAACACAAGACGCTAGCACGTGAGTCACATTATACTCGTAAGTGGCTGAAAAAAATAACTCCATCGTGCAGGTTGTTTCTCAGTCATCTGTCTTTCTGGTTTTGATGAAATCTGACTGTCTCATACTTTTCTCTGCAGTACATCAAGATTCCAGCTCCCACGCCAGAGTCACCCTCTGCTATTCGCATTTTCTCCTTCTACTTATCCAGTGACAGCAAAGATCAACCTCAGGCTAGCTTCGACTGCATTCATCAATATGTTTCAAGGTAAGAAGTTCACTGGTCGAAACTTATTTCTGCATGATAAGTCATGCTGAAAAGCACATTCAGGGCTGTTTGTTGTTCACATGACCCCAGATGATCTTTCCAGTCATGTAAGGTTGCAGTCTTGTAGTTCTGGGCCTCATTTTGAGGGCATCGTAAAGACACAGTTTTCTCAATGATTGCTGTATACAAGATGGGGCCATCACAATTTCCTGTATATTTCTGGGCCGACCCTCTCATTACGGAGACCTGTGACGCCGTGTTTATGTATGAGTGTATATGCTTGGAAACAGAGGGTTATACTCAGTTTCTGCCTTCTGCTGCCAGATGGCTCGATGTGGTCTGAACTCGCTCTGGTCCCAGTCAGCTGCTGGAGCCAAAAGAAACAACCTAACAGTGTGAGAGTGAGAGCCAGCTCTCTTTGCACCCACATTAGCTTAAAGTACTGTGGATCACAAGAATAAATGATCTCTGGCCAAGTGTTTAATTGTGTTATGACAACAAAAATGGGGTTGGGCGATAGGCTCCTTTTTTTTTCTTTCTTCAAAATATAACAAAGTTGATTTGGCAACTCTGTCAGTCCTTCATTTATTTTTATTTTTAGCTCAAATGCTACTCAGGTTCAGGTATTAAACTTTTTTACTTTTGTCCAAGATGATCTCTGTTTAGTAAGTATGCCGGCTGGAGCCAAGCTAATCCCGGTAGTTTTCCACAGGCTTTATCCTTCTTTGAACCAGGATATCTGGCTTTCTCTCATGGAGCTATATCAAGCCTGTGACATAACATACAGTAACTATAGACCTGTCTTAGCCAGATCCTACCACAAAGCCACTTTATGTTGCATGGACTCAGAGTTGGTATGCAGCTTTAGGTTAGCTTATAGCAGTGTTGTCTGCGTAGCCCACAGAAAGCCCTGAAAGTTCAGTGGCTCTGTGTTTGTGTTTTGCAGTGACGGCCGAGAGCAGCTGGAAGGTCAAGGTATCATCCAGGACAAGATCACAGTGTGTGCCACCGACGACTCGTACCAGATGACCCGTGAAAGGATGTCTCAGGTGGAGAAGGACAGCTGGAGCCGCTCCGCCATCGAGATCAAACCTGGCTCCACACATCCAAGTAAGAAAGGGCAAGATGAAGGGAAACCTGAATGTGATACATGAACAGATTTTCTCAAGAGACAGCATTTAGCTTTTTTAAGAGATCAAAATAAAGAGATGGACTTGTGACTTAAAAAATTAAATAATGACTCGCTTCAAATAAAATTATTGCTGTATTTATCGTGTGAACTCTAAAGTGGATGTCAACTTGCTTTTTAATTAAACCAGATAGACAGGTAGCACTTGTGGTTCAGTGAGTAAATCACACTCTTGTCTCAGGAATAATTATCTGTGGTGTGCCTTATTCCATTCTTTCTTCCATACTTGAATCTGGAGAGTTTTTAATGATAGCTTGGTCAAGCAAGCAGTTTCAGTTGTTAAATCTTCTTTCCTAAGGTAGAGAGCCAAAGGTCTTTCTTTGATTCAAATGCAAGATGTAAACGAAGAAGAAAAGTGGCTCAATTTTTTTCTCTCTTTTTTTTTTACCTAACTTCTTGACTTTGTCGGGTCACAAGCTCGGGCAGGAATCACAATCCAATCACACCGACGTTTTTCCACAACAATAAAAAAGTTGCTGCATCATTTGAATTCGACCGACCGTTTTCTTTCATCATTTGCCATGAGTTTTCATGTGTTTTCTTTAATCCTGTTGATCAAGCATGCCATACAGCACATTAATCATATGAGCAGAGGCATTGGCTGGCATGCTGTTTTCTTTTTTCTCCGCCCTTTTTTCTCTCTGCCAGCCTTTGCTGTGGTTATGCAATATTGTTTCTTGGCCCCCTGCGCAAGTGCTGCAGCTCTTGAGAGGCTGAAACTCTGGGAGGTTTAGAGCAGATTTAGACTGTGTGGATTGTGTAACGTCAGGTCTTTAGGTGAAGATGAGTCAGAAATGTATATGTCTGCAGGGAAACATTTAATAACTTCACTCTATGTCCCTCCTTCAGCCCCAGGAGGGGCTCTCGAGCACAGTGCACAATATCAGGCATGCCAAAACCTATAGAGCACAATCCTGACTCTCCATACTCTCCATACTGCATTTCTTACATAAATCTTTGTGTTTTTATACCGATTAACAGCTGCAAGAGGACTAATGATACAGCACTGGGTTATTATCATTTGGCTGGACATACTTTTGTGGTTGAAAGGAAAGCCTTCTTTTCCTGTACCTCTTCCTCTGGCTGACCTTCAAAGCGCAGATTAACCTGTAACGGGATTAGCACGGAGAGATAGCTTTCACTGCTCCAACATGCCCCACCTGTCTCCAACAGAGATGTAAGCAATGATCAATGGGCTGTTTACATCTGGAGACACACAGCTGCAGGCCAGTATGTGCATGTGATTCGATGGTAAAGGTTAGAGGAAGGTTCTCTGGTGAATATTTCTTTATCACTCAGATGATTGTCAAGATACCTGCCCAAAGATAGAGAGAAAACATGCAGCTTTAAGTGGTTGAATCTGGCTGACTGTGTCTCTTGTCGGCTTGCTTTTTTGTTCTTCCTTTTAAATGCACATTTCCCTGAGTTCTTGTGGGCTTTGTCCTTTATCAAGGGCAAAAGAATTTGTTCCAGTTGGCCTAAATTTAAGTTTCTCTAAATGTCAGGAAATGGAGAATGGATGTCTCATGACTTACTGAGTCATAATTAAAGGATATATTAAGGATGTAAAATGCAAAGCAGCACATAAATGTAAAGACGACCACCAAAAACTGTTTACCTGTATATTTTTTTCACTCATCTTTTTCTTTCTGTATATTTTTGTTTTCAGATAAATGTGTCAAGTTCAACAAAAGGCCAGCTCCTCTTTCTTCTGGGTCAGAGAATAGTTTCTATAAGCCAGCCGCCAACAACCGGAGAAATGGTGCAGTGGCCACACCAAGTCTGAAGCCTTTGAGGGAGCGAATCATCCACCTGCTGGCTCTAAAACCCTTCAGGAAACCAGAGCTGCTGCTGTGGCTGGAAAGAGAAAGAGCCAGCCCCAAGGACAAGGCCGAGCTGGGTGCCATACTGGAGGAGGTAAGGAAAAATAATGTGTGTGAGTTTAGTGTGTGTGATTTTACTGCTTTAAATACAATATATACAATTGTTTTGCATAAATTTAACATCGATAAGGCTTATACAACCTCAATTACTGTCTGTACAAAATGTGCACAACTCAAGAACATAAAAAGTACTCATTTATGCTTACAGATTTGTAGATATTTCCAGAGATTATTATATTTTTTCAGATGAGTCTGTTTGAAAAGTTAAATTCTGCTTTTTTGCCAGCAAGCACTCAGTCATGTAGTGAAAGAAACCAGGGACCCGCTGTGCTTTGCTTAAATTTTTGATCTAATTTAGAAAGGTTTACTTCATGTCAGTCACTGTATCCATGTGGTTAACTGCCTAAAAGGTTGTATGTTTATTTTGTCATCTTCCATGTGTGCACGTGTGTCTGCTCCTGTGCTGATGTGTGTCCATGCATGCATGTAATTAGCCTGTGGGTGTAATAGTCTCTGCACAGATTGTGTTATAGTCGGGCTAGTCTCTCATGTCATCTGTCAGATGACATGAGAGAGGGGGTCGGTCCCTGAGACTGAGCTATAAACAAAACCAAAGAAAATCAGGGTTTTTGTCAGGGATGCGGTTGTGACACTTGCAGTGAGTCCTAAGCCCCATGACATGGTTGTTATTTGGCGCAAACATTTCTAAAACGAATGCCATTAATACCGTAATTATACTGTGTGTTCAGTGGTTGGCCTCAAAATGAACAGTTTGTAGTCTCATCATGTGGTCTATTGTGTTAAAGGTGGCAAAGGTCAATCCCAGAGACAGCAGTTTCCTCCTGAAGGATGACTTCTACAGACACGTCCAGAGGGACTGGCCCAGCTACAGTGAGGAAGAAAGACAGCAGATCAGCCGGCTACTGGCCAGGTGGGTCAGACGCACGAGATAAACCAGACGAGGGTGCTGTTAAAATAAGCTGATAATTAAATCTACCTCTCTGGTTATACCACCTGTGTCTCTTAAAGGCTCAAGGGCCCAATCTAAAATGTGTTGTCTAGAGCACTACAGTGTGAAGTGAATCAGAGCATTTCTGACCCCTTGTTGGTAGTTATATTCATATGCTTTCTGGTCCTTCAAGACACCATCTCAACTCACTCTTTAGAACAACACACCCGGAGGGACAAACTTTGGGGCAAATTCTCTTGCACTCGACAAGAATACTGGGAAGTTGGAAAATAATCATGACACTTGCACTGCACACTGAAAAAACTTGGACTGGATGTTCGATAGGGGAAAATACTGTCAAAGAAAAGGGAATTTAACATGCTCTTTTTAAAAATTCCGGTACAGTGTGTCTCTCTCAACTTTGGGCAGGCAGTGGCTTCAGTTTTTTCTCTCTCAATGACATTTTCTTCCCACACTCTACAGTACAGTTTTTAATAAACTCCCAGGGACACAACATGCCTGTACTTGCTACACAAGAAATCTGTTTCATATTAATGCTCAGCTTTGGTGTGGTGGCTATGGAATTATGAAATAACATGTTTCTGATTCTCACTTCTCTATCTTATTTCTGTCCGGCCTTTCTCTTTGTTGAGCAGAAAGTTGCAGCCGCAAATCAGTCACCAATCAAAGAATTCTCAATCAAATTCATCAACAACAAAGACTCTAGAGGAAACAATACTAAATCAAAGTGCAGTTAAAAATTCTGCAGTGGTAAGTAGCCTCTTTGTTTTGTTTTGTTTTTTTGCTTTGCTTTTTAGCCTTTTGTTTTTTTTATTGAACTGCTTATTTATATATATATATAGTTAGTATACATTATTTATGTTTGTTTTCGTGACTGCGACCCTTCACATTGTACAGGCGAGGTCGGTTAGGGCCTGTGTTCAGTTTTGGCACTCCGTTTTACTCTGGTAGTGCCCACAAACTTACTTTTAAAGTGCCCTTTAATGGTTCTTGCTGTTGCTAAGTTATGACAGTTGTCCAATTCCTCTTCCTGTAGCAGTGGCTGAAGTCTGTTTTACGTTGCTCGGTATGTCTTATATTTGCTTTAATGTAATGTAATTCTACAAAGAAAACAGTCAATAATCTGAATAATAAAACATCTGAATAATGATAGACATTATGTTGTTGCATTAGCAGCAGCTCTAGACCTGAAAACCGCTCAAATTCAAAGGAAATCTGTGGTTGTTTTTTTCCTTCATTTAAACTTTTGCTATTGTTGTCAAAGTTGATGTCAAAAGGCCCACCCCATGTTGCTTCTGACTAGTCAGTGATGTAAGATTTTACATACAGACATTAACAAGCAGGGGTGATGTTACATAAGTGTAACTTTTTTCAACTGAGAGCATTGAGCTAGGAGAAAAAAAAACAGCTGACACTCAATACACCGAACTGATAATGTGCTGTTAGTGGACACCGGCCTAAAAAGGTCAGGAGAGGTATTTTGTTTACAGTCTAACAGATTTCAGCTTTATCCCGGGGTCCCATGGTTACCTTAATGCAGTATTTTTGCACATGTTACAGGATGAAGACTTATTTTTTTTGTTTCTTTTTCCAGAAACGTCCAGTGCCTTTTGACTCATCGGAAAGGCTAGCTATTAAGAAACAAAGACTTGTGGATCAGAGGTTACAACAGCAGCACACAGGAAATGAACTCCTATCCAATAAAGGACAAAACTGTGCAGCTCCTACCCTCAGCCCCAGTTTACACACAAAGACTGAGTTTCAAAGAACAAGTAACCTTACTGGTAACCAGAATGGCTTACTGGGGGGACACAATGGCTTTCCTCTAACGCACAAACTGTCGAGCATGTCTGACGCACCTGTTTCACAAAGTAAAGAGCAGGAGCCCAAGGTAGGCAGCCATCAGCCTCCACAAGGTGACTCTGACTGTGCTCACCAGCAGCTCACGAACAGCCAGCACAAAAAGAAGAAATCTAAAAAGCACAAAGACAAAGAGAGGGAGAGGCATAAAGAGGACAAGAGCAGTGAATGGATAGAGACGAGTCCTGATCTCAAGAAGAACCTGGACAAACTGGACAGTAAGACTCTTTTCTTTCACTGGTATTCATAGGATGAATATATCTGGATACGCTTTTCAGGGGCAGTATGAGAGTTCGGGGATTTTTTTCATTGCTTTTACTGATTTTTTTTCTCTTTTGATAAATTTTAATGTCTACTCTTCAGCTCCCTTCAAAACAAAAGCCTAAGCATACCCACCTAGGTTAGAAGACCATTGTATGTGGGGCCTTACATCCAAGAGACCACTGGTGTATTCATACAATATACCTCATGAGCGTGTGTGCATGTTCCCTGAAGTTCCCTCCCTTGAGTCCTGAGTGTGTTATGTGGCTGATTGACTCAACAACAGCCTGAGCAGGGCCTTGGGTCTCTGAGCTGACATGTCTCTTGATACCCTCAAGTTCTACTCTGCCCACTAAGTTCTGCAAAACAAAAACACATGGCTGAACACTCAGGCAATGACAAAGTGAAATATCTGAACTGGCTCATCTCCAGCTCATGTTATCATCTTCATCTGGTCCTTTTTGTGTTGCAGATCCTGACATCACAAATACTGTGGTCTCTGAGGAGAAGCCCGATTATGTGATGTGAGTGTAAAAATGTGCTTTAAATCATTTTCATGTTTTTTATTCCATGTGATTTCAAAGTTTTTGGATTAATTTAAGATAGTTTGGCCAGTAAAATATTAGAATTTAATCAGGAATTAAGAATCAGTAGATTATGGCCTTATGCTGCCATCTAGTGTCAGACAGTGGTACCATATGAAAAGACATGTAATGGTCCTCTTCAGAAAACAGACAGCTAAGTGAGTCTTTGTTTCTCTTCACAGCACATATGGCACAATACTGAGTTTGGAGCAGCGTCAGCGGTACCAGGAGGATTTCTGCGCAGAGTACGATGAATACAAAGACCTCCACTCCCGCATCGCCACAATAACTCACATGTTTGTTCAGCTTGGCTCCAAGATAAAGAGTTTATCCCCTGGTACTCCAGAATATAAGGTACACACTGAGAACACGGCTAGTTTTGATCTGATACTCAACTGATTAGCGGTGCTAAGTTGCCGTCATGTCCTCACATATTAACAATATAGTTATGTGTGTTTTAGATAATGGAAGACCAAATACTGGAAAAGTACAACAAGTATCGTAAGGTATGTTACACAAGTTATTCTGTTGAAACCTCAAGAATCTTTAGTTGGCTTTTACATTTAACACATTCACAGACACATATTGTACTAAGTATAAAGCTGATGTAATACAATCCCTGCTAATACTTTTATTCTGAAAGTGTTAATAAAGTGCATTTTGAAAGTCATTTTCTTAGTTGTTACCTCAGAGAAATATATCAGTGTGAATAAAATGGGAAGGGTGCAGCAGAACTTTTGAGCAAATAAAACTAATCAAATTACAGTAATGAGTTGAATTAATCATTTAAAGATGTAAAAGAAAATTTTACACAGATTAATTTCAGGATCACATTCGAACAAAACCCTTTGAATCTAAAAACAGCCACTGACCAGTGTTTAACATAAACTCTGTTATGATGTTTCAGTGGTTTAATAATCATGTCAATATTTATTGTGTTTTTTTTTCTTATTAATTTCAGAGAGCTCAGCAGACATCCAAAAGTCCCTCATGGCAAAATTTTACCAAGCCAAATTTTTTTTTTCTTTTTATGTAATAAAATATTCACCAAAGTTTTGCAATTTTACTTCTACTCCATTAGTAGTATTATATTGTGTTTTTGATGTTAAATACAAAAAAAAAGAATCAAGCACAACTAGATGGCGAGTCAACTATGTGGTGTGGTCATCGTATATTGGCCATCGGCTGAGTTGCTCTCTGTTTATTCAGTCTTGGCATTATCTGATGAAAAACTAGTATCAGTCGACCACTCATAAATATTCTGAATACTTTATATTAAAACAATTGTGTTTCTCCCCTCTACAGAAATTCCCAGGCTATCGGGAAGAGAAGAAACGCTGTGAATATCTCCATGAAAAACTGTCCTACATCAAACAGCTCATCGTGGACTATGACATCTCTCAGGCTTCATCATAGCGTCAGATTTCCCCACAATCGCCTGTTTTGCATAAACAACATGGGCATCAAACAAGGGACTTTTACTGAGGGTGATATAAACAACATACATCAGTACTGCTGGAACCACGGATGTTGCTGAGGAACCAATAATACAGATCAGCACCTGATTTTATTCTTATTTTTTTTTATTTATGGGTCTGAATGTTAAAAATGTTTTCTTTGGAGGTTTTCTGTTGATGAGGAACCTTCAACTGAGAAACCAAAAAATGAGATCCTGGAAAGAATCACAGATAACAGAGAACTTCTCTGTAAGTGTCAGCCATTATGTTAAAAATGTGTTCAATGGCTTTTGATCTTAAACACTTGAGTAATAAGTTCTGGGCAAGTTTTCCCTTTTGTTTTCTTTTTACTGTATACATTTCAAGAAGCAGCGGTAAAAGAGTGTTACGTTTTCAATTTAATATCATGATGTCTCAGTACTAAAATCTGACTAGAACAGCCCTCCCAAAAAACTGAAATGTTGCAACTTTATTTACTCAGATCCAGATTCAGTCTCCGTTTATTTATATGCAAATGTTTTAGATTATCCTGCTTACTGTTGTTGCAATTTCCCTCAAGGTTTCAAGCATTTGAACTTCAGGGAAGACTATCCCAAAGTGAATCAGCATCAAGGTACTGAAACATGGTTGAAATAAAATCCCTGAAGATGTCACCTTTTTACTGTAATTATGGAGAACAATCTCACCCTCTGGCAGAAAATATTTCTGGGGTGCAAAAGTGTTAAAATTGATGTATTAACCTGGAGATAGATGCAATGAGGCAGTAAAGAGATCCTACTTTTCACGATTGAGGCAGATTTCAGACCTCAAACCCAAACTTTTGAAGCATCTGAACTAAACAAGAAGAAAGTTAGAAAAGACAACACTAGTTTTCTAATGTCTCAGGAGCTGCAGGTTCCTGCTGTGTCCTGACTGCACTTGTGTTTTAAGTATTTATTCACAACATCTCTTTTCATATTAATAACTGGTAAAAAAAAAAAAAAAGACCAACATGATTCCAGACAAAATTCCTCCCTAATGTAATTACCAAACTGTGAATTGGGTTAAGTGTCTTTCTCTCAGGTTTTCTGGTTTTCATTGGAGCGACTGATATATTCATTTAAAGCCACTTTCTTCTGTTTAATCTGGATTGTGTGCTCACTTTGAAGTGTCAGCTCTTCAGATCAAAGATTTTGTGAGTGGAGAGGAACAAAGGTCGTGGGTTTTTTTTATGTCTATTGAGCTGACACAGTATCCGAGAGGGTTCCTCTCCTAAATCCTTTAATCTGGATCTGAATTTTCACTAATGAGAGAAAAGCCCCAAAGCATTGTGGTAAATAACATATATGTTCTCACTTAATATGCATTGAAATTCAATGTTTAAACTTAGTAGTGAACAGTGATTGTTTCAGTCATCTTTATTTTTTGGAACATGCAGTCATAATGCTTTAAAAATGGACGTTATAGCCAGGTCTGGTACAGTAGTCCGGTCTTTCAGTTCACAGATATACATCAGTTCCCTGTTGTTTTTGCACTAAAGCCATGCCGAGAGAAAGAAATTTTTCACCTAAATTGTAATTTTTCGTTATGGTTACTTTTTTTTTATGTTATCTCTGTCAGCGAAGTAAAGCCTTAAGAAGACTCTTTTATAGGACAAAATCCTCAAACTGCTAACATCAACAAGGACTCCTCATCCACACACTCATCTGTTATCTGCCTTACATTACAGCGAGCTTTTCTTTAGTTCTCTTTTCATTTTACCTCTTCGACTGATGCCAACAGTGACTTTCTCACACATCTGACTACTTTATGGAGGATGTACTTCATAATGTTGTTTAAAAAACATATTACACAGGTTTTTACAGACTGTGACAGCAGAGTTTACTCATTGTTTGAATTTGTAACCTCTCTGGTACTTACAGAATTCATCATTAAGACAGGTCAGGTATTTATTTGTAGGATTCACTTAAGAACACAGACCAGCTTGGTTGGGGGGCCAAAATCTTGAATGATTATACAGTTCAAGCACATAAAATATGCATTGGTTCAGGCAGCAGGGGATTATCAGTTTGGGGGAAACAGACATTATAGTTTAAAGTCGTTGTTTGAAGACCATGGTTTTTGATTGAGAATAATACAAGAATCAGTGGTCTTCAGGTTCTAATGTTTCATAAACTCTACTCTTTGCAAGTCTTATTTTCAAGCAACAATAAAAAAATTCATAATATATGTTGTGGAGTCACGCTGGAAATGTACAGCCGAACCAGCTAGCACTGCACAGGAGGTGTTTTTTTATGTGTACTATTTACATGCTAAAGGGAAAGCTTAGCCCCAGAGGACTCTTTATGAACTGCATTTTACATATGTACACATTTTTCCTGTTGCACAAGGTTCAAAAGAATAAAACATCAAAGTGTCTTTGCCGTCATTGTCATCACGTAATGAGCCTTTCTCTTTGAATTTTCATGCAGGTAATCTACTTCATTCACTGGTCATCTTTTACTTTGCTCACAATTTCTGTTAAGCTGTGCAGTTGCCTGCAATTACATGGTAAATATTGCACAAACTGGAACACTGACAATTTTGGCTTGCAAATATAAATAGTTGAAGTGCTTAAGTGCTGAAGTGCTATGGTCTTAGAAGAGCAAAATTGTGCTGCACAAGAACTCAACATTGCAATGAAATATTTGTACCCTCAACAGGTCCCCCAAAGACTTGTAGGCTGAGACTCAAACAAAAATTTAAATACAATTTCTAAAACACTTTCATGGTATATTACTAGAACAGCTCTCATGTTGTACGGCAGTAAAATATGAGCGTAAAAAAAGTTTTTAAAAACGATGGGGAGAGAAATGCTGTTATTTTTGTAGAATCTGACATCCTGGAGTTGTTCTTATTTTCTGTTTTTTTCTGTCTTCAGAAAAAAGGTTTATGAATAGTTTCTAAAGATATTAATAACTTGGACTGTTCATAACTAGAACTATGGCTTCACATAAGAATTTGAGTTTGTTTAAAAACAGGCTTGATCTATTCTCAAATTAAGGTAAGGTAAATGTTTAAAGCATCAACTGCAGACCAGCATAAACTGCGTCATGTTGAAGCGCAGTGATTTTGTATGAAGGTCCATATGCAGCAGACGTTATCGGAATTCATTGAATCCATTACGGCTCTCCAAGCGTAGTTCATCAGACCTGTACAATTATCCCAGATTTCTCCCCATAATAACTCTGAAACAAATCATAGGTTGATGATAGTGACATGGATTCATTACCCAGCTGGAGTTTACGGCAGGTTTCCATGGAGACGCTGTCGTCATGGCACCAGTGTAAACCTAGGTTCCCCAACAGTGCTCGCCAGAGCTGCTTCAAACTGTTAAAAACTAAGGTAAGATTACATTGACTGCGTCCAGGTAGTAATTTAAGTAAATTTATGAGTTTTTAGCCCAGCTTTTCATTGTTTACTCTTAAGTTTGCTTTTTCACATACACTTTAACGTGCCAGAGTCGTCACTAGCGTTAGCAGGAGCTACTGTCACTTGTGCAATTTCGGTCGAAATTAGACGTCATTTCGACGTCCAATTCTTACGTCTTGTGGACGTCCAAATCGGACGTTGACATGACGTGCAATTTCGGTCGAAATTGGCCGTCGAATTCAGGTCCTCTGGAGGTGCACTGGACGTCCAATCGACGTCTTATTGACGAAATTGGCCGTAGAAATCAGGTCCTCTGGAGGTGCAGAATGAGTTTTTTCGTGATCTGTGCTGCGTCCGAACTGCCCGCTCGGATACTACATGCTACTGCTACGTGCTACTGCTAGATCCTACTCCTATCAAGACAGCTATGTTTACACTCATTCTGTTGGTTTGCAGGGATGCACAGCATCTTGAAATATATACACTAGTGAGAGACAAAACTATGTGTGGCAAGGGGGTGCTATTTTATTTAAAAATAGAGAATATTGTCTCCAACCAGCAACGCCACCTGGGGACTTGCACCCCAGGAAACTGAACTTTCAAACTAAAACAGGAAGCTAAAATAAGGATAAAGGCAACACAGGTAAGTTCTGAAGAGGCAGAGACAGAGTTCAAAATATTTCAAAATGTTTATTAGATAAAAAAAATGAAGTTAAACGTAAATATAACAGAAATTTAACCTAGGTGGGAAAGAAAGGGATAAAGTTAAAACAACATAACAAAACACAGATAAGGGGCAAGAAAGTTAATTTTATTTCTATAATAAAATTTAAAACAAGGCCTTCTACAAAAGTTAAAAAGTACAATAACCCAAACTTAAACTAAATCAAAGAAACCCAAACTAAGTTAACTTAAGATAAGCTGAGGCCACCAGAAGGGAGGCAGACTACAGAGGGAAAGTGCAGGGGGTGCTCCCTTATACTCACCAAGTGAAGCACAGCACACACACTGCAAACCTTCAACAAAAGAAACAAAATCGGTGTAGTCTTGTGACCCGGTGTCAAACTCATGCAAAGGTGGAGGGCCCTCACCCGGGGTGCCTAGCCTCCCAAACTAGTGGGCTCAACCTCTGAAATAAAATAAAAGGATTAACCAAAGAAACAAACAAACAACCCAGCGAACCCAGTTGGTAAAACTAGAGGGAACTAAGGAGAAAAGCAACTAAGGGTAACTAAGAACAGAATGCAAACTAATGGGGGAGTAACTATGTAAAACAACCAAACTTAGAAGTAGAAACAAACCAAGTAAGGGGGGAAACCAATCAAAAGGGCAGAAACAATCAAAGTAAACAGGCAAAAATAACTACAATTAATGGGGGCAACAAAACAGCAGCAGGTCTACCACCTACAAACAAAAAGGACATGCTGTTAAAACCAATCATAAAACTCTAAAGATTAAAAAGTTACCAGCCACCCTACTCACCAGCACTCTGAGCAGATCATCGATAGCTATGTTTACACTCATTCTGTTGGTTTGCAGGGATGCACAGCATCTTGAAATATATACACTAGTGAGAGACAAAACTATGATTGCCTTGATGTAGTGATCTGAAATATGAAAAACGGCTCATCTTACCCCACTCTCCCCTTCAGCTCTGAAGTATTTATTCCCCAGTATTACTGTATTAGCTACATGTTGCTGTCGACCTTTAAAAATCAAACTTTACTACATATTATACTATCATTCATTCATAATGCTTTTTCTTCTCTATGGGTGTGTCTCTGTAGTATCTAATGTAAGAAACAGTAACCTACAGTGTCTAGGCAACACCATTTCTCTACAACAGCACTTCTCTCAGTACCAAATGTATGTCTGAGTGTCTATACCTGTAAAAATATATGTGTGAACTCTTCTAAAACACTGAAAAAACTTGTAAATTAAAAACTCTTTCCTTCTTGTCCCCCTTTAGTAATCTTGAATGAAGACCAGGATGTCGAGGTGTAGCACAAAAAGTACCCCAGAACCAGAAGTGCTGGGAGCTTGCAAAACAGAAACTCCAAGAGGGGAAACGCTGACTCTCCAGCTGTCCGTTTCAGCACAGGTAGGCTCTTAGTGTGAAGTTAGATTTTGTATTCAGTGAACAACAAAAGTATGATATGCCATTTTTAAGCAAAATTAACTCTGAAGTGTGGACTACCCAATGTGAAGTTAGACCAGGTTTATTCATTGTGTCCAAAAGTCTTTAAGGAGACAGAGCTCTCACCTTTTACTCTGCTAATGACATTATTATACATTTTTTAAAATTAATACATAGATTTTCTAAACATTTAATTTCATGTTGTGACTTCTCTTACCTCCTAGCTTCCACAGGGCACAAACTGCCTTGCGTGCTCTGAAGACGGCATGTATCTCAGCCTAGGTCATTCCCGAGGTTTGTCTGTGTGGTGTGCTTCTTCTCTCAGCTGTGTGGCTGAGTGGCTGCAGGACACCCTGGAGATCACAAACATTCAGATGTGCAGAATGGCTGAAGCAGTCTATCTGCTCAGCACTGTCGATGACATGGGTGGGTAACATGCATATACTGTATTTTATATAACCAGGAACCCTTGCTTTCCTTGCTTGAAACCAAAAACCTATAAGCTTGTAAAATGAAACCACAAGAGATTTCTAGAAAATGTTGAAACAGCGAGGAAAAACTAGCCCATCATTCCAGTTATCATCTCCTACTTCAGGTGTTGCCAGAGTCTTCATATACCACTCTGAAAGAATTCACCTGCTCAGTGTTATTAACGTCATGGTAGGTATTTTCAGTGTTTTGTTTGTTTATTTTCGGCACTGGATTTGTGTAACATAAAAAAACACTGCATTAATCTAAACTGTTCCTTTCACTTTGACAAGATGACTTTACATGTTTGTGAAAAGAATACTTTAATTGGTCTGTCATTTTTATTGTTATTTATTTTTTTATCAATCTTTGGCGGAAAAGTAAATGAAACCTTTAAAATCTCTTTATACTAGGAAAATGTGAATAAAAGGAGCATCTGTTTGGCTTTTGAGCTGTCTGAAGGTGGGCTTTATGGAGTTGCATCACTAAAGTGTAAGTTAGTATTTTACTTTATGTTTCTGTTTTTTAACACATTTAGTAACTTTATGAAAGACTTCAACTTCAAATACCATTTCTTCACATTTCCTATCAGGCAGTGGTGATGTTTGGCTTGAGATCTATCACTTCCCCACACAAGCATGGCTGAAGGAGTTGGAGAAGGAATCATCAAATAACCAGGTGATAACTGTAAGGCTGGTTTACCATTGGTGCAACATTTTTGACAATTTAGAAATGAGAAAATCTAAATATCAGAGGGTACGGAGTAAGGACTAATGCTCACAGAAGCTTGGACTGGAAGCTGATTAAGAAAAGCTCTTGCATGCCTGGTTTTTGGTTTGACTATATTGAGTCTTTTGAATTGCTGCCAGCATTATTATGGTCAATAGAGTATGACTTTAAATACTGTGTAATGTAGTAAAATATTTTAAGCACTTGGATTGTTTTTTTAATCTCCAGGACCAAAACTTGTCTGGAAATGTGGATTTAAAATGGTCTCCAGTTGAAGTCAGTAAAATCAAGCCACCCAAAACTCCAGCAGGTATAAAATTTATACAGAGCAAAAGTGTTTTCTATAGTTTGATTAAAATTACACAGGACAGTATAGTTCTCGTTTGTGTAGTCATTTATGTAGAAGTTTCTGTGCAGGGGTGCTTACACCTGTTACAAGCAGACTTCCAGCATTTTTCCTCCTGTTTTACAGGGCTGACATTGCAGAGTCCTGATAAGGTTTTGAATAAGACTGACTTTTACATGCACTGCCTGTCCCTGGACATAGAAACAGAAGGACGGCCTTTCAGTGAGCAATCGGGAAAAACAAATGCAGCAAATGGTAGCTACAGGTAAATTTAAATGACATCATGCCATAGCTGAGCTACTGATAACAGCTCTGTTACTTTTATGTGCTATGATAAACTAATTTACATTCAAAATTTAAATCCATGACATATTTGATTGTTTTTGCTTCCATACATCCGCACTAATGAAAACTAATATATGAAAATTAAATTATAAATTATTTAAGTCACCAGATCTAAAAATAAAAATGCTGAAGCTGTTTTTTAATTTCTCATTTTAGCCTCACTGAATTTTTTTACAGACATTGCACTCACCACTTTCTCTTGCCATGTGGTCAGTTTCCTGGTGACAACAAAACAAACTCTAATCGAGGTATGTGATTGAAGAGGAAAGGTTTCTTTAAAAAATGTTAAAATACTGGTTCTTGTTGAGCCTTTTGTTACTTTGAGAAAACATCAGATTAAAGAGAAAACTTTTACTGTGTCAGCTGATCTCTATCGATTTGATCTTGTTCTTCCCTGATGCAACTGTGCACAAGTTTGCCCCGCCTGTACTTCATTAATGTCATCCTAAATCCCTGATTCTTCCTCCGCAGGATCACCTGTTGCTGTCTGTGTTTGGTGGAGTGGCAGCCATAATCTACTTCAATACTCACTTAAGAATAAACCAGGTAGGGTATGTATGTTTTTTAGAGGTGAATCCAAACCACTGTAAAATACTGCTTATACTCAAACGTATTGCTTTTTTAAGGGCAATCAATGAGGCTTTTCATCATTACTTTTTCAACATATACATATCGTTGTTCTGTTAGATGGTCAGGCCTCAGAGTGCTCTGATAACCAGGATTTCTTTACTTTCCTCATATAGTCATAAAACCCTGTGATATACACAGAGCCTTCTACTCTATCTTTGTACTGCTCCACTCAGGTGTACTTTTCACATTTAGGTTTCAAGTGGTGTCAACGGATGCTAGGATACTTAGCATGTTACATGCTGATATTGAAGCCTAATTTAGGTAATGTAATGCATTTACCAATACTTTGGTAAATGCATTATATGATGCATTATAAGATGTTTAATTTGTCATCACATAATGAAGGCAAGAAGAACTCTTGACAACCCTCACCACATGAAGGGTTCACAGAGGTAATAACCCAATGCAACCTTAACCCTAACCCTATCCTACAGGCAGGTTTGGTATTGCTTACCAGTTGAATACTTCCATAAAAATTTAAGGCCAGTATTGAGCACTTGAATTTCCTCAGTCAACTGTTTCTTTTTTTTTTTAAGCAAAAAACATGTTTTTGATCATTACGCTTTTACTTTTGAAGCAGATGTTGAACCCATCCCTGATATGATATGGCCAAATGCACAGGAAATCCTCTGCTCCGCTGTTAGCACATGCACCCGTTTCATCGCTGTTGGGCTTAAGGGTGCCATGCTGTGTGTCTGGGATAGGCAATCTGGTAAGGTACTTTACAGCCACACATTACTTTGAGCTGGATCTTGTGTTGACAAATATTTGCATAGTCTCTAAGTTTTGTAGTCCTGATGATGATGGTCAATTTGCTTGCGGAGGGAGATAAAACACCTTAGTTTGTGCATGTGAGCCACTTACACGCTGACAGTTGTTTGTGCTTGTTAAGTAAATGAAATAATCAGTGTTAAAGTTTAATTCTCCCACTTTGCATTTCTTCTCTCTCCCTCAGGGGCTCCATTAGCTGTTGTCGTAGTTTCAGCAGCAGATGTGTTCTCCAAAGTGCAATTTTTAGATGATGGGCCAGAGTCTGCTGATGATTGTCAGTCGTTAACTGCAGCAGAGGTTTCTCTTCTGCTGGTTTGTAAAAGCGGCATTATTCATAGAGTCTCGGTAGGACGAGGAAAACAACCCTTCACAGTTCAGCTCACTGAAAGGTTACCTGAGTTTAAAGTTTCCATTCTTAACATGGGCAACTTTTTCTATCTAATGAATTGTTATGTGGTTGTCTTCTAAAGAAACATTTTCACACCTTTTTTCCCTCATTCACTCAGGCCAAAAGACAATAGGGACCTAATAACCGTCACAGCCTCAGTACCGTTCCTGCAGGGTTTGGTAAAAACAACACAGATGATTGCAAAAATGTTAATTTCCTTCTGGAAAATGATTTTCTATCATAACCACAGTATGATTACCCTCAAATCTTTTATGTCTCTTTTCTGTCCTACACTAGTTGCTCATGGTGCAGAGAAATGGAAAAATAGTCCTCCAAGATGTGACCTGCCAAACTAATGTGTGCTTCCTTATTCCTACTGCATCTCATCTGATTACTACTCCCTGCAGCCCTGTTTATACTCTGAGCACAAAACAGCAAACTCTCTTCATACAAGGTTTTTATTTTTTGGCTGTTTTGCATAATAAGCGCTTTGAATTTCAGGGCGCATGAGCTCTGTTAGTTTGAATCATTGTGCTTTTTCAAGCCTACAATTTCCTTGAACTAGGTCATGGGAAATCATGCTACCATTTCTAAAACTTGTATGTGTTTCGCAGGTGACCCGAAGCCAAGCTGCAGTTCACTGTCTGAAGGAGAAAGCCAGAGTCAGCTTTTTACCTTCCATTTTGGAGATTCTGACATCGTTAAGAAGTTTATTATTTCCCTCCCAGATTCTTCACAACTACAAACTGTGAGCTGTGTCAACCTGGAAGAAAGCTGCAACCTCTACCTTGAGCAAAGGTAGAGAAAGACTCTTTTTTTTCTCAGTTCTTTTCCTCTCAGGGTTACAGACTTTACCGATACAGACATACAGAAGCTTTGCATATGTGTTACCCAATCATTTTTGCAGATTTAGCTGAGTCCGATGTTACAGACTTCTGTCCCAAGCAGAATTTTACAGTTAGTGAGTGTATTTTGTCTTTCAATCTGTTTCCATTTGAAGGGCGCTGTCTGTGGATGAGCGGCACAAATCTGTAACAGATACATGGAAGAGACTTCAGGAAACTGCACTGGCATTACAGCAAGAATGCAGCAGATCTGCAGCCAGCTGAAGAACTGCAGCAAATGTTTACGACTGAAGTAATTTTATATGTAGCATCCAGCATCCCTATTAGACATCTCATTGTTCTACTGCCATATTGCTCTCATGACAGCAACACAAATGGAAATTTCCATTTGTGGAATTCTTATGTTCTGCAGGACTGGAGGACAAGGATAAATAGATATAGTTTGGGGATAGTTTTCAGCTTGAAAATTAGCCCTAGAAGTATGTCTGAATTCCAGATTCTCATTGGCTGTGGAGGATGTACCATTTAGAGTAGTGATGAGACAACTACACTGTACGCTGTTCACCTGGTTCTGTACTGATTAAAACATCATTTCCAGTTGATTCTGTTGTGCCAATAAATGCAGTCAGTATTGACTGACTCTTACAAATCAAAGAAAAATGAACATCTTAAAGTCATCAATCTTTAATGCGGCGATCAATGTGTTGAATATTAAGCAAACAAATCCAAACTGATTGTGTGCTTTAAATAATGAGCACAACATACAAGGAGATTTCAGTGAAATTAATAAAGACATGGTTTTAATTAGAGCAAACAGTAAATGTTGAAACAATGAATTTTGGAGAAAGCAGTCACACAATATTCTAACATTTTATTGCTTCCTCTGAGATTTTGAGGATGCATAGGTTGCATAAATCTGTTTCCACTAATGATGGTAAACCAAAGTAGGATAAACATAAATCAAATAATTGAAGAGTATCTCTTAAATTATTGTCACTTTTTTCTGAGTCAGTAATATTTCACATTTACAGATATGACCACACACCAGCAACATAACTTCTTAAGATAAACTCAAAAGAGATTAGAGGTATGATGCTGATAAATTGGTCATGACATTGCTGAATAACACATTTAGTTATTTGTATCTCTGGTGCTCCCGGGCTGTTTCTGATATGTATTTATAAAGATGAGAATATTCAGCTTGATGGAGGCCGGGCTGTTTTTAGTCATGGTACGTTAAGATTTTGTTGCCTTTGGGATCCTTTAATGTTTCATATGTCAAATCTGTACTTTCAGAAGCTAAAATAGGACAGGGAGCAGAGTGTGTCTTTTAAGTAGTCACGACAAACATCTTTAAATAAAGTTTTAAACCCTTTTATACATCATACCTGGTACAAAAAAACTTCAGTAAGGGCTTTGACAGAGAAATTTGCATGACTTAAGTACAAAATTTTCCAAATATATCAGTCAATATTAAATGAAAACAGTTACAATATTTGTGTTTTATGGCCAAATTTTGTGACACAGTAGACTAAAATAATTTCTTCATGAGCACTAAGTATCTATGTCTCATCATTGCTTTGTAAAGGGACCAAGATGAAGATGAGCCAAGAGATTTTAATTTACCAGAGAGCATATTGTTCATGTACAACCAATCAGCAAAAAGCTGATTGAGTCATTTGTGCATCTTCTCATTGTTTGGCTCTGACTCATTAAGCAATATTGTCTTGTAGTTTTTTCCAGCCTCCACATGATAATTAATCTGTTCTGTTTTTGTCTGTCTTTTAATGAAAAAAAAAAAAACTGATACAGACTTAATTCTTAGTGAAAGCCTCATTTAAATGTCTACAAAGCTTCTCTGTAAATTAATGCCAGGGGGGCTGCATGTCATTGAGGGATGAAAGTCCAGGTGATCTATTCAAAGAGCTTGGCATGAGTTGCCGTCAAAATCACATAGTAACTGTAATTTAAAAAATCTTGAGAGAAAAATAAACCAGTGAACGGTGTCTCGAGATCAGCTGAGTATTTTCAGAGGGATAGACCCTCTGCTGTTAGTGTAGGCACGGCTTTTGGAGGCTTTCATGTTAAACTCTCCTTCATGTTTCATGTTAAACTATTTCTTCTTAACAGATTCACACTTTAAAAGGCTGTCTATGTCATTTATTTTTTAAATTAACATGTTTTCACTTTAACATGAAATATGCCAAAATCAAAAGATTTTTTTTTCTTCCAATTGACATATGAATTTTTGTTTGTTTGTTTTATTTTAGGAGTAAAAAGTCGAACTGATGGCTGCTGAAAACCTCTGAAGAGGATTATTTATGACACCAGAGCCAATTCCTCACTTTAACATGACAGTAGAAGTGTGCACTATTTTGGCTTTTCTAATCTTAAATAAATAAAGGATGGTTTCAATGCTGTTTCAGTTTTCACAAGTATTTCCAAGTCCACTGGTCACTGTTGGAAAAACTCTGTCTGATGTCAGGAAAATTAGCTTAAATTTACTCTCCTTTTTCTTTCCTTTCTGTTCAAAGTCATGAACTGAATATTGCAAACCTTTAAATTGTTTTGAGACATAACACTGTTTTAATTTTATGGAGTTTGGGATTATTTTTTCTCCCAATATGGACCAAGCAATCAGCAGGTGTTCAAAAAAGTGATTACATATGAGAATATTCTTCCTAGTTTGTATTTATGTTGATTTTTCACTCAGGGGTGTTAACGCATAGAAAGTCAAACATCAAAATCGCTGAGGTTTTGATCAGATAAGGTTTGTAAAACTCAGTCTTAAATGATCAGGCTAATTAGATTATCTGAGAAAGGCTCTGTACCTGAATTAACCTTTCTTACATGTTGTGAACAAAAGAGAAAGAAAATGCATTTTTATTCTTAATGTTTCAAGCTGGGGATAATTTAGTTTTCTGTTGTTGCAAAACATCAATTTATCATACTTCAAGGATAAAGACCCTGAATCATCACTGATGACAGGGAACCGTCTCCTCTGGGATCTTTTGGCCTCACTCTGTCTCTCACTGCAGACACAGAAACCAGACCAGCACAGAAATGACTTGGTATTGCGATGCAAAACAAAATTGCATCAATATTTCTTTTCAGATGGGTTTTCTTGAGTGTGAACCTTTTGTACTGTCTGAAACACATTTACAAAGACACTTCAAATCCTGGTAGAAACATGTAATTTGTGATGATCACAGGTTACAAATCACAGAGCACTGACCATTTCTCCAAAACGAGAAGCTTGTCTATTTAGTAATGTTATCTGTGTCTTCTCTGAAGAGCACTCTTCTCAGATGTAAAGTTCAGCATCTTCTGACAAATTGCAGTCATCTATTTTCTTTTGGCCAATACAACAACAAAACTAGCCAACATTACATGAATCAGTCAAGTATCACAATGACCAAACACATAACACAGTTAAATTGGTTTTAACACATTGACAGAAATGATTTAAGTCTCCGCCTGTACTCTCCTCAAATAATGCTCTCAGGGCCGGACTAGTCTGGATCTCTCTCTGCATCAATATTAAAAAAACTGCTTCTCTGTGATGAAGACTCTGTTTTGCTGTTACTAAACAACATGAACCTTTCCTGGCTTGGACTCACCTCCCTTTTCATTGGCAAAGAGTTAGCAGTGAAGGACAAAGAGTTGGCAGTGTAGGACAAAGATTCGGTTATCACTGTGTTGTTTTCCAGCTCTGATGACAAGGCGCTGTTGCAGTAATACTTCCGGAGCCCCTTGCTGAAGTGAATGGTGAAAAGGCCGTAGATGATGGGGTCTAGACAGGCGTTGATGAGCCCAAAGATAAACAGGATATGGGTCAGTGACTGTGAGACCTTTCCCTTCAGGTCGTCTGGAAAGAACCAGTACCAAAGACCCAGCAGGTAGTACGGCGTCCAGCATATAATGAAGGACAAAACAATCACAATGCTCATTTTAAGAGTTCTCATCCGTGCTTTAGGGATGTTATTCTTTGACCGGCGTAGGTGTACTTCATTTGGGAGTGCTATGAGCAGAATAAAGGATGGAAATGAAATATAATTAGAATGCTAATGGATGTCAGTACACATGAATCATGTCAGTACATATGCATGTACAAATACATATATATGTATTTGTTAGTTTGTTTTAAATATACTATAATATTTCTAGCAGATAAGTTCTTTTATTAAGACAGATTTTCATCTAACTTAAGATCTAGGTCAAGCAAATTGAAACCATAACATAAAATCACCTTTTTTTAAGTCAAAGATCCTTTTTATCCACTTGTTTTTAAGCATTTTTAAACACCCAAACTGAATTAAAGTTTATAATTCCTCATCACAGCATCTAAATTCTAATTGGTTGAAATCTTGTTACAACTGATTTCTCAACAACCTCGTGTTGCCGAGACAATCTGATCACAAAACAAATGACATAATTAATATGCAGGAAGGAGCCTGGTGTATTTCACCTCTGCTTGTTGACACCATGGCAAAAATGTTCCTTTCTATTTGCTGTTTACAACATGATGGATATCTTTATTTATAAAACACAGAGTAAGGTCTGGACCTGCTCTCTTTGTCAAGTATCTTGGGATGACATTTGCTGTGATTTGGCGCTTTATAAACAAAGATTGTTCATTCATGGATGTTTCTTAAAGCTAAAGAAGATGGAACTTTCTGTGCAGCCACTTATCCACACAAGAGCTAATCAATAAAATTATCCACACATTTTCCATATCTGAACTCACAGTTGCCTTTTCCCAGGTGCTTTGAGATCTCACAGAAGATCCTGGTGTAACAGGTGATCATGATGACCAGCGGCAGCAGGAATAGGCAGGAGAAAGTGAACATGTTGTAAGCTGTCTCATGCCAATGAGAGGAAAAACTTCCAAGGGTGGTACACTGAGTGAAGTCCTCCGGATGGACGATGGTAACATTGTGAAAAAGGAATAACTGAAAATAAAAAAATAAAAAAAACATTTATTTAATGTAAATATATAACTTTTTTTTTCCTATTAAAGTATACCCCTCCACAAAACAATCATGTGTTTGTCTTTTTTTTTTATCCCTTTGAATTTAACAGTGCCAGTTTGTGTTTCCCCAGGTTTGGACCCGTGTGTTAACTGAACTTTACAAAAAAGGACAAAAATACATTTTAATCATCAGCCTATGTGAGACGATTAGAGCGGTTAGGATGTTGGTGGATAGTTCACATCATATTTTTGTATCCGGCCCTGTCTGTGTGCTTAATGACAGGTCCTGGGTCTACCACATCTTTCACCATACAACAGCTGAGATCATGATAAGTGGTATAGATGATGGATTAAAGGAATAAATAATCTGCATTTTTTTGTAAAGACCATTAAAATTGCATAATGGCATGAAACACTGATTGCTTTTCTTTGTTTCTTTCAGGCTGGTGATTTGAGGACGACAGGCAGCCTCAAATATCATAAGCATTATTTATGAACCAGTCAAGAGTGTCCTTGTTCCCTGAAGCATGAAAAGACCACTTTCTCTTTGACAGCTTTTCATGAAAACCTGTTTCTTCTTTTGCTGAATGTAAATCAGAGCTGACCTCTGACCCATGTCCACAGCTTACCTGAGGGACTGACAGCAGGATACTCATACTCCATGCCACGATCAACATGACTCTGTTCCTTGTCCTGGCCTTACTGATAGCCAGAGGGTCCAGGATGGCTGACTGCCGGTCCAGACTGATCACTACGGTGACAAAAGCGCACGAGTACATGGCCTGTAGCTTGAGGAACATCAGAAACCTGCAGGCAAAGTCCCCTGCAAGCCACTGGACCGTGATGTTCCACACAGCATCCACAGGCATAACAATGAAGGTGACCAGCAGGTCAGCCACTGTCAGGTTGATAATCAGCACCCTGACGTGGGATTTCCGCTTCCTATCAGAGTGCGCCGCCCACAGGACCGCCAGGTTGCAGAAGGCTGATACACAGCAGAGAATGCAGGTGATGACGACTCTAACTTTGGCTGCCATGGTGAACGTTGGCAGCTGCAGGGCGCCGCCCCCCACAGTCCGATTAGCCAGGGGCAAGGAGATGTTGCAGCTGGTGTTCGGCTTGTGGTCTGTGGTCAGGTGGTACATGAGGGCTGCAGAGTCACACTGAGAGGTATTCATCTTCAGGTAGACACATTCCGCTCATCCAACCTGAAGATCAGCGCTGATTGGAGCAAGAAAAGGGAAACAGAGAGGGACTGGAGGGATGAGTCAGAGGCCATGAAGAGGCAGTAAATCGGAAGGAAGGAAATATAAACCTCTCAGGATAAATAGCACAGCAGCTCATTAAGAGAAGGCACTCCAAATCTATGAGCTTCACCTACACTGAAATTCATTGAGAGCTTCGCTTACATTGAATTTCAACAAGGTGGAAAGATAGTGTTGACAAACTGTGAGGGACAGATGTAATGGATACAGTCCACACTTTTTACACCAATTTTCTAACACAAATCACAAATAGTAATGTGCTGTTTAAAACATAAAAATAGATTAATAAAACAAGATTGTAAAAAAATATGATTATTTCATTATTATCTTTACTGACCAGGTTTCTTTCAGAGTTGACTATTTTCCTCTAATGATTTAACCCTTTAATGCCTGACACCACAAATTATGGCCAGAAAATTCAAACGTTTTGGGGAGTTGAAATGTTCATTTCACTTACTACTGAAAACCAAAATAATCAAAATGTCCTCAAAATTTAACAAATGTATTTATTTATCTTGTTTGATACATTAGATGTTTTTGGAAACTGAAAAACAACAAGAGGACATTTTTATCATTTATCAGACTATATTCAGGTGTTTTTTTAAGCAATTTGTTGATCATATTGATTTGATAGAAATATATAAAAGTAGTATCAAATATGATACAAAAGGCATTAAAGGGATAATCAAGACGTGTTAGATACACGCAGCACACTGAGAATGAAGATATTGGTCACAACCACTGATACTAGATATTGAGCTCACTATTAACTGTTACCTGCACATCAACTGCTTTTTCCACATCCAGACTTTTGAGATTTGACCTGATTTCCAATATTGATTGACAAAACCTGACACTTTGTGCCTTTAATCGATCCCAGATATTTCTAAATGTTATCCAGACATCAAAAATAGGCGGGCAACTCATCAGACAGATTGCATATTTAGCACATTTTCTAGTTATGCATTCATTCCCTATGATAAACTCCTCAATATTGAACTGCTCATGTGCTCTGCAGATTGCAATGTTAAACTGTGTTGATTTTCAGCAGAGAGAGCAGATTTACATGAATTCATATGCCCCACAATCCCACTACGTTTACGAGGAGTGTGCATATTGATCACTCTGTTCCTTTGTTTCCCATCTTTCATTCTACTTCTGCTTATTCTTCCAAACCTGATCAGACGTAAATCATGTTCCCTGTAACCTCAGACAACTGTAGGTGTCTCGTGGGTAAAAGCAAACTTACCGCCATGTGCAGGGGTGAGTTGTGCGTCTAGCCTTTCAAGCACGGGTTGGACCAAGGAATAACGAAAAATCCCAGCAGCGTGTTGCTGTTAGTGTCCACTTCTTGCTGTAAGTTCTATCAGAGCAGCTGGTGTAAGCTATCCACTTCCAACGAGTTCGAGCGCGTCCTGTGCGCTTCAGCCACTTTACCTCCATCCATATACCCATCACAGCCGCGTAACATACACCCAGGGGTGTGGTCTGACCCCATGCTCTCTCGCGTAACTCTCGGATTGTTAGAGGAGAATATAGACAAAAATTATTCTTTTAGTGATAGACCTTGATTTCCTAATTCTAAGAGATCAGTATGAGCAATAAATCACTTCACTCGAATTGATTTCTGACCCCAATGTGGGCTGTGTCTGTGCCTTGGGTATCCAGAAAAGCTTTCTCTGTTATATAAGGCATGATGAATGAGATATGATATAAATAGCTGAGACACAGAACTGCTTGGGGAAAACGTGGTTCTCTTAAACATAAGTTGGAGCTTTTTATTGGGTTTTTCTTGAGCCTTGCTACTGCTTGAAAAATGAAGCAAAGTAGCACTGTCATACTTGTGCATCTGACAACGTTCAAACTTTAAATATTAGGTTGAGTGCACTGTTGAAATTATTGACAAAGATTTCAAAAAGAAAGAAATTCCATTAATTTTATGCTTGAGTTATAGTCGCAAAGATCAACATCCCTGACCTTGTGAATTAAGACAAAGATACAGCTGAATAGCCTATGAAAATATTGGGAGAAATTATGGATCACTGTGACTTCTATTTTGTTTTATTTTATTTAAATTCAGAAAATGAACAAAAAAAAAAGACCTTAAATTCTGTTATTGTTGTTGTTGTTGTTGTTGTTGTTGTTGTTGTTGTTGTTGTTGTTGTTGTTGTTGTTGTTGTTGTTGTTGTTGTTGTTGTTTCGGTCCCCTGTGATCCCTGCCATGCACCAATATTCAGAAGCATTGAAACTAAGTCTGCATGAATTATCTCTCAGCTGACAGTAAAAAAAATTGCTTTCACTGGACGAGGGATGTTTATTTCAGTTCGTTTTATATCCAGCCACAATCTCCACAGGAGCTTTAAATACATTTCAGTCAGATTCACATTTTCATGTACATCACCTTCTGGCTGTAGTTTTCCCCCTGACGGTCATCTTGTTTTATCAAATGAAATAACTGCACAGATTTAATGGATTTGCCTGAGTGATAATGAATACTAATATCTGTTTCCATGGTGAAGCCTTGGAGTAATTTCAGCACCTGCAGGTCATGGCTGTCAGGCAAGGTGACAGGGATTAATTAAAACAGTCTCTCAACTTCCCACAAGACATCCCCCTTACTTATCTTCCCTAGTTTAGAGACAAGTGTCGCAAGAGCCAGGAAAAAAATAGGTGATGTCAGGCCATTTACATAATCAAAGATCCATCAGGACACTCACACAGTCACACTCTGGTGGTGGTAAACCACCTTAGTAGTCACAGCTGCCCCGGGCCCAGTTTGTGCCTAAGGCCTCTCTGACCACCACCACCACACAACACTCACCAGTGGAGGACACACACTGGAAGCAAGGTGGGTTAAGTGTCTTGCCCAAGGACACAACGGACAGACTCAGGATAGGGGGGAATTGAACCACCAACCTTCTGGTAATTGGATGATCGCTCTACCTCCTGAGCTACTGCAGACCCTTCACAGCTCCCTTTCCATCTTACTGATGGAGAATGAACTTTAGAGTTTGTAAACATTTGGCAGTTTCCTTTTTCTTTATACGGTTTTCTTATCCTTTCAAATAAACAATACAGAACAGGAGGTTGTATCTTGCATCCAATCCACTCCACTCCACTTCACGTCACAAAAATTGATTGTTCGTATCAACCTGAAACACCAAGACAGAGTCCATTAAAGCAGTAGTTCAACATTTCTGACCACACCGCACCTCATATCAGCTAATGTGTTAGCTTGCTACATTTGAGGCAATGTACTTTACGCTACTAACATTGGCTAACCATTGGCTTGCTCATCTACCAATCGATTCCTGGAGGCAGAAGCTGGTACACAACAGTGCTTCACAAACTTACTGTACATCTTAACAACAAAATGAGGGTCTATATAATTATATCAAGTCATCTATATGGTCAAGCAGTAGTGGGAATGTAACAAACCTTGCTTTGTACGTCTCCTCGCTTCAGCAGTTGTGGCATCAATCTGGTGAGTGGGTGGTGCTTGGTTTCAAATGTCTGAACGTCTACCCAATGTGTTTGGTAGTCCACAATAAACCAACAAAACTGTATAGAAATTACAACCCAACAGTAACTCTGTTCCTAATATAAATAAGCTTGCGAATTGGGTTCTCAAAATACCCAACTTAATGACAATAACCCAGATAAATTGACCAACAGGCTCAACCTCGTGGTTGGGTTGAAAAAACAACCCAGCATTTTTTAATGTGTAGGCAGGATCTAGGCAGGATCTGAGGAAGTGCTAGTTTTTGGGAGATATCTTGAATGTAAACCATAGACATTTTGCTAACCCTAATGTAGGTACTCACTGTTGCTGAAGTGTGTCCGCTCTGGTCAATATTTCTGTTTTATGTTCTGACCTAGTAGTCATCACTTGGCAACAAAGAGGGCAGTGGTAATGTTCATTCACTGATAATACTTCCTACTCTAACTATGAAGGATGTGTTATTTGGATGTTGATCTTTTTATGCCTGATCATTCATTATTTTACCACCTTGGTTCTTCTAAAATCGGTCTGTTTATCAGGTCTTTTATTTTGCAATTAATTTTATGTAGTGATGCTTTTTTGCCACCTTCTATAGACCTCACCGGTGGTGTATTCTGCTCAGTCTGATCAGTCACTCTGGTACAAGTTAATTACATGATCCTTAGAAACACTCCCACAAAATCTGAGAATTCATTATCCTGTTGACAAAACAGCATCCTCTGGCTGATGTGCTTTGAGTTTTACTATCTTTGATCAGCCTCCTTTCGTGGTGACCTTGTATTCATGTTGCAAAATCTGTTGTGAATCATTGAGAGTATTAAATTTCCTCGGTCCTGGTTTATAAAAGATTAATTGTGTGATATTTAGCACACAGTCAGGAAGGAAGGGAACATGCTGCCCCAAAACATGTTATTTGTCACTGTGGTCTTCCGGATTCACACAGTACAAGCCTTTGAGGGGAAGTTGTGTCACATTGCGACTCAATACTCTTAATTCACACTTCGTTGTGTTTGTCAGCCTCAAAAAAGGGAACAAATAGAGTCTGAACTTTTTTGATGAAAAGGCTACATCCTTGATTCATATGAGGAGACGATTTCTGTCAATGAGGGGTATGATAACTAAAAATGAAGTCAGAGTAAGGCATTTCAGGTAAATTATTATTTCAGTATCCTGTGTGCTTGATGGAAATTTGGTCTGTCCTTGAGCCATGCGCTACATTTTGGTATTGAATGAATTACAGTCTCAAGAGGAAGCAGCTCTCTGTCTGAAAGCCTAAAGTCTGTTGATTGGGCTTTTTTGGTCTATGTCACCAGTCACAGAAAGTTTTGGAAAAGTTGGATATGTATCTTTGTCAGAGCCTTAATTTTTTAAATCAAATTACTGAAAGATCCTCTACCCCTCAGATGAAAACCCTCAGACTCAAAGTAAATAACATTTTTTAAAGGTAAAAAATATTACATTTTTTATTTCATCCATCCACCCATTCATCATTTTAATCAATTATCCCTCTTAGGACTACAGGGGGCTGGAGCCTATCCCAGCTGTCATTGGTGAGAGGCAGAGTACACCCTGGTCAGGTCTCCAGTTTGTCATGATGCTGAACCAACAACCAATCACAAGCACCGTTACATACAGGGAATAGACATCTCACCCCAAAACTGTTTACAGGTGGGCCGAAATACCACTCAAATTTGTAATCCAGAACATCCAAATATTGTTAGAAACCAAAAATGATGCTCTTTCTTTTTGTTACCAACTGAAGAAAATCTTAAGTCTTTTGGTTTTAATACAGTCAGAAATATTTTATCTTTAAAAGATTCTAAGGTGATGAAATTATTTAAAAGAAAGGGATTAAAGAATAACAACGCTTATGAGCAGAGTGATGTAAGAATAAGAATAAGAATAACTTTATTATGTATGTATTCGTTTATGCAAAACTGACATTGAAATAAACGCTTACATGAAACAAAATTTAAAATAAACTCAAACTTTATTTACAGGGCACATTTAAAACAACCGGGGTTGGCCAAAGTGCTGTACAGATTAAAAGCAGCAGGGATGATAAAAGTGACCCATTAGCAATTACAATAACTAAAATTAATACCCTTACATGTCGATGGCAAAATCTTTTCAGTACAGAAAAAAAACTGCATCAGATTATTTATTCAGCTTAAAATCAATTGATCTTGATCTTCACAAAGGGGGGACAAAGGACAAAAGCTCAACTATTCTCATAAAATGAAAATGTGTTTCCTCACAGTAAAGATATGACACAAAGGAGAAGGCTATGGTAGCTATAAGGACTGTTTCTAGGCCAGCGTGAGGTATCATGCTCTCTGTATGTGTTAATTAGAGCAAGAGGACCTCTGCGCTCAGCTGTCATTAACAACGCTGCTCCTAGTGCTAATTGGACACACTGTCAGTGTTGGGGCCACATTATATGCTGATTGCTCATTACTACATGTTCATTTTCTATTCCTACCCGTAGCCTTTCTAAGATCAACGGGTCGAAATTTCTAAGAAATGACAGAAATAGTCCAACCAGGTAGCTGGATGTTTTTCTTTTTTCTCATTGAACTTTCATAAATTCAGCATTCTGCTTAGCCACAAGCTCAAACTGAAACCAATAGAGTGCTGACACTAATTAAATCCCTTAAAGGTACTGGTCCTTGAAGTTTTGGCTTCACTGTGTTTGATTCATGAGAATTAATAATTTGGCCTCTCAGTTTTTTTCTCAGGATGGCTTCTCTGCCAAATCATTGTGCATCACCCTTTTCTTTTGTCCTGTTTTTTTTCTTACTTTTTTCATTTGTTTTCATGAGAGTCTGAAGCGCATTCATATTGATTTAATATACTCATTCAAACGTGCAACAAATCACTGCCCAATTTTATATTTAGGCATAGGTTAATTTATACCAAACTCTGGCTGGATTTAAGGTTATATTTAATCTCAAATCGAAAAAAAACATCACCAAAATCACCAGTTTTAAACAGATTGATTTGAGTATTGTCATTTCACCCTTTAAATGTGGATGTACATTTATGTTTTATGCATAAACAGTTTCATTCAACTTGCCAAATAACCAAAATAGTCATTGATGTAAAACAGGGTTCTGTAATATTCTGTTTTTATTTCTATAAATTTGAGTAGCATTTCACCTCAACAAGAGTTTGCCTTTAGTATTGAATTCTACTTGTGTGTCCCCCCTATGGTCAGACATATTCATGGCATTAATTCTCCAAATGTCCTGCAGGGAATCAGCATAAATCAATCTGCCACACATGGCTCCCAAAGACATCAGCTGTGTGTCAGTGTACACAGTCCACAACATTGCATGCACTGCAGATTTACATTTGGCTTTCCTCCAAAGGATGTCGGCCAAACATCTTTGCAAACCCTGATACTGAGACTGAAATATTGCACGGCTGAAATGCATTGCAAATAGGATGACAGCCATTAAGCAAAGGTGAGGTAGCTAAATACTAAGTGGTACTAAGTGGTACTTTTTATTTTTTATAAAAATTTATATAGTCAGGTACTGATGTCTGTCAGGGTCAAACCAGGACAGGCAGCTGTGTTTATCTCAGCTTTTAGTGCTGTGAAGCTTGAGAGATGAGCCATCGCAATATGGTTAGTCATAGCTTCTCTATCTTTCTCAAGCAAGCAGTGACATTCCTAGATGTAGTAAAATACTCTGAGAAAAAGTGCCTTTTTGTTGTTATTGGTTTTTTCTTTTTTCTAAATATTTAACATCAAACAAAATTGTCCATGCAGAAGGCGCCCATGTTCAACCATTGAATTTGCAGTAGCTGATAACATCCTATGGGCAGACTGTCTTTTAAGTAATTGGGAGGCCTGTACCAGATGTCAAGGATAACGGTAAAAACATGACCGCAGCTTCTCTCTCGATCATCGCATTTAACTGCCTGGGTGATCTGTACAGTATACATCATACATTAAGTTACTGGAGCAAAGCCAAAGGCACAAATGGCAGAAAACTGAGTTTACAGGGAGTGATTATGTCGTTACATTAATTTAAAATCTGCCAAACAAGGCGTGCAAATGTAGAAATACCACTGTCTTAAGGGTATGTCAGAAAAGTGATTCATGATTGAATGTAACACCACACTCAATGCAATCCCAGTCTCTGTGACACAAATACACTTCAGAGATTTCCCTTTTTTCTTTGGAACAAATAAATAGATAAAACTATAATTTGAAGGGGAAGAATATTACTAAACATTAAGTAATTAAGCAAAGGTTACCTCCACAGGAATGACGTCAGTGATTTCCTGTGATATACTTTATGTTGTATATTTAACCTTAAGAACCGTATTTGTATAACCAGACTGTCACAGGTGATATTTCTGAATTGACTGCAGGTATGGGGGATTATTTTGGTTCATCTTTGATATCAGAGTAAAAAAAGAATCAACAGATATACTAAGGCATGACAGAAATGACAAGCTACATAACAATTGTAGGCTATCCCTGTGGCATGTAACTGAACAAAAACTGTTCAACATTAGCAGAAACCTTGAATTAAATAAAAAAAAAAATCAGGAAAACTTGATTTTAGGATTTGACAATAATCAGCATTTTTTTTTTGTTTGGTTAATAATTGATTTAACTGTCCCGTATGTCAATTGACAAGCTTGATTGGCCTGATCATAATCGATAGAAGTTTAGTTGTACCTTCAGAAAGTCTTATTTTGAAAGTAATTGACCGGAAACTACAGGTCGTTTAATGCTCGCCTGTGGCCGCCTGAACAATCAAAATGTCCAGTTTCAGTTTTAGTAAAAACACTCGCGTCTCAGAAGTTTGGATCGCCCTCAGACGGCTCGACATGAACGGTGGGAATATATTTTTGTCGATTCTGTAGACTTTTCTCCGAGTGATTTAATCATTTTTTCAGTGATTGATGTACTCATGATGTTCGTGCGTCTGTTTCCATGACAACCAGCCTCGTGAACTCTAAAGAAAAGCCTAAATGGAGATTGTTTGTTTGCTCGTCCTTCTCTCTAGACTATGGTATAAATTTAGTCTAAAGATGTAATTAATTTCGCTCGTTTTCTCTATATAGTGAAAGAAAGTCACATAGTAGTATCCACATGGGTTTGATATATTCACAGAACCTCAGAGAAGTGAGCAACAGCTGTGTCTGACTGTTGAGTGTTATGGTCTCCATCAGACCGGGTGAAATCAGAGAGAGGTGGACAATCTTTTAAACTCTAAAGCAGGTCTGAATATCTTTGTTGTTTTTAATTTTTTACCCTGGTAAAATGAAAAATAAGGTCAGCTGCTTTAAATGGTCATTTGTTTGATTTTGTTACATTGTAGAAAAAATACTTAAAGATTCCTATGTGGTTTTATAACATCCTGAGAGTCCTCATGTTGGATTACAATTCATTGTAAAGTCCACTGATGTGTGCGCTGGTTTTAAGTTTCCACATCACAGCAAATTTGTGTCGTTTAGATACTTGACAGTTACTGCTCATATGTCAGAAAATCCTAAGAAAGCCTTAAGTGTGGATCAAGAAACGTTACCTTTATGGAAGATTAAAACTCCTGCGCATGCATCATTCAGAACAAAAACTTAAATTTGTGCCACATTTCAAAACATATTTTTAAGTTAAAGGGAATTCAATGTGTCTTTTATAAGGTCTTCTAATGCACCAAAAAAGAACTTGAAACCATTTATTCATCATAACTTTTGGCATTGGCTACAGCAGAAAAACAAAACAAAAAAAGGCTGCTATGTTTCTTTGACAGCATCTCTATGCTATCTCTGATCCAGATGACAGAGTGGTGGCTCTTCGAGAAGTGTCTATTCCCCCATCAGCTGAGGGACCCATGATCATTCAGGTGTGTAACACCACCTATCCATTCATTTTTATCTATCTCTTTGTATAGCTTAAATAATAAATATTAAATAGTTTTGCATTTATTTTCAGATAATCACCAGCACCTTTGGACTGAACTCCTCTGATGTCATACTGAAGGCAAAAGGACTCAGATGTCTTCTTGTAGAAATGCAGACCTGTTTTGAAGTGTTGTCTCGTAAAATATTGTTTCATGATCAAGTAAGAGCCATCATAGTTACTAGAAAATAAAGTTGATTGATAACAGTAGAATGGTGTTTGGGGGTTTTTTTTGCAGATAAGGAACCACCATGGCTGCCTGATCCCCTTGAACAACTTGATCCCTGCCAACAGCAAGCATATGTAAGATGGTTTTCTTTGGACATTATGTTACACTGATTTAGTTGATGCTCAAGTTCTTGACTTATTCTGTAAAAACATTTTTTTGGCATTAGCCTCTTTTGGTGTGTTTCTTTGTTTCTTCTGCACCATTTAATTTTTTGATTTGTGTGACGCACTATGAATCGCCTTTTGGCTGAAATGTATGAAATAAAAAAAACTCTCCTTGCTTTCTCATCACAGGCCGTACGTGCTTGAGGTAGTCAAGGTCTTTCAGCATGGTAAGAGTAGATCCCTCCTCTGTTCTTGTCTTTTAGTCCCTTCAGGGTCTTGACCAAGTATACAGTAATGGTTTATTTTGGGACAAACAGTACACTTGTTTTCCTTCTTGCTGAAGGTATAAGTAGAAGCTTAACATAAGGTCTGGAAACAGCTTGAGGCAGCTTGTCCAAATGAATCAAATTGCCCTTTAGATCATAGACATAATTTATCTAGTGTTTTAATAAACAAAGAGGCAACCAGTAAAACTAAATTTACTTTGAGAGTGCTCAATTTAAAAAAGGCCAACACAAGAGTCTAACATGGGGAAAACACTGGAGAAGTCAGAGACAAACTGAACCAACACAGAAGCCAGACAGTGACCAGGGTAGTCTAATACAGGTGTGAAACAAGACACAGGTAAAACCAATGAGGCCAACTAAACTAGAGGGGGCGTACTTGGGCACAGAGTAAAGCTAAACCAAACACACAATTAGAGAGGAGTACAGTGTAAAACAGGAAACATTAAGACTTAAGAGACATAAGTGTAAACACACACACACAAAGAATACAAGAACCTAAAGGTCCAGACAAAAACAGTGGTCTTTAAAAAACATTCTTACATTTTTTCTCGATGAGAGATGTTTATGAACACAGGACATTTTTAATACATATACATATTCAGTAGTGCTGAAAATGCTTCCTTTAATTATGACTACATTAGCTATAGATTTTCTTACACCCACACAAGAGTAGTGAAACCTGAAAAAGTATGTAAGCGAGTTTTTATTTTTGTTTTTTTTTTCTATTCCCAGTGCGACCCAAGCCCAGAACCATTCCCACGACTGTGCTCAACAGGAGCATGAAGACCAGGCTGCAAACAATAGACCGGAGGGTAAGGCGGTGTAACAGAAAGTAAAATATTCATAGTCTTGTACAATAAATGCTTCAAGCTTGCTGCCAAAGATAGGTCTCTCTTTCACAAGGAAAGTAAGCTCAGCCCTCTATAAACAAACTTGTTTTCTTTTCAAATGTTAATGAAAAACCTGATGTGTACTGTTTTTTTTAATCTAGACATTTTTCACACCTGCCACAACCTGAATTTTGGTCCTGTGTTTGCTTTTCTTTTCTTTTTATAGATTCAAAGACTAGGAGAACTTCTGCCTCAAATAAAACTAAGGCACAATGAGAAACTAAACCAGGTATTGCGAATTTATTCCGGGTTTTTGCAACACATAATTTATTCTTAAATATACCCTGTAATGGAGTAATATCAACTGATCAGTGCAACCTTGGACATCAAACATCTTTGTGAAAATGCAGCAATTTCTTAAAAGAAATAATGACACATTTTTGCATCTCTTTGTCTACCTGATGATGTGACCTTCTGATCCTTCACAGGAGATTGATTGTCTCAACCAGAAGCTGAGATTTCTTCATAAGAGGATGCAGGTGAGTCATGTTGAGCTTATATAGCTAAGGGTCGTGTTATTGTAGACAAACTCAGAAATACACAAAAACTATTTAGTGAAAAAACAGGGTAAATTGATCCCAAATCAACTGTAGTGACTTTGATTTGTAAAAAATTGCGGCAGGAATGATTTCAGCTACATTATGTTAAAGGTTAAAATATGGGGCTCTGACACCATGCTGCACAGCAGTTACTTTTAAAGTTAATCCTATGCAAACAACATGTATGATTTTTCATTTACAGAATCAAGAAACCTTGCATGATGACATTCACCCAATAAATATTTTTATGAGCCTTCAAGGTCCTTGAGCTGGTTCCGTGACTTTTCATGTCAGTTTTATGTTCAGATACACTGCCCGGCTCTGTTGCAGGTAGCAGATTCTCGCAGCTGGAAGGGAGTGCTGATCAGAGCCCCTCTGTGGTGACCCAGCATTTCCAGATACTCTACAAGACACAGACCATCTTGACAAACTACCACATGACTAGATGTACTATGAAACTGTGTGAGGATGAATTAGGAGCAGAAATCATCACGATTTTCATAGATCCATATGTGAATTTGTTTTTATAAAATCACACATACATGTACATAACTATACTATATAATCAGCATCATTGATAGTTAACCTTGTTAATAGTTGATCATTTCAGCAGATGTATCAGACGGCTGGGACACCACCCTCCAACTCAACACCTTCTTGACCCCCATCTCCCCCTCCCTCCCTGTTGTAGTGCAGGTACTGTGGGTTGATGCTTGCACCAAGTATGGTTGCGCTCACACCAGGGGCTGTGCTGAGACACCTACACTCCTCTTCCCACATGTGCAAGTTCTCGAGTATTTTTGTTGTAATGTCTTATTATGTTGCTTATGTGCTGAGGTGTTTTTTTACTGATCCCCCCTATGGGAGCAGAGTTTGGAGTTGCCTTTTTTCCCCCTCTCTTCTTCACTCCTGTTGTCCTTTTTCTCATCCAAGAAAGGATTGCCGGTCAGGCTGGCAATCCAACAGTTCTCCTATTCCTGTCACCCTGTATGCATCTGTCTACTATATGTTTCTTGGAAAGGATGAACTGTAAATGGAAATTTCCCCTTGTGGGATTAATAAAGGAGTATCTCATCTTATCTTATCTTATCTTATCGTACCTCTGTTTGTGATATGTGAACTAAATGATATATATATAAAATATTTTGCATCTTTTTTGTCCTCTTTGTAATGTTGTGAGGAATTAGTCTGTTTGACTAGAGGGATGATTGACTTAGTGACAATTATGTAATTTATTTTCTTATGTGAAATCTAGACAGAATAATGAAACGTTGAATAATATTATACACTTTTTATTCTGAGCTGCAGATTGTATACAGCCCAAACATCAAATCGGTTTGGACAAAGCTCCAAAACAGGTTTGCAGTTATTTTGCTTACAAGTCCACAAAAAGAGCAGACAGGATAATTTTTTAATAATGTTTTGCTGGGTAAACTCAATTAGGGCTTTGAAACAGACAGAGCAAAGTTTGTTTGTGATTAAGTTTTTGGAAGGAAAGCTTCAAACTATTTCTTTACTGGCTTGCAGGAACAACATTGTCTCAACATTGTTGTCTCCACTCCAGTAGTGGATCAAATATGGTGCAGTGACAATATCTTTCTGAACAAGAAATCTTGCCTTTTTATTTCTGGATAGAGAACTACTCTAGATTTATTTATTTTTTAATTACTATGGTGTCGTTCAGTGTTAATGTATCGGAAGGAAAATAAGGTCCACTATCACTCAAGACCAACAATACGCTTTTAAACTTTTCAGAAAAGCATCCAATTCGAAAGACAATTCTCATAAGGTGACAGGTATATAATAAGGAGCCAAATCCTGAGTATTTGATGGGAAGCCTCTAAGTTACAAAAAGAGACGCTTTAAGGTAAAACAGAAACCAGTGGGTCCGCGTGTCATGAGTCACGAGTCAATACAGGAAGTACCGGGCAGCTGATGATGGCAGTAGTCTAAACAATACCACTGAAGAGACGAGCAACAGAGCGATAATAGTGTCTTCTGTCATAAAGAAACCGATTAATGTTGGTGCCAGCAGACTCTGAGAAAAAGCGAATGTTACCGAAATGGAAAAAGCTGTCAGAATCGTCGTTTTGTCGCTCATTTTCTTTGCATCGCAGGTAAGTTAAAACAGAAACTGAACAGTGGGGGGAAGCATTAGCAGCTGGCAGCAGGCCTTTAAACTGTGTGTGTCGTCGAAACATGATGGACAGAGCCCCTGTGTACTATCTTTCTGAATATATTCGGATTTAACCAACACACGGTGCTCATTTGTGGGAGAGAGACAGAGTGTCTCTCGGTGTGTAACGATGTTAAGCGCTGCGGTTAACAAGCTAATCAGCGTTAGCTCAGACGTTTATGTCAGCCAGTCAGACTAAACTGATGAATGTGTTCATATAAAAACACGTATTTTTAAGAGAAAAGGTTGCACAATCGAAAGTAACGTTTTTTTAAAAGCCGAAACACACTGCTCACCAGCCTCTTGAATTTTCTTTCATATTTAAACAAAGTCCAAGTTTGGTCAAAGGGTGATTTCCCAGATGTCCTGAAAGGCGTCAGACGCGCTCAGCAGTAAACTTTGATCCAGTTGTTTCAACTTTTTATAATCACAGTGGAAATGTTTTTTGCTCACATGAGGTTGGTAGAAGTCAACTGGGAGGTTTTTTTTAAAGAAATAAATGACTGCTTGATCGTGGCTTTAAAGAATAAAGGCTAACTTGTAAGGGAGTGCAAGTGTAGGGTCCAACCCATGGATAACTCCCGGAAGTAATGTAAAAACATTAGTGCACAAGTCTGAAAATAATTCTCAGATAAATACTGTTATTTTCAGTCCATTATTCACTCTTAAATCCCTGTATTATTTTCAAATTAAAATTCTGACATCTGGTGCCAGTAACATGCTCCTATCATAAAAGTTAGGATGATTGCATATTTCCATTTGAATATCAGTATACTGTATATAAAGATAATATACATAATTAGATTTTTTTTTGTTGTATAGCCTATTCATACCTGCAGTAACCAACACCGTGTATATATTTTTAGCATATTCATTGCGCACATATATATAGTATATTCAGTTCATACCTGCACTGCCCAGATGTACATACCTTGCACTGTACTACCTTGCACTTCTGGTTAGATGCTAAACTGCATTTCGTTGTTCCTGTACTTGTACTGTGTTCAATGACACAATACATTTAAAACACTTCTGAAGACGCACCTGTTCACTTTTAGCTTTTGGGGCTACTTTTATTGGGTATTTTATTTATGTGCTATGTTTATCTATATTGTTGTTTTATATTTTTATTTGTTTTATGCTTTTATTGTTTTACAGTTTTTATTGTTTTTACTGTGTCTTGCTATTTTACTGTAAAGCGCTTTTGTTTGGCCACTGACTGTTTTTAAATGTGCTATATAAATAAAGCTGACATTGACATTGACAATAAAGTTGAATCTAATGTAATATAATCTAATCTAATTTTGTCCCAACCTTATTGTATATGCATTCAGTTAGCCTGAACACTCCTGGCATTTAAATGAACCAGTGACCTGTCATCACAGTTTGTAACCTTGCTTTACATGCATGGTTGTTAGCAGTTTCTCAACAGTTACATGCAGTTTTTCTTAGCTGTGGGTGTCTATCAGTGTTTATTCAATAGAAAAGTAAATGTAAGCTAGGTTGCAGTACATTAACTGTATGTCAAGCTAGCTGTCTTCTTTTAACTCTTTCAGTGTGTTAGTTTGATGAACCAGATTTATCTTTCAAGCCTTAGTGAGGTATTTATGTATTCATCTAACAAATGTATGCTTGTGTAAAACTCATAAGAATTACTTTTCCCTCCCACAGATAAACTGCCAAGAGGCAATTTTGCACATTTCAAATGAGAACAGAGAGAGAGAGTACTGTCTAGTCCACAATCACTCCTGGACCCCCCTGTCACAAACTCTTGATGCTGCTGTAAGTATTTTTCTTTCATACCTATACTGTTGAGACTCTTGAGTTTCAGCGTAGACAGAAAAGTAACCCCAACTTTCATTTCTTTGTCAAGAATGTTTAATTATATCTAGTTCCTATGTAAGTCTTCTCTTTTATTTGTATCACAAGAACTGAAACACAACTGTGTGACTTCCGCTGGGTAATTGAAGTTACAACTGAAGCATTAAAATAAATCCTCCTCTTATCTCATTCGTTAACATCATCTTTCCTTTCACAGGAGCAGTATCCTCTGGTGAACCTGACCTCCACTGTGCTGTGTACTAGCTCAGGAATAAGCCCAGATGTGGTTAAGGACAAAGCAGTGGTGGTGATGAGAGGGGATTGTGATTTCAGCCAGAAAGCACTTGCTGCACAGAGCCTCGGTGCTAAAGCTTTGCTCATTGCCAGCAACATATCATTGGTAGGACATTGACACCAGTCCGCATTGTCTTGAACGAATCCACAGTATATGTTTTTATGTTATCATACAAGACTCATCTTTTATATTTACTTTTTATCAGTTCCTTATCACCAGAACACTTGTGTTAGCTTTTTAAATACCACACATCTGAGTCACATGCAGAAGTGATCCATAAATAAGGAACTGACAAAGCAGTAGTGTTGACGTAGGTTTTTCCATGTAAATGTGTTAAATATACAGTGCCTCCTTTTACATATTAATATGACAGTTTAAAAGATAAATAAACTCATGAAGTGTATACAACAACATAATAGAGACCTCTTTGGAACAACCTTTCTCCTTAGATCACTCCATCAGCCAATGATTCTGAGTATGCAAAAGTCCATATTCCTCTGGCTCTCATGAGGTACAGGGACTTCCGAGAAGCACAGCAGGTCTGACTTTCTATTTTCCTGATAATGCTTGTTTTATCGAAGAGGGTTGGCTGTGGAGGTTCAAACTGGTTCAACTTTGTGTCTGTCTCCTCAGTTATTTGGTGATGGGATGCAGGTGAAGCTTTATGCTCCACCGAACCCAAAGATTGATGCAAGCATTGCCGTGATGCTGCTGATTTCCATCGTCACTATTGCCCTGGGTGGCTACTGGAGTGGTGCATGTGAGAAGTGAGTTATTGCTGCTGCACACACAGAGTTACTCTTAGACAGAAAACCACTTTGTTTATTGAAATAAAAAAATGAACAAAAAACTAAAAAACAAAGCAATTGTGTTCGTGGCAGGGAGCGGCTGAACAATAGTTTTGCTGGGGGAGAGAAGAAAACAAATCAGACAGTGGAGAGCTTTACCTGTACTCTCCTCTCAAAGTGGTTTTCTTTGTTGCCCTGATGTGTGGGATGCTGGTCCTTATGTACTTCTTCTACAACATCCTCGGTGAGTGATGCAAAAACTCCTGTGCTTCATGAAAAAGTAATGATCGTATACATTTATATGACATTTGCTTTGCTTCTTTTCCAGTTTACATCATCATTGCCATATTCTGTCTGGCATCTGCCTCTGCACTGTTCAGCTGTCTAGATGCAGTGATGGATCTAATAGGCTGCGGCACAGTGAAGTATGAGGGTCTTAGGGGGGTTATTTACACACATAAGCATGTCGAAACGAACACAAAGGAGTATAACCCATTTGGAGAAGAAATAAAAAGAACAGATAATGATGATTCAATTCCAGAAAGCAGTCTTTTCACTAGAATCTAATACACTTTATTGAAAAAACTACTTAAACCTGTACAGATATGTAGCAATATTACCCACTGAAGAGACATTAAATAGACTTTTTCACCCAAGTGATCACCCAAGTGAATGTGAGGTGGAGCTGTGTCTGTCTATCGCTCTCTTTTTTATCTGACCGTCTGTCTCTTTTTCTAGCTTCTCTATTAGAACCTGGACCTTCTCAGTGAGGTCTCTCATTTTGGCTGCTGTGTGCATCAGCATCGCTGTGATCTGGGGAGTCTACAGGAATGAAGACAGGTACTGTTCAGTGACACAAAACCACAGCCTCAGTTTTTTTTACTCAGTTTATCGTGCGTGGTGAAACAGGAAGGGCTTATTATTCTAAAAAAAAATGCATAAACACCCACCTCTGGCGTAGTTTGTACCAGTATGACGCCTAAGTCTATGTATGTAAGGTGGTATGACATGTTTGTTGGAAATTTTTTAACTCAAATGGTCCATCAAGAGGAGTTTTTAAGATTTCTGATAACATGTGGGTAGGTATGACAGGCCTATGTTGCCATGGTGAAACATGCATGCCCACGAGCTTCATAAATGATGGAGTTTGTTGCCGAGTGAACTGAAATATTGATGAATATTTTTCTTCATCAAAGTTAGCCTTGTTTTTACAGAGGGCGAGTATTACCTGGGGACCACCTGTGATTTAGACAGTGTTATAATGGTGTTCTTTGCAACCCAGATCATTCAAAGCATTTACAGGTTGGTCTTTATCTCCAGAGAAAGAAACGGCTTTGTTATATCTTAAAAGTTACAATTTTATGCTTTCTGCATGTTTTTTTCATAAGCAATGCCAATGTGTGAATGTACCATAGGCTAAAACATTACTCTGTAACAACTTAGCAAAGATTTTTATGTCGAATACTCAGGGCAGGATCTGATCTTTATGAGCTCTCCCATTTGCCTCGACCCTCTTAAGCTCCCCTGCCTCAACAACAGTATGAAACACTATGAGATCCTAGTTTACAAATGAAGATTTCTAACATCAACTAATAACAAGCACACACTACAGCACAAAATGTTGTAGCGAGTGAAACCCCTCTGACCAAACAAGAATGTCAGATGTAACTAGAAACACAGGATCAATTTCAGAAGAGCATTTATTTCAAAGCTCTAAAGAAAACTTCACAATTCACACATTGTTATTCAAGTTTGACTCAACTCGTCCATCAAGTTTCCAGTTAATTATATTCAGCACTTGGAGGTGTGACGTCGATATATTTGCTTATTCAACAGGATGCTGACTGCGGGTGTTTTAAGGTCACTGGTGATTTTTAAAAGAATTGTAGCTTTTAAACCTTTACGTCTAGGTTTAAAACATTTGAAGTGAAGATCTCTTGCCAACTATATTGGCAAACAAAACATATAATACTAAAGAATTAAAATTGGTTGTGTTTATAGCAGTTCTTTTGCTCTAGGCTTTGTGTTATTTTACATAATGTCTAATTCAAAGCATTTCCCTGCTGGTCAGTGTCCTCAAGAAGAGCCAGGAAGTTTGTGTTTAAACACATGCTGATAAGGTTAAAGCACAAAGTGAAATATGTTTTTGTACTCTTGTAGATGGATCTGGATCCTGCAGGATTTACTCGGCATTGCTTTCTGTCTCAACTTTATGAAGACCATTTCACTGTCAAACTTCAAGGTACCTCTTTTGTACAATACAAGAACTTTATTGATCCCCAAACGGAAATTAATTTGTCTGGAGTCTCATGTGAAATATAATACTGTATATTTATAGCCCCCTACCCCTGAAAATCCCTTCCTCTGTTTGTCAGCGCACATTTAACTTGCAGAATGATGTCTGGAAAAAGGAGTACTTTGGCAGTCTAAAAATATCTGTTATATATCATCCTTTCTGTCATTATATTACACAGATTTTGTAGTCCTTGAATTAATGAGGCAAAAACTACAAATTATAATCAGTGCTGGAATAAAGTTTTGTTTTTTTTCCACTGATACACAGATCTGTGTGATTCTCCTGAGTCTCCTGCTTGTGTATGATGTCTTCTTCGTCTTCATCACTCCCTTCTTCACCAAGGTATTGGCAGATTCATTGCTTTGTTTTTCTCAGGGACAGGAGCAAGAGAGGTTTTTTATGTAATCCACCTTCTTTACTTCTGCTTACATTCTTAAGCCTTTATGCAGATATCAGTTAGCTGGAAAATTTTTGCATCTCTGTAAAAGCAGAGTGAATGAAGTTGGTTTTAAAACAGAAACCAGGTGTAGATGCTCAATTATTTTCTTCTCTGTCACCAGAATGGAGTAAGCATCATGGTTCAGGTTGCACTCGGCCCAGATGCATCTGGAGAGAAGGTAAGTCCCCTCTCACTGCTTTCGTTATTGACGAGGAACTCCACCAAATCGTCTCCAAGATGTTCTAAATTTAAGTTCTTTAGTACCTGATTCCATCAGTCTTTGTAGATCGAGTTATAAAAGAAAAAATTATTAATGCTTTATTTTTGCCAAAAATCACTGTCACTTCAAGTTGTTTTGGCTAAAGACAGTAACATCCCCCTGTAAATATTGGATAAGTAGTAGTTCGTTCAAGAATAGCAGTGTTCAATTTCTCATCTTGGGACTGAGTGCAGAAGCGATATCATATTTAACAACAAGCTTGAAGCTGGGCTTGGTGGATTTCCTCAGCTCTGTTGCACTGGCTTCATTAACAGCCTGGCTGATTTGCACTGCTTGTTGTTTTTGTTGCCCTGCCCTGAGGGGCATCATAGATTGATTAACTAACTGTGGGCTGGGTGGGCTCTGTCTTAGACACAAGGTAACATGGTGGAGGTCCCTGCTGAACCCCAGACTCCGTCTGAGAAAGTAAGACTTCACTTGTTACCCTTTTACTCTTGTTAGAGAATCTTACTTTCAGTTCTCTAAGATAAAAATACGACTCAATATTTACATGCATGGACTGTTCAGACATTCAAACTGTTTGGCATGATTTGGTTACCATGAGAGAAAAAGATAAAACAGAACAGACAAATAAAAAATCTGTAGAGAAATTCGAATGCATACCAGAAATTTAAACGCATAATATTTATCTGTAAAGAACATATGAACATAAAAACGGTGTAGCTTTGTATCAAACATTTTTTGGTGCCCACCCTTTTAATCTTTCACCAACTCAGTCTTAAAAATCTAAGACACTGTCTAAAACAAATTGTTATGGATTGTGAAAAATCTTGTTGAATTAAATCAAAGAATAAATTTGACAAGAACAGAAACAAAATGTTTAGCGTTAAACTTGATAAACTGTCTTTTTAATGCTGAATTTGATGCCTGCAATTTTTCTACAAGTTTTACACAGTGTTCTTTAGTTTTTGAATCTGGGTTGCGGACTAGCTGCGTGTATATCTTTGTTTTTTTCTTGACTTCTTTATGAGGATGTTTCCTTATGCTTTAGCCCAGCCTGTTCATGAAAGTGGAATATAAGACGAGTCAGAGACCCACGTGTGTAGACTCTCAAATGAGCCTCAGGTGGTCTTAAGTTCAGACAAGTCAGTCAAATCAGTTTTCTGAACACAGCACCTAGGTATGAATCGGTTTGTTGGCTTTGTTTTCACATTGTTGCACTTTGTGAAATAGATGAGGTCGTCCAAGGGATAAATTTTGCTTTCACTTGTTTTAACAGTTTTCAAATGTCAAAGTAAAGCATTGATTGAACATGGATATAACTTAGTGGTGAGAACTGCCCAGATACTGAAGTGAGGAATTTTAAGCCTTTACAGGAAAGCTGAAGCCGTAATTCTCCTAGGACACTTCCTGTAAGAACGCTTTCCTTTATTCTCTGGAGTTGCTCTGCAGAACATACAGGATCCATATTGAGTGCGTAACATCAGTGTCACGTATCACACAGCAGATGGTTTACAATTCTAATCAATGCAGCATCGCATACAGGACGCATTTCAGCTCCGTCGCAGCTCCGTATCAAAAGTGTATCTAGTGCGGCTCTGCTTGAGATACGTGCCGAGTCTATTTTTGCTGCTCTACGCTTCCAATACGCGTCAATTCACACAGAGAAGATAGTTCTAGACAGGATATCAACCGCAAAAACTGTGCATGTCATCCGGTATTTCAAAATAAAACAACCGACTGTGTATCAGTTTGTGTAGATGAGAAATACTTCCTGGTTATGGATTTATCATTTACACAGAACTATCTGATGGTCAGTCCCTGATCCATGTGGACCCCAACAAGACTTTTAACTGCTAACTCTGTCTGAAGGTAACAGCACAGCATAAAGGAGGATAGTTTACTGTATTAAACACGAGTAAACCTGCAAAAACCGAAACTGTAAAATCACGTTGCTTTTTCACATATAGTAGAGACTCAACAGTCACTGAATTATATCCAAATTAGCAGGAAATAGACCACAGAAAGGCAAAACAACCTGTTGTGAGAATGTTGTTTCTTCTATGCTGAGCCCAGCTGACCAGGGCTGCACTGCGCTGCTGCTGCTGCTGCTACGCTCCAAATACGCATCTTGTATGCAAAACCCAGGGCTGCTCTACGGAGCAAATACGGAACACACTTAATACGAATCCTGTATGTTTTTGGCTTTTTATGTACTCACAGCCTTATTACAATAGACTGTGTGTTCTGCGGTGGATTGTGTGAAGGTTTGATTTGAATGCTCTTCGTCAGCAGCTATGTTATTAAAGACAATTAAACTGACTGAAAAAGTTGTGGTCTTTCTGTCCACACAGACAATACAAATAAAGACTCTCACGTTATGTAAGCTAAGGTGTAGCTGAGATGTCTGTTAGACAAACAAGATAAATGTTGAGGCAGTGTACATCAGTGTGTATAGGTAGTACAATTGAACGAATTTTTAACATGTCAAGCGTCATATTGAACCAGTAACACAGAATGACCAGCTCACTGTCTTCAGTTGCATGCAACACAAATATTTCGCCAACCCTTACATGATTGTTAACATGTACAGTGTTTTACTTTTGTAGCTACCAGTGGTGATGAGAGTCCCACGGTTCTCAGCTTGGGCTCAGAACCTGTGCGGCGTGCAGTTCTCCATCCTGGGATATGGAGATATCATAGTTCCAGGTGAGAGTTAAGCTTTATTGGTGTGTACTTAATTATTTAAAATACAGACAAAGTAACTGCTGGTTATCAGGCACTTTAACCAAAGTATATCAACATATGAGCCAATAGAGGAAAGATGGGGGGGGGGGGGGTACTTCATAGTTCCTCATTCAACTACCCTCTAAAGCAGAAATTAGAAATGGTAGCATTGGTTTTTATACTTAGAAAAAAATACAGGAAGTGCCATCGATCTCATCCTCTGTGTCCTCATTGGTTCAACAGGTCTCCTGGTGGCTTACTGCAGCAGGTTTGATGTTTGGATCAACAGCAGGAAGAAGATCTACTTCGTAAGCTGCTGCATAGGTATCTCACAGCTCAACTTTTGTGCTTCTTGAGATGTGACTTTGCATGACTTCATGTTTATCGGATGTCTTGTGCAGTCTAATTTGACTTCAGTCTTTGGAAACCTTGAAGAAAAAAAAGAAATGTATTCAAATGTGGGTTTATGTCATCCAGTTACCTTATTGATAACAGCACTCATATGTGCAGCTTTAATGTTATTGTGAAGTTTATACTATGCCATAGTGTCTCTTATATTCAAAAAGAGTGTGCATTTTGTGCTGCATCTAAACTGTGATTTTTAATACATTTTCTGTATCCATGTTGACTTGCCTGCCCCATTACTGCAGTCATGTATCTGCACTCTGAACCATTTTAGACTGTATTTAAAACATTTTTATGTGCAGCAATTTTTCATCAGACATTGTATCAAGAGTCTCTTTTAGTGAACAGTTGTTTTTTTTTAAACCCCTGAACTATTCAAATTTCTTGATCAATGATTGTGATTGCATTTGTCTTTTATCTCCTTTAGCCTACCTACTGGGAATGATGGTGACGTTTGCTGTGATGCTGCTGTCAGGAATGGGTCAGCCTGCCTTACTCTACCTGGTACCGTTCACACTGATAACGTCCGCTGTGGTGGCATGGTGCAGGAAAGAGATGAGACAGTTCTGGACAGGAACTTCTTATGAGGTGAGGAGACCAGAGAGAGAGTCTAAAGCTGTTTCATTCGGGCCAACAGTTTGCATCTCTGACACAACCCAGTCATTACTTTTTTTCTATTAGACAACTACAATAAACTAAGTACATAATGATAAAAGTAAATGTTATTTTTTATAGTTAAAGTTTGCTGATCTTTTACCTGTATAGCATAACTCCACACCATATCCCCATGGATATCATAAATTCAAAGCTTACTGAAGTGTCATTATGTGTTCACCTAACCTCTGTTTACATGCTTGATTTTCTCAACTTTGGGGGAGATAAGAAAGTCCCTCAGTCAGGATGACGCTCTGGGAGGACGGGATAGAGAGAAAGAAATCTTTGTGTGAGGGGGAAAGAGGCTGCAGTTACATTCGCCTATTAGTCACCTATTTTAGGCATGTCCACAGAGACTTACTAGAGGACCCTATTAAGAATGTTGGTTGTGCACATGGTGAAGTAGAGCGTATCTTTTTTAAAGGTCTGCGTGGTCAGAAATTCCGTTTTCATTTCTCTCCCAAGCAGTGGCTCTGATAATAAATTTATTAAGTGACATAAGGCAAAGGTGAGCAAAATAGACTTTACATAAGACAGTATAGACTTTATTTCAATGTGCAATGGGTGATACACATTTCCAGTAGTTTTGAAGCCCAGCATCCAGCTTATTACAGAGTGCTTATTATTCCCATCTCACATCTTCTCCCTGCCTCAGAGTGTTTAGAAACTGCTAAAGGCAAATTCACATACCAGACTTTTATTACTAAGGAGCAACAGAAACATTGAGTCTATATGACAGTGACAGAGCGGTAAACAGAACAGTACAAGAGAATTAAACTGCTCAGAACATAATACTAAGGTATGTCTTTATCAGCCATCAATGTGTCAGCTTTTCTACCAACTCGACTATCAGCATTTTCTAATGCTTTATTCTAAATTCATGTCGAGCTTCTGCCCAAAAGTGCTTGCTTTGAAAGCAATAACAGCTCACATTTTTGTTAGCCAGCTCTGTGTTGTAACATCAATAGATAAATGAATCTTGATAACTCTGACCTGGCTTCCTCTCCACCAGGTTTTGGACTCAACCAGGAAACCTTTGCTGTCAGGTGTGCTTCCCTCATACCCACACCTCTCCCTGCATCTCTCTTGATATTTTTCTGTTGCTTTCTGTGTAATGCCTCCTTTCTTACCAGTTTCATTTTTTCCCCTTTTTCCTTTGATATTTATATCTCTGATTTCCAGGGTCAGTGCCCAACATGCATATCATACTTAAATTTAAAAACAAAGCAGTCAGAGAACCTGATCTGGCTCTTTACAGTCTATGCATTAAGTGACCACTGGGTGTCGCTAATTGATAAAGAAAAAGAAAAATCTTCAGCTGTATCCGGGGAGCTTCGCGGCTACTCTCCACTGTGGACGTGTTGGATCTTTGGCCCTGGCATACCATTAACCTTATCTTTTTCTTTCTGCAGTTTCTTTCGTCCACAGTTTCGTTCCATCAATCTCTGTCTTAACTCATCCATGTTTCCCAACCGAAGTTCATATCACTCCTTATTTATGCAGCTTCCAACATTGTCATGTTACCTTCTGCATGCTTTTGCTTGCAGTTAACCCTGGACGGCTGTGGCATGCATTTTGTCATTTGTTATTTCTGTGGTCTGGTGTTGTATATGCAGTATGCAGCATAAATGTGTCCTGTCTGTTGCCTCACTTTCTTTGTACTTCAGGAGCCAAGACAACAAGATGGAGACTGAATAATTTTCATTTTTCTCTCTTCTGTAGAGGGAAGAACTGACTGCTGCGTAGAGGGAGAAAATTGCTGACCCCCAGCTTGAGAATGGACTCAACTGCTGGATATTTTCTTTTTACATTTTATATAACTGCAGAGCAAGGGAAAGCGCGTAATTGATCAACAGGTTCTTTAAAACAGTAAGTGGTCATTTCACTGCTGTGAATATTTAGGATGCGTACTATATACACTATATATTGTGTAGGTGGAACTGACATATTAAGTGGTCTAACAGGCTTTCCTGGTGCCTGAAAGGTCTGAGAAGTTTGTGTTTAAAAATGTAGTGACTTTGCCTTGGTGATGATCGCAAAAAAGCAAAATGAGAATGCACTTTAAAATGTTCAGCTTGACAGTTGTTTCATCAGGGGTACGTCGAAGGTGGGGTTTTAATCACTTGTAGCCACAATATGACAAATTTTTGATAACTGTGCTGGGATTTCTGTGTAACCTGTTTGTATGATGTGATTTCTTTCAACGCCTTATATTAAAATGAACAAATTGTATTTGATGTTCTCCTACATGTTTTTCTTGCCTTGTTGAACTCACTCTGTTAAACCACACATCTCCAGTCAAACAGTGACTTATTGCCCTGTCTGGACAAAAATCCATTCCGTGAACATAAACCTGGAGAAAAGACACATTTTTAAAGAACTTATGGTGGATTTTATGATCTGGGAGGCAGCCAGGGCTCCAGACAGAGCCAAGCATGAATCAATAAGCTCTTAAATTTAACTTTCCAACAGAGAAAGAAGTGGCTGTGAAGGAGATGGAACAGATCTAAGGATAAACTATAATTTGGGGAAGTGTTAAGCAGTATAAAATTAAATGTGTCAACTCAGTTTTTTGAGTTTTGTGGTCGACTTGGGTCTGGATTTTCCCTCTTGTAATCAATATCAACTTGACTATTAGTTTGAGGTCTTTATTACACTGAGGAGAAAAAAACCCATCAGGAACTCATAACAAAATTATCTAAGGCCAAAAAAATTCCCATCAGAGAATTTACAATGAATAATTTGGACTTTTATTTCTAAATCTCATCACATATTTTAGTGAAGTACTCCGAAACCTGCTTTCTAAGTATTGCTTATGTCTTTTTGGTCAGTCTGGGTGTAATTTTACTTGTTTTTAGTGTTAGGATAAGCATGGGGATAAAATTAAAGACCGAATCACATAAAGACTGAACAGCAAACACTGACCACTTTGTCTGTAAGACATAATTCAACTATGCTTTTTAATATCTTTTAAGGCATCTATAAAACTGGCAAGGCTTTGTTAACAACTGTTACAGGATTTAATGATGCCCCGCAGAGTAATCAGAAGTCAAAAATTGTGACCACCAGTCTTAAAAGAACAAACAAGCTGATAAAATATGCTGCAGTATGAAATAGGGGATTAGGTATCGATCAACGTTCATAAAAGGCATTAATTTATTTTTACAACAGCATCTACAAAGTAGTCCTACTCCAATCCTACTCCAATCTGAACAGTTTCTGCAATCTCACTTGATATTTTCTTTGCTTGATGCATACTAATGATTTGACCCGTCTTAAACTGGCTAACATCTTTTCCATGACCACAGGATGTCATTCGACATGGTTGTTTGAGAAATGTGAAGAAACTCACTGCATCAGCTGGAGTTAAATAACTTGTTGCCAGCTACAAGATAATCACCCATGCAGTAATTATTTAACAGGAGGCTCAAACCTATTTTTGCTTAGGTAAATGCAAGTGGCGACTTTTATTTTGGCCAGGCAGTGTATATTTTCAAATGCAAAAATAAATAAAAAATCTGAAAGATAAACCATTAGAGTGAAAACATGGTGATGATATCTAGACCTTTATTCAGCTGGTAAATGTACATATGCTGAATATGACAGCAATGATTATAAGTTTTTTCCAAATGAACAAAAAATAGATAAATATGCTACAGTATATAATACATGTGAATGTAATATCTATGTGTGTAGTGTGCCCTCAACAATGTTTCCCTTGCATGAGCCAGTGCATCTGTTTTAGGCACCCCTGTTAAGAAAAAAAAAAGGCTGGACGAGCCCCTGCTCCCATAAAGACAAGCTAATAGACACTATTGTGCAGTTATCAAGAATAATTAAATTTTTGAACAGAAGTTTGATTTTTATTCTCTTATTATGATAAAATGACAATCTGTGGTTTAGTTTATGGTGAGACTGGAAAGAGAAATGTTGTTGGATTAGGGGAGAGTGGGGTAAGTTGAGCCAAAGGGTAAGTGGAAGCACCCCCTGTTGCTTGGAAATGGTAAAAGAAATTAATCATGTGACCGAATATTTAGGAAATGGGCATCAATTCAAGGAGTCTGTGAAGATTAGAAGCACATGGATGAAGGGGTTAGACATTTATTTACAAAAAAAAAAAAAACATTTTTCACTCTTGACAGTGAATTGAGTCTGTCATAAGTTTTATTAGAATTAGAAAAAATATATACACTAGTTAGAGCAACAACTATGATTGCCTTGATGTAGTGATGTGAAATATGAAAAATGGCTCATCTTACCCCACTCTCCCCTATAGTGAACCAGACAGAAAAAAAGATGTCTCTAGCTGCTCATCACAGAAGACACTGACGGGTGTGATCAAAATTATACCTCCTGCTCTATTTATATCCTGAAATACTTTGAAGTGAATACCTTTTCTTTGTAGAAGAAGGTTGAAACAGCGTGTCTTTCTCCTGGCAGGAACTAAAACAAAGCGCACATGTGGCCGCTGGCTCCGCCTCGGCCATGTGACCGAGTGTGCAGCAGGCTGACTCAGCCGGCTCGTCATGCAGCGTCAGTCTGGAGTCGCACAATTATGAAAAAGCAACCTTCCGTTGGAGCTGCAGCCGAAGAAGCGGATCTCTCCAACGTCCACCGGGCTTTCCTTCCAAGGCTAACCGAGAGCACCGCCAATAGATGGATAAAAGCCACGACACAGCTCTTCCTGAGTCTCAACGGTGAAGAGAATGGTACGTGGTCCTGTTTGAGGGGACAGCTGCTCTACTCTTGGTTTTGTACTCCCGTAAATTAGCGCTTAAGGTTCGTCGTGACTGATCGGGGGGGCTTTTTGAGTGGCATGCTGCCTCCTGTCTGTCAAACACCCAGAGGAGACCCGAGTGGCATTTAACTGCGTTTGCTAACTGTGTCGTTGTGCAACTAAAACATTGCGACTAGTACGTAATGAGGAAAGTGTGCAGGGTGACTCACTGTCTAGCAACAAAACCCTCAAATCACACACGGGCGTCACGTTAGCACGCTACATAGCTAGCCCGCTAGCGCTAAATGCTAGATACTCAACCGAAGCTAACGAGCTAAGGCAGTTGGCTGATGTTAGCGGTGGGTTTCTTTGACACAAGACTGCAGAGACAAAGCTGCTCTTCACCGCACAGTTGCGTGAACTCCACGCAGATAAAACTGCAGTTTCAAAGAGCAGCTGGTCCTTGTTTAAGACACATTTCTGCCAGCTGCCTCAGATGTTGGACAAGGCACACTGTCATTGCCAGTAACACGTCAATGCCACCTTGAGTGTCTGCCAAGTCCGCTTAAACTAAAAGCTTTTTTCCCCCCGCAGACTAAAATGATGTTTAAATCGTGTATTTATCATCTAAAGCTCTCTTGCTTGACCTCTGCACTCACATTCACCCCTACCACAGAGCTGTTTATTGTTGTTTGAACCTGTAAGGCCCTATGGAGACAGTGTTAAAAGACAACACCAGTGTTTGTAAGTTATAATTTCTCGTCCGGCCTGCTTGTTTTCCTCCTGAACTTCCTGTCTAGTCCTCCCTGGTTGGGCAGACCAAGGAGCTCAGGGTGAGAGGAGAGAGAGAAGAGGACTTGTATCCAAAAGCTGTGACTCATGTTTGACCACACTGTCTTGTTAGTACACAGTGAGTGAGAGCTGGCTCATATTTCGCAATATGCCCTCATGACATTTGGATTAGGATTAGTGAAATGCAAAGAAACTGCTTCTATGATGCTACATGAAATATTGTGCACTGTCTCAATTTGATAATGTGGTTTATTACATCTAAATTTATGACCTAACTGATGGAGTATGGCTTGGCATTGTTTACTGTGATACATAGGGAAATAATGAAGTCTATTTCAATAATTTTACAGAATATTTCTGTAGAAATATTGTTGAAAAAGACACCAATTATGTTAAAAAGTAAAAACGCCACACTTGTAATGTGGATATGAAGGAGCTTTTGGCATTTGGTGTTGATTTCACTGAAACTGAGCAGTCCAATGTAGGTACTGTAGGATGCACTTGACAATATTGATACACCCCCTGCTGAATGTTCATGTATTTTCGGAGACGTAAGAGCAGCCCGGTTCTGCTTTCAGTCTGTCTTCTTGATTTCCCACAGTTCTGGTAGGAGTTGATCACATGCCCCAGCTTACCCCTGCATGATGAGAGACACTCCTGTGCTTCTGCTGCTGCTGTGAAAGGAAGATAGCTTTCTGATAAACGAATGCCGTTTTTTTTTTTTCAAAACACTCACTGCAATAAGGACTATGTTCGTGATAAAGTCCTATTATTTGCAAGCAACAATCTCTTATGTAACAGTGCAAGAGTGAACTGGTCACTAGCTTGGCCTTTTGTGCGCTATAGAATTCAAACTTAAAAATCCTGTCATACTAATGAGCAGAGTCAGTTTTTATACAGTATATTGAGCATATACTCTCTCTGTGTGTGTGTGTGTGTGTGTGTGTGTGTGTGTGTGTGTGTGTGTGTGTGTGTGTGTGTGTGTGTGTTGTGTGTAACTGACACAATGCTCCAGCCTGCAGAGCAACTGTGGCATGCCTCTCGGACCCCTCTTATCTCATGCTCCTAATCCATTTGCACCACACACTTGCCCTTTTGACGATGACGATGAAGTTTTTCCACTGACCCTGAACATTGCTGTCAGAAAAAAATTGGTCACATTCTCAGTGTGTTGGTTTTATGAATGGAGAGCTACCCCGGAGTTCCTACCCAGCTGACCCCCCCTACCCACCACCTCTTCCCCTCTTTTTGCAGAGCTTTAGCTCCCATGGTATACCTTGTGTATGTTGTTGTAAATCTTACATCTCTTGAACTGCAGTTTTTATATGGTACATGTTCATTTAGATACACATAGTTTTACATTTTGGAGGCCATTGTTTTGTTATTAAAGTGTTGCTTAAGTACAACACTTCAGAAGCAGTAACCTGGCACTCTCCCACTGATTCTTACCCTCGCACTGGTTTCACCTGAGTTTTTTCAGGCTCATGTAACCATGAGCTCCAGATGTTGAAAAGAGGAACCATCACATGCTTTACTCTAATAGGTTATGGAGCTGCTTGGGGGTAGGACTCGAGGGTGGCATGCCAGCATGCTATCAGCCCATGCTGCGCAGCTTCTCAGAGCTCTGCCCCAGGGCTACAAGTGTGAGAGCTGGAGAGCCGTCACACTTTGGTCTCATGACTGCATGAACTGACTTCACTCGCATACAGCCTTCCAGGAGTGTTATCCTAAGGCTTTGATGAACCCATTCCCTCTATTTATCTTTTTTTATAGGCCTAGATAAACTACTGTAAGATGCATGCACAAGGATTACATTTGATAAGGTTGGCGTGTTGTAGAAATTCCTCATGGTGTGGGCTGCATTTGGTTTTGGTGTAGCCAATCCAAAAAATGATTTTGAATTTGATTGAATAACATCAGAAAAGACAGCAATATACACTGACTGGCCAAAATAAAAGTCGCCACCTGGATTTACCAAGCAAATATGTACTTATTAATATGTAATATGTTCTTCACAATTCAGAGAAAACATTGAGGGAGATCGTAGAAACTACTAGAATTGGGTTAAAAACTGTCCAACACATTGTGAAAAACTGTAAGGATAGTGAGGAACCATCATCTTCCAGAAGGAAAAGTGGTTGAAAAACAATTCTGGATGATCGTGATCTGTGATCACTTAAACGTTTGGTCAAATCAAATCGATGAAAAAGCAACAGTAGAACTCATTTCCACAAGCACAATGAGAAGGGAACTCAAGGGATTGGGACTGAACAACTGTGTAGCCTTGAGAAAACCACATATCAGTAAAAAGGCTTCAGTTTACTAGGGAGCATAAAGATTGGACTCTGGAGGAATGGAAGAAGTTCATGTGGTCTGATGAGTCCAGATTTTCACTGTTCAAGAGTGATGGGTACATCAGGGAAAGAAGAGAGGCAGGTGTAGTGATGCACCCATCATGCCTAGTGCCTACTGTACAAACCTATGATCTGGGATCGCTGCATTTGGTCAGGTCTAGGTTCAGCAACATTTTGTGCCCAAAGAATCAGGTCAGCTGACTACTTGAGTATACTGAATGACCAGGTTATTCCGTCTATGTATTTTTTTCTTCCCTAAAGGCATGGGCATATTCCAAGATGACAATGCCAGGATTCATCAGGCTCAAAAAAGCTAAAGGTGGTCCGATGAAATATGAGAGCGTGGGACCTTTTTTTGGGGGCCAGGCAGTGTATTTACTACACTATTTCATATTGATTTTAATTTTTTTTTTATATATAGTGCTGGGATGGTAACCAGTATAAGATGCCTGATCATCTCGCCAAGGACTGCTACAGCTAGCCTGCTAGCAGCTGCGTCTTTTTCGTCTCTCCTCATTTGATGGCCTCATGCAACCATTGTCAAAGACCACTATTGTTATTTCATGGTTTTACCACATGCTTAATTTTTGCACAATATCAATGATTTTTTTTCTTAAGAGATGGTTATTGTCAATATCAGTATATCGTGACTGCTCTGGTCTATTACTAGACTTTCCGTAGGCCTACGTCTTGGGATTGCTTGTGCAACTGCAGCTCCCTTGTGATGTGAGCTAAGGAAAAGAGAAACAGTGGGGAGGAATTAAGGTTATAGCATGGAAAAAAAGTCATGACAGGAGCTTTAGTTCACTGTACCGTGGAGGATGGCCTAGTTCTGTGTTTATGCTTATAGCTATAGCAATGTACCCTTGGTTCAGTGGTGACTTGTTGTAAAACCTACTACAATTATCTGTTCAAATAATAGTTCAGACAGCTGGACATCTCAGTGCTGTGATTTATCTAAATTTGGTGGCACATGTAAGTCCAGTTTTTCCCCTCAAACTCAGAGCTTGTTTTGGTTTTCCATTACAGCATGTTGGAAACTCCTTTCAGCCATATCAGAGCCAGGACACTTTGATACCAAGTTTTTAAAGTAAACAGGAAAAAAAAATACATCAGCCTCTGTTGGTGCCCTGAGAGCTTCTCTTCTCTCTGACTGCTGCCCCTCTCTGCAGAGTTGACCCCATATCCTCAAACCCTCTGACGGGTAGTAGAATTGCCAAGCCAGATGTTACCCTGTACTACGTCAGACAGGGCCAGAGGAAGGACAGGTTGAACGGCCAGCCTCATTTCACAGTGTTGGGAAAAGAAGTAGGAGGGAGAGAGGAAGAGCTCAGCTGGCAGGATTTCTTAGTTCAAAAGTGTTTAAATTTTGTGTGTTGGGTGATGACAGTAGGAGAGCACAGTCAGAGCGTCACTATAAATGTTTCCACTGGTGAACATGCTTACACTCAAACGCATGAAAAACACAATGGCCCATTAACAAAGCACATAAAATCCTGAATTACTGAACCCGGGAGAGATGGAGAGGGGCGGGTTTAGATTTCCTATGAGAACAGAGAAATCATAAAACCTGGAGCTAAGAGAGAAACTTGAGAGGAAGAGGGAGGGAGGGAGGAAGTGTGTATGTGTGTGAGCGTGTGTTTGTGTGTTTTTGGCAGGGTCTCTAAAGTGCTCAGATCCTTTTGTTGCCTGACATTCTCAGGTACCATAGTAACAGGTTAGCAGGACACAGTCCCGCTTTATCTGCCTTATTAATGCTTTGTTTGATGGAGTTGGAACAAGACGGCAAACCAGTTTGTGTCATGGTGTTTTTCTGGCATCCATCGCCAGTTCTCCAGGTACCGAATCATAAAACAGGAAATTAGATTTCAGGCATTAGTTATCGTAATTACTCAATGAACCAAAGGGAACTGAAGAGTCAGTAAGCTGCAGTGTTCAACGACAACACAGCATATAACAACATCACAACAACAAAACCATGACATACACGTTATTTAGGCCGCTGATCAGAAAATTCCTCCAAGCGTCATTACCTTTTCCAAATTTTTTAGATATGCATATTTATTTCATCAGGAGTAAAATGAAAAGATGGATTAAACTTACAAATTGGTTTGATAACATGAATTAGATAATCAAAGCAGAAATACAGGAAGCACTGACAGCCACTATAACTTTGTTAATAACCTGGATGGAGACAGAATAGCTATATCCTTCTCTTTTTAGTAATATAATGAGCTTGACTGTTTTTATTTATTTTTTAACCCCAAAGAATGTTGAAATATTTAGCTCCAAACACAGGGTGGTTGATAACTTTAAGAGGACACCACTATTACTTTTTGAGTTGTGGAATTGCACAATATTTTGAGGGGTTTTAGTAAATCTTCGTACCCTTGCAGGTTAGGGCTTATATTTTCACCCCCAAAACAGTTGCTTTGATTTTAGCTCCCAAGTAATGTGTAATATAAAAAAATGTCTCACATCATCTGTGTTTTTAACCCTTGACATAGCAGCCTCAAATTAAGTAAGATATCTTTATGGCTTAAAAATGAAAACAAGATTATTAACAAGACATTTGCATGATCCAAAAATCTATTTGTGTTGGTCTGACTGAAACTGGATTTTCAAAAATCATGAGCACACTCAATTATGACTCAGTTGGACACAAACTAGCCTAAGTGTTGTGCGCATGCTCTTTAGTTTGCATGAGGGGTTTTGACCTGGTAGTTGATCAGCTCTTTTGCTAATGTGTTTGTCGATTGTTTTGGTGTGTGAAGTAATGGCAGTTTTGTTTTGCAAAACAGATTTTAAAAAAGCAGAATAAGTTACACAAAAGACTAAAAAAACAATATCAGTGATAAACAAAATAAACGTAAGTCTGCATATGCATGAACTATGTATAAATGGTGTAATTTAAACAGTGTATCTGAGATTTGAGACATTTATGTAACGTCCCAGCCTAGGACTCCCAACCCTTAGTTATTCTTGAGCAGCGCCACAATTATTTTCAGAGTATAATCAGGACTGTTTATGTCATATATGGACTCAGCAGATGCAGAATTCAGACCTTGATTTCAACATCAAACATCTACCTTTTTATATAGATATGTGAGGCCATGTTTTGTGTTACACATTAATGTGAGTTTGCTGCCTGAACTTTCTGGGGCCTTTTTCCTGGAAATAAGTTTCAAAATAAAGGAGGCCTCTTGAATTGCCTGCCCTCAGTAGTCAGGAGAGGTTTTGTGTGTGCTGCATGAATCACAGTTGGTGGTGTGTCTTCAGTAGACAACTAGGTATATATCATTGAAGCCTCTGCCCATGTTCTAATCCTCTCCCACACCCCCGCCTCCCTCGTCTCTTTCTCCCCAGTGTTAAGTATAATATCTAGTTTGTGTCAGACACATTCATCTGCCCCCTGAGTGCCTTCTTACAGATTAACAGTGGATGGAGTTTGGAGGCTGCAACCGCTTACTGATCACTCAGCTTTTAACTCAGGCCGGATCTGTACGGTAACGGCATCGCTGTAGACTTTGACACCTGTATGGATACTGTGTTCAGATCGTCTTCAGAAGGACGGGGCTGGCAGAAGTCGGTTTGTTGCTGATGATCCCGTACTCAGGGGAGACTGTGGTGACTGTGGTTTGTCCAGGAGATGCATGAAGGAGCCCTGCTATGTTCCTGTACAAAGCCCTTAAACACAGAGATGAAGAGGAGGACCTCCAGGTATTCGCTCAGTGGCTCAGTGGGATGATCTGGTTGTTGAGATTTCCTTAAAACCATCCTTTGTGTTAGGCAGCTTTGAACCTAAGACACTGAGGATGGCGCTGCTTCCTTAAGGGATTGATGGAATTATTAATTACTTATAACTTTTCCTGTGTGCGTAGTCGCTTTTGTTTCTTTATGTGCCAAATTCAGCGACAACAAGGAAAAACTCAACTGTTCGCTGCCACTTCCACAACATTTTCATTCCTGATGTTTTCACAGTGCTATTGTAAGAGCGTCAGGAGTATTTGAGAGCTTTGGTCTAAAGCAGGTGATGGTGTTTGCAGGTTCTCCTCTTAGTGCTGGGAAGGATTAGAGCCGCTAATCTGTGCTGGGTCCCTCTCAGCCGCTCTGAGGGGGGAACCAAGAGTTAGAAATTGAAAATTCCTTCGAGATAAATCCTCCTTGTAAAAGAGTAGCGATTATTTAAAACAGCTTATAACAATGGCCGACACCTGCGGCTGACATGCCTCCTGAACAACAGTAGTATAGCTGTAGTAGATCAAACTCTCCTTTTTAAACACAAATATGATTCATCTTTTTGTTCTGCTTTTCTTTGTCTTTTTAAAGCAACAATCGGTTAAGTGTCAGCGGTGTTTGTATAAAAACTTCATTTCTACACAGGGGAGCATTGTTGTTTTTAACATCTATGGGGGAGAATTAGATGAACAGCTTGAATTTACTGAAAGCTAACATAATAAAGCAGCAGGAACATCATCTGACATTTATTGCTCACAATATGCAACTGCTTTTTTTTGTTCACAGTCCCAGAAACCCTGGATAGAAAACACTTTCACCAAGAGGGAATGTGTGTACATACTTCCAGTGTCAAAGGACCCCCACAGGTATGTGCTCAACCTCACAGCATAGTGCTTTGTGGTGATAGCCATGGAAACTGTGTAATTGTACAGTGCGCGCTTAAAGATGGCTCAAACTTTAACCACCACTCTCCATAGAGAAAATGAGTCTGTTTCTACATAATTTTGATGTTTATGTCTGTCACTGTAATTACAGCGTTAAGTGTGAGGGAAGACCATAGATGATGAACCTGTGTGTTACATTTTCTCTGAGTCATATTATTTATCAATCTGCCAAAATCATTACAAATGAATCTCTGAAAACATTACAGTTATCTATTTGAGTCAACTCTAAATTACATATTTTGTTTACAACCTCTTGCTGGTTCAAACTAAAACTGTTCTTGTCAGTGTGTGCGTGCGTGCGTGCGTGCGTGCGTGCGTGCGTGCGTGCGTGCGTGCGTGCGTGTGTGTGGAGAACTGATGTGAACATTTTTTCATCCAGTGGAGCAGGATTTTTCTGCAGACTTACTGGAATCTTACAAAGCAGTGTTGAAATTGTTAACAAGGCTTCTCATTGGCTCAACATGTTGGTCACTCAGACCCATTAAAACGTCTATCACAGTCCTCCAGCTCGTATTATGGCCATGTACTTATTCAAAAACACCCTTTGCTTCTTGAATTCTTTGTTGTTTAATATTAAAAAGTTGCTCATAGTTTCACGTTTTTACTGTTTAACCTTTTCTTTGTGTGTAAGCCATTTCTGTGTCTAGTTACTCTTTTGGAGATGGAGCATTCCTCCCTTTTGTAAAGTCACAGTGATAATGGATAACCCTCCACTTAAGTTTTCTTTTGCATCAATTATTTGCCACTTGCTTTTCTTCTCTAACTAAAGTACGTGCTGCTGCTTTAGGACGAGTCTGAACTGTTAGTGAACACGGGCTCATTTCACATCAGGCCAGAGATCTGCATGTGACTGCGATCAGAGTGAGATTCCTGTTGGCAGGTTTCACTACTTGCTCTTGGTCAAAGGCCAATCTAACTGGGCCGCCTGCCCAGCTCACAGATAACCCTCCTTTATGTCCTCAAACACTTTGTCCAACTAAAACGAAGTTCTTCTTAAGAGTGATCAGACTACTTTAACTGTGTCCGTGTCTTCGAAAGCATGCCTTTTATTCAGTCGCTGTCTGCGTGTTATACAAAATAAAATCCCTGATTAATTATGCTGTTGTGAAATTCCTCTCCAGATGCCTTCCAGGATGCCAAATCTGTCAACAGCTAGTCCGGTAAGTACTTGTTGAGCTTTTGTTTCACTAATTCTTTGTAACCTGACAAGTTACTTTACACCAGGAAAAAAGTCCCTGTGGGCAAATTCTTTTACGGTATAATTCCACACTGCAACAGCGACCCTCCTCAGGAAACAATTAGCTTCCAGGCTTTGTGTGTCAGGATACACTCTCTCACCATTAAAGTAGTTAAAGGAGGTGAAAGGAGAACAAACAGCGGGGATCAGTGATTAATTAAAACAATAATAGACTGAAACAGCACACTTTATAGTACAACTTTATAAAAGTCTTCAAAGTCTCCAACCCAGTAATTATGACTGACTGGTCAAAGAAATTTTCAGTTTTTTATTAATAGAGAAAGAAAGATATTGTAAGGATCCAACTGTGAAGAGACGTGTTCAAGATACTTTTGCACAAACACACATTTGGTTACCCAACCATGCACACCACGAAATGTTGTCTTGTCAAATTGTTGTTAATTGTTAGGTCTTGTTGCATGTGGAGGGAACTAAGCTGATCTCCTTCTGTAATGTAGCACAGATTTGAGCAGCTGAAACAACTGGGGATTGCAATATGTCAGATTTAGCCAGCTAACTTGGCTAAAGGTCCTTACACACCGGCGAATGTGCGGAGCGAAGCGAAAAAGCGAGACGAAAATTGAGAATATTCGCCGGTCCGAAAAATCGCTTTCGCCTATACACACCGGCTGCGAAGCGAATATGCGAATATTTTTTGCAAAGCGAATTAATAAAGTCGCTTTGCGGCACGGACATGACACATGACATCTGTCTCCTAAGGAAGACAAGAGAGTGTCATCTTGTGAGAAAACTACTTCATTAGTAATTCGAAAGAGTTTTGGATGCACCTCAGCTGTCTTTCTCTGCGTTTTCATAATCTCAAACTTCTCCCTCTCCTCCAGCCGTGTTGGTCTGTGACGTCATCAACAACATGACTTTTGATTGGCCAGAGGTCTAGCAGGTCCAGATATTGGCCTGCGAATATCCGAAAAATTCGACACAGGAGCGAAAAAATAAAAGCGGCTTTTCGCCCCGCGGAAAAATCGCCGCCGGTGTGGAAGCTTGCATTGACTTTATGCTGTTTTAAAAAAAGGCGAATAATTCGCTTGGCGAATTGTCGCCCGGTGTGTAAGGACCTTAAGAGTAATATATTTCTATTAATAGTTGGCAACATTTTCTCTGGTTGAACCATTTCATAATAAGAGTCCTTTGGATTTCAACGGTTAGTATTTTGAATAAAATGAAACACACGACAGAATATTTCTTTACACCATAGAAGACAAATCACTTTGAGATTATTCATTAATGGATAACCCACAAGAATCCTCTCATCTGCTTGCTGGATTGACACCTGTGCTGTGAGTTGTCTGAAGACCACACTCTGAGTGTCAAGTGAACTCCAGTTTCTTGAACATCGATTAGTTTTTTTGGGGGGGGGTTAAAACCTTGTTCCACCTGCTTCCCTCAGTCACAGTTTCTGTTAAATCAAAATTGGATAATGCAGTTTGGGAGGCAATCGTATTCAGTTTAATTCAGCAAACTTTGTTTAACCTTGAAGGACAATGACAAGTCCATGTTGTATGAACCACAAGCAGAGGGCTGCTATGATATTCTTTCTTTTGTAAACTGTCTTTGAACATAATACAAATACAACACAGGGAAATTCATTAATGTCTAAACGTTTGTAATAATTATGTAAATTTAATTATTAAAAGCGTATCAGTGTTTTCAAAGTCTTTGCTGAAGTATTGGACCGCTCTTCAGATACCATCATTGAAGTGTCTTTATGGTTCCCTGCCGGTTGTTAAGCATTTGTTAAGATGGAGCCTTTATTTGACAGATGTTAAATAAAGGAGACAAAAGACCTGTGTTCAGAAGGTGTGTCAGGGATCCTCGTCTCTCATGTTATGCTTATATGTGAATGTATCAAACAATGTGTGCTATGATTAACCTTCTTTTTTAATGCATCAATATAGTGTTGTCTCATACCACCAGTCTAAAGTTATTGTGATGACATTCAAGGTGCCGTTGCGGGCGGCTGGTCCGGCAGCATGTTGGCTTCACAGCCAGCTTGGCCACCAAGTACTCGGATGTGAAGTTGGGTGAAAACTCCAATCTGTCCTTGCCCGCGGTGGAGGAGTGGTCGGTGGAAAAACACACAGAGGCGAGCCCCACTGACGCCTATGGTGTCATCAACTTCCAGGGAGGGTCTCACTCATACAGAGCCAAGGTAGGAAGGCAAACCTCTTTGCAGAAGAGCTTGTTCTTGCTTTCAAGTTGTTTTATTAGATTAGATAAGATTAGATTAGATTTTCCTTTATTCATCTCTCAGTGGGGAAATTAATTAAAATTTATAAAGAATGCAATGTAAATATTTACTTTTATACAATTAACCCAGCTCAGTCCTGTGTGATAAGATTTCTCAGCTCATTACAAGTGAAAATTTCAGTGTGTATTAAACTACTGAACAACCACTAACAGCACAGAATAAGAGGGGAAAGGTCGAAAAAGTCTACCCCATATCTGTACAACCGCACACTCAATTTGACAAACTTTTTTTGATTATTCAGTGACCATGTGATTTCAAAACAAAAGCACCAAATGTGTTTCCCAGTTCTTTGATAGGGAGGTTTTCTTTCTTTGACTTTCTTGTGTCCGTGAAAACTTTGGCAGTATGTGCGTTTGTCCAACGACTCGCGGCCGGAGAGCATCTTACGGCTGATGCTGAAGGAGTGGCAGATGGAGCTGCCAAAGATCCTCATCTCTGTCCACGGAGGAGTTCAGAACTTTGAGCTGCACCCGCGCATCAAGCAGGTGGTGGGGAAGGGTCTCATCAAAGCTGCAGTCACCACCGGGGCCTGGATACTTACTGGAGGGGTCAACACAGGTATGTAGCTGATAATAAATCTGTGGTGTCTCAGCAGCGAGCTAAAAAGTCATTCAGACATGACTGTTAAGCTCCCAGATACCTAACAATACAAAAAAACTCTACAGCGCTGGCAAATAGCACTTAAACTCACACAGTCAGGTTAGCGGGCTACAGATTCTTCAGTCACTGGACTTTGTGAAAAGAGAGGAGACACACATGAAGAAGCAGAGGTAGAGAGAGAGATCATTTTTTGAGATGCAGTTCCATGGAAATGCAGATTCTTCATTTGTTGGTCAGACACTGACTTTTGTTTGCGATCCTTGCAGTGAGTTTGTCCTTTGCCGATTTATGAAGTTGAAGTCTGTTGACATTTGTAGGTGTGTGCTGTGTAGTGCATCAGCAACATTATTGGCATTATTGCTGAAACCAGTGTTTGATTAAAGCTTAGTGGTAGGCCTGAAAAACACACAACCACCCGCTCTTAATAAAGCACTACCAGAAGCACCATGTCAAACAACTAGTGTTTGCAGTTCCTCTTGATTTGAGTATTCATGTGTTGCCAGGTTGCTAAGGAACAAGTGTTTGATATTTTAATCATGTTTGTTAAACATGTGTATTTATTTCTGTTCTTATATTCTGGCCCACACAGTAAGTTGAGTCAGTCTGAAGTAACCTTGCACATTGAGGACTGATCTTAGTCTCTGTCACACAGTGAGGCTCACGCTCGTTCATGAAATCGGATCAGGGTTCAATATCAACCCATTAGAGGACCAGTTTGATGTATCAGAACTGAAAAAGACTGATATCTGCATCCCTGGTTAAGATGTTTGTTATTATGCAATTATTATTTCTGAAACAAAAAAAAAATAGTTCATATTACCGCTGTAAATACCACATTTGTGATTTTAAAGACTCCTGCTGTGAGAAGAGAAGTATTATTGTCATTGAAAAGACACGGCTGCTAAATACTTCTTACTCCCCCCCTTGCTCTCTTACAGTTTCTCTAATGAACACTCTCTCTCACTTACATCGAGCAGAAAGCTGCACAAACACTCAGCCACCATCAGTGTGATGCGCTGATGTAGCAGAAGTTGTAATACCGGGCTTTAAGCATGTCATTTTGCTGTGTGTCGTGGCCGATGTGTCTCTGCAGCCACAGCACAGCGTTAAGATGATGTGGTCTGATCATAGTGTTTAAATCATTACTCACAGGGTCAATTACCCAGACCAGTGATTACTTTTAATGCCTCTCTGGCACCCAGGCCAGTTGGGAGGGTCTCCTGGCTCACAAATTACTGCTGAACCCATGAGATCTATTAACCGAGAACTGTGGCTCACTTCAACCTCAGGGCTAATGTATTTGTTGTAGACTTGCCCCCTGTATGCAGCGCTTTGGTTACAGAAGCTAGAGGGTGTTGGCTTTTTCTGTGATGTTTCCATATACACAGTTATTGGTTTCTACAGCACTTAATTTCTAGTTCTCAGCTTCTGTCTCAGCTGGCAGTGAAGTTTGGTTCAGGCTGAATACCATCAAAAACTTGTGGCTCCTCTTTAAAGGCCCTGTAAGGAACTTTTTGTTAGGTCAGTTTTGGTGCCCCTTGTGGAAAAAGCAGTCTTGATTTTATCTTGTGCTTGAGATGCTCAAGTAGTATCCTCTGAAAAAAATCATCTTGCTAACTTTTGACTGTCAGATAAATTACTTTTATGTGAATATTAAACAGAAAACTGGGCTTTTTCTTCAGCAGCTCCTCTGATTTCTACACAAAGCTCTGGTTTCAGGCATTTAAAATGACAGTATGAAACACACCTGTCCTGTCGCAGATGGTCTTGTTTGCTCATTTATATTATTGAAAGGTATCAATTAGGGATGGGCAATAAATTGTTGTTCGCAATATATCGTCAGAAAAAATCCTCCATGATAAATGTTTGCCATCTCATTATAAATATGATGACGTAAGCACGAGCGTCAGATTCACAGCCACAGCCCACACAGAGCAGAATAACAAACAAACAAGGCCGAAGGTAATGAAGAAGACGTTTCTGAGCAGCTCGATTCTGAACAAGGCTTTATATGAGGGATTTCTTTCAAGATCGGGGCTTAGATGAGCACAATCAGGTATGCCTGACATCGGACAGCTTCTGTTCACTCTGTGCAGTAAGAGTTTTTAACAAATGTTGAAAATGTTTTCACATTTGAGTAGTGCTGGGCGATAGGACGATAGATATCGTGGGCACGATAGAAAATGTCTATCGTGCCATTTTTATTTTTATCGTTTCGGGCGATAGTCTGTATTTTATCCATAGGGCTTGTGCCATCAGATGATTCATAGTAACAACAACAATAATTGCACATTCAGTAAGTGTATTTGGTGTCGAACGGGAAAGAAAACAATATTTTCTTACAAAGAAAAGGATGCGTTGACATGTAGGCTTGCATTTCTCTTTCGATTTTGCGACATGACGCCGCTTTACGTGCCCTCTTCGTGTCCAGCGTCTCCCGCCGTTGCGGGTTACCTGGGTTACACACGTGAGGGGATCATTGTAAGCAGTGCTTAAATTGTGCCGGAGCAAGTCGGAGCGCGATCCGGGACCTCTTTTGATTGGATCCGGGACCTATTTCAGCCGCTCCGGCACCTGTTTCATCTGCTCCGGGACCTTCCCTGTAGAGGATGACATTTTTCGGGAATTCCCGTGGGTCACGTGATTCCCGCGGGAATCCCACGGGATGGGAGTCATTTTTTAATTAATCCCTTGATCGGGACGGGACGGGAAAAAAAGGCAACGGGAGTGGGCAGGAGCGGGAACAACATTAAAAGATGATCATTTTCAGCCGTGTTTAACAACCAGATGAACAGGTGCGTCCATTTTTGTAGTCATCTCTCAGTGAGAGCCAACACTCTTGACCGCGCTAGCAACACAAAAGAACTACAACAGTGGGTTGACTTCCTGTCAGCTGGGAGCGCGGCTGCGCATTTCTACCCTTCAAGCCAGCAGCGAGGAAACGTAATTTTGTGACATTCTGTAGTTTTTCAATCATTTCTGGAGTCGTGGCGAATCAAATCACCTTACCTGTCTGCCCCTGATAGGCGAATAAAGCGCTCGGATTCATGCTCGGGTCTTGCTACGTGCTTCAAGAGTAAAGTAAACAATGATGGAGGCAGAGAGCAGCTTTGGAGGAGAAACATCAAGCAGTGTGAACAACCTCTTCAAAAGAGCCCTAAAGACCTACCTTTTGAATAAAGCCTTTGGTTAGTTTTCCTCTATGCTTTATGCTTTTACTACCTTGCCTCTTACATTGCAACTCTATATTTTTTATTTTTTTTAATTCTTTTTTTATGCCAATCTGTGACTGTCATTCTATTGCTTTTTTTATTGTTGCTGCTCTTTTTTTACTGTGTACTGTAGCACTTTGAGATTTTTTGTAAATGTAAAGTGCATTACAAATTAAATTTATTATTATTATTATTATTATTATGGAGTGCTTTGGCTCACACTATCGGCGTTTTCTGTGAGTGTTGCATAACTTTGGGTGAGCACAGACATGAACGCACTTCGGCCACGTATTTATTTATTCATTTTTCTAGTTTTAAGTGCTGGTCTTGTACTGGTACTGTACTAGTGCAGCTGTATACACTTAAATTTTTCATAGAACTGAAAGCATACCATAGCTATATCGTGATATATATCGTTATCGTGATATAAAATGATCCATATCGTGATATACATTTTTTTCCATATCGCCCAGCACTACATTTGAGACTTGTTTGATGTCATTAGTTTTCTCCATAATCTACCTCTCAAACTTGTGGTTAAGTATCTTATTTGACTTCTCCAGCTGGTGTTCTCAAGTCAAAATGAGTCAAAATAAAGATTGGAATCATAGTATTTTTTATCATGACCTTTATCGTTATCGCCAGAAAGGCAAGTCCTATCCTGATAAATTTTTTAGCCCATATCGCCCATCCCTACTATCAACATACATCTCACCGTGTTTAGTGAATGTCAAAAAACACCTCAATTAAGTGAAAAGTGGAAGTCTATTGCTTAACCTGGTGTTTTCTTTTAAAGGTGTGGCCAAGCATGTCGGAGACGCTCTCAAAGAGCACTCTTCAAGATCATCAAGGAAAATTTGCACTATTGGGATCGCACCCTGGGGAGTCATTGAAAACAGGAACGATCTCATCGGCAGAGACGTAAGTTCTAGCTGTTAGACTTTGAAAACCTGTCTTTTTTAAGGTGTTAGTTTGAATAATTTTTATCAAGAGATTTATTTTAACCCCTGTTCACCTATCCTTGTGGCAGATTATTGCTCCGTATCAGACGCTGCTGAACCCTCTCAGCAAACTGAACGTTCTCAACAGTCTACACTCTCATTTCCTCCTGGTGGATGATGGGACAGTAGGCAGGTACGGTGCCGAGGTGAAGCTGCGGCGAGACTTGGAGAAGCACATCAACCTCCAAAGAATACATGCACGTAAGAAAACAAAAACTTGCATACAGCAGCTGTAATTTCTTAGATACCAGAGCAACAAGAGATTATATGGGATTACTTAAGATCTGCAGAGGCAGTCTGGGGATCCTCTCTGCGATGATGCTATGACATTATTTGAGTTAAACAAACAGCAAATCTCTTATTCAGGTATTTTGAGTTTTATTCTGGTGTTGTGGTTTGCATTTGTAGCAGGCTTGTAGTCCGAAGAGGATTGGCCAATCACGTTTTAGCAGGCTTTGGCTTATGCAAGAAAAATAGTCTTGAGTGGTTTGCAAGAGCAGAGGGGACACCTACTGCTGCAGTGACTTTACAGCTCCCATTAGCTGTCATTTTTGGATAGTTCATTTATCCTTATATTCAGATATTTTCATGCCGCTAACAAACTGTTAAAAAAATTCAACCTGAGACACGAATCTGCTTAGTGCTGTTTTTCAAAAGCCCTTCAGCTACCTGGGAAAACAGCTGATCGGACCTTTTATTCAATATTTAAAAAGTGGTTTCCTCTTCTGCTTGAGGACAGAACCGACAGAGTTTATTTTCTTCACAATATTATTTTTGCATACTTTAAAGCTGTAAATTCTTAGTAAATCAAAAGGTTCTTTTTCAGGTTTATACAACAGAAGTCAAAGTAGAGACTTGGAGATGCACAGTTACTTAAAGCAGATGAATGGGTGCAGACAGTATAAGAAGTTTTGGCTTGAAGTTGTCTTCATAACGCTGTCTTACAACAGAATTATTGCAAGGTTGGTCTGTTCCCAGAGGCATAAATTTTAGTATTGACGAGATGGGCTCCAAGATTGCATGGTTTCAGTTGCTTACAATACAAACTATCAACAACTGCAACTGTCGGCTCTTGATCACCAAGCTCTGTCGTCTCATAAACTTGTAGTCTCCGTTGTTACATCTATAGAAACATTTGTGTACCTATCACAGCAGTCTGAGACATATAACAGTAAATTCTCTTTCTCTATTGTCCAGATAGGATTAAACTCCTCATTGTCATTATATGTCAGTTTGAGTCTGCCAGGTGAAAACTTGCTGATAACACTGAGTTGGCCATTATCATCTCAGCCTTCCTCTAACAGTCGATCGGCTGAGCTGGTTTTGGGTGAATAAAGTATCATGAACCTAGACTTTAGTCCTGCTTTCCATCTTTTGTCCTTTAGGAATTGGTCAAGGAGTTCCTGTTGTGGCTCTGATCTTTGAAGGGGGTCCCAACGTGATTTTGACTGTGCTGGAGTACCTTCAGGAGAGCCCTCCTGTCCCTGTGGTGGTGTGCGAGGGGACCGGCCGCGCTGCTGATATACTGGCCTACGTCCACAAGCAGACTGAGGAGGGAGGGTAAGACTCACACGCACACACGCAGGCGGGGGCGGTGTAGGTTGAGCGTGGATGGTGTGCCAAAGCTCAATCTTTCTAAATCCTTTCTTTTACTTTTTTGTTTAATCTTTTTGTAAAAGCACAAATTACATAACAGAGAGATGAGAGAATAGAAGAGGAGTAAGTAAGTTCTGGGTTTCAGCAAATGATCTGTTAAATATTTGAAACCGCGGTTAAAAACAGTTAAAGTTTGAAGATTTGAAAAAGCATTATGCTGCTGTCGCTGATGAGTCATTGACTTTGTGTTACTCTTTAATTCTTCCACAGCAGCATAGTTGGTGACTCTCTTCTATTTCTGTTCCTAAAGGATTTCTAACGACCAAACCTCAGCCTGAGCTGTTCGAACGGAGCTGAAAATAATTAAACTTTAGTGTCACTTATAAGAGCACAATGTTCATCTCTGAATCGTATCAAATTAGAGAATTACAAATAAATCTCATAAAATTTCAAATAGTTTGCCGTCTTTGGTCTGATGTCTTTGCACTCTGTAGTGATCAATTTTATTCATTTAGCCTGGAACGATCGACACATTTATCTATGAATGATTTGTGTGTTTACTTTATTAACTTGTATGTACTGTGTTTTGGCACTTTGTGGATTTGAGCGCTTTGAAGCTGTTTGGGTTGAAGCATTTTTGTCCGTACTATTTGTTTCATTCTCTGTCTACAGCGGTCTCCCTGATGGGGTGGAGACAGACATCATAGCAACCATTAAAAAAACCTTCAACTTCAGCCAGAGCGACGCCATCCATCTCTTTCAGACTCTGATGGAGTGCATGAAGAGCAAAGAATTGGTAAATTCATGTTCATTGAAGTTTAAAAGGCATAGTTTCTGCTTATTTTTTGTGATTGCATACACTTCTGGTTTTGATGCATTCATTTCTACTTCAATGACTGAGGACTAACCTTATAAATGTCATAGTCGGTGTATTAAACTTTAAAAATCAATGAATGATTCACAAGAAAAAGGAGGAAATGAAGCAACTTCTGACTAAGAGAACCTGTTTACAAGTGTGGATCACTTGAGTATTTCTATTTTTAATTCAGGGATGTGATTCTGGATGATTCTTTCAAATTCAGGTTTTTTTTTTCAACCTGGAGAGATGACCCACAGGTATCATGAAAAAAAAACTTCTTTAAAAGAAGAGAGTAATAAACTATTTGTTGAAGAGAGAGCATTTCTGAACGTTCAGGGTTAAACAATCAGGACCATACTTTTTACTTTCATTATCCTCATGTTGATGTTGGCGATGAACTCAACCATTTTTTTTTTTTATTGCCATGTTCAATCGTTGTTAATTAGCATTGCATTAGCTTCAAAGTACACAACGCTATCAGCTAACAGGGTGGTATAAAGTGCAGTTGTTGCCAGTGCAGTTGTTAGACACAGCTTTTTGTCCAGTGCCAATCACATCCCTGTAAATTGGTTCACCTCATGTCACAAACTGGAAACATGTAAATAAAACATGTGGAAACATGTTAGTAAGTGCTGTCTTGTGTGTTGGAAAACAGATCACTGTGTTTCACATCAGCTCAGAGGAGCACCAGGACATCGATGTGGCCATCCTGAGGGCTTTACTCCAAGGTGAGTCCACCACTTCTCTCTGAACCTTGTATATTGGAGGTAAAGTCACATAAAGTTCATCCAGTCTATTCATGTGCTGAGCTTGTTGGCATTAGGAGATTAAAATTTCAAGACTTGGTAATGTTTTCCTTCTGATATCGATATGCTTTGAGAACAGACTCCCCCCTTTTGTGTGGCCTGGTCTTTGTATTTTTGAGGGGATCATGTTGCTCACATTCACAGGGCCTCCTTATTCCAACACTGTCAGTCACTGAGCTGCATGTCTCAGGCTTTCTCCTCTTCATTCCTACAGTTACTTTGACAAACAGTTGACTTTTCTTTTCAAAACACTGCAGAGCTTTTGGATGTTGTTTTTTTATTTTTTTTATCAAATGCATTCCAACAAAAAAGCAAGAGCAGTTTTTATGAGTTATTTTTCCCAAAACTTATAAAGGAAGCTGTCGTTCCTGAAAAAAAAAAATGTGTTTCATTCCATTGAAGCAGGTGCAGCTGATCTGTGCAGGTTGTACAATCTCATTCCAGTTTACTTAGACAAAAGAGAGGGAATTTGTGAGTGACTTCAGCTGATTGATAGTTTGAGGGGGAAAAGGTTGAGGCTGAGACCCTGGAAAACAAATAGACTTTGACTGAAAACGCTCACTCTAGTAAATATTTGTCAGGCTTAAGGTGAGGTAAAACAGTAACTCATCTTCAGAGGGACCCCAGGCCACATAAATCTCTGATGCAACTGAAAGAGTAACTAGTGATGCTTTAAGATTCAATCCATTGAGAAATGAAAAGTTTAAAAAGTTGTTAACGCTAGTTTTACTTAACTATACCTAAAAATACATCCTTATTTAATGAATTGGTTGTTTTTAGCAGATAAACTTGTTAGAGTCTCTTCTGCGATTCTTCAGGGACATCTAAACAGTGGTTATAATTGTTTGATTCAGATGGCTCCTAGAGGACAATAAAGCAGATTACTGTGGAAGAGAGCGGTAGACTGAACAGGGATTTACTTTGCAGTCTAAGCTGCTACGATGCTGTATTAGGGTGTAATTGAGTGTATTACTGCCTGGGCCCTGCTCCCCTAACTCCCTCTAATCCTTCGAGCTGGCTAACAGGAAATACACAGTTAATAAAGCTTTACTTGCATGCGAATACATATCTTTTTGGAGAGTGTGTGTGTGTGGGGGTTATTTCATGACTGCCACTCTTTTTTTTTTTTTCCAGGCACAAACGCAACTGCCTTCGATCAGCTGGTCCTGACTCTGGCCTGGGACCGCGTTGACATTGCCAAGAATCATGTGTTTGTGTACGGACAGCAGCTCTTGGTACGTCTGCATGTTTATTTGTGTGTCTTTTTGTGTGTTTGTGTGTGAGCCACAGCCTCTCGTCTTGTTTGCTCTGCTCAGTATTAGCTCCGAACCTTTGGACTTGCCCACAATGACCCCAGAATCTCCTCCAACCACAATCTGCAGTCTGGGGAGCCCAGGGGACTGGACTGGGCTGGCTGCCATGAGCTGCATGTCTTTGCTGTAACTTGAACCCTATGACAGTTGTCTTCATAAGCTTCCCTCAGCACTCGTGTTTATTTTAAAACTGGGGGAATCCTGACTGGTACTTGAATGAGGGGATAGCTTGTGTTTGTTTGTCCTTTTTTTTTATTCTTGCAGTTTGGCCATAATTTTAGTCTTCTCCCTTTTTGTGTTTGTTTTATAAACAACGAATTGCTATACAAATATGCTTCATACCAGTGTGTTTATCCTTATGTGTGTGTTTAGGTGAGCTCTTTGGAGCAAGCAATGCTGGATGCACTGGTGATGGACAGGGTAGAATTTGTCAAGTTGCTCATTGAAAATGGAGTCAGCATGCACCGTTTTCTGACAATCAGTCGACTGGAGGAGCTCTACAACACGGTAATGCTGTGCGGCATGCACTAACTGGATTTAAGGGAGAGATTTTCAAAATAAAGTCCCTCTTATAAACCCTTTTGTGAATATTTATTTGTTTTAGAAACAACCCAGCAGCAACCCAAATCTTCTCCACCTGGTTAGGGATGTGAAGCAGGTAGGTTTTGACCTTTTTGAATTCATCTTAAATTAAAAAAAGTTTGCAGGGTCTGTTCAATCTTAACTCACCCTTTTGCTTCTGTTCCCCCTCACAGAGTCATCTCCCACCAAACTATAAGATCACGTTGATTGATGTGGGCCTGGTTATTGAGTACCTGATGGGCGGGACTTACAGGTGCAACTACACCAGGAAGCGTTTCAGAATCATCTACAACAATCTCCACGGCAGCAATAGGGTGAGTTGTATTTGTTGCCCGTCATTGCAGGAACATGAAAAAAGTACTTGAAGGTGCTAATATTTAGAACTTCTGTCATATTATAATCTGCTGTGCTGTGAAAACTCACCACAGTAGCATTTGATGTGTAACAGCAGCTGCTATTTATATTATCTCCACAGAGGTCAGGGCGCCAAACTGCAGGTCCTGGTTCTCATTTGAGGAAAAGTCATGAGGCTTTCAGCATGCAGGCTGACAAGAAGGAGAAGACGAGGCACAACCACTTCATCAAAACCGCACAGCCGTACAAACCCAAGGTACAGTCCCCAATCAAAGCTGCATCTAGACCGGAAGTTCACTGTAAAGAAAAGATCCGTCAGGGTTTCTTTCTGCGTTTGAGCGGTCATGGTGGGGTTTGAATATCAGAGTTTACCTTCTTACTGATCGTTTCTTCTGCTTTCAGCTTGAATCCACCCAGGAGCAGAACAAAAAGAGGAGCAAAGAAGAGATCGTAGATATAGACGACCCAGAGACGAGGCGTTTCCCCTACCCCTTCAATGAGCTGCTGGTGTGGGCCGTGTTGATGAAAAGGCAGAAAATGTCACTCTTCTTCTGGCAGCACGGTGAGGAGAACATGGCCAAGGCACTGGTGGCCTGTAAGCTCTACCGGTCGATGGGCTACGAGGCAAAGAAAAGCGATGTTGTGGATGACACCTCAGAGGAACTCAAGGAATACTCAAAGTGAGTTATGTCTTCAACTCTCTCATTTCCTCCCTTTAAGTGCAGATATGACTTAAATCATTCTGTTTTTTATTAATTCAGCGAGTTTGGGACGTTGGCGGTGGACCTGCTGGAGCAGTCGTTCAGGCAGGATGAGACCATGTCGATGAAGCTGCTGACCTACGAGCTGAAGAACTGGAGCAACTCCACCTGTTTGAAGCTGGCTGTGTCCTCACACCTGCGGCCATTTGTGGCTCACACCTGCACCCAGATGCTGTTGTCAGACATGTGGATGGGACGGCTAAACATGCGCAAGAACTCCTGGTACAAGGTTCATGTTCCATTTCGATTTTATTTTTGGTAACAAACAAGCACCTGGGGGGAAACAAGTGCTGTAATCAGTGCTGACAAGCGGATGCTGGGGTTCAACAGCGACAAGAATAGGTCTAAGTACTCCTTGACACAAAAATATCAACTAACTCTGTAACGGTTCAATATTCATACTGGCCAAGTTTTGGCACAAAGTTCTACTTGACAGTCTGCTTATTTTCTGAAGTGTCTTTTTCTCAGTGTAAATATTCATTAAGGTATTGAAATGACAATAACAACAAGATCATTGTCATACAAGTGAGTACACAGCCTTTTCTGGTCATGGTCTGCTTCTCCTGAGATATACTGTGTATGGCTAAGACTGTAGATAACACTTACATTGTTTGCACTGTAAAAAGGTACTTTTTACTGATGATTATTTTGATAATTCTTAAAATAGTTAAGTTATGTGCTCCCTGGATTATATTTGATTAATGTTTGTAATGATCCAAATATTCACCTTGATGCTGACATTTTCAAAATGATCAGCCAGGGTTTGACTTAACAATATGTGCCTTCATCACTTAAAACTTCCTAACTAATCCACTGGTTTTTAAACTAACCAGGAAGCCGAGGAGATATTTTGGTAATCTCTTCTGGGAGCTAAGTAGGATGTGAAACACAGAAGTTTGCATAACTTACATTTGTGTTATCCACATAGACAAATTTAGCTGAATCCTCCCACATGAGTTTGTCATTTGTCTCTAGGTTATTCTGAGCATGTTAGTACCTCCTGCCATCCTTCTTCTGGAGTACAAATCAAAGGCTGAGATGGCGCACATCCCTCAGAGTCAGGACGACCACCAGATGACCATGGAGGACAGTGAAAACAACTTCCAGAACATCGCAGAAGACATCCAAATGGTTAGATTCCCCAAGTCCTTCTAGTCTGAGAGTTTTAGTTACCGGTGCTATTTTTTTAATCACAGTTCATCACTGACTTTTAATAGCTAATCAAAGTTATAATTGCATGTTTGAAATTCCATCATTTGCCTTTCAAAACATTTTGTGAGCCCTTATTAACAATGGAAAGCAATTCTTTCTTGTATCTTAATTTTGGATCCATTCATCTATTGTCATTCGTTCAGTGAGTGTTGTAGTTAATGTCTTTGATTTAGTTCCATCCACAGGTCTGTGGTGACTCACACACTCCAAAATAGCCCTTCACTGGCTTTTGTGATGAGGTTTCCTGCTGCTTAAGTCTGATTGGCTCAAAGTCAGAGTACTTTGGTGATACTATGATTCCAGTTGGTCCTCAGTTGACAGACGGTTTCAAATCAGCTGTCTGGGATAATAAACATTAATTTTGGACCATAGCCACGTCGAGATAAACATGTCAACACCAACAGCTCTTCCGCTAAAAAAAATAATCTATTTTTTTCCTCTTTTGGAAATATGGTACAGTCCAAGCTTCAAAACAGTGTGGTGTTTCTGAAAATAATAGATATTCACAACGATCACAAGAGACTTCAGCATCTGAAAGTCCAAAGTAAAGTAGATGTTGAAGAAGTACAGATTCATGGAGTAGTCTGTTACATAAGAAGAAAAGTTGAGGAATAGATTTTGATGTAAAAAAAACTTTGCTTGAACTTTCTGTCTTTGTGTGTTTTCTTTTATTCAGTCATTTATTTGTTTTCTTTCTTCCCCTCTTATTCGCCTCTCTCCTCTCTCTCTCTCTTTCCCTCCATATTTTGGCCTGCTAATTTGAGCCTCTTTAACCTCTCTGCAGGATGTGTTCAAGGAGGCCAGATCCCACGACCATGTGGAGGCAAAGAATGACATGGAGACACACATTCGCTCCAGGAAGCTGCCCTTAACCAGGAAAATTTATGCCTTCTACCACGCTCCCATTGTCAAGTTCTGGTCCAACACGGTATGGAGAAGCGCAAACATACATACACAAACGGATTAATTAATTATCTACTTACGCACCAAAATCATTGTTAGTGCAGACTGTCATGTTTTTAAAAACTCCACTCTGAATGAGTGCCCCCGTTCCTGCAGCAGTGACACAAAACATTTTCATCTCTTCACTTAATAATGTCTTAGGTTTAACAAAACAGCCTGACAGCATAGTGAATACAGCAGCCCAGTAATGCCTCAAATGAAAATGCCTTATTATATAAAACGTATCCAATTATAGCAGGAACATACCTCTGTCTATTCAGTGAAGATCAACAGCATCTTTTTTTCTTTTTATTTTAAACATTAATTATTTGCAGAAATGGTGCGTCACAGATTTTTCCTTGTTGTGTACAAAGTCAATGTCACAAAATCACATCTTCTTTTATTTTGCCATCCGTGGAGTACAGCCATAAATTCTTCTATGAGGCCCTTCTCAGATGTTTTGGTTTTGTGATTGTCCACTCCGGACAGTTTTGACAGCAGCATACATCCTCCCATTTTTGAAGAAAAGCACGAGTGTATTTATTTACCGAGGTCAAGGCTGCATGCAATAGTTAGTTTACCATGAGAGCGCCCTCTTCAGGATCAGATGACAAACTATAGCAGTCAGCCTGATGTGCTGAAAGACCCGAGGTTGAATTTGGACGGTGTATTACAGTTCTCATGAGAATTTTTGGCCCTAAATTTCAGCTAAAAAGTGACAGCCTTGTAGTGAACGGTTACATTTGCCTTCATTCACAGGACTGTCACTCCTGTTTCCTCACTTACACTCATGTTTATTTATAAACACAAGCCGTAATCTGGTTCTCAGGAGCCTGGGAGCAGTCATTGTTGGCTTTATGTGCGGGGACAGGGCTGTTTTACAGGCTGATCAAGACTGAGAGAAGCTGATACCGTCACTGAATCTGCATCTCTCTGTAACCCGGGCTGTGCTGCAGCTTATCTACATCTGCTTTACCTGTTTCCAGCATGAGTACAGCTCAACAAAGCAGCACTCATCAGTGACTTCCCCATCAGATGGGAGAGTTAACGGCTGATTTTTCCCAAAGTTCACAGTGCACATGTCAAGGTTCAGCAATTTTTAAAACTGTTTGGCTAATTTGAGAAACTGTGTGTGTGTGTGTTTGTGTGAGTGTGTGTGTGTGTGTGTGTGCGTGTGTGTGCCTGCGCTGGTGTAACTTACCCACATTTGAAACTTTCCCACAGTCTGCAGTATGGCTGGTCCGTGCTTTAAACAGAAATGAGCTCTGCTGTACGAAGTTACCCAGATGGGAGCCCATATACCGCTGGGAGGCATCATGTGGCACGTCCTTGTTTCTATATATGACAATATGAAACGTGAACGTTTTTATTAAAACAAAGACACTCCAGGGTCTGTAGAGTATTTGAATTAAATGACCTTTATCAAACAAACAAACAAAAAATAAACGACCGAAGCCATAGCAGAGGTTGTGCTGTGGCACCATTTAAATTTAGATGCTACGTGCTGTCATTAAAGAGGTATTTTTGTTCTTTGTGGATCAACTCAGACCTTTCAGCAAACTTTTGTTTTGAGACAAAAGACAGAGCTGTAGCCAAAAACAACGTTACAGAGAGTCTCAATGCTCTGACTGACAGACGTGTTAATCTAATGAAATAATATGTTAAAGTAGGAGAACCAAAAAGCTGAATTACAGTAGCTTGAACACAAAAGCACAAATTATTGCAACTTTAAATGACTAGTTAGTAAAAACGGTCACGTTTCCTTCACTCCCCCTCAGAGAGCAGACTTTGTTGGGATCTTGTGAATTTCATTTGAGACACAGAGGATGAATTTTCTCTCTCTCACACAGCCCTTACCCTCTCAGCTAACCACTGAATGAACTCAGCTGCCTCAGGGACCTCAGTCAGTATAGTGGACCACTTGCTCCTGACTCATTGTGCCATTATTCGGTGCGGCCCCTTCAGACAGCCTCGACTGACCTCAGCTCAGCCCTTCTCAGAGGCTGTCTGAATCTAGAGGCTTTTTTACTACGTGGTTACTATCCATGTCAGATGTACAGTATCTTATAAAAAGTATATCTACATGGTCTGTAGCCTCTGTCTAATGTCATGGATCTGTTGTTAAATCTTCCTGTTGTATCTCCCCTCTGAACAGCTCTTCTACTTGGGTTTCTTGATGTTTTACTCGTATGTGGTCCTGGTGAGAATGCCTGAATGGCCTTCTCCTCAAGAGTGGGTCGTCATACTCTACATATTCACCTCGGCAATAGAGAAAATCAGAGAGGTATGTTTAACAATGGTAAACTGTTAAGGACTTGTCTTTTCAATGATATTATCTGCCAATGTTATTTCACACTTTTGTCTCCTCTTCATCTTTTTTTTGTTGTTGTTTTCAGATGTTCATGTCTGAGGCAGGCAAAATAAGCCAGAAGATAAAGGTGTGGTTTAGTGACTATTTCAATGTGTCAGACTTTCTGGCCATAGTGACTTTCTTCATCGGCTTTGGCCTGAGGTTGGGTGGAAGTGACACCTTTGTCCCAGGGAGGACAGTGTATTGTCTCAATATCATCTTTTGGTACGTGCGACTCTTGGATATCCTCGCTGTCAACCAGCAAGCCGGACCGTATGTCATGATGATCGCCAAAATGGTGAGTCCTCACAAGAGCCATAGTTCTGCACAGTGTAAAGCTATAAGAAGTTTGCTGCTGCTCTGAGATTTCTGCACGTACTGAAAAATTATTAAACAGCTGACAGTCTGAAAATTATTCACTTTATATTTGGCAAAAATGTTCTTGGAGAAAAAGGCCAAGAAACAAGAATAATCATTTCTCATTTTAAATAATGCAAGTTTGTCAAACACAAAAGAAATTGTAGTAGATCAGGTCAGGATACTTACTGTACAGAGAGGAAGAATATTAAAACTCCCAGCATTAATGACTGTTTACTACTTGGCACATTCATGACAGATTTGCAGAATTGAAGTGGTTGATTGTGTTGCTTGTTGATTTCTCTCTCTTTGGAAGTCTAGACTAACTATTGGGGAGTGTTGCTGATCTTCGACTGTAAATTTTAATATTCTTTTTTCAAATTTATCACCTTAAACATTCACAACAGCATGAAGTAACCAGGTATTGAACCCACAATATTACAGCAGTTTTAGAACATATTATATTTTACATGGCTGTGCCCCGTGCCCTCCAAGTAACATCCAAGTAAAACAATGTTAACCTTTAACTAATAGCTCACCCTCAAGTTTTAGACATATCAGTGTTAAATTCATGTAAAATAGGCTGTGTACACCTCGCATTAACATCTTAACTGGGCGTGTCAGACCACAAGTGAACAGCAACAAGTACTAGTTCTTAGACCTTCCATAAATCCAGTGATCAGTTGATCTTTCTCTTTAGATTAACCCATTCACCTCCATTAGACTTCAAAAATACTACATTATGATCATTTTTTGGCCAACACGTGGAAGGCTGCACTCCGTCTCAAACACATATGCTGTGTAATCAGCGGATGATTAGAGACTAAAGTGATAACATGTCGTAAAAGTTGTTCAGTTACAGCTCTGCAGTTTCTCTTCAGATCGAAATCAGTCCATAGCAGACTAGAATCTCTGATTACTGTGAAAAAAATCAACAGAAAGATTGTAATATTATAACTGCTGTGCATTAATAAGCTCTGTTAACTGCTTGTTATTTGGCTCTCTGTGTGTCTTTCACAGCACGAGGCACATATCAGGTTGTGCACTGAAAATCTAGATAGAACCCACCACAACCCACCATATGTGGCACAGACAGAAAACTGGAGGAATTTATAATCATCTCCTCTTTGCTGTCTGATCACATCTGTTTCTTGCATCCTCTCCGACTCTTTTTTACCCTCTTCATGGCACTATCCCATTTTTAAAAAAGGAAAAAAACAAGTTCCCTTACAGAATAAATAGACATTTTAGATTCAGTGCTTTTTGTGTAGCTAGCTTAAATGCAAGAGGATTGACCAAGTAGACAGTCTGTTACATGGGTTGTTGCCGTGGACACAGGAAGAGTTGGTTCAGGTTAATGTAGCCCCGCACGCGTGTGTAAACACTCCCAGACCAGTGAAGACAAATGCCCCCAAGAACACCTTTAAATGTGGAATGAAACTGGATGTTGGCATGTAGAAGCGTTGCTGAGCTTTCACACCTGTTGTTTAAGGTTACCACTTGTGTCCCAGTCACCCAGTTCTGATGATGATGCTAGGTGTAAACAGGATTAAAATTCAGTTGGTGTGTTTTTCTGATATTCCAGTACTGATTTTCTCTCCTGCAGAGTTGTGCTAAAAATTAAGCTAGACCCAACAGAAAATCAGCTTGGCGTACTTTGGGGGAAAAAAGACACTAAGCAGGGTGAAACTGCAAGCCTGCCTTTGTCCTAAGTGAACAAAAAAAAATCTCTTTACCAGCACAAATGGGAATTGATGTTTGTTCTAATTCGAAACATGCATGTTTTTCAGCTACATAATGCTATTGGACTGTTCAGGTTAGCAGTTCCTCTTGCTTACAGTTTTCACCCTCAGCTTTGCTAACCTGCTGCTACTCCAGCTTGATATTTAGTATATTTGTGTAATTGTTAAAATGGTTTAAATCCTCTCATCTTTTGCAACAAAGCAAGTAAGTGAAGATCCTGTGATCCCAAAGTCATCCTTTCATATGATCTGGTAAAATAATACCGTGTACCTGTCGGAAGTCATAAATAGTTTAGTCTAAACGTGGTCTTTCCTGAGGATTTTAGAACAGATTTTATCTAAATTTAGGAAAATTCATGCAGGTAACAATGAGATATTGCAGATTTTTTTTTTGTTCCCCAAAGAAGATGTGTTTCCACTCTAAATAAATAAACTTTAATGCCAGATATATCTCAATTTTAGTAAGTTGTTCCAGCATATAAACATGTCACAAATCATGATAAACACTTCAATCAGCATGTATGACGTCTCTTTCAGGTGGCCAACATGTTTTATATTGTGGTAATAATGGCTATAGTCCTTCTAAGCTATGGCGTGCCCAGGAAAGCCATTCTGTACCCACAAGAGGAGCCCAGCTGGACGCTGGCTAAAGATGTGGTCTTCCAGCCGTACTGGATGATGTACGGGGAAGTGTATGCTTATGAAATCGATGGTAAGGACGATGAGGATGGTAGGGGAGATTATGAGGGTAAGAAGAGTTTTATTCAAAGCTTCTCACCACAGCATGATGGCTGATTGTCACTCAAAACAATCACTGGAAATCAAAACCCACCATGGCGTAATCATTGCTCCCCCCTCACAGTCTCCTTCACACAACATGGTTGACACAGATGAGCAGCCGTCACAGGTCTGTTTGGGGTCAGCGGGGCTTTTTGCTTCACCGCAGCATCAACCGTCTTGACGTATAAGGGGAAAAGTCAGGCGCATTTGAAGCTCAGGTGGAACAAAATACCTTGCAGTGCTCTTCTACCTAAGATGGCATCCAAAGGTTTCACGTACCATTAAAATTTATCACATTGTTTTTTACTTTGTCATACAGTTGAAAGGGAGTCAGAGAAAGGTGGATAATTATAATGCTATGTCAGTCAGACACTGAGTGATACAAGAGAAGAAGAAAAAAGAAAGTTCAGAAAAATTGTGGTCAAAATATCACAGCAGCTATACAGCATCAATCAAAAAGAGCTTTATGTAGGAAATGGAGTACAGGACACTTAAAATATAAATGTTAAGGTAAAATATAAAACGACTGATTTAATACAGCCAGTGTAGCCTACAGCGATACTTCCTTTGTATAGTTTAAAGATACATTCACACATTTTTATAATCAGAACACATCAGGTGTATTGATGGAATTGCTGGGGCAGTCCTTTTTTTCTTAGATGTTTTAAAAGTAAAGCAGTGATCTGGTACTGATTCAAATACCATCCAGGACTGACTCAAGTAGCTAGATATCCATACAGATTTGATTGGTACATCAGTAGTGTGAAATGTGTATATATGTTTGTGTGTTTGTGTGTGCTTGTCTTGAAAAGTTCCTCTTCTTCACAGTCTGTGCCAATAACAGTGACGCATCAGTGAAGAACCTTTGCGCAGCAGGAGTGTGGCTGACTCCTCTCCTACAAGCAGTCTACCTCTTTGTACAGTATATACTCATGGTCAACCTCCTCATCGCTTTCTTTAAGTAAGAACACAACATTTAATCCGGCTGTGGCGCTAAAATGATGCTGGTCCTCTGTAAGAGCTTTGTCACTCTAATCATCATGTCTCCTCTGTTCCAGTAATGTTTATCTGCAAGTCAAATCCATTTCTAATCTGGTGTGGAAGTACCAGCGGTACCACTTCATCATGGCTTACCATGAGAAGCCTGTCCTGCCACCTCCCTTCATCCTCCTCTGTCACATCTACTCCCTCTTCTGTATGTGCAGAAAGAGGAAGAAAGAGAACACCTACGGACCAAGTACGACCACTTTCCTGACATTTTCTTGCAAAAACCTCAGGTCTCCTACATTTAAAGAAAGAGGAATAATGAGTAGTTTCAGTATTTACCGTTCAAGACCAAACAAAGGATCTTGATGCTTTATGTAACAGAACAAAAATGCGGTACATTAAAGGGATATTTCGGCGTAAAATTAATTTAGGGGCAAACACACCGTAACACTGAGTTAGACATCTCCTCGAGAGATGAATGTTGCAGAACGCTTGCTTCTCCAATTATACCAACTTTAGTAATGACCACAGGATAGAAATACACAGCAGTCTGAGGAGCCATAAACAAACCTTGACTAAAACACCACTCTATAGCCACAAATAATGCTCAGAACAGCACCTAACTTCATCAACAGTACATATAGGGTCCCAGCCACAGTACTAGCCACCAAACATCTTTTTAGCTTTGTCTGATTTCTTTAGCAAAGAGACGAAACACAACTCATCGACTCTCTTCCAGCAGCCGCTTGTTTGTACGGAGACCTTGGGCCAGTCCAAACTGACTGAAGCAGGGTGAGGCAGTTCAAGGAAGAACATTTATGATCATTTCTTCATGGAAATGCAATCAGACAGAGACGCTAACACAGACGAACTGCTGCGTCTGCAGTTCAAAATGATTCATAATATGGTGATTATTACTTCAAGGACATGATAAAGTAATGATCATAAATGTTCTTCCTTGAGCTGCGTAACCCCGCAGCAGTCTGTAATGGACTGGCCTGCGGTCTCCATAAGAACAAGCGGCTGCTGGAAGAGAGTAGGTGAGTTGAGTTTAGTCTCTTTGCGAAAGAAATTAGGCAAAGCTAAAAACATGTTTGGTGGCCAGTGCTGTGGCTAGGACCCTATATGTACTTTTGATGAAGTTAGGTGCTGTTCTGAGCATTATTTGTGGCTATAGAGTGGCGTTTTGGTTGAGCGCATGGCTCTATTGCTATCGTGAGGTCATTACGTTAAGTTGGTATAACTAGAGAAACAAGCGGTCAGCAACATTCATCTCTCGACGGGGTGTCTAACTTGGTGTTACAGTGTGTTTGACCCTAAATTAATTTCACACCTGAATATCCCTTTAAGTTGTGTTGCCGCTTGACTGGGCGAGTAAAAGAAATCTCAAACTGTAACAAGTGTCCTCTATATTTTTTTGTAGAGCTGTTTCTCACAGAGGAGGACCAAAAGAAGCTTCATGATTTTGAGGAGCAGTGTGTGGAGACTTACTTTCACGAAAAAGATGATCAGTTTCACTCGGGGAGTGAGGAGCGCATTCGTCTCACATCAGAAAGGTGAGTGACTTTTTCTGTACCTTCTGAACTTAGAGAACTCAAGTTTGAGACAAGACTTACAGTATATAAATACGGCTTTTTGATAACCACAGTTTTTATAAGACACTCTGGCTAAAGGTAACATTTTATCTACAGTATATGTCTAGCTAACTGTGTCAAGTTTCCATGACATTGTCAAGATTGTGTTAAAACTGTTGTCTTGGCTCAGTCTTGCACCATCAGAGTGTGCCCACGTTCCCATTGGACAGGAACAACCTACAACAAACACTGTAGCTTTAAAAGAGGGCAGATAAATGAACATATATCACCTGTAAATGCAGTTTAAAGCTTCAAAAGGACAAAAAACCAACAGTACAATTACCCACTGAACACGTATGAATTAGAATAACTACACCAGAGGGTCATACAGACTTTCCTTTGAGGAACTGAAGTTGTGTTTGTGTTGTTTCAGGGTGGAGACGATGTGTTTGCAACTAAGGGAGGTCGGAAACAAGGTCAACTTCATAAAACGCTCTTTGCACACACTGGACTCCCAGATTGGCCACCTGCAGGATCTCTCAGCTCTGACTGTGGACACCTTAAAGACCCTCACTGCTCAGAGGGCATCAGAGGCCAGCAAGGTCCACAACCAGATCACACGGGAGCTCAGCCTCTCGAAGAACGTGGTCCCCAGCATCGCCCCTGTGGCCACAGACACTGGCCCCCACTCTAAATCGTCCGTGATATGCAAACGCAGCGTGGGGGCCTTCTTCGGCTCCTCTTTCCCCCAGGAAGGAGCCAACATTGCAGATTCTCTGTTTGGGATTGGTGCAGGGGGAGGGGCTGGGACAGACAGTAATCGAAGAGTTGGCCCCATCCCTGGAGCAGGACTGGGGCTGGACCCCAACCTGACCCCAGCATTGAGTCCGGAGAGGAGGGCGTTGATTGGGCACCTTTCTGCAGAGGCTGGCTCCTCAGGCAGTGCCGGCCCCAGTGCCTTTGTCCAAAGTGCTGTGGCTTTTTCCCCTCCGGAGCTTCGTCTCCGCCACTCTCTGACCCATAGTAAGCTGACCCGTCCACAAGAGCCGGGCCTTTCCGACTCCCCATCCAGCCTGCCGAACGTGCCCTCCCCCGGGGCCCAGTTCCACATTAGCAGCACCCCCTCCCAGCCCAGTGGCTCCAGCCACCCAGAACTTGCCCTAGCTGGGCTTTACCAGCAGCCCCTCCAGCCCGACAGCACTGCAGTAGAGTTTGGGGCCTTTGTGGGTGAGTATGAGGCTGAGGATGAATCTGATGTTGATGAGAAGATGAAAGAGGAGGAAGAAACGTGTGTGTGTGTGTATCCTACTGTGGTCATTGTGTCTAAGACTTCTGGCTCTGCTCGGCCTGCCTGCTTGCCTGCTTGCTCTGCAATGCCTGAGTTTACAGAGGGTTTAGGAGGAGGGCAGGGAGGGGGGGCGGTAAGTCAGTGCTATGTGAACCAAGCGTTCCTCGATGATGAAGGTCGATCAGGCTCTCTGAGCACACGGAGCGCAGACTCTGAAGGCCCACCAGTTCCTGAAGCTGAGTCATCGAACAGAGGCCTGTCAGGTAGCACTCCTGCCCCTGCTGTAGCACCCGGGAGACCCCACAGACGAAGGAGCTGGGAATGGAGAAATCCTGGATCACTTGCCTCTCAGGCATCCTGCTATGAGGGTCATGGTGGGTCAGAGGTCCCACTTGAAATGAGGAACACAGCAAGAGAGCCAAACACAACAAGAGGTTTGAGTTTTAGTCTAAGCGAAGCACTGCGTCTGCTGGGTGCTCGGCTGTCAGTCTCCACATCAGATCAGTATTCATGTAGATCTGCTCGGGCCTTCTCCTTTTCTTTCCTCTCTGTCTGTTTGAGCCTCAACTTTAACGGTACTTTTTCATGGGCACTTCTGGGGTTGTCAGATGTGAAGTGAATGCAGCATGAATGATTGGTTGACTGTTGGATTGATGAAGGGTTATTTTGGCAGGTGGAGGTGAGGGGATTTCGATCAGACTCGTGTGTAATGGTGATTTTTTTGATAAGTGTGTTCTGATTTCTGCACAATTTCTGCACGACAGGTGGTAAAATTTTCACAATCTGAGAAGTGAATAAATAGAATAATTCTTCGATGGGTCTGGTGAGATGTTGTTTCAGAGAAATGGATCATTAGGAAAAGATGGGAATTTAGATTTTATTTTATTTTATTTTATTGACTATGACAGGTTGAAAAGTTCAGGCTGCTTTAATGTTACCTAACAATATCATTGTTTTCAGGACATAAAGACAGTGTTGACCTCCAGCCTTCACCACCCAAAGAGACCTCCAGTAGACAGCACAGCCCGGCCACACAGACCAGAACCCAGGTGTGTATGTGTGCATAAATAACACTCATATTTAATTTCTATAACTTAGTTTAGTGTTTCACCTGAACACTGAGGCCTATGCTATTATTTTTCAGTCTTATATTCTTCACTTTGATTTATAATGTCTTCTTTAATGACTCTAATATGTGCTCTGTCTATTTAACATGATAGGCCATTTTCTGCAGAATGAGTTGGTTGAGGTTGAGTTAGCTTCAGGATGTTTCTCTTTCTCTAACAGCAGAAATTACTTGAAATTAGAGTCATCTTGACACAGACTCATTGTGCTCAAACTTGTAGCCAAACTCTAAGCTGACTGCATCCTGGTCTTGTACCTGTACTGAAACAGTGTGCTTTCATAAGCTCCTCTGCTGGTCCGGCTCCCTGCACTGGGACGTTGTTCTTTGGGTTTGACTGTGTTGAGAAGCTTTGAACTCTAAAATGAAAACAACATAAACTAATTGCAGTCATGCTACACGCACAGCTGCTTACTGACACCTGTTGGCAACTAACAAATGTAAACAATCCTGCTTGATCTACGATTTAATGGAAGTTTTTTTCCACTGACCCAACATTTACGTCCCTGTTTTGTTTGATTATTTCCACTTTTGGGTTTTTAACTTAAAGGATGTTTACTTGACTTTTACTAAGTAAATGTCACAATAGTGAGTTTGTTTCATTTGCATCAGATACTGACAGTCATTTGTGGGGAAGAAATATAGGGAGGTCTTTTTCTTTCTGACACTCTGCACTGACTGGTTCTCATGACTGATCATCAAAAATCTGTAGCATCCTGTTGTATCTCCATTTAGTGTTTTACACATTTGTAAATACATGGCCTATCATTTGAGTATGATGTGTGCATGTAGTTTTATATCTCTCAAAAATGTAATTACTGTCTCTGACCTGTTTGAAAACTTGTTTTTGTTTGAGAGAGAAAGAAGATAATTCCCCACAGATGGAAACTCTTATCATTTCAGTTTGTTGCCAAATGTAGCCATACTTAATTACCCAGCCTGATAAGATAAGTTTATCAAATTCAGCGTGGACAAATATCAAATACAAGTTTCAATCCCTTCTCACTTTGTCTTTGTCTATTTTTCTTTCTGCAGCATCTCCCTGAAGCTCATGGTCATATGAGAGCAGTCAACTCCTACGCTGGCTTCACTGAGTTTGACAGGAACCCAGCTTTTCTCCATCCAGACTCCAGTAAGCTGACTAACATCACAGAAATACAAGAAATTATCAACCAAGAAATATATTTAAAAACACAGTGCACAGAAACTAGATTTCTGTGCACTGTGTTTTCTTGATTTTTGATATTGTTGGTAATTACTTTTTGTGGTTTTGCAGCTCTGACGAAGAAGGACAGGAGCAGAGTGTCAGCTGAAGACATCCTCATACATGAGGATCCCAGAGCTGCAGTACTGGTAAAAACTTCATCTTTAGAGCATAAGAGACAGAAAATAAATGTGGTTTGGTATCATTTTAAATGTCATTCAATTGACTGTCATTCTCTAACAAGTTTTCATTTTTCCACCAGGAAAGAGCTCAGGTTAAATCAGCCCAAGCCAGCAGCCTGTAAGTGTCTATTACAGCCACCAAAATGTACACACTTATAGACACACGCATACATACAACAAACACACAACCTCTTCAATTTGTGATGTTTTTTTCCCTGTAATTTTCATGTAATCTGTCTGGTGAAAATAATGTCCTCCATGTTGCCTCTCTTTCAGTCGACCCCCTGGTGAAGATACGCTTTCTGGTAAGATGTGAAGCTTTATCTAAAACCTGTTATTTGGTTTGACTCGTTCTGTGTTGATTGGCGGGTCCAGCAGCGACGTTATCTGAGTGACATTTGACCCTTTGTCTTTCTTTGCATTGAATGAATGCCTGCTCAACTGTGATACAATCAACGCTGTTAAAGCCAGGGGTGCAGGTTTGGCTCTGTGGAATTGAGCGCATTATTCACAGAGCAGAGGCTGAGTTCAGCCCTTTGGCCCCTTTGACCCTCTTATTGCTCCTCATCCCTCTCATCCAGTGTTTCTCATTTCATCAGGACCAAACACACAAACCACTCTCTACAATTAGAGATTTATGTTTTAATGCATGTCTAAAGATAAAAACCTCCTCCTCGTCTTCTTTTATAGCTGCTGTTTCTCTCTACACACCCCGACACACCCCACTCGGAGCCAGAAAGGACTGTGAGTAACTCAAGCAAACTGACCAAACAGCACAACAGACTCAGAACTGTCAGACCAGCTCATGATTCATAATGTCCAAAGCTGAAAACAGAATCGAGACATAAAACTATTTTGATATTTAGTAAATTCTTTTCTGATTTTTACAGTTTCACATCAGTCAGAGAGGATTTTTTTTCTCTTTTTATTCATTTGCTGAACAAAACAAGTTACTTTGAGACTTTCATGTGTTGCCTGTCACTATTAAGAACCAGGCAGTAAATCAAGTAATAAAGAAAATAATCTTGGCATGAATGGAAGATAAAAAGGTTGGTTGATTTTACACTGTCAATACTAAAAGAAAGGGCTGATTAAATTATATATTTTCTGGTAACTGTGATTCAATGGACTTATGAATGAAAAAAACACTTTTTTTATCCTATAAAAAAAGAGAAATATTAAGACGTCCTGAAGCCTCACAGAATTACAGTTAAACTAAATGCATCCACTGCTCACAGGTATGTCACAGACTTTAAATTACTGATCCAGGACTGAATATTGGTTCGCTACAACATTAACTCAAGCAAAGGAGAACTGTGCCATCTAGTGTGAGCTTCCCTTTGTTTTAAGTCTTATGGTGACATCTACTGGTGGATGCTGGAACTGGGTACTTTTTGTTTTAATTCCTGGTTCTGAAAAAACTGATTAAAAGCATAAATATATAACGCAAATCCAAACTTCTGTTTCTCTCCTTAGCTATTGGCTCACCTTTCAAGCCCATGGAGAGCTACCAGTACTCAGGTGAGACTTTGATTCTTTGTTATAAGCCTCCATTTGATTATTACAGCGGTGTTGAGGTGAAAATGTTTGACATTTTACTTCTGCTGTTGTCCCAACCTGTTCTTACATTTATGTTTGTGTTTGCATGCACTTTTCCTCCCATAGCTGTGGAACGCAACAACTTGATGAGGTTGTCCCAGAGTATCCCCTTCACTCCTGTGCCCCCTAGAGGTGAGTGTGTGACTTAGATCCTTAGATAAGTCGGGTAAGGTGAAATGAGAACACTCCCTGATGTTTTTGAGTCACGGTGACAGTAGGCGGTTGAAGAATGAGGAAGTGTGGAGTCGGAGATAAGGTTTCTGCATTGACGTTGCCTCCCACACCTGCAGCTGTTTGCTCTTTAATTACTTGGGTGTGACTGTGAAAGTATAGACACTGCTGTCTTCTTATGTTAGATCCATAATCTGCTAAAACAGAAGTGTGTATTTTGGTTGTTGAAGTTACTCTGAATGTCTTACGGTGAAAAAGAAAAGGCACTTTTTGGTTATGCAGTCCTCACAGTGTGAGCTTTCACAGCAGCTGTATTTGAGTCGTTGCTCCTGATCTTTCAGCACTTCCCACTCCTGGCAGTCAAGTAAAACTAAAAGCTTAAAACAGGAACAAAACATCACTCTGTTCTCACAGCTGAATTTATAGGATCTTGACAACACACCCTGGAGAAAACTTTGTTTCTATTCCAGTTTAACACCAGACAGATGGTACAAATCGACTTGGTTACTGTACCTCTGACAGGCTGCAGCTTGTTACTGTATCATCCTTGAATCGAATCCAACCTGGAGACATTTTATGTTCACTATATCACCTATCCTACCCAGCCTGGCCTCACACTTTCCTACTCTCCTGGCTTTTCTTAACCTCCTGAATATTCTCTAAACTGTAAATGCAATCATCACAACACTTTCGTGTGTGCATCAGAACTCTATTTCATGTTTGCAAAAGGTAGTACGACCTTCAAAACATTTCAGTTCTGTTCAAAAAGCTGGTTATTGTGAAAGTGGTTTAGTTTAGTGGCCAGAATATAAAGATATATTTTTATCATGCTGGTCACTCATTTTGACATGTTGACTACCATAAAATTAATTATTGTACAAACTACATCTTCACGAGAGGCTACATGACACTGCAAGTTCTTATCTCTGCGGGCATGTTGTCAGTCTTCATAGTCTGACCAGAGATTTTTGGTCTGCATCATATCTGATATTTTCCTCTGCAATGTTCTGAAGAAAAACTGTCCTGCTGTGGAGCACCCTCTCCTCTGTCCACACATGGAGTATTCAAGGCATTCAGATGAATTACCTGATCGCTGATGGTCATTGACTTTCCCAGCCTTTAAACAGGGGGGGTATCATGATTTTCCATATTTACAACAAAAATTGCAAAGTTACAGAGTTCAAACTACATGTATGCAAAGTTTGAAATCACAAGGTAATTTTGTCATAAGCTGAGAAAGTAGATGTAAACTGCTCAAAACTCAGACAAACGCGTAAAATGCGTGACCGTAGTTTATGTGCGAGATTGACTCAAGTCTGACTTGAGAATTATAGACTACTGGTTCCGGCAAAGCGGAACAGCCCATTTGAAGTGACACCCACAGAGGAGTGGGTAATATAACATACACGGGTTATGCTGTGTAGCTGCTCAGCTGATCGACCACAAGCTAGGGAGCAGGGCCAAAACAACAACCTCTGCCCTTATCCGGCTTTCGGAAAGCCTCCAGAGAGGTGGCCAATCAGAAGAAAGTAGGCTTGTGGAGGGGGGACCTTAAAGAGACAGCAGCTAAAACTAAATGTTTCAGACGGAGGCTGAAAAAATGACTCTTTAATACACCACTGTGAGAAATTTGAGACTTTTTTAAATCATGTAATGCTAATGAAGAGGTATCAAAAAGGATACCCACTCAGAGTACATTTTGTAAAGCATAAAATTACAAAGGTATGAATCAACAAGAGGTAAAGGTCAAAATGTGTCACATTTAGCCAGAAAATTTACTCTGTGTACTAAACATGAAACCAATAATGCAGTGTGTGTCTGTGTGTGTAACCCTCCTGATGCTTTGTTTTCCATCAGGGGAGCCTGTGACTGTGTACCGTCTGGAGGAGAGCTCCCCAAACACCATCAACAACAGCATGTCTTCCTGGGCGCAGCGAGGCCTCTGTGCCAAAATAGAGTTTCTCGGCAAGGAGGAGATGGGCGGAGGCCTAAGACGGGCTCTCAAGGTGCTCTGTACCTGGTCAGAGTACGACATCCTGAAACCAGGACATCTGTATATAGTCAAATCCTTCCTTCCTGAGGTCGTCGAGACCTGGCAGAGCATCTACAAGGAGGACACTGTGCTGCACCTTTGTCTCAGGGTAAGAGCACCGACACACTCCCAGGCTCAGCTCGCTGTTATCTGTACTGAACATACCTCACACTGTTTGCTTTCAGAGGAGCTGCATCTCCCTCCCTTTTCCTTTGAAGCCAAATTACTACAGGCTGCAGTCAATGCAATCAAACTAAAATAATGAGACGTGAACTCCTCATGACCTCTTACGGTGTGCTGCAGTATCTGGCACAAAGACATCAGCAGCAGATCCTCAAAGTCCCGGAAGTTATGAGGTGGGGCCTCCATGGCTTGGCACACCCCCCAGGAGATCCAGGGAAATTTGGGGGGGGGGGGACCAGAACCAGCATTATTCCTCTCAGAATTACTCAAATCCTCATGTTTGCTCTTATTTTCTTCCAACTCATCAGTTTTACAGAACAGAGAACAGATTGTTGATTCTTCTGCTCGACAACCCCCCCAGTAGCTGCCATTCAGAAGAGATCATCAATGTTATTGGCCTTACCTACATCATAATGTCATAGCTGATGAGTACTGAAGTATGGACGCTAACACCTTGTGTCACTGCAGGAAATTCAACAACAGCGAGCTGCTCAGAAGTTAACATTTGCCTTCAACCAAATCAGGCCCAAGACCATCCCTTATTCACCAAGGTAAGAGTACACACAGGAGGTTGAGCAGCACACAGTACTTCTGCTTCTGCTTCTGCTGTATTTGTTCACAAGCTGAATCTTAAAAAAACAAAGGCTTGTTGCGCTCCGTTTTCTTTCACAAACCTGTTCCGATTGCGTGTCAGTGAATGCAGCGTCTTTGCCAGGAAGACCAACCCACTTAAGAGGTTTGACATTACAAGATATTATTACAGAGGTGTGCCCTGACCTGCCTCCTTAGATTTATATGCTTTACCTGTCAGTTGTTTCTTTTTGGCGAAAGACAAAATGCTCACAAACTAGCAAACACATTTAAGAATAATGATGTCTTTGTCAACAAAAAGAAAGTCATTTATTTTTCAGCTTATTATTGTGTGAAGTCTGGTTCCTATGTGAGTCACAGATTTTGTGTAAGTCGTTGTGGTCTGGTACATTGGTTTTGGGACATTTCAACAGGTGATCTTACATATCAAGATCAACCAGTCCTGTCTCTAACTCAGGCAAACTCTAAAATAATGTAGACAAACTGGTTTGAGTTTGCTTTTCAGAGCGATTCATCCAATCAAAACAAAATGATCTGAGGACAATTCATCAGGAGTCAGTTGCTGGATAGTGGATACCTTACTTTTGTTATGTTTCTGGTAAAGACATAAAGGGATATTCCGGCATAAAATTAATTTAGTGTCAAACACACCATAACACCGAGTTAGACACCCCATCGTGGGAAGAATGTTGCCGACCGCTTGCTTCTCTAGTTATACCAACTTTAGTAACGACCGCACAATAGCAATACAAGGAGCCACGTGCTCAATCAAAAAAGCCACTCTACAGCCACAAATAATGCTCAGAACAGCACCTAACTTCATCAACAGTACATACAGTGCATCTGGAAAGTATTCACACCACTTCACTTTTTCCACATTTTGTTATGTTACAGCCTTATTCCAAAATGGATTAAATTCCCCTTTTCCCTTAAAAATTCTACACAAAATACCCCGTAATGACAAAGCGAAAAACTGTTTTTAGAACATTTTGCAAATTTATCAAAAATAAAAACACTCAAATGTTGCATATACATAAGTATTCACACCCTTTACTCAATACTTGGTCGAAGCACCTTTGGCAGCGATTACAGCCTCCAGTCTTCTTGTGTGTGATGCAACAGGCTTGGCACACCTGGACTTGGGGAGTTTTTCCCATTCTCCCTTGCACATCCTCTCAAGCTCAGTGAGGTTGGATGGGCAGCATCGGTGCACAGCTACTTTCAGGTCTTTCCAAAGATGTTCAATCGGGTTCAAGTCTGGGCTCTGGCTTGGCCACTCAAGGACATTCAGAGACTTGTCCTGGAGCCACTCCTTTGTCGTCTTGGCCGTGTGCTTAGGGTCATTGTCATGCTGGAAGATGAAGCGTCGCCCCAGTCGAAGGTCTCGAGTGCTCTGGAGCAGGTTTTCATCAAGGATTTAGATGTACTTAGCTGCATTCATTTCCCCCTCGATCCTGACAAGTCTCCCAGTTCCTGCCGCTGAAAAACATCCCCACAGCATGATGCTGCCACCACCATGCTTCACTGTAGGGATGGTATTGGCCTGGTTTCCTCCAGACATGACGCTTGGCATTCAGGCCAAAGTGTTCGATCTTCGTTTCATCAGACCAGAGAATTTAGTTTCTCCTGGTCTGTGAGTCCTTCAGGTGCCTTCTAGCAAAGTCCAAGCAGGCTGTCAGGCATTTATGGTAGAGTGGCCAGACAGAAGCCACTCCTCAGTAAAAAGCACATGACTGGTGGAGTGCTGCAGAGATGGTGGTCCTTCTGTAGGGTTCTCCCATCTCCTCAGAGGAACGCTGGAGCTCTGTCAGAGTGACCATCGGGTTCTTGGTCCCCTCCCTGACCAAGGCCCTTCTCCCCCGCTTGCTCATTTTGGCTGGGCGGCCAGCTCTAGGAAGAGTCCTGGTGGTTCCAAACGTCTTCCATTTCTTATTCCCTGTATTGCTGTCGTGCAATCGTTACTAAAGTTGGTATAACTAGAGAAGCAAGCGGTTGGCAACATTCATCTCTCAACGGGGTGTCTAACTCGGTGTCTAACTCAGTGTTGCAGTGTGTTTGACCCTAAATTAATTTTACGCCGGAATATCCCTTGGACAATAACCCACCGTAATCAAAGGCTTTACAACTGTGGTGAACAAACTTACTTTTGACAGACAGAACCTTGAGCAGAACCAGACTCTGTCCTAAAAATATCTGTCAGTAACAGAGGAGACCTTAACATCTTGGTTTCCTTTCCTTTGTGTTTAAAATCCTGTGTGTTCAGGTTTCTGGAGGTGTTTCTGCTCTACTGTCACTCTGCTGGACAGTGGTTCGCCATAGAAGAGTGCATCACTGGGGAGTTCAGGAAGTTCAACAACAACAATGGAGATGAGACCGTCCCAACAAACCTCCTGGAGGAAACCATGTTGGCCTTTAGCCACTGGACCTACGAGTACACTCGTGGAGAGCTCCTGGTGCTCGACCTGCAGGGTAAAAACAAACTCCAATTACTGCAATTACTGATGTTTTTTTAAAGTTAATGTCATGATAAGATGGTACTGCCTCAAAGGCTCTACAAATACATAAGGGGGTACCACAGGGTTCAGCCCTGAGCCCACTACTGTTTTCTATTTACATTCATATTCCTGAACAGGATGTCTGAAAGTCTCCTTTTCACTTCCATGCTGATAACACTGTCAGGTTGCTGTGCACCTACGCCTGCTCAAGCTTTTTCAGAACCTCTGCAGAAGAGGCACACACATATACCTCAGTGTTCTTGACCCTTTTCCTGGACCAAACTGCACATTTTAGTCAGACTAACTAATGAAGACTATGTGTCTTTGTAGGGGTTGGAGAGATACTGACGGATCCATCAGTCATCAAGAGCGGTGAAAAGGGGTAAGTTGTTTATCTTTTAGATTGTATTCAGGGCAATCAAAAGATGCTCAGTGGTAGAGTCAGTCCTCTCTCTTAATTGAAGGGTAAGGGGTTTGATCCATTTTTCTCTTAGCTTTAGCTTTTTCTCCTCATATCTTTTAAAAATTTGACTCTCTCTGTTATGAAATGGTTTGTACTGTAGACTGTAATACCTCCTAATATTAAACTGACTTGAGATTTATGATTTTGTGTCAACCATCTACACTGAATAAACATCCATATTAACCTAACTAGTGGTTTTGTACTGTGTGCTTATACTGTCTGGCTCTTCCAGATCCTACGATATGATATTCGGGCCGGCTAACCTGGGGGATGACGCCATAAGAAACTTCCGATCAAAACACCACTGCAACTCCTGCTGCAGGAAACTCAAACTTCCTGGTAAGAACTGTCACACCGTTTCTCTTCCGTTATTTTACTTCATCTTCAGGCTGCAGTATTGTGGTCATTGAAATATCCCTTTAAGCTAAGTTTTGACAAGTACACATACACCTGTAAACTTTTTTGTATTCAGGCATTAAGCAGTAAAAAATGAGTAGTAAGAATAAAAAGTTTTGTTTAATAGTGGACAAAAGATGTCTCTTATGAATATAAATATAAGAAATGGGCCTAATTCACCAAAATCTGGAAGTCACACACAGACCTATGAAAACGGTTGTGCTGCATTACGTCAGCTTAATTTGGTTTTGCTTGTTCATCAGATCTGAAGCGCAACGACTACACACCAGACAAGGTGACATTTCCGCAAGATGACCCTCCCAACCCCGGGGCCGGCGTCAAAGAGGCCCGCCAATCAATGAGGCTGATGCTGTGATCGCTTACAAGCATGAGAGACAGTGAATGATCGCAATCTGACACTGTTTTGATCCAATAAAGTCAAAGCCAAGGAGCCGAGAGGAGCGCCCAATCAACTGGAAGAATCACACCTGTGTTTCTACGGAAACCAGTGCATGCAGACTGTGTCATGTTTTGTTGGTCCCGCCAAAACCGCTGTGTCCAACACAATTCAACCATCTGAACCTTTTTGTGTTTTTACTACACCATCGAGGAAAAAAAGTTTTAAACCTATTTTCTATAAGTTTATGAATTTATATATGTACAGTATATATAAATATATATATGAACTGGATATATTGACAGGTACCATATCGTTGCAGAGGGTTTATTATTTATTGTGAAGTTTAAAAAGTTGCCTTGTTTTAACAGAAAAAAAAGAAGAAAGAACAAATCTAAGTGCATTGTATATCTGTTACAGCAGCTGCAGAGTGGACAGCCTGCTGAGGGTCAGTCGCTGCGACGCTGCAGTTTGCCACCACATCATTTTTATAAATGTATCACAACTTTTTGTCTCGTAGGTAATGAAAAGATATACATGAAATTGAAAATCTTGTAAAATAAGGGCAGATTGCAATGCAACTTTTACAGAACAATGTGTGTAATTTTATTGTATTGAAAGTGTGTCCACCAAAATATTGCTGATAGTTTTTATTGTTACAAAGGTACTATTGCTATATCTTTGTCATCAACTATTGTTTGAGCAAATTACAATCTTGTGTATCTTATAGATACTGTTATCTGGCATGAGCTGAACAGATTAAGATATTTTATTCAGGGGAACTGACAAACGTGAGGGTATTACTGTATACATTTTGTACTGGACATCATTTTAAACAAATAAAATGTTAAAAGTGACTTTGCACAGAATAAGTTTTTTTTATGTGCAAATGTTTTGAAGATACTTTAGCTTTTAAAAAGTGAGATTCAACGAGAGTGAACATTGCAGGAAAAAGAAATAGATAAAAAAGTCCCTCTTGGAAAGGAAAACTGAAACTTTCACAGAAGAGCAGTCGCATTAATGAAAGGGTCAAATCAGGACTTGATGGTCTGAGTAACAAAGACAGTTGAATAAAAACACATCTCATCTCTGACAGTCCCCATGGAAAGATGAACTGAATTCTGAGTGTCTCCTTGCATTGAGGCCATCATTATCAGATGCAAAGTATACACGCACACCTGCAGGAGATAACAGTAGGTCCAGTGTCTGCGCTGAGGCCTCGGGTTCTGCTGGTATTTGCATCCAAACACATTCACCTTTGTTCGGTGGCTCTGACCAAACTGAAAGACTGCTCACCTCCTGTGCACCTGTGTGAGGGCTCAGTAAGGTTGTCAAATGAAGAAGACAAGTCCCCATGTTTTCATTTCACTTTGTTAGGGGTGTTAAGAGTTGACCCCGAGTTTAGGGTTATAATCTTATGTCAGTCATACATATCTATTAAACCTCGGAAATAATCAATATCCATTTTAAAACATTTCATAAAGACTAAGTTTCCCTATTGAACAGGCATCATGTGGGCAAGTATGAGCAAGAAAAATATCTCAAAGAACATATGAAAAAAAAAACTAACAGCTATAATTAAACTGCTCAAACTGGACTGACTGGTCTCTCCTCCCACCGGGTGTGGTTTCCTCTATATAAGAGTCCAGGAATCTCGACTTTGCAACATATTCTGCCAACCTACCGACTGAAACTTCACCGCTCCGCATCGACTGCTGGCATAACAAATCAGCCATAACCATGGTTGTGGTCACCATAGACTTTTGGTGAGATTATTACTCTCTTATTAGTGCTGGAACATGCACAAGTTGTAGCTATTTATTAGCCTTCTGGGTAAATTTGATGGGTTACAGTGGATTGAAGAAATAAGATGCGATAACTGATCAAAACAACCGTGTATATATTGTGCATTAGTGCTCTTTGCACCAGCTTTTAACTCCTTGTTAGACTGATGTTTGGAAGAGCAAAGCAGAAATAAACTTAGCTGATTTGGATGTGGGTACATCTTACAGCTCTCAACAATCAGCAACAATCATATTTTGACATTTTTAAATGACTGGTTTTGTTTGTTTTCCTTTTTGTCGGCTAAAGTAATAGCTGAGGCACTGCTGCCCACTACCGGAATCTGGTTTCTGCACTTTATGGAATTCCAGGTGTGCAGATAACAACCAGAGCAGCAGCTTCAAGTAAGTTTCAATTTCTATCTTTTAGTCCATCCTGTACGGAGGTCCATTCTTGCTCAAAGAAAAAGATTCGCTGACCTGCCTCATATCAAAAATGCTGACTTTGAGGTGTATAAGTCACATAAAGTAATAGAGATCAATACAAAGATGACAGGTATTAGAAGTTTTAGTATAACATCACTTTTGACTTGTATTTTTTTATGTTGCCACTAGTTCTCCTAACCTACATATCATTTATTAGCATGTCTAATGGTTTTGAGAGGAGCATAGGTTATGTCATATACATTACGAACTCCTTTAAATCCTTCAGACTTGGCAAAATGTATCGTGGTTATCTGGAGGAAATATGGTGTGAAGATTTGTGTTGAATAAGTAATGTAGCCCTGCACATGTGAACAGCCTAGAATAGTACAGAAGAGGATGCAAAAGCATTAAGTAGCTGTTTAATCCTAACACCCAGCAACACATTCAATCTATAACTGCAGCTGACTGATGCACATATTAAATCCCTGTTTCAACATGTGCAGTGAGTAAGCAAAGAATCACTTTAAAGCTTTTAAAATATGGCTCTGCGTGCATTTCTATGTGGACATGAAAATGAAAGAATAAAAATGAAAATGGTCTTAGCCGACATTCTTGGGCCACACCTTAAAAACACACCCTCTAGTTAATATCCTCGTACAGACAACGTCAGAGAACCAACAACAACCTGCGAGTGCGAGTGTGTCTGGGTGTAATTTTTTTCGTCTTTAAACTTTTTTATCCTTTCGATGTCAGTACAAATCACCTCGAATCTCTACACAGCATATGATTGTTCTGCACTTTCTGGTTAGGCAACAAAATCATTCTGTATCATATGAGAGACAAGCTGAGTCATTCATTTTTTAACCTTTAAAGGACGTTTAGGTACAACATAAAATAAAGATGAGGGAAGAGAAGCACTGTGTATTATTCTCCAAAAACATCATCCAGGACTCATGCAGTTAAGAGTCATCAGTTTTCGACATGTTTCCGTGTTTAAATACTGTTTGAAGATAAGTTGTTTATTCTTGTTTAGCACCAGAGGGAGCTGCTGCAGCAGTGATTAATGTTTCTAAACTCTTTGAAAATAAAACAGTTTTCATCAGGTTTAATAGTCGTTTGTTCAAATATGAATCTTTTAAAGGTTAGCTTGGTTTAAAAAAAAAGAAAAAAAAACCTCCTAACGCTCTCTTCATTTGTTTAGATTCATGTACCCTGGTAAACATTTTAAGCCGTTAGATCAAGCATTGAAAAATATGACCAGTTTCTCTTTACAGTGCTCTTATGGTTCCTTTGAGCAGTGCCAGGGTTTGTCATGTTTTATGCCCGGCTCCCTTCTGTGATAAACCTGTTTAACTGGTTGTAATATGAACATGGATTATGTTTATCCAAACACACATTGAAATATTTATTGAATTGATGTGGATCCCTTTTCACTTTCACTTTTCAACCCCACAGACTACTTTGAGGTATGGGTGGATAGTCAGCTTGTCCACTCCAAGAACAGCACTGGGCAATTCCCTGATCCTCAAAAGGTAAGCATGTTGGAGAGGTGATTGTTTTTTTAAATCAACATCTAATTGATGGAGGCCCACAGCGATAGTTGGGCCAATCAGGACTTATTTTTAGAAATAGCAAAGTTGTAGAGCCCTCTTCAGTGTAGTCACATTATAAACTAAGAAGAGCAGTTCACTCGCTGTGTAAAGTCTGTGGTTTGAATCAAAGTGGTGAGGAGACAAACAGACCACATCATCCTTGATGCCAAGCTGTTTATTTAGCAAAAGCTGTTTCCCTGTCTTCACTATGAGTGATGATTTTCACGGCTCTGTCTGCTGTTTTTCTCATCCCATTGTTTCTCACTGTAAAAATTGGTTAAAAAGAAAGAAGCATTTGAACTACTGGAGGGCCAGGAGTAGACTCCTTTTACAGACACTATCCTTATGACTTTATCAACCACACCACAGGGGAATATATTCTATTCAAGTTATGAACAAGAATATCCCCATGTTCATCAACAAGTACAGGAAAAATGCAACATCGTATTAAGTAAGAAAGAGGATTGACGTACTCTATATGGCGACATTTATAGATGACTTCAATAAGACAATCCTGCACAGAAAAAGGAATGTGATTAAAAAATCATAAAGCAACCTCTGTTGCCTACTAACTTTTCTTTTTCCTGTCATAAACGGTTTTTAAAAAGTGTATGAATGCATTAATATAAATCTGTGTATCTAAGAAGTGAGAAAGTCTAGCATGGAGAGTGCACTACTTTTAAAGAGAGTACTTTTAAAGAGAGTACTTTTAAGTGCTAAACCATTTTTCTCTTCCAGGTGAAGGAAGCCGTGTTGAAGGCAACAAACACAGGAGGAGGAGCTTGCTATTCTCAAGGTCCAATGCGCTATGGATGACGATAGTGGAACACCAGAAAGCTGGTGAATCAGAAGAGCAAATGCTCTCAATTATTAGGCTATTATTAGGCAATTATTAGGCTACAGAGGATGAATAAAGAGCAAAATTCACACTTCAAGAAACGTGTTTTCTAAAATTACAGTAACAATGTGAGAAAATCACATATGGAAAGATTAAAGTCAATTCAAACTTTAAATATTAAAACCAAACTATATTTAATTGATCTTAAATTTCAAAAAGATCCTCTTCCAGGTGTAACCCTCAGAACATCAGACAAGACCTTCACAGTGGAAACAGAGAAAAAAATGAGAGCAGCTCTGAGGATCCAGGCAGTAATCTGCACTTCTGTTTATGACTGTACATGCTTAAAGAAGACGTGGTGTGTACATGATGCAAGTCCAGAAGTTTTGGAACAGACTGGAGCCTGAGGGACTGCTCTCATCATGTCGCTCTGACGTGTTCTCATCAATACTATGTCTCAAATGCTGCTTTTACTCAGGAATAAAAAAAAACTGAAAATGTTACTCTTTTACAGCAGCGTAGAGCTGCCAGACCAAGAAAATAAAAACCGAGAGGCTCAGTATCACATAATTACATGAAAGTTTATTGTTATAATATATTTTCACGGTACAACGTAAAATAATCACGTTATTTCGTTATATGATTTTTTTCACATTATAACGTGAAAGTATCACGTTATTTCAAGATATACTATCACGTTATAACGTGAAAGTATCACGTTATTTCGTCATACTTTCACGTTATAACGTGAAAACTTCATATTATGAAATAACGTGATATTCACGTTATAACGTGAAAATATATCTTGAAATAACACAATACTTTAATGTTATAACATGAAAACTTCATATCATGAAATAACGTGATATTTTTACGTTATGATGTGAAACGATATTGTTATAACAATAAACTTTTCACGTAATTACGTGATAATGAGCCCCCATTTTTTTTCTCTCGATGTGGCAGCACCACGCTTCCGTACTCTTTAGAAAGATTTTTAAGGAAAAACTCTTTCTCACTGCTTCTCTTGTAGATGTGGACCAAAGCTAATCTCAATATCTCATAATCAAGATACTCAAGCTTGGTTTGATTTGTTTCATCACACTTCTGTTAGTGACAGTGAAAGAGATTTTCCTAAAGACATCTCACTACGCTTGTAATCTTGACGGGGCTAATTTCCAGTCTGATATGTTGAAATATATTAGTCTGATAGATGTTCTCAGACCAATTAACATGACCTGACCTGCAACTTAGATATATTTTCTCTGAGAAGTGACAACATTCAACTTCTTGTGTGTATTCCTATGTTGGCACCAAAAATTCAGGAAGCCTTTCTTAATGCAGAGTCATAGTTTTTAACATGTCAAATCTGTTCTTTCTTCATATCTGTATCCCCTGCTTCACAAATGGATCTCATCTATTCCCTGTACTATTCTTCTGGTGTTTTAGCAGTTGGAATACAAATTAAGAAAATATCAGATATTTGGGGAATTATGGACTTGCACTCTGTGTTTGATCTCAAAAATCTTCAAATATTTGTTTAAACTTGCTAATCAATTCCAACAATATGCTTTTATGCTTCCAAATGCAATAAAATCAAATTGAAAGCTGACCAGCTGTGTTTTTTTATGTCAGGATCAGAAATGAACAATTTTGTTGTCTTGAGAAATTATGACATTCACCTGTTTCCTCTTATCACCTACAAAGCTGAACAGAGAGCAGAAAAGCAAGGCTGTTTTCTGTTGTCTACAATAACTGATTGGTGAATATATCAGATTAAGGAGTACCTATTATTGATCAGCAAATAAGAAAATCATTCACTGTTAAGGTGTTAATCCTCTCTGGTGATCATAGCAGCTGAATTCAGTTGTGATCAAATGAACCAAAAGTAGCATCATAGTAAAATGATCCAATAATCCAAAGAACAACTCATGAAATTTCATAGTATTGTTTAATATAAAAGTCATAGTATAGTATGATAAAAATGTTACAGTATAGTTTGATAAAAATGTTGTAGTATAACATGTTAGAAAATCATAGTTAACCTCCTAAGACCCGGCGTCCACATGTGTGGACATCACATTTTTGGTTGTCAAGACCACAATATTAAATTTTGTTCACAAGGGCCTTCTCTCAAAATTTAAAACGAATGTCCTCATATGTGGACATCATTTTTCTCAGAAACTACATCATGTAAAAAGATCATTCTTTGTTTTTACACTCATCAGGTCCCAATTAGCCTAAATATCAAAGAGAAAATAAAAATGCATGCCTTGCAAGATTTCTTGTCTTAGGAGGTTAAGTATGATAGAGTACGATAAAATGTCATAGTATAGTTTGATAAAAATAAAGTATAATGGAAACATTGTAGTATAGTTTGATAAAAATATCATAGTATAATATAATAAAAATGTCACAGTATAAAAGGGGAAAAATGTCACAGTATAGTATGTTAAAAACATCATAGTACATTGTGATAAAAATGTCATAGTTCAGTATGATCAAAACTTAGAGGAAAGTATGTGAACAATATCATAGTATAGTATGATAAAAGGATCATAGTTAATTATGATAAGAATGTCATAGTATATCATGAAAAAAATATATTATAGCATGAAAATAAGTCGTAGTATAGTATGTAAAAAAAAAATCATAGTTACGTAGAATTAAAATTTCAAAGTATAGTATAATAAAGATGTCTTAGTTTAGTATGGTAAAAACTTATAGGAAAGTCTGATAAAAATATCATAGTATAGTATAATAAAAAATTTATAGTATAGTATGATAGAAATATCATGGTATTATATAATAAAGAGATCATACTATGGTATGATTTAAAAAAAATCATAGTTACGTATGAGAAAATCATTATAGTACAGTATGATCAAATGTCATTGTATAGTACAAAAAAAATAAAGAATGATAAAAATGCCATAGTACAGTTTGGAAAAAATACAATTGTATAGTACAATAAAAATGTCATGGTATCGAAATGTAAACATATCATTGTACAGTATGACAAAAATATCACAGTATAGTATAATAAATATGTGATAGTATAGCACAATTAATTGTCATGGTATAGAAGATTAATCAAAATGTCATCGTAAAGTATAATAAAAATTTCACATTGTAGTAGGAAAAAAAAAGTCATACTATAGTATGATCAAAACAATCATATTTAAGTATGATAAAAGATTTATGGTATAGTATGTAAAAATATCATAGTATAGCATGTAAAAATGTCATTGTATAGTATGATAAAAATATATTTTTTCATTTTAAAATGTCATACTTGAGTATGAATAAAAAACCGAAGTTGAGTATGATAAAAAAATAAAGTATAAAATGTAAAAATTTCATAGTATAGTGTGTTAAAAATGATTTTGTTTAGTATGATGAGGAAAATCACAGTACAGTTTGATAAAAATATCATATTACAGTATGAAAAAAGGCCTCAGTGTAGTATAGTATGGAAATGCAAACAAATGTTTAATCTTTAGTGCGTCATATCAGCCAGGTTAACTTGGTGAGTACTTGAGATTCTCAAAGTGAGAAAAGTACTTAAAGCAAGTAAAGAGAAGAAAATATAAAGTGTCATAGATTTAAACTGAGGGTGTCACCAAACAGCCTTTCGGGCTTCCCTCCCTTTCTGAGCAAAAACACTAGACTGAGGTCTGGAACAGCTGTGTGTCTGTTGTGTTGGTTTAATGCTTGACATCACAGATTAACATACTCACATCTGCTGTGAATGGGGATGTTATATAGCTGATAGATAAGGATAAGGGCATAACAAGACAGAAACTCAAGGACCTTTATCGTTTTGCCTGACTTTGGCGGTCATTCACAAGCTTTATGGGGCCAGGAAAATTACAAACATTTCCTATTTTGGTTATTAGTATCAATCACCAAAAAAAGGTTAGATAATATTCCCAAAAGTCTATATGCTACATTTTGTCCAGCAAACATTACAAGAAGAGAATAAAGGCGTAGTGGAGAGCATTTTGCCTGCAGGTTTTGTACTCTAAATCATCCCTCATACTGTGGGAAGTGGTCAGGTTCACTGATCCAACACACAGGCTCTTTGTGTGTGACAATTCAAAGACTCGCACACAACAGCCTCACTTTATTGTTATCACTCAAGAGAAAAATCAGGAGCACTTACTGCAACAGTGTCTTACTGAGGACTTGTGTTTTCCCTTTTCTTTTTTCCCCCAAGATTGCTTTGTTATGACTGGAAAAATTGGTACTCTCAGTGAGGTATTTTTTACAACCATCGAGTTAGAAACTTTGAGTTATAGTGGAGTGTCAGATCACCAGCTTTAGAAACATCATTTTACCAGACGAGGCCCATTTTTACTCCCCCACTGACTTATTTTAAACCGTGGAGCTACTTTGAGTATTTAAGTGCTTCAAAAACAAACAAGTCCCAAAGTTAGAAGTGACAAACCACTTCCAAACTCAGCACCAGAAAGGGTAATTTTGGCCTCTGGGTGTTTGGAGTTGGTTGTTGTGAAAAGGAGAGCTGTGGCGAGTCAGCGGAGCAGACACAGACAGCTGAACATCTCTTATTTATGACAATTTGTCTGCGCACAAGAAGAGGCAAGAGAGAGTCATTTACTGTTCATATTTCCTCCACACCTATTATCTGCCACTGCAAGAAAATTCAGTTATAAAACAGACACCGTGCACTCAGTCTTCATGATTGTTCCTTTTATTAAAAAACAGACAAATAAATAGACAAAACAATGTAAAAATATAATGTTTCAGAGATCTGCGAGGGGAATGCTAGAGCATGTTTGTTCTAATAGCAGGGTGTTTGACGTCAGATTGGTCCCTGGTTTGGTAGATCAATAGAGAAACATTTCACAACATATCATCATAGCACCGTTGTGAGGCCGTCAGGGTCTCTCTGTCGACCGTGTGAATCACATGAATGTGAGACAGACTTAAAACAATAAAACAACTGAATTAGCTGTGGAGGTTTGAAAAGGGCCACTGCTGCTTACAGTTTCATTTCATATAAATATAATATATTAATTTATACATTGTACACTAGAATGGCTCTATACCACATACACAACTCAGGTAAACACATGAAGAAAAGGCAGCTGACAAATTTGAAAAACAAAAAGCTGTGGGGGACACGAGATAAAGTCTATTAGCTGCACCGCTGAAAACTCTCAAATCAAGATAAGTCCGAGCAGATACCTGTGCTTTAGTACTTAACATGTGCACACTGATACAACTTGCCCCAAATTTCTGAAGGCATCGAGATCATTTTTACAATCTTAAGGAGCAAGTGACAAGATGTCAGTATTTCTGTGTGCATGGGGTTTCAGTATGTGCAAACATTCAGTTGATGAGGTGAGGTTTTGACGACCCTGAATTCACTACAGATTAAGCCTTTTTTGTTGTTGTTGCAGAGTTGATGTTAGAATTTTATCCGCTAAGTAATTGCGCCGAATGAAATGAGAAAATGGAGGACGATGCTCTGAGGATGCAGAGGGCTAGCTAGCGCACCAGGAGGAAGGTAAGTCCAGCGAGACCAACACCAGCTGCAGCAAACAGCGCCGTCTTCATGGATGAGTCCTGACTCACCTCTCTGGCACTGCGGGAGAACTTACAGAACCCCTCCTACAAAGAAACAGAAATGAACACATGAATTAATCTTCCACTTTTCTGCTAAACAGTATTTATCTGCCTCCATGTACTGATGTACTCATCATTGAGAAACTATGCAGAAACTAAATTAAACATTAATTTTAGCTTATTCTTTTTCACCAAAATCATTTAGAGCAGGTTAGTCGGAAGTTGTATTTCTGCACCATGTTTTCAAATTGAACACAGCGGACCAGCAAGTGCACCTGCTCTCTGCTCCAGGTGCTTCACAGCTGCTTGTTTTTCAAGTCATACAACGCCAACTCTCACTGCAGCTGATGCCAAACTCAACACACACTGAAGCTTTGACTGTTACTACAAAGTCCATCTGGCTGAGCTGGTTACGTGTTTGTTGAAACCAGCTGCCAGCTGAAGAAAGGAGGGGTAAGTGTGTGTGGGTAGAGGGGGGGGCGGCTATGGTGAGCCCATTCAGAAAAGCAGACATTCAGCTCTTCTGGTGTTAAGTTGTGTAAGGCCTCTGAGATCCATCCTGACCATCTCTTTACATATTTTCAGTCAAATAAGCCTCACTAAGGAGGTTAAAATGATTGACCATTTCATTTCTGGAAACAAAGGAAGATTCAGTCCACATAAATTATCACTACTGCAACACAGAGCTCTAATAATCTACAGCTCAGTGCTGCTCTATCATGGCACTGAATTGACACTGCTGAAGTTTTTGTCCACTGAACATTCCTCAGAATCCGGCCTTTTGCTACTCTACAATTCATATAATCACTGCAGCCACATGAGACAGCTGAGAGCTGGTCTCATCGACAAACAGTCAAGTAAAAACAGGCTGCATCTAAATTAAAGTCTTGGCCATGTTAAAGCCACGTTTACACACATACAAGTGAATACTAACGTCTCCCCAAAACAGGATCTGACCTAACAAGGTGGTTTCCAACACCAGAAGTCAAAAAAAGCCTTTTAACTGTTACAGGAAGTTTCTTTTTTTCAGTGCCTTTTAAGCTGGCGTACTGCCTTTGATACCATCAAAATACTTCCTTTATCGTCAATGTTTGTGACTCAATCTGCTTTACACTGTCACATGTATGACTCAATCAGTTAGTAGCGGACATGTTGGAGCAACCTACCCATCCGTCATTCTCCAGCAGCCAGTCTTTTTTCTCCTCTCCCAGGTAGTCTGCTATGGTCTCTGCCAGCCCCCTGCAGTGTTCAGGCACCTGTCCTGTTTCCTTCTCAGGGTCCAGCCCCGGCTTCCCGTCTTTCTGCTCCTGCAGCTGTCTGGCCAGCACCCCAGTAAAGGTGAAAAGGGAAACAACCCTTCCCCAGTTCAAATGTCCATCTCCCACAAGCTCCTCTATCACCTTCCTGAGACTGGAGCTGGGGTCCGGCCCGCACTGTCTCAGGAAGGTCTGAGCGAGGGAGTGGAAGCGAGCCTGGTGTTGTGCCTCCATGTCCTGGGCCAGGCGTCTCATGGCAGCGGCTGACTCGCTGGGAGGTGGAGGGGCTGGCTGCGGGCTTGTGCAGCTCAGGGACAGGTAGTCCTCTGCAAGAGCCAGGGTCTCTTTCCACAGCCCGCACGACATTTTCTACCAGAAGGTAAAAAAAAGCAATTCAGACATTTCAATAAACTCCTTTAGCTTGCTGTCTTGAAGATTGGGTTATTAACTACAAAACAAAATTATAGTTTGATGGTATGATCTGTTGTTAAAGTAGCTAAATGGTAAAAGGTAAAGATAAGTCTGTATAAAAATAAACAGAGTAAAAAATAAAAAAAAAATTTACCAGTCCCTTAGCTAAACAAGCTGTGTTGGCAAGGAGCAGGAAATAGAGTCAGGAATGTAGACTGAGTTTGTGGGGATGCTCAAAACACCCAGTACTATTTCTCTTATTATTGAAAAGCATCAGATTGACAGCTGGTATGGATTATCTTGAATATCAGTCTCATTATTTGGATGTGGTTTTAATGTTTTTAGTCTGCGCATCAAGGTTTCTAGGTCTACATCAGGGCCTAACAAAAGCGTATTGTATTTATAAGTTCACTTAAAAACGTAAAACGTAAAACCGTAATTTTTCCAAAAACGCCCTTATAATACCTTCAATTATTTAATATTCTAATTGTTTTTCGACAAAACAGTGGATCAAACTCACAAAAGATAAAATTTCAAATGGTTAAAAACACAAAAATAACTTGCAGAAATGAGAAATCGATTTGTCTCCTTTTAGAAATCTATATATAAACCGTCAACGTAAGTCACGCAGTTTACGTCGGTCTCGGTTAGCACTAGCTTTAATGAGAGTCACCCAAAGACATTATACCCACAGTTATCACACAACATATGACTGTATTTTGTAAAAGAACAATATCTACCATAAATAAACCTCTTCAGTGCTGTTTTAACACAGACAGTTACCAACATTAACCAGGTCTGTTGCCGCTACATGTTGGATATTAGCAGCTATCTCTTAGCGACGCTATTAATGACGTCAATAACGGCCGCTCTCCGTTAGCACGAGCCGGGAGATGATGATAGAGGTTTAAGATAGCCACATTGACCCATTAAACAAACACGAAAAACACTTAAAAACAAGTGTTTAAAACCTTCAGTGAGTATATATGGGCCTGCTAGTGAATTTGCAGTCGTGTAGCCCCGGTTTGCTAACGGAGCGTTGATCTGTCACAGAGCAATGGAGGACACAAAGGACCGCACTCTCACAGTCAGCTGGCTCCTCTACCAGAGCCACACACACGCATTCACAATAGTTTCAAACCATTATATGAACAAATACAGGAGCACAGAATATCATATTATCGATAGCCCCCCAACAAAAACGGGTTGAACTCTTTTTTTTTTCGTATATGAAAGAGACAAAAGCTCACCCTCCCAGCGATATCAGACTGCTCTCTGCACATACGGACGGCGGAAGGAGAACCTCGGTGCTCCGTCAGCTTCCCTTACACACAGGCTGCTGCTACTGCTGCTGCTGCACACTTACCATCAGACTCCGCCTCCGGGTTTCTTATGTGCACACATCTGCTCCCCCACACAAAAAAACCCACAAAAGTCCCTTCATGCAACAATGAAACAACCACTACCCCCGCAGAAGAAAGAAAACTCTCAATCTCAAGCACCCTCTACACTCCTCAACCTAGTAAGAAAGGTTGGCCTATATGTGTATGTGGAAGTCCAAATATGAGAGGTCATAATAAAACATTTGAACCATGCTGTTGTTGCATAAACTGTGTGCAGAGTACACATACATCATGTATAACATTATGAACACCTTTGCAATGAAATGTAACCCAGTACAGCACCTCTGCCATGAACTCTACATTCACTGAGCTTCTACATTTTCCACTTTGTTGACATGGTCAACAGGGGATAGTTGTATTTGATTATCTAAACTTTATGTTGACATTTTCAGAGTAATTTCTGATAGTCTTCCTCCAAAAGCAGACTGATTTATCTCCTCATATCGAGAAATCCATGCTTGTTTTCACACGATCATTCTTATCAAGGAAAAATGTTAATGCATGTCCATATAGTGCTAATGCATTATTCTCTATACATATGGATTATCTGTAACCACTTGTGCAAAAAGATATTAAATTAAATAGGCGTTTGCAGGAGTTTAATGAAGTACAGTTATAGAAACAAGTGAGCCATATGTGTTTATGTTCACGTTACTTTGACAGTTGACCAGCTCATCTTCTCATTAAAAATATACTTTCAATAATCTGTTTGTCTCTCATCAAAGCTAATTTGGAGTTTCTGGATTTGAAAGTGTTGGGCCTATAATTCAAAATATTTTAGACCTCTAAGAATTGTGATCAAGAGATGAAGAGAGCAAAGTCTAATCAGTTCCTTTGGTCCTTGGTCTAAGAAGGGCTCTTTGGCCTGAGATGACGTGGAACAGATGATGTAATCTCATTGATGGTATATTCAGTGGAATAATCTTATAACCATAGCAGAAGTCTCAGTTCCTGAATCCTGGTTTTATTTCTGCCCTGGAAAAATCTGAGGTTAGACATGTGATTTAATGAACAGGTTTCATTCATCAGCAAACAGTCCTATTCTCACTCTCATGTGCGTAAACCACAAACACCAGACAAGTTCAGTGATGAGCATGAGGAAATGAAACATGTAGAGGAAGCACTGGTTGTCATCGGAGAAGACTCTGATTGGTTCATCTGGTGATATTTAAGGGTACTTTCTCTCTGTGGTGACTTCTCCTTATTTTACATTTGTCTATTTGCATCCAGAGTTTTTACCTTGGTCTTTCCCTCAGCGTGACTTCTTACTTGAACCATTCAATCACACTACTTATGTGAAAAAAGTAATTTTAAAAAAATGTACAAAATAGATGATAAAACAATGACAAAAATGACAGGAGAACCTCACATGATGCATTTTTGTGATGTGAACTATGAGAAAAAATAATTGTACTGTTTTCAAGAGAGGAAATGGGTTTGAGGTGAGCTGGATATGGAAATACTTTTGTCAGCACTGACATTCATCTCTGTGTGTAAAAGCTGCCCCTCTCCTAAAAGTACCTCCTGGCAGTTTTGATTGTGGTTATTTTCCCTGGCATAAGTGGGACAGTAAAAACTGAGAAGCGAGTACTTTCCTTTCAACCACAAGAGATGATGTGGATGTTGATGGCTAACCTTTGAACGCAGTTGGAGAAAAAATCATGTGGAAGATAAAGAGGAAGGGGGATCAATAATGTTTTTGAGACATTTGTAAACATGAGAAAGTTTTCCTCAGAACTTTTATGAAAAATCATTGAGCTGGAGAAAATGTCAAATGAAGGTGATGATCCTCCCCATAAGAGTAAACCTGCTTTAATAGAAGAAAAAAAGTTAGCAAAATGGTTCAATTGGTTCACTTACTTTGAGAGGCTCATGTGGAGTGAAGAACAGAGATTTTTCTTGTTAACACTTTGTAGCTACAAAAAAATGTTGATTTAGCATTTTTGATTAAATGTAGCTTGTATTTTACTAACATTTTACAAAAAAGTGTAAATATGGTTGAATTAAATATTTTAACAGGACTTGTCTATCGCAGACAAAAAGTCTGCTGTTAGATTTCAGTTACAAATGGAAACAACTTTATGTCAAAATGTTTCCCCCTAAAAAAAATAAATACACTAGTTTTCAGCACAAGGTAGAGATGAACGTGTCTAATGGGACATTCTTTGTGAAAATTTCAAGTGGTTTCCCTTAAAATTAAGAAGAAACCTTGCCACAGAGCTTACAGACACTGCTCTTGCAAACGAGATCCACAGCGTCCTCTGTTGGTGAAAAAGCGTAACTAGGGAAAGGCAGCACACCCAGCAAAACCGGAGCACACTTTCGAATAAATGTTTTGATATCTGTATTCTTACTGTATTCCTCCAGTAAGTCTACTGATGCTAAACACAAGGCATAATAAATAAATCAGCACGTCTGAGGCCTCTGACATGTTCCCTCTTTACACATACAAGGAGAGCTATAATCAGGATTGATTGTAAATCAGCTTCTGTATTCCCCAAGCTGCTGCTGAACGCAACCAATTTGGTTAGGGTTTGAAAGCACAATGCATCATTTTTATGTTTTCGTTTGAGGTTGACCGTTTCTCCTCAGATTTGTCTCCACACAATGACTCTCCTGACATTGTCAGTATTGAGTTAAACTACACAAAGGTACAAAACACAAAAATACTTAATCTTATTTATTTTTCAACACTTTATTCCCCTAGGCTGCCAAGTATTAAATATATATTAAATCAAGAAAAGTCTCTGGTCACATTTACAGTTGTTTTTCATGGGATAATCCTGACATCTACAGTATATCTGAGCGCCACAGCAACATTAATAGCTGTGAGTGCACCAACATTGTGGACAGGTGTGGCTTTTACAGGACATTATTTACAAGAACAACTAATGCTGTCAGTAGGGTAACACGGCATCCACTGCCCGTTGATACAGCTCATTTTGGCTCCTCATACTGACATTTATTACCCCCCATAATTTCCCCAGTAATTAATTTATTACACAAACCGTCATCAAGCTAACAATAACACAATTAGAGAATCCAACACATATGCTACAGAGATGAGACCATGATTTATACTCATTTAAAGAGGAAATTATTGCTGTGTTGTTGGTCACACTTCTGCAGCTGTGTTGATTTCTGGTGAAGAGGGACTTGATGTCATAGTGGCGATGTGATGCTGGTGATGCTTTTTTCAGGATCATGACTGTGACATAATCTCTAAGCCCAAATCTGTATGAGTAAAAAGAAAAGGCAAATGAGTCAAAGCACAAAACAAAAGACAGAAACGAAACTTACAAACAAAAACCTTTTAGTCAAAAGTTTCTGCTTTTCACAATAAAGAGTTTTCTTTCAAGTAAGTAGATGTAGTTTGTTAAAATCAGGACATTCATGGCTGATACTTTTGAGTTTTTTTCATACTGTAGGAAAAATGACAAGATGAGAATCTTAGTAAAAAAAAAATCCACTTTCAGATCCTTGTAGTCCAAACATATAAAGTAGTTGATCAGATTAGTGAAATACAAACCTGTTTTACTAAAAAGTTCCTATTTCAAACATAATTTTCATTGAACAAGCTCAGAGTAATTTCTCAAACCTAGCTGATATGCTGTGATTTTATACAAAAAGGTGAAGTGTCTGTTCAATGTTGCTTACACTGCAGTACAAAAGCAGCGCACAGAAAAGTGTGTGTGGGGGAAATCAAGAACATCAGGGAAATTCCAGCTTACCCGTAAGGTGTTGTCCCAAGAGGCCGAGCAGAGCGCCGTGCCATCAGGTGACACTCTGACTCTGCTGACACGGTTCTCATGTCCAAACAGGCACGTGACACGAGTCCCCTTCAAAACGTCCCAAACGTTGATGGTGTAGTCATTATAACCAGCAAAGAGCAAACGACCTGGAGGATGAAGAGATGAGGACAGACATGAGAGACAGTGAAAGGGGAAGTGTAGAATTATGAAACGAGAAGTCATTTTTGACTCTGTGAGAGACTGTGTGAGCAAATAGTGTAACACTTTACCAAAACACATTATGCATGCTACTACAACAGTATGGGTCTGTGGTAGAACTTGACTTCAGTATTTGATATGTTGACTATTGTAAATCAAAAACAGGGTTTAAAGGATTTGTAAACCATCAAACTGTCTTTATTAACATTTTACACTGCAAATCAACTTTTCTGGAATAGTGCAAATCAAAAAATGTCCTTATCACGGCTTACTTTACAGATTCATGTTTTAGACACAGATGTCAAAGAACTGAGAAGTATTCAAATAACTCCTCACCACTCAGAGAGAAATCCACAGTGGAGGCACCAAATATGATGCTGTCCTTCTGGTAGACCGCCACCTCTCTGTCAGCTCGCAGGTCATAGAAACGGCACTGAGGAATCCCAACAACACACACACACACAAACACAAACACACAATTAGTATTTGACTGTTGTCATCTTACCATGAGAGGAGTCCACAGTAAGCAGTCTTACGGAATACCTCAGAGACAGGATCAGGGTTACTAATAAGCCTCTCAGTGTATATTAAAAATGGACAGCAATGGCATCAAAACAAGGTAAGAAATTCTTGATGTGTTCATGAATCTATCCTTCGATAGCCGAAAAGAGGTTTTTTAATTTTGTCATAATCTAAAAACTTTCTATGAAAAAAAGTAAAAATTAAGATTAAATAGAACTTTTTAAGAATGGGTCAAATAAATCAATCAACAAAGGATGCATCCTATGAGGATGTGTTTCACAGGACCAAGCACACACATCACAGCACAATGTTGGACCGCACATATGACGTGACTCACGGTGGAATCATCAGAAGCAGAAGCAAATGCATCTCCACTGGGGTAATACCTAAAAGAAGCATGAAACAGGTAGAGTCATTAGGATACAATGATAAGCTGTATAAACATGATCAACTATATTAAAATAACAGATAAAGTGCTCAACTTGTGTCACAGGACTGAACTTTGGAGTGAAAACCTCGCCTCCCTAACGCATCACAAGTGTCTTGTTAGATCCCATTTAGCATTTCAGGCATCTTGTATATTTTGCTCTCCCAACTGACAATCATCCAAAAAAAAAAAAGGTGAAATCTGAAAGTGTAACCAATTTCAGAAAAATGCGTCTGAAGATTGGGAACTGTTTGCCTTAACACACTTACAAAAGAGTCAGGGTGTAATTCAAAGTTTCTTCAGTGAACCAAGACAAAATAAAAGCTGTATTCAAGGTTTCTGCACTATGGTTTACACTGAGGGCACAACAGTCTTTGATCCTGTACCTATTCAGCCTAGTGGATTCAACCTTTCTTCCAATTATTGATTACGCTGATGTGTTATACATGAATGCCTCTGTTCAATGCCTCCACATGCTGGATAGTGTGCATCATGGTGCTCTTAGGTTGATTACAGACTGTGGAGCTCTAACACATCGATGTGTCTGATACAGTAAAGTAACTTGGCCATCTTTACATGTGCGCCGGCTCGGGCATTGGTACGTGTTGATTTATACGGCTGTTCTTCAGATGACTCCATCTTATTTATCATCCCTTTAAATCTTGAATAATAGGGCCTACAGTCTCCACTCCCACGACTTTTATCATTTTACTGCTCCTAAGGTCAGAACAGAGATGGGGAAGAAAGCTTTTAGATTTTTCTGCTCCGAGTACATGCAACATCTTACAATCAGACCTGAAACTCCAAAGTCTGGTATCTCTGAATGTATACAAATCCATGATTAATTCATTTACATCCAGGCTTCAGGACTGCAAATGTTTTATTTGAGTGCAAATGTTTGACGAATCTTGTAAATTCTTTTCACTAATTTTAAAAATTCAATTATTATTTGTATTCATCCATCCATTTTCTACTGCTTATTCCCGTTCGGAGTCACAGGGGGGCTGAAGCCTATCCCAGCATCATCGGGTGAAGGCAGGGGACACTCTGGACCAGTTACCAGTTTATCGCAGGGCTGACATATAGAGACAAACAACCAACCACATTCACATTCACACCTACAGGCAATTTGAAAGTGGCCAATTAACCTAACCCCATTTCTGCATGTTTTTGGCATGTGGGAGGAAACCAGAGTAACCGGAGTAAACCCACGCACACATAGGGAGAACATGCAAACTTCACACAGAAACACCCTGACCCGGATTCGAACCCAAGACCTTCTTGCTGTGAGGCAACGGTGCTAACTACTGTGCCGTCCATTCTTTGTATTGTATATGATTAATGTGATTACGTATTGAAACTATATGTGCTGCCATTCTTGGCCAGGTCTCTCTTGCAAAAGAGGTCTTGGATCTCAATGGGACAAACCTGGTTCAATAAGGGTTGTAATAATAATAATAATGATAATAATAATAATAATGATCCATTACAGAGAGAAATTGAAGGGAAGTAAGGTGCCTCAGATGTTCTTTATAACATGGAGCATATGTGTGGACATGAACAGGTAAACTATCTTGTGTTATGATGCATTTCAATGATCAAGTATAGATCAGTCGTTGAAGTCTCATATGTGCAGAGGTATCAAAAGTTCCATATCGACTCTTTCCCACAGTGTGACGAGTTTAATGTCTTTTCTCTGTTGAGAAGATATTCAGCCTCAGTCATTGAATCAAAGAGCTGGACTCACTTCACACAGTTGATGTCGGACTCATGGCTCTCGAAAGACTGAATGTTTTGTCCAGAGCGCATGTCCCACACATTGGACCTCCTATCACTGCCCTGCAAACACACAGTGTGGAAATCAAAGTCTACTAAACAATTTCAGTATTAAATAAAATCCAAAAGTCACACTACCATCAGTGATTTACAAATACACATGCACAGCCTCTTACCCCAGAGACAAAAGTGTTTCCGGTCTCAGAGGGGGCCAGGTCCAGGGACAAAACATCAGCTGTGTGGCCATGAAAACTCTGCAGCAGCTGCCCGCTCTCCACATCCCACAATGCACACGAGCCGTCACCGCTGGAGGTCAAGATCTATGGAAGAGGACAGCCATACCGCATGTGTTCAACATTGATTCTTTAAAGTATTCAAACATATATGTTTAGATGTTAAAATTTGGCTGTCCAGATGAGTTGGTAGAGTTAAAATGTGGTTATTTTAACTAACAGACTGCTTTAGAGAAAGAAAGGAAAAGCTTTATTAACATTTGCAACATAACTTTTTTTGTGTGTAGTAGGTAGATTTGTTTTGTAGAGCTCTATCTCTGACAAATGTCTATATGTAGTAGTTACACCAGGTTTGACCATCAGCACACATCAACATGCATCCACATACAAACAAGCAGATAAAATGCCCAAAAAATCAGCAGTGATTCCTCTGACGAAAAAACAGACTCCGAGCTCTTCAGAGGCACATGCAGACATGAGAGATCCCTCCTGGCTGCTGGATTAGAGAGCTCCTGCTGGATGACCTCAGGCACCAGAACACCCCACATCCTGGCTGCACACAGAGGCAGCTCCAGTTTCAACAAGAGTGCAATTATCAGCAAACCACAACGACTGACACACACACACACACACACACACACACACACACACACACACACACACACACACACACACACACACACACACACACACACACACACACACACACACACACACACACACACACACACATACTGATGGGACCTTGAGGATCTGTCAATCTTTGCATCAGTGGGATTTTTTTTCTACCAACACCTGCAGGTCACTGTTTTTTAATCATATGCAACATGCATGAAGATATTTTAGATATCATATTTAAGGACAAAAAAACTCAATGTACCTCTAGCAGTTCGATACACACACACACACAAGCACTCCAGCTGCTAAAAAAGAAAACAAGTCTTTCATAAATAGAACTGTAAAGACACTTTCTGAATCCTACATGTTTGGTGCTCCAAGCTATTTTTCAATGGTACTCAGGCTGTGGGCTTCTCGTGTGCGTGTGTGTGTCTTTGTGAGACACAGTACAAGAGAAAAGATGTGTGACAGTGTTGTGTATGTGTGTGAGAGACAGACAAGAAGGAAACACACATGTGCTTGTCTACTATGTGTTAAATGTTCTGCCCTTGGGTCAGTGTGCGCCTTTCTTACTCAGATAAAAGCCACTCAGTGTCCATTAATACACCCAGCACACAGGACTGTCACCCCCCCTCCACTGCTGTCCTGTCTCTTTTCTGTCCCCTCCTCAGTGCTGCCATCCATCTCCCTCACCTCTCCCTCCTCTGCCTCTTCATTGTGCTCCTCTGCCTCGCTGAGGGCTACAGTGCAGACACTAACAGAGTGCAAAAATGTGACACTTATTTCTAAATTTTCTCTTTTTTGGTTCAGCCCCCAACCTTCTTCTCCCATTATTTACCCTGTAACTTATCTGTGAAAAAAATCTTTAATGCATTACAAAATTGCTGTACTTGCTAAAGATTATTTTATTCTAACTTAATCTTAATGGCAGCAATAAGGTACTATGGTAATATGGAAGTAGCCTGTTGGCTTAGAGGTGTGACAAATCCTGGCGATTGTGTAACTGTTGCATCCTGCTTATTATAGTACTGATGAGCATTATTATGCCATTGGGGTTGCTATCTGTTCTTTTTAAAAGCTAAGCTGGTTTAATCTCAGGACTTATAATTGAGAGAACCTTGAATTAAAGCAAAATGCTGATTGTAAATGAAGTATCCTCTTGTGTCTATTAATCTTTCAAAATCAGATCATATTTAATTGGCTCAACTGTAGAAAAAGTACACAAATATGTATTCGACGATAAAGGTTTTTTAGATATAACCTTGTGCTCACCTGCATGTCAGAGCCAGTGAAGGTGCATCCTGATAAATAGTTGGTGTGCATGGCCACAGATTTCTTCTTAGCAGCTAAATTCTCGTTTCTGTCCAGTGACAGTGGGATCACTGAGCACTTATTATCCAATCCACTGTCAAAAAGAAAAAATAACATCAGAGATTTTCACCAGGGAGCTGGGGTTATAATATATATAACTTGTGTTTGTTTGGTGGGCAGTTACTTCATCTTCAATTAAAGCTGACACACAGAGACAAAATCAGATATACTCACCCACAAGCCACAGCACAACCTGAGGGAGAATAGGCACACGCCATCATCCATGTGCAGGGCAAGCTCACTCCATGCTCCTGTAACACATCCCCATACATACACACAAACACAAAAGTATGAAAAAGAGAGGAAAAAGTGATCATTTGTTGAAACACAACTTCATCTTCTTCATTAGAATTAATCAGCAGCTCTCTTACACAGACTGAATAACCATACAGCTGCAGTAAACGTGGCTATGGTGAGCATTAATAGAGATTATGTTCCCCGAAGTTGTGTCTTCTCCATCAAGAGGCCTGATGGTTCAGTCAGGCTGAGTCCTGGCTACTCTTTAAGAGTGCTCAGACACACACGGACTGGACAGATGGATGGATAATCTTTAAGCGCATATTTCCATGTGACCGTGTCACGGCCTCTTCATCAGAGCAGTGTGGCAGCAGAGTTTGACCCTCCCACCCACTCACTACCCGTGCATATGGTGAGGAGGACATGAGTGGAAAAATACAACACGTAGTCTTACATAACAGAGCAGAGAAGTGGGTAAGGTTAAACTGGGCAACCAAGCCCCAGGAAGTAACCGCCCCATTCATTTGCATGATTGTCCCTCTCTGCAATGCAGTCTTTGGGATGGATGCTTGAAATTTTAATTTGTCACAGATGAAATAATGAATACAAACAAGACTGAACGTGGTGTTTTTGAAAAATGTGATGAGTTTATTTAAACAGAAGTGCCACTGAAGAAGAAAAAAATCAACATGGGCTAAAAATATGTCTCAGAGGCTGAGTTTGCAGTACTTGGTGGATGAATTTGTCATGGGTGTATGGATCATGTGTATCAAGCACTAAATCCCATTTCCTCTCCATGTTTGCCAAGTCTCAAGTGTATTTCCAGGTACAGGAGTGATTTTTTTCCTGGTTATGGTTGTCAATATTCTGTCACTGTATTTCTGTGCGTTTGCTTCTTGAATGGCTTAAGGCACATTTTCCTACGCTTGGACTAAAGCGTCACATAGACCACTACTCACCTTATTAAGAGTGAAAGCATCCCAGACAATTACTTTACCATCCTGGAAAAAGACAGATATATAGGAAATAGGATAGAAATTAGAATATACAGGCCATGAGAAATGGAAATTTTGTAGTAAATCATAATAAAACTCCCTGAACACAGACAAACCTGTGAGGAGCTGACGAGACGGCGTTTGTCTTTACACCAGTCCATACACAGCACTTTGTTCCCATGACCTTTCAGCAAACGCCTGGTCTTTATGGAGAGAGCCCCCACCACCTCCACTTTCTCAGCCGCCTGATTCACTGAAAAACACAAACACAGAGACACATTAAGTCAACTGAATCTTAAACATTAATATACAAATGACCACCATCTTTTGTAAGAATAGGGCTGTGGATTTAATTTACTTAAACGCACATACTGTAGATACCCTCTGTTTTATTCTTTTTATTGTTTACCTATCAAACTAAAAATTGAAGTGTGTATGAAATTATGAACAGTCAATAAACTGGATCCAACTACAGATACTTTAGTAATGACTAACTAAAACAGAGTTGATGAATACTTTAATGACATTAAAATAAGGACAGATATATTGGCATACTGTAGCTACAGTTTCTTAGGGTTATGGTGCCTCCAAGTTTAGATAATGTTCAACCAACAGTCTAAAACTCTTATCATCTTTATCAACAATCAAAGATGGAAAAACCTTTCATTTAAAGAGACCAAACTGTGTGACATTTCCTCTTGATACACGATCGAATTAACATTTTTCAGCATGTTAGACAGATAAATCGTTAGTCATTTCTTCACTGTTATGATTATGCTGTTTTTACTGAAGTTAAAGACCTCCATACCTCCTCTACAACTTTTATTCAACTGTGAAAGAAATAAGTCAGAGTTAAGTCGCTAAAACTGTATGAAATCTTGAAGCAACTAGAGCAAATGTTACGGAGAATTTTCTTTAAATACAGCTCAAATTCTCAGATATTTTCTAACAGGCGACATAACAGCACTGACTGACTGACAGACTGAGGGCGGAGTAGTAACAATGTCATCAAGAGTAAACAACAACAACAGCAACAGCAGAGTAATCGGACTGCTTCATAAAAACTATCAGCTGTCAAGTTTTGAGTCGAGCTTTCTTGTAAGTAATACCACGTTTTAAAAAAGGAGAGACAAACTAAGAGTAGCGCTTTTTCTTTTCTCGGTTTAGTTAAAGTTTGTCCCCGGACACTTACACTCCACGTCGGCGAGCTTGCGCCGCTCCTCCTCCAGCTTCTTCCTCAGACTCTCGCTCTCCCTCTTCAGCGACGACAGGGTTTCTCCTGTCTGGAGCCCCTTACAGGCCATCTTCATTCAGGGGGAAAAACAACCACACAGCTCAAAAACAAAACACTCAGGAAACAAGAACAAGTGGAGACACGAGAAAACACGAGGAGAGGAAGGGGAGTTTTAAAGGGGGACGGCACGCTCTGATAAAGTAGTCGTCCTCGCGAGCGACAGTGATGCTGCTGCGTTCCACACCGGGCTCGTGCTGAGTGTGTGAGCCCCCCTCCCCAACCCAATCCCTTACAGGCATTCAAGGCTGATGCAAAGAAAGGCCTACTTTCACCCACACTTCAATTACTGTCTTAGACTCGACTTTTAAAGAGCATTTTTAAAACGTTATATTTATAATAATAATAATTACAATAGGCCTTATAATAGTTATCTAAAATCTCTTGGTGTAACAAAAGAAAGTAGGTTGACCTTCTCCAGCTGCTGTGGAGTTTAAAGGCATATTCCGGCGTAAAATTAATTTAGGGTCAAACACACCGTAACACCGAGTTAGACACCCCGTCGAGAGATTAATGTTGCCGACCACTTGCTTCTCTAGTTATACCAACTTTAGTAACGACTGCACACCAGCAATACACAGAGCCACGCGCTCAACCAAAAAGCCACTCTATAGCCACAAATAATGCTCAGAACAGCACCTAACTTCATCAACAGTACATATGGGGTCCCAGCCACAGCACTAGCTACCAAACATCTTTTTAACTTTGCCTAATTTCTTTAGCAAAGAGACTAAACACAACTCACCTACTCTCTTCCAGCAGTCACTTGTTTATAGTGAGACCTCAGGCTAGTCCATTATTAACTACAGCGGGATGACGCAGCTCAAGGAAGAACATTTATGATCACTTCTTTATCATTTCCTTTAAGTAATAACCACCATATTAATCATTTTGAACTGCAGACACAGTAGTTCTTCTGCCTTAGCGTCTCGGTCTGATTGCATTTCCACGAATAAATGAACATAAATGTTCTTCCTTGAGCTGCGTCACCCCGCTGTAGTTCATAATGGACTGGCCTGAGGTCTCACTATAAACAAGGGACTGCTGGAAGAGTGTAGGTGAGTTGTGTTTAGTCTCTTTGCTAAAGAAATCAGGCAAAGTTAAAAAGATGGTTGGTGGCTTGTACTATGGCTGGGACCCTATATGTACTGTTGATGAAGTTAGGTGCTGTTCTGAGCATTATTTGTGGCTATAGAGTGGTTTTTTGGTTGAGGTTTGTGTATGGCTCCTCAGACTGCTGTGTATTAGGGTTGTTACTAAAGTTGGTAAAACTAGAGAAGCAAACGGTCGACAACATTCATCTCTCGAGGGGATGTCTAACTCGGTGTTACGGTGTGTTCGACCCTAAAGTAATTTTACGCAGGAATATCCCTTTAAGTAAAAGCAAATCAAATGAGTGATCAATAGCACTAATCTCTTTTTAAATTTAAAACATTGTTATTAAGGTAATCTTAGGGCTCTTTTTATGGCCTTGTTCCTGATTTTTCTATTAAGACATCTGCCAGTTGTATAAAAAACCAAAGTGATTGATTCAACTTCAACCAAATTAATATTTTGTTTAATCAACATACTTTCACTCAATGGGTAAACTGCAATGTAGAAATGAACACGTACCACTTCCACACAGAAGGAGCAGTAGTTGATGGGCTCAGTCTTAATATAGATGTTCATCAGGGGACTCGCTATCCCACAGCTCTCACAGGGGCCAAAGGTGACCGCCACGAACGTCTGATCACACATGTCTGCAGAGGATCAGCAACACACCTGTGGAAAGTACAGAAATATGTACACACAAAAGATATTCAAACAGCTGGACCACATGTTTGACCTGTTTTGACTAATTGAATTATTCAGAGTCATTCTGGGCTGTGAGCATTTAGCCTGCTACTGTGTGTGTGTGTGTGTGTGTGTGTGTGTATTTGTGTGTACAACAGGAGATAAGTCATTGGTAATCTATTCGAGCCTGATCCTCTGAGCTGAGCTGAGAGGAGAGGAGAGCAGCTATTCTGGGAGCTACACAGAAAATGTCCCAACTCAGACTGGATGATAGACAACCAATAATAATGTGTCAGAGAGCATGTATATTCATTTTGACAATAAATATCAATGTAAACTACCTTTATCACTTTTTAAAGAAACAGATGTCAACATATCTTAAAGACAAACAGTAATATCACCATGTAGCTACTCATTAGGTTAATTTCTTCTTTTTTCCAATTACATTCAGCTTAACTACACACTGAAATGGATTTTTATCAGTTTATTTAAAAACCATTTACAATACATCATTTCTCTAGTTTTGTAATGTGTTTCATTTCATTATACAGGCAGCTTATAATCATTACACTGTAAGACCTGCTTCTTTAAACAATAGTTAACTGCACTGAATGTTTATAGGAGTAAAATAACGGGTTGTAATGCAGATATCTGAGCGTCACTGATTTAGCTTCCAACACAAATGTGAAATGGATCAGTGATCAATATTAATTCTCAGTTTGTTCTTAGCTAACTTGTTGACTAAGTGACCACTTCCTTTAGTTAACCCTGCTGTCTTTTGTAGAAGAAAAACCTTGTTATAAATTGCAAACATCTCCCTCTGTCAAACTGTGTCTGCACTTTCTGAAATAGGATTTGTCTTTCACTCAAACAGCTGACTTACCACAAACAACACACCGTAGACTGTAGATATTTTCATCTTACTTTATAGGATAACCCCAAACAGCCCAATATCACTTTAAATATTATTTCCTTTAAAAACAGCCTTCAGAATAATTAAATCTTACCTCACAAGAGAAGTTTTAACCCACTGTTTGGCAGGTATTTGTCCCTGGAGACCTGAGAGGAGGTTTTCCACTGAAGAGGATTGGCAGAGAGGTATGGAGAAGGAACGGTAAGCTTCTTAGTCAAGCGTTTAAGCTGCGACTGCTCTCCTTTTACCGCTGTGATTTGGTTGGACCTGCAGCTTTACCTGCAATAACTGGACAGTTGCTTTTGACAGGCAATCTGTAAACATACAACGCAGATTAAATATTCATATATCAGGTACATGTAATCCCAAATCTTTTTTGGGTTGCCTGCTCTCTTTATTTCTTGTGCTACTGTAAAGTAAGTATAGGAATAAACAGTTCAACATCGTATCAAAGTATATTTTAACATTTTCAATACAGACCAGTAGCAGACACTTGGCTTTACTGTCGTTTTCTGTGAAAATAATATTTGTAAACTCTCAAAAATGGCAAAAAGTAAAAATAACAACAGAAATAGACACAGAGGTGGTCAGTGCTGAGTTCTTTTATTTTACTTTTACAGATTTAACAATTTATTCCAAGTTTCTTAACGGTGAACACATTCACTAAGCACAGCTACCAGAAACTACAAACAGTCCAGTTTGTCAAATGTACACATGGGTCAGAGAGGAAACATCTGGTTCTGGCTGCAGTATGTTCACACCAGTAAACCACAGTAACAGCTGGAGTGATGATAAAGTGTTTTTCTTTTTCACAATTATTTTTAAAATGGCACAATCAACGCTAGTGCTGATAAGAACAATGATCGTTTATAATGTCAACGTCATATCGTACAACCGACTCTCTCCTTCATGTAGAGATGCAGAGTTGAGGAATGAAGTTTTCTCCTGTCTGGGTGAACGAGAGAAGCCGCAGTGCTGCTCAACCGTACAAACCAATGAATGAAAATGTTTTTAATTCTACTTTTATCAGCCTTTTCCAATCTGTACTCTTAGCACATCAGTCCACAAGTCTGACAAGTCTGGAGCTGCATCCACAAGAGTTCATCTCTGAACCTGTGGCACAATTTCACCAATGGTTTGAGTTAAACAGGATGAAGAATAACTACAAAAATTATAACAGTATGGGAAATGTGCAGGAGGAAGCTTGACAGGCTGCACATTATGAAGGCGTGGGAATTAAAGGACTCTTTCATGTATTTTTATTTTGCAGTTCATATCCATCTACCCGACTTCCCCGGTAACGTCTAAAAAGTGCAGTTTGACCGATGACCTAAAAGTGCAACCCATCTGTGACAGCAACTGTGGGACAAAATGCACCTTATCAAAACAAATATGATCACAATTAACATTTCATTTCTATTCAACAATGAAAAAAACAAAACACTACTCTGACAGAAGGAAACAATGTTGATTCTGTCATTCAGATAGCAAATAATTCAGATAAGGCTTTGTCCACAATGTGCAGCTAAAAACACGTTGAACACATTCATATGGTTTGTTAATTCCTTCAGTCACCTAAACGCTCTACCACCAGCAGATATGTTCTCTTTACACAAAGCACACTTTCATCTATCTAATGATCCAAACAAAATAACAAAAGCAAAATGATCGCACGTGGTCCCAATAAAAGAAAATGGAAATCAAATAAAACAAGTGCAACACAAATCACCTTCACATACTAGTCTCTTTACCCCACGTACAATTTGTTTTAGTCTGTAGCTCACTCCTGACTTAACGCGACGGTAAGCAGGAACATTTTGATCGATGCTTCCTTGGTCAGTTTGAATCTTTTCTAAAATCAACAAGTTACATTAAGAACCGATCATGATCTCCTTTACGTGTTAGCACCTCAACAACAAAAGCTCTTTTTGACAGGATAAGGTAAGGCAGAAATAAGGTTCACATGAGGGCGAGAGGCAAAATTGGTTGGCGGTTAATACTTATGGCACGACAGGAAGTAAACGAGCAAAAAGTGCGAAACAGGAGGCAGAAAGGATGGAGTTAACATGGGGGCTGATTCTGACATCCATCCATTGACCCTCAACTACATCGATGTCTCTCCGTACCGAACAGAAAAAGCAGTAAAAGCATGCTGGCAATGTTTTAATCCCTCATAAGTCTGAATAAACCCAGCTCAGGTAAGATGCGACCATACTGGTGCAATAATAGGTGAGGTGTAGTGAGGAACCAAGTTTACATGGATATCTGAACCAGAACAATCTGAGAGGCAAACGTGTCGATAATCGTAAACTTGATGGTAAATTGAAATGAGGGAGAATGCCACTGTTTTTCATACTATGTAGTTTTTGGTTATAACAGCCCGTATTGTGCTTCCTTGACAAACAAAAAAAAAGGCAAAGAGAAGAGGAGTCAAGGAGGAGAAGAGAGGAGTCAGTCCTCAGTTAGTGTTTGGGTGGCAACAAAAGCTTTTGACATTGTGGTAAAGCAGGACAGATTTGAGGCTCTCTTCCTCGTTTAACTTCAGAGAATCTTTCTGCTCAGTGATTCATGGCTTTTCCATCATACTCAACTTTGACACGCAAGGAAATGACAATACTGAAAATAAACAGCTTCATAATGGTAATAGTAAAACAGTTTAAAGCTCTGTCTCGAGCTGCGACCAGAAAATATACAGAGAAAACAAATGCAGGGAGTGCAAACCCCGCGGTGATACAGCAGTAAGCAGAGTGTAATGTTGTGTGTATGTGTGGATATGTATCTTTGTGCCAGTGTTTCTTCCTGTGATGCTGAGCTCACAGCTGTAAACAGTTCAGAGTGAAGCAGGTCAAACCTTCGACAGTTTCAACCTTGTACCTTCTGAGTTTCACTTTCATCTGCTAGAAATGCAGGATAAACATGATAAAGCAACATCTCTAAGTTAAGACAAGACTTAAATAATCATAATCTGTGCCGGCAATCCTTACACTAAGTAAACTACTTCATAATTACCTGATATTGACATAAATAGCCTACAATTTATTTAAACCGACTAAAACTGTCAAACGCAGCTGCTCATCTTGGGAAATGACGGTCCCATCCTTCATATTAAGAGAGAGAGAGATCTTCTAGTCTTGGAAAGGAAAAGGTGGGTCAGAAGTTGATGCAATAAATAAAATACATGATATATATTATTGATATTTATATATATTTATATATGTATAAATAATATTGTACAGATGATGAGCTCTGTCTTGGCTCGACCATGATCAGAGAGTTAAAAGACGAAGACAACACAGCCTGGTCCAGGTCACCTCAACATGTGGTGGAGAGAGCTAACTTCAGCACGTATCCCTCTGCTGGTTTTTGAACTGGGACTCACTTTAACTCAACATATCAGCCTGTTTCTCTAGCGCCTCCTCTCAGGGCTCCTGTGTGCATCGTGTGTGTGTGTGTGTGTACATTCTCATCGGAGAACGAGACAATGGCGAGAAGAACTATCTGAACGACTAGTTGAGACATAGAGGAGGGAGTTGGGGGGTAGAGACCACTGAGACAGACCCTGGTGTAGGGGGCAGAGCGAGGACCGGAGGCTTTGATCTGGTCCTGTCGCTTCTCTAACAGGCAGGCGTTTGTACAAGCAGTAGATTGATGTTGTTTTACCAGATTTAGTTCACATTGGAGATTGTGTGTGTGTGTGTGTTTCTGTGCGTTTGTAATAGTGAGAGTGTACATGAGTGTAGACATGTATGATCAGAGGATGTAAGTATTATACAGATGTATGTTGACAGCTCAGCGTGTGTTTGTTCAGACCAGGACTTTATTAAGGGTACAGGACAGAGGGTTTCGATTGAGGAGCTTTCTGTTCTTTAGATGTATTTGCTCTGATGTGTTGGTGCAATCCTAGCTGTGTTTCAATTTGTGATATTCAGAATAATTCAGAATTGTATCTTGACCTATGGGGAAAGTGTTTTTTTGGGCCGGTGAGTGTGTCATGTGACTTTTGATTCTAACTGCGGCCAATGTGTCAGGATCACTTCATGACTCTGTGCCGTCCTGCGGGGCCTTTGTTTACACACGGGTGAGGAATCCCAGGTTGAGCGAGGTGGGTATTTGGATGGTTTCCAGGGCGAGTGAGGATGGATTAAACGGGAAGGTGACAGGATAAATCATCTTTGTGTCCATCAACAGCTGAGGACTCTCACATCGGTCTCGCAAGCGAGTCTGAGGAAAAAACAGAGCAGATCAGATGATGAGATTTAATACACAGTCAGAAAAAAATGCTCAAATTGTTTCACTTACAGTGTTTTTGTACTAAGATCAATTGGCAGGGTCTGTTTGCTATAAATGAACCTGCTTCACTTTTGCTTTTGTTTATCTGTCAGTCACCCCAGGAGACGTGGCACCAAAGAGCAACAAAAAACGATGATGCATTTTTTTATCTGCTTGAATTTATTTAAAATTGAACCACTATTTAGACTTAATAGTAGATAGAACATTCAGTTATTTGTAAAGTGCTGCTTTAAATAACTCACTTCAATCTCCAAAAAAACAGTTTGGTGCCAGTACATGTGGTGTGAATCATTACCTGTATGGTTCGTATGAATGCAACTGATACTCTCTCCTCAAACTCGTTGACTGGAGTGTAGAGATTCAGGACCTTCACAATCTGAGGGAGACATAACACAGAGAGGTTAAGACACAGATTATAAGTATTGGTTATGCATGAGTCATAATAATTATAACGCATGTAAATGGTGAAGAGTGTACATAAATCTATGTGTACTTAAATCTGCACATTTGGTGAACAGTGTTGATCTGGAATATTGCGCTTTATTTATGTGTAGGTTTTCTTTTTTTTCTTTTATTTTCTTCCCCATTATTTCAATTTAATTTGTATTTCTCCTTCTGGACCCTGTTTTTTTTTTTTTTTGCAATAACCTTTCTTTACATTGTATGTTTAGGATAACTTACAGTGTAATTTATCTTTGTTATTATCCTTATTATTACTATTTATCTATTTATTTTTCACTTTATTTTATTATTCCTTTTAGAGGATCTGGGAACATGAGAAGGTGATTAAGGGACTGGGGGGATTCATTATGTACATTTATTCAAGATGTGATTTGTTTATGCTCAAACTGAAAATGCCAATAAACAGATTAAAAAAGCATGTAAATGGTGCGAAGTTGCAGGACAGTTTACCTGAGCAGTAGTTAGGGCCAAGCACATTGAGCAGATGGCCTCAGCATCCTCATCAGTCTTCTTCTTCACCTGCAGCAGCTGAGCGGCCTGGATAAGAGGCTCCAGGGTCTCTTTGGCTCCACATGTCATCAGGCCTTTGTCCCTGAGCCACTCCTCAAGCTGGCTCACGTTGTACCTGCATAGATCAAATATGTGGATGAGACCGAAGAAAAACAAACACAGGAGAAATATTAGACTGTTTCTGCTCTGGTGCTCCTCCCCAGGCGGCGACATCCCTACCTGATCTGCATGCCTTTGCTCCAGGAGCACATATCTTTGCGCAGCAGCAGGTTGTTAAGGGTGACAGCGCCGATGATGTAGAACTGCTGCTTCACCACCTGCTTGATGAGCTCGGGGTCGGTGCCATGCTGGCACATTGTAGAGTGGAAGGCGCTGAGCTGTCGCAGAATGGAATCCAGGGTGTAGGTGCCCTCATCGGCGATGCTGGACGTCCTCTTACGGAGACCTGTGGGCTTCACCCCGGACACACCCTGAATGGTCTCGTGTTCCAGCATACCAGAGACTGCAGGCAACACACACACACACAAATTCAGTCAGTACATGTGCACATAATGCAAATGCATGTTCGTGGACAAAATAAAACAGCTTTTGTGATTACTTTCGTGTAGCACGCACCTATCATGGGCTGCAGGATGTTCTCCATGCATTTGATCAGCTGCTGGTAAATCTGGATGGCCAGGTCACTGATCACCTGTCTGTACTCTGCCAGGTCAAAGTTCGACAGAGAGTGTTCGTTCTGCCGCGATGTGTTGTGCTTCATGAAAGCCTGAGGCACACCGACACAGTATGGAAATGTTAGGACCCAAGGGTTTGTGCATGAGCAGTGCAGTTTGAAATGTCAAAACTATAAACTGAATGTTGAATGTAGGAGACCAGTAGAGTTCACAATTTTATATTTAGATACAAAGATTTTGGAAGTCTCAAATACTTTCTTTATAAACATTGACTTAAATCAGAGGAGAGCACTTGCTGTCAGTGTAACACTTGTAAATTATGCATATGTCTGCTTTTTGGAATGCTTTTGTAAGTGAATCTAACGATTAAAAAAGGTCAGAGTTGTAACTGTAAACTGTAGAAAAGTGCTGGAGGAGAGAATAATTATGTGCAGCCTTTAGTGAGTACTGGGTCAAACTTTTTCCTAAAACATCAGAATAAAAGCTTTTCATCTTGTATTTGGTATTATGATTTTAAAGTCTTCTACTTCTAGAAACAGAAATTTCACAAATTAACAGTTTCTGAATTTAAAAGTCAGTATGTTCCTCTTACCTCGTCTCCGCTGTATTGTTTTAGACAGTGTAAGAAGCGACATGTGTTAGCCAGCCAGAAGGAGACTGTCTCAAAGTCATCTCCTCGTTTCTGTAAGGAAAGTCAGTCAGTCAGCAGCAGCCAGTAAATCAGCCTGAAAGAGTCTTTACTTGAACTCTTTCTCAGACACTCTAAAAGTGGGAAAATCTCACAAAAATATCTCTCAATGTATTAGTGGAAATATTTACTCTACAGACAGTTGGATATTTTCTCACTTTTTGCTCTAATTACAACTCTCATCCTGTCATCAATCATCCTGCATGTACCACTGCCACACACACACACACACACACACACACACACACACACACACACACACACACACACACACACACACACACACACACACACACACACACACACACACACATACGTATATACAAACCTTTAAGATCTTCTTAATACTGTTGATTGTGGAGGTGAGCAGAGTGCGGACCTTCTGATCATCGTTGACATAATCTGCATGTCTTAGACACATGAAGAGGATGTAAGCTGGCAGACCTGGGATCAGATTTACGGCTACACCACGAGGCTTCAACTCTGTAGATACAGAGAGGAGTACATGAGTTTAGTGATGGACAAAGGGGAACATTGGAGGAAATTCTCAATGTGATTTTTTTACTTTGAACTTCAATTCAGGGTTATGTGAAATAGGGCCCTGAATAACTTCATTGAGATTTATAGATGTTTAATTTAAAATACTGTTATTAGCTCTTTGTAATCAGTACTTACCGAGGATGAGGTTCTTGACCAGCTTGAGCTCATCCTCCTTCTTGTACTCCAGCATCCCCTGGAAATCTTTCTCTCTGCGGGGAATGTTGACAGGATGAATTGGCTCATCCACCATCTGTCCTGGAGATGTCTGGCCCTCCGTCTGACCCGCTGAGAGAAACAAACAACATGACAGTCAAGAAAAAAAAACCCTGACAAAGCACTGAAACAGGAACATTATATGCACAGACTCTCAAGCCTCGGCTGACTAATGACTTCTCCTGTACCTCCCATCTCTCCGATCCTCTTGGAGTAAACTTTCAGCTGTTTCTTGAGCTTGCGGATGGTTCGATCCTGCTTCTCCAGCTGCTCCATCAGATCCTAAAAAAGGATGGAAGTGATGGAGAAATAGAGAGGTGGGCACAAAGGAAAGAGAAGAGATAAAACAGTGAGGAAAAATTTTAAAGAGTTCTCAGGGTAAAGTGTAAGCTTTGGTAACAACCAAACAAACAGAGGGAGTTAAATCAGCATGAGAGCTGCTCTGCCCGATTGACTTTTCAGAGGAAGTGGAAGAAGAGAGCAAAGACTCGCTGGCTGTTAGAAAAGAGAAACAGGTGCCAAGCAGCTCCGCGGTGAGTTACTGCTGTGAAGAGTTTAATCTATTCAGCCGTTCAGCGCTGTTTCACTCGTCACACACAAACCTCAGTTAGTTCAAACCCATGCAAACACACATGCATGATCGCACACACGCGCACACTGCAACTCTACATACAACCATCCGCCGTAAAATGATGACTCGAGCCTCTCGAGACGCTGTGGGGTCTTCAGCCAGGAGTTCCTGTCAGGTGACACCATCCAAATGAGTGAGTGTGTGTGTGAGAGAATCAGCACTATGTGGGCTGTATGTCCTTCTGAAGACTGTGAGACAGCATGTTAGCTAAATGTGGCAGATTGATGCTGCGTGTAAGTGTGTGTCTCTTTGATGAAGGGGAGGTTCAGGATCACAGGAACATAAGGGAATGTAAAACATATGAGTCAAACTTTGTTAAAGATGTAAAACAGAATAACAAAGCACTCATCTAAAAGATAAACTAATCATATCAGTTTTCTAGCGTCTTCCATGTATGGAGGACTATTTTGTATTTGACTTAAGGAGAGTGAGATGACTCATATGCATTAAATTTTTGCATCGTTGCCATACTTTCCAGTGGGGAAAATCTATAGAAGTAGTAAGTTTGTGGACGCTGGGGTTGCTGGTTGTGGAATGATAAACAAGCCATATAAATCAAAACTCAGGAGTTGCTGGAACCACAGCCACGCTATTTGCCAAAATAAGTTTTCAGACTTTCAATAACAACATATTAATGTAGGTGCTGTCCCTAAAAGACAAAGAATCTTACATCCTTTATGTGAGCTGTAAACAGAAAAGAATCGTACAGGAATAAAAATGTACCTCCTCCCACTAAAATTGTTCGATTGCCACTTTTACAAAACTGTTATTAAGAGTGATGCTTTGCTCTGTTCCGTATTTTGTTCAACGTCTTAGTTAGCTGCATCACAAGAATCTGTCCAAACTTGTGCATGTGCATTTTTATATATCTATAAATGTATACATATGTAAAGTTTTTGTTTTTCTGTTTTAAAACTCATACATCATTTGAACTACAATCACTGTTACTTATACTAATTTTCTATCTTCACTCTTATTGAGGTATTCATGATATTCTCTGAGGCTTCCCTGTTGTGTGTCTGTGTGCACCGCAGCGTACCAGGTTCTCGTTGGTCAGACGGGTGATCTCATGCTGCAGACTAGCTTCGATGCGAGCCTCTGGAGGCAGCTGAAGGTTCTGAGCCAAGAGCTGCTGCTGACGATTGTTCTCCTCTTTGACGTTCTGCAGCTCGCCACGCAGAGCCTCCATCTCGCTATCGTAACTCCTCCGCTGAGTCTGCAGTTGGTGCTCAAGTAACCTGAGAGCAAGAGGGAGAGAGAGAGAGAGAGAGAGAGAGAGAGAGAGAGAGAGAGAGAGAGAGGGAGAGAGAGAGAGAGAGAGAGGCCAGAGGAGGAAGAGGAGGAAGATGAGCATGTAAAGGATGAAACAAGGAGAGGTGGAGGATGAGGAAGAGAAAAGGGAAGGGAGAGATTTTTGGAATAACAAAAGAAGGAAAGTAGAGGAAGTTAGCATCACAGTGAGAGTCAAGACAGTTCAAGTTTTCACCACAGTGTTGTGACGCAGACAGCAGCATGCTGTGCAGACATTTCCAGCAGCCCTGAGCCCAGCCCCTCTGAACACTTTCTGTAACTTTGCTGAGTCATTACACCCAACGGAAATAAAAACTCAAGGGGCTCACCCTCAAGGTAGAAATCAGGCTCAGCAAAAGAGCAAAGCTTACAGAGGTCCAGTTTTTGCTTTGGAGAAAGTTGGACCAACTAGTTTTCCTACTTTCCAGCAGCTAACAAAGATTCAGAGACTCATCACATGCGCCCTCATATCAACAGCAAAAAATATCAATGGTTCTCTACATTTAATCAAGACATGTTAAAATTATCTTAGTATGTGATTTTGACATTAAGAAAACATCACAAATTTAATTTTTGAAAATAAAGTATTAAAGTTTTTGACTTGCTTAAGTCTAAATGTCAGGAGATGTTTGTCTAAGGAGACATTTCTTTTATGACCTTCTTAACATCAATAATTTGGCCAACAAAATACGGATGATCAAATTCAAAAGTTCATTAAAAATTAACACCTTTGTTAGATGTCTTTATCTCAACATGATTAACGCCAACATGACAACAAACATGTACGATTGATAGGACCTAAAATGTCCCTGAGAGGGCCTGAGGGTTTAAAGGTAACAGATAATAATCGAAGAAAGCAAATCCTGAGGTACAACCAATCTATGAAGCAAGAAAGGCAGAACACGTCACTGATTTAATGCATAAAACTCTACAAACACGATTAGAAAGAGCTAGATTTACAGTCCATGTCTAATTTAACAACCAGCTGTCGTTTGGGAGCTTGTCATTAGAAGTTGAATAATATTGGCGACAGGATGAGGGTAAATCCTGCTGAAATATATGAAATTAAGTCGAGTAAATATTGCTTTATAATATATAACATTTGTGAGAAGAAAAACAATTATCCTAACGTTTTAATACGGCTCAGAAACTGCACTACAGAGCAGTGTGACACTGTGAGAGTCTAGGAATTAAAGCTACCCATGCTACTGTCATTTGTTAAAACTTAGTGCACAGGATTGTACTTTTGTACTGCTGCGATCAGGTGCAGCTCAGTTTGATGAGAAAACAGAGTTCATATGACAAAAACACATAAAAGTTCATCAACTTGGCTCTTTAACTACTTGTTACATCTTTCCTTTGCTCTGCTGGTCTAGATGTCTGTTACATAACAAGTTTTGTGACCTGGAAACAACCTTTTACACCCACACAAATAAGAGTTAGAAGTGCAAGAAAAGATCTGGATGAAGAAAATCAGCAGCACGCATCCTCGTCTTTAGAAAAGGCAAACATTCATGCTTGTGTTTAAAACACATTTACACCTGATGGTTTCCTTTAAGCCCTGATTAACCAGCCACAGCTCTCCGTCCTCATTCAGCTTATGGAAGTCTGGAGCGGCAGATCTGACCGACACACAACACAAAGGAACATAAACAACAGGATGACAAAAAAAGAAAAAAGGTGGTATGGTTGGACTGAGTTAGGGAGACATACAAAACAACAAGGAAATCCTTATCTGAGCTGTCTGTGTGTGTATGTGATGCCACTTTAGATTGTACGACCTGGATCCTGGAGTTTTATGTCCTCCTCTTCTTTTCCATGCATTTATTTCTCCTTGACTTGACTATTACAATGCTCTTAATCTATCAACAACATTGATAGACCACATTAAGTTTGAAATGTTGCTGCCATGCTTTTAACACAGTGATTATTTGACATCAGTCCTTGCTGCCCTGAATCTGCTACCCACGAGCAGTGGTTTTGATTTTGTAAATTGATTACAAGATGTTTTTTAAAATCCTGAAACAGCCAGGCTCCAGCCTTTACCTGTGAGCTGCTAACTTCCTATGAGCCAGACCAGTCTGAGGTCTTCTAGCAGGGCTCTGCTAATGGATCCTAAATCTTGACTGGTCACATGAGGTGACCAAACATTTCAAGTTTGTGTTACTGCTTGCCTGTTTCCTCAGTTTTCTATACTTTATTCCAGTATTGGATCTTACTCCATAATCATCTGTTGTGATTTGTTATTTGTTTCAAGCGTTCAAGATAACTTGTTTTATGAGTATACTGCTTTATCACAAACATTTTTATTTGTCTTGTTTTGATTTTAATTGATTTTTTAACTTGCTTCAGAAAAGTGCTGTATAAATAATAATTATAATAATAATTATAATAATAATGAATTTTATTTATAACATGCTTTTATGGGTGCTGAGAGACGCTTTACAAAAAAAAAATTTAAAATACAGAAAATTTGGAGTAAATAAATACATATTTATATAAAAATAAATAAAACTCTTCTTCCTATTATTATTATTATTATTATTATTATTATTATCTACTTCTTGGTGGTTCGGGGTTCTCATTTGTGTAATTTAGATGTGACTTTTTGACTAGGTATGGGATGTGCTGTAACCCTTGGCAATTTTAAGGACTATCAAAACTGAGTCAGTTTCAACAAACGAATTCATTTTTGCTTTGTGAGTTATCACACTGCTGAGCTTAACAGTGGTGGAGTCTGAAACTATCTGTAAACTACACGCTCCAATGATGTCTGCTCTTGGTATGTGTGAATGTACAAAAATCATTTGCATGTAATAAAGGGAACAACATGGGAGAAACAGAGGGTTAAAAGCAGTGATGCACCAACACTCCATTTATGAAATGTGTGCTGTGTATCTCTGCTGTAACAAACAAACAGAAAAGAAGAAAACAAACACAATGGGCTTTCATGCTATGGATTTTCATGCCAAACTCATTCCATTAAACTGAGAGAAGAGGCCTCCGACAATCAGGAGCAAATCTGTCACTGTTGAAAATCAGCCTGTGAAGAAGTCTTGTTATTTATCCGCCCGCCATTTAGAATTAACTGAATCCAAAATGACGCAGGACCTCTGCAGTTCAGAAGTTTCCATGCTTTCATGCTGCACATTTTGTAAATACTGCTATATAAAGTTCTGCAGCATCTCCAAAACCAGACCAGAGCTGTTGAAGCCGAGAGGACACAGTTTTATCATTCTTTTGAGTGAATTAAGAAGGTTTATCATACCTATGAAACTCTCCTTTTCATGCTGAACCCATGCAGGGATATGCAGCTAAGAACTACACCACAAAGCCTCCCATTCTTGGACTCTGAATACTAGTAAACCAAGCCCGATAGAATACAAGTAAGACCTAAACCTTTGCTGGAACTGCTTCTATCAGACATGCTGTTAGGCCAAAAATGCTACGCAAAGCTCCCCAAGCTTTGTTTGGAAGAATCAGCTGTTTGAGTAACTGCTTCAGGAGCATCAGTTGTTTGTTTGGCGTCAGCGTGGCCATGCATGCTCTGCTCCATGATGCATAGGCCACGTCTCCTTTGGTTACCTCAGCCTACTCAGGAGCTCATTGACATCCAACGGCTTATGCATGAACCTTGGAGATCTGCACGGGACAAGGCAGCGTTCACAAATACACACACGTTTATAACATGGTAATAATAATAATAATAATGGTGTAATAAGAACTAAGTGTGAAGCTAGAGTAGGAAAAACGACAGACAACAGACCTAGAGCTCAGACTTCATTTGACACTGATAAAAGTCAGGACCTGTAGGCTTTGAGGAGTCCTAAATGTGACAAAGTACCTGTTGGTGTCTTTGAGGCCGATGCAGGCCTGCTTGAGCTCGTCAGCGTCCTTTAGTTTGGACACGTCCTCAGCATAGATGGACGGCTCAGTCATGGTCTCCTAGAAAAAGTAGACACAAAAAGAGAATAGATGAGGACCACGGTCAGAGGGTGATCTCTCTGCTAGCTGAGCAGAACCATGAACAACATCATCTTGTCTGAATGGTCTCATGGATGTGATTTCTCAGCGGGTAATGTTGACTCCCTGCCAGCATCAGTGTAGCTTCTGGCTACTGTTGTCCTTTTACTCTGACAGTCATCAGCCAGTACGAGCCTACAAGCCATCAGTTGAGACCTCTATGACAGCCGCCTATCTGCGGAGAATGTCACTTCACAGTGGTGGGCTTTTAATACAGCTTTCAGGAGACAAGAGGTGCTCAGTGTAGAAGCTGACAGCGCTGAGACCTGAGCATCAGCGGATACATGTTTACCCCGGGGTCTGAGGTCACTTGTGATCAAAATATTTGAGCAGGGTTCATGTGACTGTTTGATATCAAGATCAGATTTATGAAGCATGAAGGAGTCAAGAATATCTGGATGACTATGTGGCTGAAGCTGTTGTTAACATTGTTATGTTTAGTGAGCAGAAAGGTTAACTTGAGGTGCAGACACAAGCCCCTGTGCTGGCACCGTGAGAGCGAGTTGTCATCTTGTTGAAGCACATGCAAGTTCAGTCAGTTCCGTTATTATACTAAAAACCCTGTCTTTATACATGTCATAGCTAACATATCTAGACTCAAATTCATCAGCATCAATCATAGGGTCTAAAATTCTTGGAGATACAGAGTAAGCTCATACATGCAAACACTCAGACAGAGGATGATACAGGTGCGATAATAACATATAACCCAGGGAAGACAGAGTCTGTATGTAAACCACCATATTCTAAAAATCTGATTGTGTTTCCTCTGTGACTGCAGCTTAACGTTTCCCAAATTCAGGGGCTCTTCTGCACCATTAGGATGTAGAAAACCAAACACTGAAGTGAAAATACGACCACATGAGGGCCTCAGAGGGCCATCTAGTGGACAGCTGCAGCATGAAGCGTTAACAGTCATAAGACGAAAACATAAACTAAGCTGCTTGGGCTGTCACTTTATTATTTATCAACAAAGGTTGAATTAAAAATATTTTCAGTGATCTGTTAACTAAATGCTAATCCTCTGGTGGAGAAAAACTTGTGTCACTGTTAGCTAGCTCGCCTTCCTTCAGAGATAGCGACACAAACTAGATCATTTCTTTGTAACTAAATATGTGTGCAAGACAATCTTTTAACAATAAAAGCTCTACACCTGTGGTAAAGTGTTATTACTCTGAATGCTGTTTCCAGAGTAGCTGGCAGAAATCAGCAATCAGAAGGGGGTTTAACATACAGTGCAAGACATAAAAAAGTGAAAAATACACATAAACAAATAAATGCAAGAAAGCATGCGTTGCATGATGCTTTTTAACTGTACCTTCTCATCCTGTGGGCAAGCATGGATGGAGGAGAGAAGGTGGAGACAGCAGAATTAGACACAGTGAGGGTAAAGTGGAAACTTCTCTACAAACAATGTGAACAGTTCCAGGATTTCTTAAAAGTTCATGAACAAACTTCAAATTTAAATAGAGTAATGTCCGATCAGTCTTTAATACTTGCAGCTGAAATGTTAAGTTTGGGCATTATAGAAAAACACCTTAATAACTACTAAGAGGTGAATTAATTTTCAGATCTGAGATAAAAATGACAAAAAAATTCAATGAAAGAGATTTGGAAGGAATTGATCTCATTCTTATTTTTGGGGATTTCGTGTGTACACACCGACAAACCAAAAAGCAAGCACATTTAAACACCAAACAGACAAATGTAAGACAGTGAACACAAGCAGGAGTGGAACATTTACGAAATATAACTTCATATTTGAAGGAACAGCAGCACAACATGACCATCAGTCTGAGGTATTTCACTTCATGTGGATAATGAGAAGCCAAATACTGTCAAAGTGGTGATGGATGTACCAGTCTTCTTCAAATAGAGAGACAACAGAGACGATAAAAAAGTGAAATGTCCCTTCACCTTGTGGTGCATGGCCTCCTTCTGGCTGACCAGCTGTGAGCGCAAGATCAGCACTTCCTCCTTGCGGACTTCTAGCTCCTCACACGAGGCATTGAGCTGCTCCAAGAGCACCCTGTACGCAGGTGAGCCAGGGGCCCCGGCACCTGTAGCTTTGTCACCCAGCAGGCTTTGTCTCATCTCCGCCAGGTCGTGTTTCAGCTTCTTGTTCTCAGACTCCAGTTCCTGGCGCTGGGAGGGGAGAAAGAATTCCACATCAGGGATTTAGTGTCAAAACAAAGACTCTCTGAAGCTACGGCAAAAAAAACCCAACTGCACTGGAACAAGTCATCTTTGTTGTTCCCTTTGTGTTTTTGTGCTCACCTTCAGGGACTCGTACTCCAGCTCTGCACCACGAGCTTTCTTAAACTCTGCATCATCCTGAAATGAGGAGTAGAATGGAATAAGGAGGAGGTTTGTGGGGCAGGGTTAAAGTGTGTAAAAGTGCTTCAGACATGAAATGGCATAAACTTAATAAAGTTATTTCAAAGCCGAGTACCCTGGCTCTAGCCCGCTGGAACTGCTCCTCTTTGTTTTCCAGTTCGTTGCGCAGTGATTGCTTTTCTTGCTCCAGCTCTGTAAGACGTTTCTGCAGCTTGAGTGTCAGGGAAGTATCGATACCCCGAGTCACATCCTACATGCCAAAAGAGATGTTAAACTGGGAATATGCCTCTGGGAAAAGTATCAAAATACCAGCAGTTAAAGTTAAGGCCAAAAATGCTACACTTCCTGACCTGAATTACAAATAATATTCTCTATTATCTTTTAAATACTTAATTGCAATACTCTTACTTCTGCAGCACGGGAACCTTCCTCCAATTCGGCGTACTCGGAGTTGTAGGTGTACTCTGATTCGTTGCTGCTGTGGGTGGAATCTGTTCTCCTGTGACCAGGTTTGGAGACATTCTGCAGGTGCATTACGAAATAAATATTCAACTTTAAAATCAATAGAGACAAATCTTTTTGCTTTCTGCTGTCATGGTAAACTCATCTGTCATTATATAATACTGACAAAAAGAAAAACATAAACTTGCTATTGGTTTACACAAAGTGTTTGTCACGATCAATCACACATGACTTCTGCAGAAATTAAAACTCTTCGAAAAAAAAGATGTAAGACAAAAGTCAGAAAGTTATTAACAAATAAGTAACAATACGTCAATATTAATGACACTGAATCACATTTTTTAAAAATGTAACTTGTGGTAGGCCTCAAGGGTCAGTACTGGGACCTAATTTATTCATATCTTATTTAATGAGAGGTCAAATTAAAAAAATATTTATCTATTAATTTCTCTATCGTGGTGCTGCAACTACCTCAAGTAGGACTAAAGATTGGTCTTATTAAGCTAAGTCTAATTGACAGGGTTTATGTGTTTCTCACCGAGGAGGCCATCTCCTCCTTGATGTCGTCGTATTTCTCCTCGAGGCGAAGGTGTTCTGTCAGGAGATTCTGATATCGAGAGCGCTCCTCGTTCAGATCTGTCTCCAGCTGTTGAGTCTCCTGTGCTATTGCACGGACCATTTTCTCTGATGGGACAAAATACAGATCAAAAAGTTTTAACAAAGAAAACATAATGATGAGTGTATCTGTATGATTTATCAGGTTTTTAATTTTTTTTTACCTGTCATCTGCTGACTCTGTTCCTGAATCAATCTGTTCAAGTCGTCCTTCTCTTTCTTCAAAGAACCATTCTGTTCCTTCAGCTCTGAGACCATCTACACACACAGCCAGGATGACACAGACACAGACAGAAACAGAGTTTCTAAAGTGAAATATCAGGTAAAGCTGGTTTGTGTTTGGACTGGATGATCACTTAGGTTGTCTCATCACTTCATCTATAAATGTTATCTGTTACTCAGACTTCACTCCTACAACGAGCACTTTCATGTAAACCAACAGTGACAAACATTTATTTTGTAAATGTTGGTCACTGGCTACTAGTAGGAAGCAAATAGACGTACTACACACAGGTCAGTGGCTATAACCAACCAATCTACTTTCTCTCCTGCCCTCACCTGACTCAGGTAAACACTGCCCCCTGAGCTCACCATATGCACATCTCCTCCTGGATCGCATTTGCTCCTAAATCAGGGGGAAAGGGTTTCCCTTTGATGTCAGCATGCATGTTTATTCAGGGACTTTATTTTGTAAAATATGCAAGATATACTTTGAGGAAAACTCTGGGAGTCTGTGGAGTATAAACTACTTTACAGGCTGCTAACTATTACCATCTCTCTAAAATTGGGAGGTTGGAGGTTTTGTTGCAAGTCAAATCTCTGAGTTGTTGTGCAAAGGATAAAAACAGGAACGATGCTTCAGGAATCGTCTCTGAAACCAGTTAAGGTGAAACAAGTGGTAAGGAAAAAAAAATAGGACAACATGGACGTGGAAATCTACTGTATACTAGAAGAAGGAGGATAAGGACAACTATTTTCAGACATAAGGACAGATAAACTTGTGGTTCCCATCTTACCTTCTCCATTTCGTTCCTGTAGGTGTGTGCCCAGTCCTCGATGGTCTTCTTCTCCTGCTGTGTGGTGCTAAGCTCCTTCCTCAGCCTCTCCAGCTCCTCCAACAGCGAGGTGACCTGGTTGGTTTTGTTCTTGGCCTCCTCCTCCACTCCTTTCAAACGATTCAGCTCTCCACGCAGACGCTCGCTCTCTGCAGTGAAGGAACTCTCCATACCAGACAGCCTCTCGTTGATCGACCGATTCTCTTTGGTCTAGAAACAGGAAACGGGTCATGGGTCATGAAACGGAAAAGTCAAAAGCCCATGGGACAAAATCAAACCAACGCACGAGGACATAAAATAAGGACGGCTCACCTGCTCGTCGATTTTCCTCTGCAGCTGCATGATCTTGTTCTCCATGCCTTTGTTGAGTTTCTTGAAGTGCTCCACTGAGCGAGCCTCGATCTTCAGCTTCTTCAGTTCACGTCTGGCCTTCATCCTGCGAATGCAGCACTGCAGATAGACGATGGAAAGGAGGCAGCGCTTGTACCAGCAGCGAGCCAGCCAGCCACGAACATGCCTCTGAATGATGACTGCCTTGTGCTCCCGCAGCAACTACAGACAGACACAGAGAGAAGAATAAGAAGAAGAAGAGATTGGAGAACATGACAAAAAGGCGCAAAGTTTTTAGATTCTAAATGCGTGTATAATATCTCTTTCTTTCTTTCTTTCTTTCTTTCTTACCGCCTGGTACTTCTGTCGGGCCATGTAAGCTCTGAGGATTGTCTGCATGACCAGAGCTGCAGCCTGCTTCTGCCTGTAGCGTTTCCTCTCCACACACATCCTCTGGTACTTCTGGATGGTAGTAGCGGCTTGAGTGCGGCGCATGAACTTGGCCAGGCTGATGAAAGAAGACATCAACATCTTCACTAACCGAAAGTGACAACTTCAGAATTTCTCACTGTATTTCTTCCAACATCCTGTTAGATACCTGATTATACTGGGCATTGTCTTATCGAGCAAAGGTGTCAAATTTCTGCACTGCCTGAATGACTGAATGGAGATATTTATGCGGGTCAGCTCACTCACCAGCGGGCCTGGTATCCTCTGGTGAACCTCTGGATGGTGATGGCAGCATTGCGCTTGCGCAGGTACTTCTTGCGGGCCAGCCAGCAGCGGATAGTCTTTTGGATGCGTATGCAGGCTGCACGCAGTTTGTCTGCCCTCAACTTCTCCAAGTAGGCAACCTGGCCGGCTCTAAAGAAGATCTTCGTCTTTCCAAACTGGTACTTATCCTGATCCTGAGAGAGTGCAGGAGAATAGATGAGAGGTGAGACGGCGATAAGGACAGAATAAGATGTATGTACTCTAAGAGCTCCGCTACCATCCATCTTGGGGATAAAATACAGTATTCTGACTCTGATTCTGATCTTCATACGATTTAATATCATTCTTCTTGACTAACCTGCACCAGTCGCTCCAGAACATTCTTGCAGGTCAGCTTCTTGTCGGCTAACACGTCCTTCTGTTTCATCAGCACCCTGTATCTGCTGAAGAACTCCTGGTACGTCCATCTGAGACGCACACGTAAAAGGTGGTCAATATGTGCTATGACCTGAACTTTTAATTACTATCTGATAAGTAAATTTAAGATAAACCCAAAACTTGAACAAACAAAACGATCAAAGACTTCCATACATATGGTGCAATTACTGCAAAAAGTGCTTTTTCTATGAGTATCTTATCAAAAATTTAATTTCTCAGACATGCAGTAAGAGAGCAAGTGTTACCTAGGTTTTAATGCTAAACTTTCAGGAAATGCGTCTAGCATCGCATAAGTCAAACACCAATTATTGAAAAAGAGGCAACAACATAAAGACAGTATCATAATAAAATAATAGAATGTTTCTTTCTCTGTATCAGGACAATTTATACTTTAATGTCAATCCATGCATAATGATTATTTATATAATACTGTACTATACGGTAAAGGTAGAAAATGCTGGTAAAAACAGGTAAAAGCTTGTGGTTATCAGTAGTGGTGTTACAGGGCGCCATGTTTACCTGGATGGGAAACCTGCAGCAGAGATGCGGATTGTTTCCAGAACACCACAAGCTCTGAGCTGCTGCACCGCACGTTTGGGATCAAACCTGTCGACCACAGGCAAACATATGGAGTCAATACTATCACCATTAATTACTATCAAGTTAAGATGAATTTGGTGCATCATTTAATGACCGCAGCAATATTAATCATTAATCATTCATAAATTGAAGGGAAATCAAAACCCTCAAATAGCAAGTGAAAACCAGAGAGGAAAACTCACGAGAAGGCCAGCTTGAAGTCGTTGGGTTTGATGCAGCGAACATAGTGTGGAGTGGTTGCATTCAGGGTCTCCATCAGCATTTGCAGAGAGTTACGAAACTAGAAGAGCGTACCGCCACCATTACAGTCATTATCATGATTGGATCAACACTAAATGTAAAATTATATTTATATCAGACTGTTATCAGCTAAGTATCATAGTCATTTCTACAAAAACTGGATCAAATAATCAAAATAATCCTCCTTATATCTGGATATTGATCAAAGTTAACTGATGTAATATAGAATCTATAAATATTAATAACATGTATTTAAATATAAACAAACACTGAAAAGAGGAATCAACCTGGCAGCCGACGGTCTTCTTGTGCTCCTTGCTGCTCTTGTCGCGGCCCTTGTCTGGTTTGATGCTGAGGCGGGTCCGGCCTCCTGTGCCGGGTACCTGGCCGGTGGGACTGGTCGCTTTCTCCTCATCCTGGAACAGCTCCACCAGCAGGTTAAACTGGGAAAAGCAGCCCACTCAAAGTCAAAAAGTGAACAGTCGATGGTAGAAACTGCAGACACTGCAGTTTAACTAAAAGGTCAAAGTATTTCACCTTGTGCAATTAGTGCATATCTAACAATTCAAACTGGTTTCTAACAGCCTCCTCTGCTGCATGCTTCTGGATTTCTCTTACCTTACACACAAAGCCTTACACAGCCTCAGGACAGCCTTAATCTAAGTATTTGCTGCAAGCCTTCATACTTGATTTAAACGAATTATAAGAGTGATCTATGATTTTAGTAATCTAGTGCTGCCACAGTTTGACATAAAAGTTAGTTGATATCAATATTTGTTGATCGTGAATCAGTTAGTAGTTGTCTCTTGACTTGTTGATTAGTGTTTGTTATTTATAGTCAGAGTTGTTGCATTGTTATGAAAGCCAATAAAAATAATGAGAGGTTATGTTTCATCATATATGAGGTAGCCATATATGTCTGCAGTGTTAATTAATGAACCATCTCATGTATGATGTATGTCCCTCAGTAAAGCAAACACACATCAGTCATGTTCCATATAACACTGAGGTTATACGAGGAGGATGCTGTGTTTCTGCACGGCTTCAAGTCTTCCTGCTGAGCTCTCAGTGCTGCCATGCTGCTTCTCTCGTCAGCGTCATTAAGCAGCGCAGCCAGAGCAACAAAGGCTTTACGTGCCGCTCGCTCTCAGCGTCACTCTGAAAACATAACCGTCTTCTTTTGTCCCTCCATTTTTTATGTGCAATCCTCCCAGAGTGCCTTTAATGCTCCCCATGCAGCAAACACACACATACACAACTTAAATTTCCTCAGTGCTGTGAGAGCGACAGTAACTCTGTGCCAGAGGGAGAGAGAGAGGAAGAAGGAGAAAGAAAAAGAGGGCAGAGGAAAAAGAAGCTAAGGGACAGGCGGACCAGCGTTGTAAGAACGCCTGTGTTTACCTTCTGCTGGCAGGGAAGGGTTGTCATGATGAGGACAGAACCAAACATACATGGACAACATATGGGGACACAGTGACAAAAAGAAACACAGATGGCATTAAAAGGAAACCCAAACGTCCAGTTCAAGTTAAAAACCATGATAACCCATCAACAGCTCTACAACACATCTACAAAATCAAAGAGAAATGGAGATACAAGCAGGCAGACTGATGGAGTTTAAACAGGACGGTGAGAACATGATGGGATGATGATTTTTCCACTGAACACCTTACGAAGCCTCCAAAAAATAAAATCAAGGAAAACAGCAACAATAAAATTTCATTAGTTGTTTCTTTAACATTTGTGAAATCTGGTGCATCATGGGAAATCCAATCGGCATCTTTGCATCAAACATTTCCTGAGTGCAGCATATTGATCAGAGCCGCAGACGTAGAATGAAGGAAGAAATGGACCTCAACAGCGCTACACATAAAAATAAACTCTTATTTTCTCAGATCGGTGAAATCAGTGAGGTTTCTACGAAAAAATGTAGAAAAAAAAATAGCCAGATGATGATGATGTGAGGATTTTAAACAAGTGGATGAGAAATTAAAGGTAAAAGGTGGATTGCAGTGCGCTCACACATTCTGACCTTCTTGAATAATTTTGACTAAAAGTTGTTGTCTCTGATTTCTTGGACAGTTTAGGATCATTGGTCAAACCTCCAGCTCTGCTAACTGTGAGTCTATGTAATCAAAGGTGTTTAATTGATTAGACTGAACTGTGAGCTTGCTCTCAATCTGATCATCTGAGTGCCCCAATTTGATTTTAGCAATGTCACCTTGTTATCAGATCTTGGTGATCACTTTAATGAAGTCCAGTTTAATTAACAGTGATCCATTAGAGATGATTAACAAAACGTAGAAAACATCAACTAGAGTTTTTCTCTGTCGTCTTAAACTGCTGATAATGTGTAGCATGTTACAAACTGAATTTAAGCCTTAAGGCCTCATAAATTTAGATATTTGATCTATTGTCTTTAATTTTTTCACATGTTTCTGTGTCGGCTGGTTAATGCAGTAGAAATATTTAGCGGTTTATGTTGCTAAAATAATTTTTCACTAGCTCTCGAACAGCTGAAGTTTTAATCCTTCTGTCAAAGGCAGCTATGAAAAGTTAAGAGAAGAATTGCCACAAGGATAAAAAAAAGACAATAGTATTTAAAAATAATTTATTGGGTGAACAATCAGGAAAGGAAGGAAGCTGGACTGCACACAACCTCGCACACACTGGTGTTCATCCATACACAGCGCATTGTGATGGGACAGGCTTGGCAGGGAAGTAAAATGAAATTTAATTAGACTAAATCTCATTAAGAGCTCATTACCATTTAATCCCACTTGTTTAAGTCTTCCTGATTTCCATGGCAACCTTCCCACTAAGTCTCTGTGAGTGTGTGTGTGTGTGTGCGCTCGCCATAAAGAGTCATGTTAGAGGTTAGAGCAGACAGTATTTGAACCCTTACCCAGTTCTGCTTTTGGTGAAGTCTATAAGAGAACAATCGAAGGTCACTGTGAGCTTTTGGACAAACACACTGAATCATAGTCTGTGTGTGTGTGTGTGTGTGTGTGTGTGTGTGTGTGTGTGTGTGTGTGTGTGTGTGTGTGTGTGTGTGTGTGTGTGTGTTTGTGTGTGTTATGCTGCCAAAACAGCAGTAAGGACTCAAAGGTTTAAGCCCCTTTCACTGAAACCAGGTTTTACACACTGCTGGTGAATCAAGACAGAAACAGCCCACAAACACACACACACACACACACACACACACACACACACACACACACACACACACACACACGAGCACGCACGTGAGGTTGATTTGGATGTGATGTGACAAAGTGAAGCTTAATAGCACGTGTGATACATGTGTAGGTGTTCATAAAGGAAGGGTAACCAGTTTAACAGATGTTTGTTCCCATTTTTGGTGATTATTATGATTTAAAAAAACCAAGTGGTACAATATCTTAAGTAGTACTGCATTTACTTTTGCATACTGCCATTACTGCATTGTACTCCCCCCTAGTTCTAGTCTTCTGTTTCCTCACATCAATTGTTGAAGATTTGGTTGAAAATACAGAAACAAGATATTGGATGTGAGTCTATGACAGTGATTGATTTTACAGTGAGAGTGTTTAGATTTGTCTATTTTGCAGAACCCCTTACAGGCCATGGATTTCCTCAGTGAAGTATTTGGCTTCACTGTCTGTTTGTTCACTACCTCTACATGGCCAACGGAGGGCGCTGTATCCAGAGCATGACGAGTTGGATGTTGAGTCTTTAAACAACAGCCTATTTTTCACTCACGGACCAGGTGTCACCTATACTCTTCATGAGCTAAAGGTTTACTGGCATCATAGCACAATAACTTGGCACTGATCTCTGAACATACATGTTGTTGAGACTGACTGTGCATGGTGTCATGTTGCTGTGTGTTTGTGTGTGGACTCCGCACCTTGCTGGCCTTCAGCACATTGATCTGTTCTTCATTGACCGTGTCTTTGTTTTTCTCCAGGAAGCCATCACACTGGTACTCCACCTATGGCACAAGAACATCACAGTTTGTGTTAGAATAGCAGCAAGGATTTTTCCAAACGGTATGTAACAGGTAATTAAACCCTGTTTAAAAGTTGACCAACTTCCCTTTGTATTTATCTGTACATACCACTTTCCCCCAGTGACTAATCTGACCTTGTATTCAAGTTTTCTGATGTTGGAGGTATATTCATAAAACAGTGATTTCCTCTTTTAGTTTTATATCAGTTGAAGGAGAACTGTAGATACATCAAAAAGATCATTCCTGTCCGCCAGTTTATTTTTCTTTATAAATGCTGTCTCTATAACGCATTATAAATATATGTATAATGCCTTATAATCACGTTATAGCACTGTGTAACTATAGTTATAAACACTCGGAAATTATCATAATGCTTTATAACAATAATCATAACACATTATGAAAAATTTTATCATGACTTACAAGGTCAGGTATTATAATGTGTTATGCTTATTGTTATAAAGTATTATGATCATTTATGAGTGATTATAATGATAGTTATGCAAGTTTATAAGCAAATTATAAAACATCATAAATACATGTTAAATCTATGTGGGCATTGTCAGTGAGTTGTTAAGAGTTACAACACATTATAATACCTGACCTTGAAAGTCATGATAAAATGCTTCATAATGTGTTATGATTATTGCTATAAAGCATTATGATCATTTACATAACTGTAGTTATACAGTGCTATTACGTGATTATAACGCATTATACATATACTCATAATGCATTACAGAGACAGGCATCAAGTTAAGTGTTTCCATTTTTTCTACGGATCTCAATTTAATATCAGGCTGCCTCTTGGGAAAGCCTGCATTAGTCTTGACCCTATTTATCTGTAACCTTAGAGTGAGGATCTAAAAACAGAGATGAAAATAACACTGTGTCATCCTGCACCTCATTACAAGATATGAAACCTAAATAGCCAAAGGGATGTACACCCTGCACAAACATTCACATACTCGCACACAAGCACACTGTAAATACATCACTTGCTTAAGCACTTTGTTTTTTTCTGTGAAAACAATGTTAACAAAAAAGCCATCAGTCCTCCAGCCATGCTAAAAATATCTCCCCAGCTCTGCAGCAGCCACTGCGGTCCATCTGCTGTTAAATGGTGCTGTTTGAGCTAAAAATGTACAATACTGCATCAAACTGTTTCCCATCTTATATCACTGTTTTTAAAACCCATCAGCAGCCTCCATTTGAAATAGACACTTTTAAAACCATACATGTATACAAACATGAAGCACATAAAATGTCAGTCAAGCCCACCTTGTCAGCAAAGTGCTGGATGATGAAGGCGCGGTTGGACATGCGCGGTTTTTCAAAGAGGGAGCAGGTCTTCAGGTGGGTGTTGTAAAGTTTCTGAGCCCATGAGTCATCAGAACCTTTGGGCATCTGAAACAAGAAATTAACTATGAGTAAGGAAATATTTAACCATCTGTCTCAGTGCACACATTGAGAGAAAACTGAATATTTTAGGTATCCAAATGCATCATTGTATGAGACTCGCGTCTTATAAGAATAACTAGAATAAGAATTATTTTATTTTATCCCCGAAGAGAAATTCAATATAAACAATTAAAAAATATATTAAATATAAAAAATATACATAAACAATAAAAAAATATATAAAATATAAAATATATATATATATAAAATATGAAAAATTCAATATAAACAATTCAATTTATAAACCTTTAAGAGTTCCTTTTTTCTGGTTACAGAGTATAAGCAAACACAGGTTCATATCTCTCTTCCAAGAAGTCAAACAAAATCTGCAGTCTGAGACTTACTCACTTCACAATAATCACAGCAATGTGTGGACCACCTCAAATGTCAACAGATGTTTCAGATTTATAGCCTCAGAAAGCTAGACTCATAAGCTTGTTCATACTCAGTATCACCAGCAGGTGGGTATTAAAAGTTATATTTCTGACGACTTTCAAACTGCATACACACAAGAGCTTCACATTTTTACCTTGCACTCCTCATCCAGCAGATCCAGGATGCCCATCTTTGCTTCTATGAGGTTGATGCAGGGCTGATTGTCGTAGAAGTCAATCAGAGTCCAGGGGATCTGCTCCTTCATGTACTCCTCCTGCTCCAGCTTGAACACATGCTGCACACACACATAGATACACACAGGTTAATGTAAAAATTCATGGAAATACATAAATACCACTCCACATCTTAGAATAGTGACAACACAAAGCTGCTCACCATGTTGAACTGTTGTTGGAGTTTCTCATTGGCATAGTTGATGCAGAACTGCTCGAAGCTGTTGATCTCGAATGTCTCAAACCTTCAGAGGAATAACAGAGTCAAGCAGCTGGAAACCATCTTTTATTTAAAATATAAACCTACGCGAATGATACCTGCTGCCTTTGTTATATAACTAACCCCAAATCTTTCCTGCTGTGTTTTCCCTGGTATGTGTAGTTACCCCACAAACGGGGAAACTGTACAGACGTACCCGTAGATGTCGAGGACCCCGATAAATGAGTGCTGCTTCACGTTGGTGATCAGGGCTTTGTTGACGTGCTCCACAATCCAGTTGAAGAGTTTGGCGTAGATATGTTTAGACAGCGCGTCACGAGCATTGGTGGCCTGAAGACGAGGGAGGGGCTTGATGTATGTCTCTGTGGCCGTCTTCAGCTTCCTGTGACACAGCCACTGAGTCATGTCTTGGTAGGACACGCCAACCAACTCACAGAACGCTGTCAGGTGGCGGTTATTGGGCTATAAGACGAAAACAGATTTGGGGCATTAGGAGGAGAAATACACCATGATTGTGGTGAATAAATCATGATGCTACAACATGAGAGCAATACAGCTTTGCCTTGTATTTCCTTAACTCAGCTCAAATACTTAATATACTTATATAATATTTGAAAGGGTTTCGCTACACTTATTTAAGGTTGAAGCTGTGTAAGAGGCCATTTGTGTCTAATTTTTCCACATAGTAACTGATCAGAAAACACAAGAACAGGAGTGGGATTTGCAAACAAAATGCACATTTAAAAAATGGGGGTAAAAACATGAAAATCATTTTTGCTCCAATTTTTGGCTGTGGGTTACATGCAGTCTGTTAGACCATTTTATTATAACAACGGATTATTGACAGATAAACATTTTTCTCACAGGAATGATGCTGCTGTCTGCATCTTTGTCCTTAATCTCCACATTTCCCAGATGAAGTATAGCAGCCAAAACCTGGAACAGCCCCATCTGATAGCTTTCATTGATTCCTGTAGAGGATGAAAATGCAAACAGACAGACAGAAAGAACTCTGGTTATTGTACACTCAACTCATCATTTCAACCAGATTTTCTCAGTGACATTCAAAATAGCCCTAAATGCATCAACCACAAAAGTTTACCTACAATGTGTATTTTATTTACATTTATCCTGCAGTTACTTGAGTTGTCTCAACATGTTAAAGCGTGTAGCTTACCCAGCAGCGTGAAAGCATTGCGAGTGGTGCAGAGCTCCTTGGTGTCGTCCACTCCCTCGATAACGGGGCTGCGGCCCTGTCTGGTGTACGCAAAGTCGTTTGCACTACCTGAGTGGAAAAACAGAGAGTGAAATGAGCTGAGTGTGCAGTTTCAGACTGTGCAACTTTGGTGAAACCATGTTATCATTTCATCCCCCTTTACATAGACCCTTCTTTTTTTTTTACATATTGCTGCACTGGATTGTGATCACACCGAGATCCAGCACATATCTTTAAATTACATGTTGATACATTTTTAGGGACACAGTATAAGTTGAGTACTTGTTTTTAAGTGAATGCCTGTTGAAGTCCTACACTTGTGGGTTTCCAAAAGGGTTTAATAAATCTCTGGTGGCCTTGCATTTAAACTGAGTGCCTCAAGTACAGAGGCTTCAATCCTTGTTGCACTGGGCATAGAAAAAGCCACAAAAATAAACCTAAAGAAACGAAAAAAACAAATCTATTAATAAACAAAACACTCAGCCAGGGCTCAGGGGAGGCAAGCAAATAACCTTGGAAATAATCCTGATTAGTTATGCTAAACTGTCAAACCAGCAGTATGATGAATCAGTTATTGTAGAGGAAGAAAATAATACACTGCAGTGTCTTCATAGACTGTCACTCCAGGTAACTTATTATGCTTCGTTTAGTAGCCCTTGGCTGGAAATGCTTTGCTAAGGCACATTTTCAGAAATCAAACTCTTATAAAGATGATGTGAATTCAGGGGAAACAGTGAAATTTGCCTGAAAGTGTCTGTGAGCTTGTTTAACAGATGGTTCAGGGTTCTCAGAAAAGACTGAAGTCAGACGCACTTCAGTGTAAGAATGGTGTTAGTCTAACTTTCACACAACCACTGTCTTTATTCACACTTTACACCAAATTGAGGCATGGCCTGTTGCCTGGCAACAAGGGGGATTGAGATGACTGAGACCACCAGCCCATTCAGTGAGCAAAGCAGTCAGCTGTGTTTGTATGTATGTGTTTCTGTGTTTCTGTGTGTGTGTGTGTGTGTGTGTGTGTGTGTGTGTGTGTGTGTGTGTGTGTGTGTGTGTGTGTGTGTGTGTGTGTGTGTGTGTGTGTGTGTCGTGGTTTGGACGAGCAGGTGCAGGTCCACAGTGGGGGTGCTCTGTATGTGAGCCTGTTTGTGCCAATGGCTCAGTGAATTTCAATTTGATATCTGGTGGCGCTCTTGAGACGCCTCGAGGAAGATTTTTTAGGTTTTATAAGGAACGGTGACAGATTTATGAAGGGCTGTCGGATTGGTCAACGCAGGAACAATTTTAGGAGGTAGCTGCAGTAGAAATGTATATACCACGATAAATTAGTCATTAAAATTAGTATTTTTCCTGGTCTGTTCTTAGTCCCACCCCTTTTAACCTTGTCACAAAGTCAGATAGCAGTGCAGGACCATTGCTGACTGATGACTCGTCATCCTTTTTAACTATAAAAATAATTTATCATTTACTTAAGAAAATAAAAAGAATAAGAGGTTTTAAAGTTTTATAATCACCAAGTATTGTGTATTAATTTCAACTTTTTAATTGATGCTAATGTGAAAACCAATTTCTTTAAGTCAGAAAATGCAGAGCTATCTCTTCTGAGTAATATAGTGAATAGATTTGCAGCTACTGTTTTGTTATGATTTATGTTGTGTCGATTGTGCTGCAGTGTGTGTGTGTGTGTGTGTGTGTGTGTGTGTGTGTGTGTGTGTGTGTGTGTGTGTGCGTGTGTGTGTGTGTGTGTAACTTACTCAGCCTCAGATTCTTGAACTCAGGCAGATGGGATGATGCACAGAGCTGATAGAAGATATGATAATTCCTCTCCTCATCCGCCTGAAAGACAACATAAAGATAAGTGAAGAATTCAAAATCCTCACATGATTAGAGTTGATCTGCTGATATTCAGAACTACACTGCATCTTCTTTTCTTCTACATCATGAAGAAAAACATCTATTGTATCTGCACTGACACATGATTATACGTACTTTACAAATGTACAATGGTAGAGACTGATATCTGCAAGCTCCAATGGTGTGATGGGAAATTCAACAATTATTAAAGATTCCCTGTGCTCAGATATTATTGAAGTTGAGGGCAAAGTATCGGTTATCATACCGTACCGTATTGTATTCTATCCTATCACCACCTGTGCTGGTCACTCTGTTATTCCCAACCCTCAGAAACCGCCTGATCTACTGATTCATCTTAAGTCAATATATGTTCACAGCTTTAACAGAAGTTTGCTGTAAAAACAGCTTCTTATCTCCAACAAAGCAACTGCTTCACCCCACATTCAACTCAAACACACACCTTTAAACGGGTGTTACCCAGCCAAGCATGAGAAAAATGTGAGGAGGAAGAGTGTTTATGCTCCGTCTCTACCAACATCCTCATTCCTCAACAGTGTTTTCTGTGACACCAGTCTGTGTGCGCACTCATGCGCACATGTGGGCGCAGAGACGTAATACGCTTGTTCTTTACCCAAAATACGGCCCAACTGGCTCCACCAGGGAGCAAAGACACTCACTGAATACACAATAAAGTTACATAAGACAGAAAGTGAGTCAACTGTATCTTAATCAAATCTACTGTTGAGTTGTTATGCTTGTAAAGGATGAACTAGTTTGACTTCTCTGAGTCTTCTCAGTGTTTAAAGAGGGAGAAGAAAACAAGTTAAATCATGACTTTACGCAGAATTATCTTTCACACTAACAGGAAGGGAAGAGAATGGCTGTGCTGTAACCCAGCGTGTTTGATGGATTGTTTGTTGAGTTCTGGGTTGACTTTGTTTCCTCCTAGTTGTGCTTGTGGAGAAGGAAATTATTGCTGCATATTTCTTCAGCTCCCGGGGACACTGGAGCCAAACTAGCAGTTAGACTTGTATGAGTTATATTTTACAAGTTCTGATAAATGGACAGCATGGGTGTAGGTGTGTGTGATTCCTATGTGACTGCTTGACTAAACTTCTTCATACTTGTGGGGACCTCATGCATAAGAAAAGCACTGAACTGTTTGACTGAAAACACTCAGTAAAGGACCAGTGTACGCCTCACTGTTTCAATGTGAGAGACTGCAAGTGAGGTGTTTTTGGATTACATCCAGCATTTTTCATTTCAAAGAGATAGTACAGTCTGAAACTGGCAATAGGAGAAAAAAATGGGCTGTGGCATGCTACTTAGAGGTTCTCTGGCAAAAATTAATAACTTTCTGGTTCGATATGATCCCATTTTTCTGGCTAGAACTCACAGAAGTTGGCTGACAAACAACAGTTCTGATGCTGGCCAACAAACTTCTGAATGTGTCACATTATGGCTGTAAAACACGGTGTAAATACATCCATTCATGAGTGCTGACTCATAAAACACCTCCAATAATGAGGAAAACGGGCTGCAGTGGACTACTTATGCCAAATCATTCAAAAGACTCATAAACAATCACTGCTAGATTAGATCAAGATGTCTGTTATCATGAACAGCACACTTAGAAAAATGCTGAAGAGTACATCAGAAGTCTAACTGTGCTTTAAGAAACTTTAGTAATCTGACCAAAGGGCACATCAACACCACTGTGACCTTGGTCTGTGCTTTGTCAGCCTCTGCAAAGGTAGCAACTGTTTCTTAATGCCCACTGCTTCTCTGTACCAGAACTCAAGATGAAGGTTTTGACCAAATGCAGTTTTGCAAAATTGCTGTCTATTTGCACATATGTGGTGAACGAGAAGTACAAAAAACGACCTCTGTGAGTGATGATGTGATCTGAAATATGTACTCACCTGGAACACCACTCGAGATTTCTCCAGCAGGTATGTCCTCATGTTTGCGCCGATGATCCGGAAACGGGTGTCGAAGCCGATCTCGATGTACTTCCCAAAGCGGCTGCTGTTGTCATTTCGGGTGGTTTTGGCATTTCCAATGGCCTGAGATGATATTAAACAAAAGATTAAACCATAAAACCAGATGTGTTTTCATTTCAACACAGCAAATGACCCAAAAGCACATTTTGATTTGCATACTCGACTTCACATCTAGGGTGCAGATGTGTGTCCTGTTGTCACACACAAAGTTACAACAGTTCAAATAATAACAGTCCTTCCTCTGGTTAGTAGTAAAGAATTAACTACAAACGGGCAACTGTACTTGAAAATATGAGAAAAATACTTTTTTTTTTAAAGATGATCATCTGCCACATTCAAGAGATAATGATCTGCAGATTGACACTTTTCTCTCATAAACAATAAACCTGCTGCATAAGTGGGTCAGTTTAGGATTTAGCCAATGAAATTAGAGTGCAAAAGCTGAAGTGGATCTGTCTAAAGCAGTGGTTCTCAAATCAAGTCCTCGAGGCCCACTGTCAATCAATCAATTCAATCAATCAAATCTTATTTATATAGCGCCAATTCACAACAGTCATCATCCAAAGACGCTTTTTTTTAAAGAACAAGAGCAGGTCTAGACCACGCTCATTGTTTGATGAATTATCAAGACCCAACCTAAGATATGTCCTGCATGTTTTGGATGTTTCCCTGCTCCAACACACCTGATTCAAATGATCAGCTCGTTATCAAGCTCTGTAATGGCTGAATAACGAGCTGATCATTTGAATCAGGTGTGTTGGTGCAGGGAAACATCCAAAACATACAGGACAGTGGGCCTCCAGGACTGGACTTGAGAACCACTGGTCTAAAGGAAGACAATGTGCAATCTTAGGGCAAAGACAAGCGTTTTCCTGGAGTCTTATTAACGCAGCGCCATGTTTTTTCTGTGTAGATGACTGCAACTGTAAAAACATATCAATGAATAGGTGTTATTGTTGTCAGCATGCAGACTTTGTTAGCTTGTACAGAATTAGGTTAGCTTTTTCTGAGAGTTTTTATTCTTATAATTAGTAAAGCTCTTCCTGTTTGTGTAACAGTCTTATAAATCAGTTCACAGTCTGTCTGTCTGAGTTTCAAAGCACCAAACACCTGGTTCTTAAATAACCCTTCATGTGATCCTGTTCATTTGGTTCACAACTGGAAAACAAACTGTTTGTGGTGGACAGATCAGTAGCACGCTTTAATGCACGTCTGTCTGCATAGACAAGAGCTGAACGAGTAGATGGGAATTTCCTGCTGAGCCACTTTTTAAATCATCTGTAGTCAGCAACCTCAGTTCAATAAGCAGAACTGATCAATGATCCTACAAGGAAGTGTCAGCAGACGGGCGGGGCTGCACACACACACACACACACACACACACACACACACACACACACACACACACACACACACACACACACACACACACACACACACACACACACACACACACAGAAAGCTACACAATCAGCCAGCAGAGTTGGTGTTTGAGCACAGAGGGTTCTTTCTGAGTTAAGGTCGTACACACACATAGTCTTTCACTGCAGACAAGGACTCTTTCAGCAGTGCAGGTATTAAAATCTCTTCCTGCCTCAGCCAAACACACACACGTAAACAAACACACACACACACACACACACACACACACACACACACACACACACACACACACACACAGGTTTTGTAATATCCACAAGGCTGATGCAACCATCTACTCTGTATCCTGTCTCAGAGGCTGAAGTGACATCACTGCAACGATATAAAGCTTTCCATTCATTCTGTCAGCTTGTCTCTGATTGGCTGGAGGTGAAAGTGTTGGCTGGGAAGACGAGAGTGATGCTAGAGGAACGGTGGGAGAGGAAAGTCAGGGCGGGGGATGGCAGGAGGTTGAAGAGAGAAAGAGAAAGAGAGGAGGAGGAGGGAGAGGGGTGGTGGTTGTGGCATATGGGCACAGGAGAGCTCTCCAACCCCCCTGTCCTTCTGACTCGGCAGGAAGAAACACAAAACACACACACTGTTAAGCATAAGAGCCGTGTTATCACAGCAGAGTGCAGCTCGAGGCCAGAAAGAGACAAAGTGAGGGGGAAAATCGAGGGGAAAATGACAGTAGAGAGGGTCGGAAATGAACAAGGCAGGAAAAGTCCGGAGGATGTCAAGCTGAATGACGTTCAGTTTATAGTCATAAATAAGGCCGAGACTTCCTTAGGTGAAGTTTGTCATAGGAAACAAGCCACTGAGTCCAAACTGCCAGAAAAAAAAATGATGCAAGACTTTCACTTTCAGAACAAATTCACAGTGAAAGTGCAGAACTCGATCAAGTCCTTCACACATTTCATCTCTAAGTGTTGGTCTTTTGATTTTGAGGGCACAGCCTCTGCAAAGCAACTGAATCTTATTTAGAAAATCTCTTCCTAAATCTTCAGCATCCACACAGTGTTTTAAATTTCTGAGAGAAACTTGAAATTTCCACTTTATTCGATATTTCGTTAAGTCTCAGTTTCTTTGTGAGTCTCTCTCCTCAGAGCCCCTCATCGACCTTCAGTCCTCACCTCCATGATGGGGTTGGACGCCAACACTTTCTCCTCTACGTTGGCTTCACTCGCGGACCCGCTGACTGTAGCAAAGTACCTCATGGCGTATTTGGCTGATACAGTTTTTCCTGCTCCGGACTCTCCACTCACGATGATGGACTGGTTCCTTTCATCCCTGAGAAATGGAACCACAAAAACATTGTTGTAGCGTTAGCTTCGTAGACAAAAATGAAAACAATGCTGAACCTCAGCGCTTGGCGTGATGTGCTCTGATCCTGAGATAATTAATCATGAAAAGTTTGACATAAACAAAGCTGAGCTTCAATCCTTTCCAAACCAGAGAGAGTCAAAGGCTTTCATGAACAAATATTATCAGTGCTCAGAAGCAGAGAAGGAGTTCACACATCTTTTGAACCCCTCTGTAGCTAGTCAGGCTTTGACATCTCTGCACGCTGCCCTCCTTGTGAGATCAAATCCTGACGCAATACTGTCTGCCTCCTTCTCTGCAGTTTTTCTTAAGATCGCCTCATTACACTCTCGAAGCACACCCTTTTTTTTTCTTTTACTGATGAAATTTGTCTCTTCTGTCCTCACTCAAATGTCTCCTCCCATGGCTGCTAAAGCACTGTATTTGTTGAGGTGTTTGTATTTTTAATGTTACCCACATAATAACTTTCTTTCTAACTTCTTACACTTTACTTTTTCGAGGGTTTACAATGGATAAGTTTGTTACTCTTTTAAAGAAAGGTCTAAACAAATCAAGTTTTACCCAACTCTTATCATCAGTGTGTTTCAATATGACGATATCGAAAGTTTTGAAATATCACTGATACATGCTGGTGTTGGCCAATAGTATTTTAATCAAGTCCAGAGTCAACACAGCCTTAAGTCTACCAGGAGACTTTAAAGCACTTAATACTTCGATCTACGTAGAAGATTTATGGAGGTTCAGATTTTCTTCTCCATCAGGACCTGGCACCTGTCCACAACCCTAAAACTAACAGAAACTGGTTTACTGACCGTGGTGTTATTGCTGTTGATTGGCCAGCCAACTGGCCTGACCTGAGCCCCAAGGAGACTCTAAGGGGTAGCTTCAAGATCGAGATCGAGACAACCGAGCAACAATACAAACGAGCTGAAGGAGTTATCGACACAACCCGAACTTTTTAATACCCCAACAGACTGACTGCCTCCACACCACATCACAGTAATTCATATCAGGAGTCCTGACCATGTACTGAGGGCATAAATGAATATCAATTTCCAGAAGGTTGACATTACTGTATCATAAATCCTTTTCTTTTTTTTTGGATTGGTGTTTTATAATATAAAGTTCTGAGAAAGTGGATTTTTGATGTTTGTGAACTGTTATCAACAAGATTCAAAACAATACAAGTCTTTTTCATTTTGTATGTGATGACTAGAATATTTTAGTTTCACTTTTAAATTGAATTATGAGGAAAAAAGGGAACATTTTAGAGACATTCACATTTTTTTCGCTGCACCTGTACTTAAATAAAGATTTTGAATAAAACTTTGCAGCCTCATCTCACATTAAAGGTCAAACATGAAAGCTTCAACTAACACTTAGTTGAATCAGCATAAGAAAAAGAGGCTGTTATTTGCAGCTGATTTAGCTAACTATTTTATATGTTAGTTTTTCATCTTCACCAGTAGAGAGAGGCAGTGTATACACGTGCGTTAGTGTGTGGTTTAAGACAGAGACACACTGTGAGACCACCCTGAGCCTATTTCTGTCTCAGCTTTGACCTACAAACTGCAATGAGGGAAGGTTGAGCAACAAGACTACAACCAAGGCTGCTCAGGTAACACACACAAGCACACACACAAACCTGGCCATCTGTTTATAAGCCTCCTCTGCCACAGCAAAGATATGTGGGTCCATGTCTCCCATGTTCTGACCGCTGTAGGCATTGATGATGTCTGTGCCGTAGATCGGTAGCGTCTCATAGGGGTTGATGGCCACCAGAACGATCCCTGTGATTGAGGAGAAGGAAAAGTGTGAGCTCACCTGCAACTGAGTGTGACAACTCAAAACAGGTAATAGACCGTGATGCTTCTTCTCAAAGTTAAAGGTGAAAGACTGTCATTCAGGGTATGCTGGAAACGAAATCTCAAAGCTGAGTTTATCCTAAGTATCTTGCAGAGAGTTTATTTTGTTCTATGTTTATATTACTATCTTATGGTACTGATACTTTTCTTGTGCCAGGGTTAAATTTTCCATGGTTTAAAGGATATTATACTACATATATTTATACATGAAGCTTTGCATTGTAAAGATGTGTACATCTTTTTTAACCAGAGGACAAAATGCAGCTGTTGCTGATCACACCAGGTAACACTTCATTTAGATGGAGGAAGAGGAAATAAGAATTTCAATTTTAGTAGCTGAAAGTACTGTTAGGGTTACGTCTTTGCTAAAGCTGCAGGGAGTGTAGTTCTGAGTCAAACTTTTCATTAACAGCAAAGTACTTTCAACAGTAAAACAAACGCATCAAGAATCCACCAGCACTGAGCAGGACGCATCTTCTAGGATCTTCTTTTCAGTTGCGGCAAAATCTTTTAAATATTGTGCAAATATTTTCTAAAAGGATTCAAAAACAGTGAAATAAAACTGACTTTTGTGTTTAGGCTCATGCATTAACATTGACTATACAACATTAATAAGGATAGTCAAAGTTAAGCGCTAAAGAGTACTTCAATACAAGTATAACAGTATACAGGATTATATGAGTGTAAATAAATAAGGATGTTATACAATATTTACAGTGTGAAGGTTTACAATAAAGACAGTAGACATATGAATAAATAAATAAATAAAATAAAGGTTATCAAAGGTCACAGATATTAAAGAAGTGCTTCACTCATGTACTATGAAACTGTCCACTACAAAACAGTAATCAGCTGGTAAACAGTATGCTGTAATAAGCAGAAAATCAGTCGTATAACCATCTGGAGCAAATGCACAGACTGCTGAAAAGGAGCATGACTTGAACTTGGACAACAGGAAAGAAAAGCTTGACACAAAAGCAGTTATAACACACAATGAGTCCTCATTAGATAGTTAATAAGAGGCCTACCGCAGTAAGTGTAGATGAGTTTGGAGTCGACAAAGCGGACTTTGAGGTTGTGCAGCACGGCTGGCTCATGGAGGTAGCTGAGTGCAGTGAGGTCATTCTCACCCACCAGGATGTCGGGGTTTCGCAGGTAAGGAAGGTTCTTGGTCTTGGGGTCCAATTTGTGCTCAAGGTTCTGAAGTCCAACAAGAAAGAGGTAGAACAAAGACTCAGATAATTTCCTGCTGTATTAGTCTGGACTTTGTTCAGACCAAAACATGTGTTTATTTATTCACACCTGGTCTTGTCATGATGACTCTCATATTCAGGAAGTAAATAAAAAAGAGCGTTTGCCTTGTACAGAATAGTTCTATGAAATAAAGGAACTAAAAACAAAGAAAGTCTACAGATGAGATCACTATATCTTTGATGGTTTCCTGATCAGCACCAATCCTCCCTTCAGTGCCATTAGGCTGTGTTTCATGTTTCCACTCACCATTCGAGGAGGACGATACATCTCTTCTTTATTCCTAAAATCCAAAACTGAAAGGGTTTCTTCCTGAAAAACTAAATCCTGGGATGAACTCCATTGAGAGTCTCCTCACGGCTGCACACCTGTAAGCTCCCTAACATGTTTGCCTGTTGTGGTCATCGAGACCTGACTGAGCAACAGTGACTGACAGAGGAGAGCCCATCTTTTAAACCATCAATGACAGACATCCACTCCCACTACAAGTATTCAAACACTGTTTCATACATAAAAAAAAAACACAAACAACTTCTCAGAAATGTCATAAGACAAGCTACTGATTCACCACAGCTCCAAAGCCGAACCATCAGTCGGTCAAAGCTGTATTGTTGTGCGTTAATCCTGTTTTTCAGTTAAATGTGAAAACGTCAGCTTCATGCACATTTCGTAACCACATTTCACATTTGTAGACCCATATAAAGTGGATCTCTTTCCCTCTCTGATGCTGGTTTGCATCAAATTTGATCCAGTTGCATGGGGGCTTTTAGTAAACGACAACAGGATAGTGAGATGGCTGGACGGACTGATTAAAATTAATATTTTCTGTGATCTTCAGCAGCTGTCTCTACTATACGAACTTCACACAAGACTGAGAACAAAACCCCTTCAAGGTCACAAAACCCTCAGTGTGAAATTTTATCATATTTATATTTCATAGAGAAAAAAAAATCTACAATCTACACATGGAACAAATAAAAGACCAGAACTAACCCACTGAGCATTTTTTGGTCTAAAAGAGGTCTAATAGATGTCCTAAAAGTTGAGCTTTCTTCAACTGAGAGCAGCAACAAAAAACAGCAAAAAGCAGAAGAAGCTTTTTTCACAGGGTGAAGAAACAAATCCTAAACAATTAGACTTAGTGGTTCATGAAGACACTTCAGCCTCAGTACAAAAGACTTCTTTAGTTCTAAAGCTAACCCTCACAGACAACCATGACTACTTCAACAAAAACCTGAAACCCTAACTCACCCCTGTGGGCCACAAAAATCTCAGCTCACAAGACTCATCTGTCCATCCTCTTTCAAGAGAAACAGCTCGGGGCAGAAACCTCAGTTAACCGTCTTTATGGATCTCTTTACATTTAAATATGATCACATTAATATTCAAGTATCAAGCACGATATCAACACCCCCCCTCAGCCCCATGTTTTCATCAACAGGAGTGCTTGTTAATGAAGGCAGGCAGTAAGAACTGTGTGCTGGTGGCTGTGTGCAATCAAAGCTGAGCGCTGAAGAATTATGTTAACTGCTTTACATTTAAAACGCTCCCTGGGGCCGCTTCGTAAGCAAGGTCTCATTTGTGTGGAGTGCTAACAGTAAAACCAACAGCTGCTAATGAGACCAAGCCTTTTGAAGCATCTTAGGGGCAGAAACTGAGACAGACAGACAGAGAGAGAGACAGAGAGAAAGAGAGAGAGTGTGAGAGAGAGAGAGAGAGAGAGAGCTCTGAAGCAGCAAGATATGTGAATGCATGCAATAAAAGAAGAGAAGAGATGCAAAAAATAACCTGAACAGCTGTTCCTCAGTTTTTGACCGCAAACATAATACTGACACTATTTGTCCATTATTATTATTATTATTATTATTATTGTGTTAAAATGCTTTGGCATTATTGTAGTAACAGTAGTGCCAATAAAGCTCACTGAAATTGAAATTGAAAGAGAGAGAGAGAGAGAGAGAGAGAGAGAGAGAGAGAGAGAGAGAGAGAGAGAGAGAGCAAAGAGTAGGAAAAAAAGGAGCAGAGACTGATAGTTTCCTCTTTGCTGTCTTATTCATCCTCACCGTTCCATCTTCCAGCATGAGCTGCAGGGAGGCGTCGCCATTTTTGTAGTCCTTGCTCAGCTCAGCAGACTTCCACACCTCTTCTGCATCCGGGATCCACACTCGAGCACACTGAGAGACAGAGGAGCAAAAAAGAAGAGGAAAAAAGTAAGATGAAGCCATCACACATGATTATAATTCAGGAATACTAACTGTAGTGAAGACGGATGGGCAAATCAATACAAACACTGAGCATTGGAGAGGTACAAATGGGATGGGAGGATGCCTACTGGGCAGTATCTGCTCAGGCAGGTGATTTGAAGCCGATTATCAAGGCTCTGAAGTGAGACTGAAATGAAGAAACAAGAGCTGAGGCAGCCATAACCTGATGATATTCCAGCATACCCTATAGTTAAGAGTGAGCAAACCTAAACCTCTTTTGCTTTACATTTCATCTTGACTGCAACACCATGTAAAAGTGTTGGTTCATGTTACACACTGATGACCTTCTGACTGATAAAAAAACAGGTTTTAAAACGCTGAACTACTGAATTTCTGGTAATATCTGGAGTGCCAACACAAAGAATCCTTGTGTCCGATTTCTCGATAAGGCCAGACTAAAATTTCAGATTTGGATATACTGTGTTTGGACATACTAACCAGAGTTTATACAAAACACAGTTCAATGAAAATCTTTTTAAGGGTGCCAGTTTTGCTCAGTTGGTAAAGCAGACACCCCATGTGCAGAAGCTACAGTCCTCATTGCATGGCATTGATTTCCAAGGGATGGGTTCCCAGTCCCAGCATGATTTCCCTCCCACTTCCTGTCTCTCTCAAGCTTTCCTTTCTCATAAAGGCCAAAAACCCCACCAATAGGTCATCTACAAACAAACCTCTTTAGAGATGAATGAGAGGAATTTTTACTTCCTTGTTTATCATAAACCCATATGGCCTTAAAAAACACTGGACTCTATGTATTCATGGGCACATGGCTTTTGATGGAAATTAACTGTTGAGCAAATACAACCTCCTAATGACTGAAGAATGTATTTCTGGGAATTGCTCGGTCATGACTTAAAATTCACACCCACACGCACGCAAACATCAGCACACACACAGAGTTCAGTAAAAAACTATCTCAGGCCTTACAGACTTGTGACTGTGGGCGATCAGCTGATCACAGACATGTGGGAAAACAGTGATGAACACTGGCAGTCACATGGCTGAGGAATCCAGCTTACAAATGTACACAGAGAGAGAGTCCTGACTTCTGATGGAGCGAGAGTGTGCCTGACGACTGTGCAGTGAGAGGAGGACTGAGACGACCAAAGTGTGACCTTAAAACCCAGACAAGATGAGACCTGCACCGTACGTGTGTGTGTGTGTGTGTGTGTGTGTGTGTGTGTGTGTGTGTGTGTGTGTGTGTGTGTCATGAATGTCTGTTTCTTACAGTAGATTTAACATTACATAAGGGGGAAGATGAGAGGACATGAAGAGGTTTGAGGGTTCTGCTCTGCTGAGGTTCCAAATGAAGTTTTGATCCACTTGCTCTGACATTAAATTGTTGTTTTTGTGCAATGAGCTATTATACATGGTTCAGGAGTAGGGTGAGGCAATTAATCCAAAATCAATCCAAACCAACATTCAGAACTGATTAAAAATCTGATTCAGATTTTTTTTAAATTACTTTTTAGGAGTCTGTCTACACATTTTTAAAGATTGTGTACTTTCCCTTCTGAGGGTGTTCCTGTACAGTCCCCATAAAAACACAGTCATACGAGTCAAGTCTGGGAGGAGAGTTCAAACACAGTGTCAACTGAGTGACCTGAGCAGCTTATCAAAATGACAAACGCTGTGTCTGATCTGATGATTGGATACATTTGAACACACCCACCAGAAATAATAGGGATACCACCGATCTGTTTTAGCAAACTGTAGCACAATAACGCCACCGAACATGAACTATGAACAGTTCTGAAAAAAATCACAGAGATAAGATTTGCACTTTTTCATTACAAAAAAAAACAAAAACTCCTAGCTCTAACAAAACTTCTCAAGAACTATGAAGGCAAAAGTCTGAGAGCAGACACGGTACCTGCGGTTGTGTTTTATGCTAGAGAGTTAATAATGAAACCTCCTGCACTGGCCTCAATAAATAAGCCAAAGGCTAAAGAGTGAAGATCGAGTCAGGTAAGAGAGTCACAATCGGAACAAGTGTTTACATGGACATGGTTCCGAATAACGATCGGCATAAACCACCCCTCACGATCGGAATACAATTTCTTTCCGATTAAGCCGCATTGGATCAGAATCTTCCGATCTACATGTTTACATGACGCTTTTTTATTCCGATCTGGCATTTATTCAGATTATTTGTGCCCATGTAAACGCAGCTAGTGATCACCTTAACAGAGTCCTTTCACAGACAACAAGACTCATCCATTTACTCTACATGATCCCTTGCACAGCACATTTCTACTTTTCGGTTTATTGAATCAGTCATTTAACTTGGCTGACACAACCGGCTCCACAGTTAAAACCAGAACTCCGCTTAACCCAAACATTTTCCAATACTTATGCTTCCAATACTTAGGTGTAACAGCAAACCAGCCACTTTCTATCATGCACAGTTATCTGTATATTTCCATTTTACCATGCAGCCGGTGAAAAGAGTCAGATTACAGTTTCTTGTTCAGGCTCAGTGTCTTATGTTATTCAGAGGTACCAGCTCACTCAGCCTTTATTAGATTACTGTTGCATTTGATTAAAGCCTTTCTGAACAGCTAAGTCAGGCCCAGACATTACATTAAACGTCCCAGTGCTGTTGTCAACTTTGTTCTATTAAGTAACTTGGTTGGACCTAACCAGTAAAAATCATTAACAATTGATGATGAAACTAAAGTAGGTGGCTTTTCTTTTTATCGAGCATTATTCATGATATGCTGATATTAACCAGCATCCACACACACACACACACAAATCTCTGCTCTATAACACCATGACTGGATTTGGAAACTAAAACTTTAATAAAGCTGTAATCTCATTACAGATGAGGATTTTAACTCTGCTGAGCCTCATTTATTTCTAATACTCAACACAAACAGTGAACCCCTGCTAACACAGACAGCCTCTTAATGAAAACGCAACAGAAGCACATGATGATGAGAGACTTTCTGGAAGCCCAGCATTGATTTCATGGCTTTGTTATATAAACTGTTCCAACTATCTTATAGGACAGTGAGAAAAAGAGCTCATTGTAGACGGGGAAACCGCTTAATTCAGCCTTCTGCTTCACTACCAATCATCTGAATCATGATTTCATGGTCACACACACCATCACACCATCACCCTTCCTCTGTCTCCGCCTGTCTGTCTACCAGTCTTCCTGTTTAGAGGAGTAGTGGTGTGTAGAGGTGAAGCTGGTCACAGCACAAAGGAGAACATCCAACAAAATCAGACTTAATATGTTGAAGCAAGATACATGAATCAAGAGCATTAATAGATGAGTTCAGATCTTTTGAGTTGGTACTTCAAAGCGATTTTTCCTAATCTTGTTTTCTTTATCAATTCTTCTCTCTCTCTTTCTTTGAAGGAACACACAGCTGTGTGTGGTGTGGTTTTGGTTTGCGCTGAGTGGCATGTTTATCTGACAGATAATAAGGCAACAAATCTGGTATAGACAAATACAAGAACAAGAAACTAAAAAATAACACATTTCAATAAGGAGAGTGAAAATGTGAAGGAAACTGCAAAGCTGATAAATGTGATGATGTGTCTCAAACCTGTCTTTGCTTGAATGGATGTTCATATCCATAAAACAACAAAAATGAATTTTACAGTTAAGCCACAATTTCTTTTAAAATTATGTACTGACATTATACATGAGCAGGGTTATGAAGTCGTCAGTGCTCTGTTGGTGTCTGTGATAATGTCTTTGTCTTTTTGCTTTGTCTTTTAATTATCACCTGTCACGTGTTGATACCCATTAATCTCTGACAACTTTAGCTAACATGAGGTGAGAAACCTCCCTCTACTCTGAGACAGAAAAATACATGTTTGAATAAACGTAAACTATAAAGTCGCGGTATCTGCGCATGTGTTGCATTTCAGATCAAATAGCTGCTAAAAGAGGAGAAACCATGAAACCACATCTTTGTAACATCATCACTCACACCTAACCACAGACTGTATATACTATGGACAACTTGCTTCCGCCTTCCGTCAGTATACGGATGTGAAGCTGAAAAGCTCTCTGTATTTACGTGATTTTTTTCCACATTTCTTTATGTAAATACATACAATTACAAATTACAGATCTTTTTTAAGTCATCGAGGGCAGTTTTATTTTCTATCTGTAATACTTTTATTACTGTTAAAAAAAAGAAGTGCTGGTTTAGTCATAACAAACCCCAGCTGTGAATTCAGACATGTCTATAGCAGCACATTTTTGTCTCAAACTGCAGTGATATTCTTAAAAATGTCTAAGCATGTAAAATTTGTTGGATTGAATTTTCATCAGACAGAAAAAGTCCTACACTGAGGTTGAAAATTGTGTTTAAATATTGCACAAAACAGAACTTGTTAGCTCAGACAGCATCAGTGGAAAACTGGTAAAAATAACAGATTAATATGTGTCTGCCTCTCCTCCTATTTCACAGCTTTATTTAACAATTAAACTTTTTGGTCCCCACAGGCCACCGTCCTAGCAGCTAGCCTCATAGAAACAGAAGGGGGAGGGGGGCAAAGAGATGGAGGAGGAGGAGGAGGAGGAGAGGGAGGATGATGGCTAAAAATAGCTGCAGCCAGTTTTGAGCAGCATCACACCTCTCACAGACATCACTGCACTGCTGAGCGCACTTCCTGATCTTCATTATCATCCTCACACAAACACAAATTAAGACACACTCACACACCTATTTCACACATCGCCAGGTGTCAGGCACGGTTATTCTGAATTAGTTATCGCTGAAATATGCAGCTGGTGTGCACATTCATTTTCTCTGCATATTGAAAAGAAAAAAACACACACTCGTGTGAACATTTAAGTGTGACAGAAAAAGACAGACAGGCAGCGATAAAACACAGCTGCAGAAGCGGTGAATCATATTTATAGACCAGCAAAGTCCCCTGAGTTCAGAAAACAGAGGAGAGATGAAGGATGAAACTGAACCGCACATGCACAGACGGACTTCTACATGTTTCAAGGACAAAATCCTGCACAACGAAACACAATCTGTAGAAGAGGAGAGAGGAATGTGATGAGTCAGAGAGACGCCTCTTCGTCTGCCTTACAGAGCGATGGATGCTGGTCGGGCTGGTGCGTTATGGGCGGCACCAGAGGAGGAGGACAGGGTGACAAAAATCAGGGAAAAGACGTCAGAGGATCTGTGACATCAGAAATCACATGACTGAGACTCTTTCACTGCAGTGAGATCGCTGTATATACAGGAAGCTTCATCGATTTATCTATTTTTTAAGTATGAATTCAACTATGTGCTAGGATTACTATCAGATTTGACTTTATATTCATGGGTATGATAAATAGACTTGATTTATCCATTGATTAAATTATTTGCAGGTGATCCGTCAAGAGGAGTCGCTCTATATCTTAGTTTTCTTAACCTCAGGACACTGGGTGTGGTCACACTCATGCAGGGTCTCCTGTCTTTTATGGGTTAAAGTTGTTGTTTTGATGAAAGTGTGACAAAACTAAAAAACTAGAAATAACTTATTGTATTCAAATGAAATGATCAGAGGTGGAATATATCAAGCAAAAAGTAAGTAACAGATTTTCTTGTTCAAAACAAAGCGATATTTTAAAGTAGTTTGATCTTCACTGACTTTATACGTCCTCGATACATGTGGACTCTAGCAGAATAAATCTGGACCATATGTTTGAGGGAATCACCATGGACAGATTGAAGCAGCGCGGTTGAAATAAATCTCCAGAACATGTCAAACTCAAAAAACACTATATCCTACATTACCCATGATGCAACCTGTTCTTGTCTTTTCAAAGAGCCTCTGTCTTTGCTAAACTCTGAAAATTGTAACACTGACTCCACTGATAAAAAATGTTATCGCCTCCAGTCCAGACACATGACATCACCTCCATGCCGTCACCATGACATCATCGGGGTTATTTTTTTTATTAGGTCAAACTGTAGATGTCTGCATTACAAGCTACCATGAAATACACAAATCAGCCTCTGACAGATCTCATCTGTATTTTTATTTTGTGTGAGTATCAATTATGATGACAAATTGTTTCAATATACAATTGGTAATTTAAACAAAGTCATTGTTTTAAAAAATGATGTGTCACCAGAACACACATTGGCTGTTTTCAAACATGCACTAATCTCCTAATATTTCCTGTCAATTACAGGGAGACCTGCATGTGAGAATCTAAACTCCCAAGTAGAGCTGGGCGATAAAATGATAATGATAAAAATTAAAAAGGTGAAGGTGACTAGGTGTCATTAGCAGTTTTGTGTGGTGCAATCATTAAAAATATACCTGTTACATCTATGAAATTAAGTGTCTTTCCTGAGACTAGGATTCCTGGACAACTGGTCCTCAACAATGTCCTGCACCATACTGTTTTAAATGACACATTTGGTCCTCTAGGAAATATTTCTCTGCAGTTTTCTCACCATGTTTGTCAGCAGGTCAGTTTCGAGCTGGAACGGCGGCTTTTGGAGTTACAAGGCTGGTCTGAAGCTAATCCTGGTTTATCAGAGACAAAGGATCAGGGCTGATTAGGCTAACACAGGCTTTAACACCAGCTAATCTTCCCCCCAGTCAACTACACCAAGATTTTATGACTTTCATAAATGGCGGAAGCTCTTAACAGCTTTTATTCTCGTCCTGAATAACAGACTGAAACAGGGAATAATGTGAGCATTGAACAGGAGACATTACAACAAAGAGGAAAAAAGAAAATGGAGAAAATAAATGATTCTGTTGTAAATAATGAAAAGGCAAGTGATTTTGATTATATGAAGACAGATTTGTTGAAATATGTGATGTGAAACTTTAAGGTTATGAAAAGTTTTACAGCCTTTCACCCTTTGCCAGCTTCATGATACACTAAAAATAAAACCTCAGATCTGATTCTGCTGCAAAAGCCACAAGGACATCAGTGGAAGATTTGGGTTGGGAGGTCACATTGAGATCAGGGCACAGGGACACAGTGTGTGAGTATAGTGTGTAGTGTATACATGTGTGTGTTGGGCAGTAAGACTGTTACCGGAGGGCGGGGCGTCCACAAGAAGTGTTTGCAAATCTCCACAGAGTCAACAGCAGATTAGAGGGACTTCACCTGGCTACAGCAGAGCTCCAAGCTTTCACTCTGGCCTGCTGTGACTCCTCTGAAGCCAGAGGGTTTACTTTGACTCTCATGCCCACTACCAGTGCCAACATAAACACTTCTAAGACAACATTCATGTAAAACACCGTCTGGGCTTATCATAATTAGGTATAGTCAAAAAATTTTAAATAGATATTCATTGATTTAACAAAAATAGAAATCCACACAACTAGGGCTGGGCGGTAAACCAAAAATTTACCAATACAGAAATTTACGACGATAACTGACATCATTTTGCCCATATCAGTATATTTGGTGTCAAAACAATAAAAAAAAGTTGGTTGGCTATGGTCTCATGTCCCTTTTAGACGCTGTCCTACATCAGAGATGTCCTACGTCCGTAATAAAGAGGGAAAGACAGGTGAGGAGATGGAGGACAGTTCAATGGTTGTAGCGGCTGAAGCAGACGAAGTTAATGCAGAAGGGGGTGAGCAGCTTGTGGAGTAATTATCGTCCATTTGTCGTTATTGAGGTGAACTACTCAATATATCGTTATATTGATTTGAGGCCATAAACCCAGCCCTACACACAACTACTTTATCTTATTTAGTTTTAGTTTTTACTAATGCCTGGTTGTAATGCAGCACTCAAGCTGGAAACAGCCATTTTCAAACTTCATTATTAACAAAAAAAGAGATTGCTAGCCTCATTTCATAGAAGTTGTTAGAGATACAGGTGTAGTGCTGTGAGATTGAGGAGCAGAGAAAAATAGAGATTGTGCATGAACAGTAAAGGTGCCATGCTGCTGCATCAAGAGACCTGAGGAAAGCCCCCTGCCAGTAGCATCTTGTCCTGAAGCTGGTTAAAGCCACTGACATACAAACAGAACATTAACCACATGGATGTCCCACCAAGTGTTTACTTTTGGTGTCTACTCCTGTAGCACACATGGTGAAGTGGTGTGTGAGTCACTGATGTCTCTCCCTCTCCTGTCAGATCTGCTGTCTGAGGACCAGACCTGGGATTAATTGGTCTACAGATTTATACTGATATGATAAAGATACAGACAGGACGCTACAGGGTGCAGGTAAACATCAGCCACTGACTCTGGTGTATGGTACATTACTTGCAGATGTGTCAATGTCTTACAGCAAGACTGATATTTGCCGATACTGACCTTGAACCGATAAATCAGTGCATCCCTATTCATAAGCATTAGATCAAGAAGCAAGTGGGTTAGTGCGCCCTATGTATGGGAACCACGGTCCCTGCATCGGTCACAGGTTCGAGTCCGTCCCCGACCATGTGCTGCATGTCCTCCCCCCTCTCTCTCTCTCTCTCTCCCCACATTTCACTCTGTACTATCAATAAAAAAGCCAAAATCGCCCCAAAAGAAATAAAAGATCTAGGAGCGTTCTTCTGTCCAATCAAATAATGTTGACAAAACCCCAAAACTTTTAATTGGAAAAAGTATATGACTGCCAGTATGGGAAACAGCATGTTGCATTGTCACTTTTGATTGCGTTCTATGCAAACGTATCTCATATTTGTCATTTTTTAACAAGCTGATATTGCAGTTTCGTAATTCTTTCCGACAATTATTCAAATGACATCTAAAGATACAGGAATTTCTTAGCAGATGTCATAGGCATATGTCCACCTGTAAAAAGAGCAAAAACAACTCTGACTTGAAGCAAACAGTTAAGTTTTAACACTGAGCCTTGTCTTTGCAGAATGGAGAGACGGAAACGTTGATTTGAGTGGAACTGGATCGCAAAAAGCTCAAAACATCGTACAACATGGTCTGGCAGAAACCAGCCATCAGCTGCAGTGGTATGTGAAAAGTGTTTTGTTCACATACTCTCTGTAAGGCCGTCAATGAGGGCCCAGACTGCCGAAGCTTCGTCACATGATGCCACTCATGTGAGAATCTGCTGTTTTTCTGCTCAGCTGGGCACACGCAGCATGACGTCGGGATACAGAGCCCTCAGTGCCGGTCAGGGAGAAACTGTGCTAGTCTCACGACGCCCAATCGTGTTTCCAAACTAGACTCTTGGCACTACTATAGCATCCAGCCGTGGTCAAAGATCAGAGACGCTTCCTAACAAGCTGTGTTCCTGCGCAGCACTTAATCTCATTACTTTAGTCAGCACCGACTCTCAAGAGTAGTGTGGTTAACTTCTCTTAGTCATGACAATGTGGGAGAATCAGTGCACAGCTGGGTGTCATGTTCACACTAAACAACTGGCCAAACGAGTCAAATTTTATCAAATATATCCAACAGGAAAATAAGCCATGCACTTTCCAGACAAAACAAAGATACTTACTCTGTTCCTGCTACGACCACTAAACGATAAACTTGTGCATCTTGCTAAAAACGTTGATAAATCTGTGGGACACGGACACCCTGCTTAACAATTATTGAACAGACAACAAAAAAGCTTTTTGCTACAGAGTTTTGCATCAGCTTAAGTTGGTACACAGTACAAACTACTTCCAGTGATTTAATTATAACAATTGGAGACAAAGATTTTGCTGTTATTCAAAAACCAAAACTCAATACAGGCTAAAATCTGATTTGCTGCAAACCTGTGGTTGTTACTGAGCAAAATGTCCTCTGCAGGGTTAGGGTTAGTTGAGACTAAAAGAGGGTGTGCCAGGACTGAGGCTCCATGTTTCACACTTAAGAGGCAATGTAAGGATTAGAAGAAGTGAACTAAAGAGCTAATACAGACCTCTTCTTCAACAGATCAGACTGCGCTGTCGTTCTAAACTTCACATAACTGAACATACTTGGTCAATGAAAGGAGGGAAGGAATGAAAAACAAAAGGATAGAAGAAGAAAAAAAAACTTACTTGTACAAACATATACTCCAACTCCCGGTTCATCTTGTCTCTCTCTCTCTCTCTCGCGCTCTCTTTAGTCTCTAGCTCATGCTGTGAGTGAGTCTGCTGATTTTATGGATGTTTTCTGGACACAAGCCGTTCGAACACCAAGCTCTGAAGCTCGCTCTGCTGAATGAAACCTTCCCATTGTATCAGCTAACACAGGCAGCGTTCACCGATGGTTCCCTAAAGTCCCCTTAGAAAGACCACTGGCCATCCCTGCTGTCAATCAGCCCTTCCTCGATCACATGTGTAGTCAGGCAGACAGAGACTCCAGGCAAACAAACAGGATGATTCCACAGACCACAGATAAAGCTACAAAAACTCAAACTGCCCCACTGTCACCGAGACGAGGACGAGGTGCGTACGTTTTTTTTTCCGTTTTTTTTTTAAAGAATGGTAGATTCATTAAAATCCAAACATTTAAGAAATTCAACCAAATGTTTGTTTATGTCAGCATTGTGTAACATCGACACACTTGACCTGATTTAAAATACAAGCAGAACATTTGGACAAATAAAAAGCTGAGGGTTTGTTCCTTCCTCTGTGTCTCTGTTAGACAGAGCGGTGATGACTACATGCCAGAGTATATACAACATGTCTGCACAATTACCTTAACCAGGTTACCATATCTCACTAATGTAATGCACATGCTCTCAACTAGAGCTGGGGAGAAAAAAATAACACAAACGTTAGCTAACGTCAACGCCAACAGCTGATGCAGCTTCGTTCACACCATGAAGATAGAAGGCATGTCTGTTCTGCTCCTTAATAAAAACATCTACAGCATATGAAACAGTCTAACATGAAAACTGATATTGTGACGTGTTTGTTTTTTGTGATATAAGAATAAGTGATGAGCCACTACATTGTTCAACACTGTTTGCAGCACAACCCTCCTACAGCCTCACTTCTTTGCCACTAACTAATCTGAGGGTTGCCGATATCCAGCTTTCGCTTTATCTGAATGCGTCAAAACTGTAGCTGTGTCCCAATTAAGTGGCTGCAGTCTTAAAAGGATACTTTCAAGACTGATCTGTTAAAATGGTGTCCTTCTTTTCCTGGGCCATGCAGGATAGACTGTAGGGGTGGGAATCACCTTCAGCCCCACCATACCATATTATCAGGATACTTGGGCAATGATATGATATTATTGCTATCTTTAACATTCTGCAATACAGTGAGTATTGCGAACCAATATCTTACGATTCATAAAACTTTTTCAACTGTTAAGCTAATTCAGCATTTGGCTTTCTTTTATGTTTGTCTTATTTAGGCTGTGTTTTATTTTCATGTAGCACATATTGCAAACCTTATATTCGTTGCACTAACTTTCTCCTACTCTATGATGTCCTCTCTGCCAGCCTCACTGGACAAACAGTTGATTTTATTTTTCCATTATCGTAGATTTGACTTCATATTAGCTATAAAGTTGAAAAATCGATACTTGGTAAATGAGACGATACGATATATTTCCAGACAAAATATTGTGATATTGACTTTTTCTCCCACCCTTAATACACTGGTTAGCTCAGTCCATACAGACAATATAACTGAGTGCAAATTTAAATGAGACAGCTGAAGAATATTGAATTCAGAATTAAAGTATATGGTTCCAGGACAGTGTAATAGCTTGTACCAGTGTTGAGAGTCAAAAAGAACCTAAAACTACAAATTATCTTTCAACAACTGGTTTACTTATGTGAACAGTCTATGCAGCTATCACGTCTCATGGGTGGGCCCTCTGAAGGATTCCTCCTCTGAATTGGGACAGCTGTAGTGGAAGTTTGACTTTATAACCAGGCTAACAAAAGGTCCAAATGTACTGCTGCCGAAGCAGAAACTGCTGATATGGACTTCAATAAAACCTTTTTTGAATTACTGTGTGAACTGATGTGTTTGTTGCCAATTCTTGTTTTGCAAATAACTGAAATGCAAACTGGCAGCTGGCAGATAAGACCCTCTTTAAAGCACTGCCATCATGGAAGAATAAATGAAATATGCTGTACACTGAAGGTAGACTGAATCAGAGACAGCCACTGCTGCATTGCTTTGTGGGTCATGGAGTCAACCGTGCTGAGGTTTTGGCAGCTCCCCAGCAGGTGATGTAATGGCAGGTATTTTCCTTTCTCTCAGCTGTTCATGACAACACTCACTCCCTACCTCCCCATCACTGAACGGGTGCAGTCATAAGTGCGACATGCTTGAAAGTTTCAACCAGACACTATTTTCTAACCCACGTGATTCAACTCTGATTTAGCCGAGGGTCTTCCATAAATACATCTCCTGCAGTTCTTAAAGTTCACCATCTAACAGACACACCAAAGGAGGGCAGGCACTCTCCAGTCATGAAGTTGTTGCAAATTAAACACTATCAGTGTGCTCTCATGAGACAGAACAGCAGGAGTGCATTTGTCAAACAGTTTTTTGACACTTTAAGTAATAATCTATATATATTGATGATTCATAACATGAGGGCAGATCATTTACGTCTATAAAAAAACAGCACAGTCAGTGGAAGAGTGTCACCTGCTTTTTAAAACTCATGCTGTATGTTTCCTCATCAGCTCATCAGTGAAAACTCAATGTGATACTCCTGATCCATCCCCAGTGTTTCCAACCACCAGGAAAGAAATTCAAAGACTGAATCTCAATCTTCTTATATAAAAATTTTCACTTTTTTTTCTGATGCATGTTAAATATTATAGTATTTATGTGCAAAAATGTGAATACAGCCTTGTAAGATTTCTTGCTTTTGCTCTCTTATCACTTTCAGATTATATTCAAGTTTTTGGCCAAAGAAACAGATGCTTTTCAAATTTTTTGTCCAAACTACACATCATTAACCCTAGGTATTAGTTGAAGCTTTTACAGATTGAATAAAGCTGTCTGTATTGCAGAGGATCTTTACTGGTATAATTATGTATCACGAAACAGGGGCGGTGGTTCAATATATTGCTATCCTGTAACCAAGGCGATATGCTGGGATATCTAATCTAATCTAAGATTACTGTCAAAATAAATAAATAAATAACAATATGCACCAAATCTGGGTGAAAATAGGCCCACTGTCCACATTAGATTTTTTTATGTATCATATAGACAAAACAAAGACAGAGTCTCAGTGAAACCACCCACTGGTGTCAGAGTAGGCATAATGAAGTTAAATGATAGTGATCATCACCATACTGGAAATGCTGACTCAAACTGACTTTCAGTCAGCCCACAACAAAGTGATGGGGTGGGGTTGACAGCTCAGTTACTACCTATCAGTCAGCTCAGCCTCGCCTCAAATACGTGAACCTTTGAAAAACAGTCCATCGACATTACTTTAAAATGGAGGAGTTATCAAAGAGTCCATCCTCTGGAGTGAGGATATGTAGCTGGTTGAAAGCTTTTTTAAAACTGCTTTAAAAAGGGCATCTTAACATGGTGTTATGAGGAGTCCTTGGCTTTTGCAGTCAGTCTCAAGTGGTCATTGAAGGAGCTGCATTTTTTTTTGCACTTCGGCATTGACTTCCTTTTTCTACAGCATAGGTTTCTGCTGGTTTCATCACAGTCCTTATCATCATAGAAACAGTATTAATGTAGTCTGAGGGGGAAGTTGACATTTTCCAATATCAGTATAAGTCATGCATTCAACTTAAATATGAGAAATACTAACATATGACAAAACATAATATGGCAAAACACCAGGATTATTTTTTTAATCTAAACATTTTCCATCCAGAAAGCATGATGGAGAAAAAATAAAATGGTACTAGAGTTTTCTTTGTTTAAGTATGTTGAGTGTTATTATTTCAAAAATACAGTAAATGTTTTGGTCCAGTAAAAGTGATGTTTAAATGCAGTTTGTAACTCTGCTGTGTGTTGAAGCGTGTTTCCATCTCTGAGTCATGTAATGTAATGGAGCACATCCTCCCTCTCCTCTGCTTTAGTTACAAAGCTCAGTTTCATTCACATTCACGGCATCTCTTCAGTTTGATCCTGATTTGATTTGGCTCCAGCAAATGGAACAGGCTAAATTCTAATCTAATAAAAAAAAATCCTGATTTATTTTTGGTCCTGAAATGTTTACAAATGTTGTGAGCAGTAGCTGAATGTTTCTCCTCTCTAACTTACAGCATCTCTCTTCAACTCTGAATCACCTCTCTTTATATCGGAGGTGAGGTCAAGCAAAGACTGCAGCAGAATCTGATCCTGTGTGTCTCTGTATGTGTGTTTGTGCATATTAACCAAGCAGCTCAGACTCACTCAATAAGCCTCTATGAGTCCAGCTCACACACACAAAGGGCAGAGTGTGTCCCTGTGATGGAAAAGCAAATCAGAGAGAGCTCTGACTTCTATAACTGACCGAACCATTCAAAGGCAGAGACTAACTTTATCTCACAGTCACACCAACACAAAACAGCCAAAGTGTCCTCAATTCCTTTGCGATTGAAACATTTCACACCAAATAAGCACCTTACAGAGTTAAGTCTGCAAAAATGACAGCTGGCTACAAGCCAAATCCTTCGCATTAGCAGCCTCAGCCAAAAAAACGAGTGTTAAATTTAGGAGGCAGGAATCTGGAAATGTTTCCCACAAAATTACCATAATAAACTGTTTGAATCTTGAAATCTCTAGAGTTAAAATCAATGGTTGAGGACTGATTTAACGTTGTAGCCCAAGACTGTATATGGAATGGACAGCGTCTGCCTCCTCATTGGGTGAAGCCACTCCGAGAACAACACCCTCTGGTGACAGGCTGCAGTATAGGTCATAAATCCCGCCTCCGCCAGCAAAGCTTATGGGGCTGTGGACAAACTTAAGAAATTTATTACGCAGAATATACATTTTTCTCCCCCCTGCTTGTGATGTTGTAGTTACTGTAAGACTGGTTTGTGCTCAAGTCCTCTTTTTTTCTGTACAGCTCCATTTTTAAAAGTTATTAGGGGTTCATGTTTTCTATGATTGACACTTGATACAGCCTATGTGCGTACAAAGATTGTTGAGCTAACCCGGGGGATACGCTGTTTGAGCCGAGCGTCATCACAGCAACTCGGAAGGCAGAACCAAGTTGTCCATAGTATTTACAGTCTATGGTTGTAGCCCTATTAGAACAAGCATCAAAATATAGATGTATCACATATGGTTGGGCAATTCTCTGAATGCCTCCCTTCAGTGGAGTCATTTAGTGCATGTTGTTCTTTAAAGATCAGGGGTCAGGGTCAGCTACAGAACAGCACCCCACCTACACCCCAGCAGAGACCATTTGCTGACACAGAGTTCAAACCAGTGTCATCTGCTACAGTCTTTGACCACATGTCTGAGCTAATCTGACAACCGCAACTAAAGGTTCACAACAAATGGACAATATACAGTCCTGTTGCTTAGCGCAAGTACAACCATTTTGACAACAATTATCACCATAGTCACACAATGTCACATTTCTCCTTTACCACAACCCTAAGCAACCAGCTTTCAAGGCAGGGGGATGGGTGACTCATCTTCTTCTCCCCCAAACACACACGCACACAAACACACACACACTGACTGAGGTTTCACATTCACAATATAACAGAAATACAGCAGCAATAGCATCTCTTATGACCTTGTCAGTGTTCAGTGTAGCAGGCCTCTTCAGCAGCTCTGTCCTTTTCTAAAGTGAGCATTTTACAGCCACACTGAGGCTGCGGGGCCTCTGCTGCTGCTGCTGCTGGTCCACACACAAATGCTAAAGGATGCTAAAAGTGTCAGGATGCAACTCTCATCATTGCAGCATCCAAGCGGTAACCAACCTGCAGCTTGTACTCGGCTAACATCACAGAGACAGGGTCGTTAGCTAAAGCCACGCCCAAATATCGTCATTTAACCGTGAAAAGACAAAGCTGTGTTTCAGGTTAGGACTCGAGCTAACGCATTCAGGGTGTTTAAAAGCGAAAAAGCAGAGCCTCCATGATGGCTGGCACCGCCTTTGCATCATCCCAGTCCCTTAGCCTCTACAGGGAGGATGGAGAGACACACAAAAGGACCAGGAGAGAACAATATCTCCTCTTTAAACGAGATTAATGTAATAAAATACAAAAATAACGATACATGGCGTTAATTCTGAGTGATATTAGTGAATGAAAAGGACGACAGTTATAAAACAAACCAAAAAAACAGCATCTGCTAACGTTGCCTTTCTCTCAGATTCAGCCGTTTGAGGTCATGGTTATGTATATTTTAACACCACGAGGACTCTTTGAACTCTATAAACAGTATATTTTGTTTCATTTTCATTCATTTGAAGCCAGCACCAACCTCAGTTTTAAAAAACACACATTTTCCCTGACGGATACATCAGGCTGTCAGGTTGTTTACGAAGACAAAACCAAGGTAAGTGAAGCTGGAGCTGCGACAAGGACAGTTAGTGTAGCTGAGGTGCTAACAGCAGCAGCAGCAGCAGCTATCACCATAGAAATATATTCACTCTTACCTTCGTGTACAGCTCCGACGCTGCCATGACGCTCACTCGCTGTCCTTACTCCAATCTGGGCTAAAGCTCCGGCGGGTCTCCGCGCTGCATGGACCCACAGAGTGTTTTCATGCAGCGGGGGAGGAGGAGGAGAAGGAGGAGGAGGACGGTGTCTGTGGGTGCAGGAGCTCAAGGGGAAGATGTTTCTCTTATCGCCATGATAACCTGAAAACAAGCGCGACGCTGCTGAGCTCTCGGTGTCTCACTTTGCATTCTGGGTATGATGGATGAAATGATTCAGCCAAACCGGGGGGTCTGCTGCCTCCTGGGAAACTGCGCCCCCTGATGGTCAGTGGAAGAAAATACATCAACAAAAATCTTTTTTCCTTCTCCTCTCTGAGCTGGGGACGTATCTCAAAAATCTATATAGATAAAATGATAAAGGAAATGATGAACCTGTGGTTTGTCAACTGATTTTATTTTTGCAATATAACAATACATTTATTTAATTTAATTCAAATGAAATTTGCTTGTCTTCAAAACCGAAAAATCTATTATTTCACATACTTTTTTGTATTTTAAAGATAGCAACAAGGGGTGACAGTGTCAAATTATCCAAAGAGAAAAAAAAGCATTTTTAGCCTATGTGTGCATGTAAATCATATGATGTGCTGCTAATTAAAAATATATTTCTAGTTTATTTGTATTTTTTTTTTAAGTATCAGGAAAACATTCACATGTGAACACAATAAAGTAGGGATACGGCTCAACTTAACCCACTCCTATGGTGACCACTTTTTTTGGCATGCTATATTATCAAGACAGTTATGTTTACACTCATTCTGTTGGTTTGCAGGGATGCACAACATCTTGAAATATATGCAGATACACTAGTGAGACAAAACTGTGATTGTCTTGATGTAGTGATCTGAAATATGAAAAATGGCTCATCTTACCCCACTCTGCCCCACCTCAAAAATCTAAATGAAATGATAAAGAAAATGATAATGAAGAAACATTCAAATGAAGTTTGCTTGTTTTCAAAACCGATAAATGAATTATTATTCAAACATTTTTTGTATTTTAAAGAAAGCAACACAAGGTACAGATTCAAATCACCAAAAAAATGCATTCTTAGCTTATGTGTGATGTTCTGCTAATCAAAAATATATTACTGGTCTATGTGTATTTTAAACAAAAGTATCAAGGAAACATACACACAATAAATTGAGAAAAACTTAAACTTGAATAAGATTTAGGAGGGACAAAAATGTCTCTGTGTTATCAAATAGCAATATATACATTCAGTCCTTTTTGCCAATTTATTGCACTGATAACATTATATACAAATGGAAACGTGTTCAAATTCTTAATGTTTTATGTTTTTGTAATGTGTATCTTCTCCCTGCTCCCTTCCAACCAGTGAATAAGAAATGTTGCAATGTGACATGATATTGTCAAATTGAGAAATTGCCTTGGCTGGAATAACTAACTAAATAAATAAATAAAAGAGAGAGAAAGAAACATTTTTTAAAGATAATTAAAAGTGGGAGAGAGTTTTATTAGTTTAGAACAATTTTCAGAGGCTACCCAGAGCATTTTAAAAAATTATCATATTTTATGCCTAAAAAACAGCTAAGTGGTTAAATGCAAGAAGATCTTTATTGTAACTGTAATTTCCTAGTGAAGAGTTCCTGTGAGTTTGTGATTTCGTTTACCTTATCAACCAATGCTATTATAAAAATTAGCCCATCTTAGGCTATGGTCTAAGCCAGCTGTCTGTCAAGTGTCCTCAGATATTTGTTGTGAAATGGCTCTATATAGATAAAGATTGACTGATTGAATGCTAATCCATTTTATCGTTCCTCCATTTCAAATATCTGAGTTCAAATTTGAATAGAAAGTAAAGAATTTAAACCAGAGTACTCTCTTCTTATTACTGGTGCAGTTTTTTGTTGACCATTAATTTTGTTGACCATTGGTGTAATACCACAATGCTATTTGACACCTGGTAGAAAATTAAACTCGTGGTAAAGGTATCCAAAATGTACAGAAAACAAACAGGCAGTATCTGTGTTGAAGTAATTTGTCAACTTCATTAATAAATATAATGCAATCAGAGGAACTTGCTTATTGGATGACTGGAATCACCTTTAACTCAAACTCAATATAACACGACACAAAACTTTGACATTTGTGCAAAACTATTTTATTTACAAAACAAAATGGCACAAAGTGACAGCAGGGCAGCCATATACATGCACAGCACAGACAGATGTAGTGCTAGCGTAGATTTACCTCATTCCAGGTAAACCATATCCAGTCAGTGAGGACCCTGGAAAAGCACTTAACATGGCCAATCATTTTTTAAAGATCACACTACTTGAACTTTTGAGATTATAAGACTTTTTTTTTTTTTGTCCAAGTTTGAAAATCATTCAAACACTTTTTGTTCCCGGTGCCCAAAACTGTTCCCAGTATATTTTTATCATGAAATAAATCTAGTCACACAGAATATAGGACACACATACTGGTCTCTACTGACAGGAATTAATCTCTTAGGTCCCATATCCTTCTCTATTTGAGCAAAATGATTCATTCATGACAAATTTCAACCAGAGACTTTGGCCTGAGAAGAGGACTGAGTCATCATCCAACGCCAAAACGCTCCACACACAACAAATACAGTGTAAACTTTCAACAATGCAGCTCAAACTCCTCTTTTACGTTAAAATCTGATAACTTTCAAGTTTCAAGATTTCTTGAATGCACCCTGTACATCATGAAACCCAGAGTGTTCAGACTGCACCTGAGCAATTTAGCATCTGTGTAAATGTTGGTGCTCAGTGCTTCAATGAATTAAAATGGAACTTAACAAGAACGGTCTTTGCATCTCACATGCAGCCCATACGACACTCTGACCTTTCACTGTGTGGTCCATCAGCACAGCTTTCCATCAGGGTTCAGCATGAAAGTGTTAACACATCTGAGCTTGGCCTCTGGGTTACTATATTTAGTCAATCACTCGAGCATATTGACAGCATAATTTAGAATAAGGACATACAGTGAATGATACAAATCTGGTGTAAAACATTCTAAAAGGCCGACATCTGCCCCTGTGCCAAACAAAAGGAAATATATATTTATTTACACAAACTTCCAAACTGAGGGTCCTGATGACCTTACTGAAGCCCTCTAACTGTACAAGACGTAGCTTCTTCTGTTCGCCCCTCTCTACAGCCAACACACAATCTGGTTGTCAAAGAGGTGTCACAGTCCGCTCATCACACTCACACCCAGATGTCGCATCTTTATGAGTATCTTACATGGAAGTACAGAGAAAAAGGGGACATGGTAAAATAAGAGGACAGTGACAAATGGGCTTGAAGTTTAGGGGCAGGGGCAGGGGACAAAATAAAGGGAGGAGGTAGTAGAGATAGGACCAGAAAGGGTGGAAACTTAAAATGAAAGGTTGAAGGTATCAGCTAGCCAGTTTGCTGGGTGCTGCTAGGTGTGGGTCCTTGTTGGGATGGGTCCAGGCAAGTGGGGAGGGGGGAGAGGCAGGGGACAGGTGGCACTGTATGGGGTAGGAGAGGTAATGTTACAGCTCTGAGACTTGAGTATAGAGGGTGAGGGCTGGGGAGAAGGGAAAGGGGAGGGGGGGTTGATTCTGCAGTGGCTGTTTGTGTACGTGGATCAGCCTGCCAGTTTGCTGGCTACCAGAGACGGTTTCCTCTGGGGCAGGTCCTGGGGGGTGGGGATGTGGTCCCCTGTGATCTCGGTCTTCTCTGGTGCAGCTGTTGGTAACTGCTTATTCTTTATCTTTGCTTTAGCCATGTTGTAATCCCCGGAATCAAAGTACTTTTGCTGTGAAGAGGCATAGAAACAACAATTAAAATGGGAAGGATAGAAAATAAGAAGAGAGAGAGAGTTCACTGAACATTCAGTGTTACAAATACTTTCACTGTCATGTTCTGATTTTTCCTGGTTTTGATTAAGAAAATCCTCTTGAGCCCATTTTAATGATTGACCTGGCTTACTTGAAGTAAAAGATGGAGAAAGAGTTTTGACTCTTAGCAGCCACATACCATGTTTTTATTAGCAGCTACTTAATTTGTTTGTACTGTGTGGGCACACAATGATGGTGACCTGATGGGCAATTTTTCAAACAAGTTAATTTACAAATATATGTAGAGATGCACCTACAAATGCCAACTGTGAGAGCTTCAAGAAGATAAATATGGATTAATCAAATCTAAAATTATTTTTCTTTGTAGCTTTTTTTGCTCTTCTACTTTTTAAACTAAAAAACATCCCACCTGAGATGTTATGAAATGCCCAGGTACATCATGTACACAACCCACACTGTTATATATGTATATATTTTTCTATCACTTGACATTCCTCTGCTCCATTGAATGACTGCCTAAAACAGTCTTGTATGTATCAGTTCAATGTCTAAGCATGTAAACATTTGTGTAATATTTGGTATCAAATGTTTGTACATAGACGGCAAAGTCTACCAGTCAGTCTCCTTGTAAATGTATACATACCTAACCAATAAAGCTGACTATGATCAAACTCTCTGTACACATGGATTGATCAAAGATTCTATGTACAAGTTTTACTTGACAGTTGACTTTATCTATATCTTGCGAATCAAGACAGCTGTTTGTTAAACCACTATTTCAACATTATTGACTGAGGAAATTGTACATATTCGCTTCACATACTTTAGATCTAAACATGGTCATGATCTGGTGAAAAATGTATCTCAAAAAAATTACAACTGCATGTCCATCACAATTTACAACAAGAATCAAAAGTCAAAGTTAAGCTTTTCTGGCCAGCAGTCAGTGGTTCACATCATCATCACCACGATGATACATTGATATCATAGCAAAGTACATGCAGTCAGTGTCATTAAACACTCAGTTGCTAAATCATGTGATGGACACCACACCTTGCTCAAACAAATATAGCCCTAACAAACACCCCTTCAATAGATTCTACATCTATAAAATTTGAAATGTTCCGTGTTTTTTTGAGTTTATTTTCTTTGTCAATCATTCAATTCAATGATTCAATTGTTGATTAAAAATATTGAAGAGAAATCTAACATTTTTTTCACGTCCTGTTGGCATTGATTGCAGTTTGTGGGCTGCCATTGTATTAACAGTAAATCTAACAAACTTCACAAAGACGATAGTGGGTGTACTCTGCTCTTTGGTGGACCCTGAATGTTTCACAGACACTAAAAAGCAACAGCTCACCCCTTTGGTGAGGCGTTTGCGGAGCAGGTCAGAGCCTCCGGGTTTGTTTCCTATATTTGGGTATTTGGCCTTCAGTTTAGCCTCCTCTGCCTTCTCAGGACTGATCACCTTGTCCTGGGTCTCCTGAAAACAAACATCATACATCAAAATGAGGCACAGAAAATTAGCTGAGGAGAAGACATTCATCAAGTGGCTTTGGGCTCCCACAGAAACATCTGCAGTAGTAATCTCTCCATTTTATACACATTTAGGTCGACCCACGGCTACTAATACTTAGCATTAACAGGAAATATTCGAAACTAAAATGATACAACAACCATTTATGGTGTATCCTGTTTAATCATTGTTCAAGGACCTCAAAATAACATGATTAGTTTCAGATTTTCTATCCATGTCATCGTCAAATAGGTTCGGGTTTGCTCTGCTGCCCACGCGCAGAGTGGATCCTGGAGATGTGTGGGTTGTGGTGCACGAGCGGGTGGAAATAACCGTTAAGAGGCAGCAAAACAACACGTTAATATTACACAGCAGCTGTTATAGTTGGCTAAAGCGTCTATAATGAGGGTATTTGCGGTGAACTGATAAAGAATACAGAAGAAAATGATGAAATAATAGCGTCCTGAAAGCAAATATTGAAGCCACAGTGCAGTATAATCTTCCAGATTCGGCTAAGCTAAAGTTAGCAGGTGAGCTAACAGTTGCAAAATTCCCTGTGTGTGTGAATGTCATCACAGTTAGCTAAAGCTGCTACTACGAGCTAGCGGCACCTCTGACATTCAAACCAGCCAACGGAAATGATATTTACACCAACAACAAACGACACGCCAGCTAACACGCAACGGAGTCTAGTTATAAAGTTTGAGGAAATAGGATTACTCTTTCAGGCCGGAGCACAGGAGCAGGCTTTGGTTGATATGTCAACAATGACGAGCGCGGGGTGAAGAAGCTAAGCTACATAACGAAGCGCGAGCTCTAACAAAGTCAACCTCCCTGTATGCTGATGTCAAACTGATAAACCGCCGCGCACATACCTTGTCGTCCATTGTCGTCTCTTCTGTCGTTTGTGTTTCTTCGTTATCGCCCGACATGTCGATGTTATCTCGAGCTCAGGCCAGAGATTGCACACTAGTTGACAAGTGGTCGACAGATCCCCTGCTCTGACTTTCCGTACCCATACGAGGCTTACGCGCGCTCCCGCGGTTCTACGTCACATGCGGAGACACCACGCGCGCTCGCGTTCGGGCACTCCTGTCCTGTCCGGCACGCGCGCGGAGTGCTGGGATCGGATTTACATTACGTAACCTCACTGATCAGCTGTTAGACCCATGTGCTGCAACACAAATCCAGATTTCAGCCAAATAATCCGTAAATCTGGATCGTGATGAACTCTGAGCGGTTCATTTTCAATGTTTCCTCATTTTTGATGTTGTTTCTTCATGTGGTGTATTTGTGGCCGAGGCTTAAACGTGTTTGCTGCTGTGCTTACCTAACCTCTGGGTTAAGCAGCATGTAAAATAGGTGCTCTGGGGTCATTAGTGAGAGCAAAGTTTACAGAGGCTTTGAGGACGCTTTAAATGTTAAGGGCCATCACCTATTTGCAGCCCTGTGTGCCATTTCACAGTGTGCACCCTTTATTGTCAGCTGTTGTGAGCTGCTCCACAGCTACAGGTGTCACAATCTGTCTGAATGGGACACCTGCTGATTTCAAGCTGCAAAGTGTTGAGCAACAGTTATAGATAGGGCTGGGCGATATAGGAAAAAGTTTATCATATCATATCAGTCGATATCAACATATATATCACAATATAAAAAGTGAAATTAAACAGTGTTTATTGGTAGCATGTCTTTTGCAATACAATGAGCTACTGCATCTGTGAGGTCTTTGTGTCGCACAGTTATAGATAGGGCTGGGCGATATGGAACACAGTTTATCACGATATATTTTTTTCATATTGGTCGGTATTGATATATCATGATATAAAAAGTGAAATTTAGCAGTGTTTATTGGGAGCATGTCTTTCACAATAGAATAAGCTACTGCATCTGTGAGGTCTTAGTGTCTCTTCGACATTATGTCATAAGGCGTTTCATGTGTTAAAGTGCTATGGTTACGTGTAGCTGCAGCCTGCAACTGCGCAGTTGTTTGCTACTTGGTGCTAATTCAGCACATGACTGGTTCAGCACGAAGTGGACCCAAAGACACTCCCCTTTTCATTGGCTATTGGCTATATATACAAATAAGTATCACGATTTTTTGTTTTACAATTTTTAAATCGATTTTTATGTACAAAAACAGATTTTTTTTTCAGATTTAAGAATCAATCTTAAAAACTGACTTACATATGATGTGTATTTTTTGGGGAAATATGGTTCCTGGAATAGTCAGTAGACAATCATAATCATTCAACTGTATCACTGGTAAAAATGCAGACTAAAAATCAAGAAAAACAACGTTATAAAATCGCAATTTAAATCAAATCAGCATCCAAGAAATCGTAGAGGAATCGAATCGGGAGAAAAGCATATAGTCCCAGCCCCACCATTTGTATAGTCTACCAAGACATGGCAGAATGCAGACTATTGAAAAACATACTGACCATGTTTTATATTTATATTGAAGGAAATTCATTATCAATATATATCATTATCCTTTTATCGCCCAGCCCTAGTTACAGCTGTTAGTTAGACCTTTTCATATTAATACAAATCGACTATTGCAGCTTTACCCTATCAGAGCTTTCCTCACATATATACAGATTCTGGGACAGACGGCATATTTACAATTTCTGCTCCTTTCATCATGGCCTTGTCATCTTCAAAGAGGTTTTGTACTGCAATGTGACCTTCCATTTCACATCATCAATGTGCTCAGGATTCACTGGTTTAACTGTACTGTATGTTGTTGGAGTGATACCTTGGTTTCTGGATCATCACTTATAGTAAATAAAGGCTATAAGACAGACAAAAAATACTATAGCTTTTGACTTCTGAATCCCAATGTCTAAACTAACCCTTACCTGGTCTAGCCAGTCTGTTTTTATATCCATTTAGAAGCTTAGAAAAAAAATAAATCACTGGTTGCTTAGAGCCTCAGTGAAATCCATCCTCTAATACAAAATAGGAAAAGTATGTTTTACGTGCAAGTATGAATTTGGTATAAACAACACTTCTGTTACTATTAAATCCAGCATTTTCTGAGATAGTCCTTATTTCTTTTGCATATTCGATTTACATTTGTAATTTACAAGTTTGTTTTAAATGAAATGGGTCTTGTATATCTTACATGTTCTGTGTTGTAATAAACATCGAAGAGCATGCTTCTACATCTGTGTAAAAAAATCCATATACCCTGAAAACAGGACTAAATACTGTGATCTGTCTCAGAAAAGTGTATTTATTGTGTTTTGTACTGAGGCTATCCGAAGAATAAGAGCCATTTCACCTAGCTCTACATTCCACTTTTATGTGAGGATGGGTGTGAAATCTTCATAATAAAAATACCTGATTCCTCATTCTGAACTGTTTTCATCAGTCCACAGAGGACTGTCAGAGAAATGGTGTGATGTTTAGTGAATATGACACTTCATTCCATATTCCTCCCAGGTTAGACTCTATGCAGCTGTAGTAATGGAACCAGAAAAATATGCAGGGACAAGTAACACCAGAAAGAGACAGGGACATTTGCAAGTTTGCTTTAGAAGATATATAGATATATTTTTTTCAGATTTGAATATTAATGTCAAAAATACATACTATGATATACAGTTTGCACTACATCATCTTAGCATGACAGACGTCACAAGTAGTAACTGAAATATTAATTTAAATATTAAATAAACTGATGGTTAAGTAAACTGAGAGTGAATGTGTAAACACTAAACTAAGGTTACTCTTCCTATTGCAACACTTCCAATAAAGTGGTTCTGTAACAGTACAAAAGTATTAGAATATTACTATTTTCTGTTTCCAGTTACAATGAGGAAAAAAAGATCCACAGTGCACTTCTGATGTTCTGTTATGATGCTTTCAGTTGAATCTAGCTTGATTGCTTGTTCGACTTCTTTAGTGGTCCATGGTATAGGTTCTGTTTTTGGACGAGGGCATGGCGCTGCATCACAGTCTTCCTCTTTCATACACACTCCCTCTGCTCCGAGCTCAGGAATCACAGGGTAAGATCTGCCTCCACAACCAGTTCAATCAGTGTCATCTTTGAGATTTAAAACTAAATACCATTACAAGGCCTTGGATTGCATTTATAAAGAATAAATTGAGATTGAACATTTATCTATGATGTCTGTAAGACTTCCAATTAATAATTTGATTTCAAGCAAACAGAGTAAAGTTTCTCAAACTCTGCTGAATTTATTTAAGGTGTTTAACTGCTTTTGCAGACAATCACTGGTCTCTACTCTCCTCCCAGACGCTGGAGCAGACACACAGGAGAAGCATATCTGGCCTTCACCATCAGGAGAGTAGAATCTGAAACATTACTGTTTTATTTTTGAGCCAAACCTCTCTGATCTCAGCAGAGCACAAGGTTTCATTTCTGACGAGTCTCCCAGCCTCTTAGCTCCTCCTTTGTCAGTTCTGGGTGACAGAAAGGATGCAACTGAAGATTTTGGGCACAGGCCAGGAGAGTCTTGTTGACTGCTGCCCTTAAGTCTCTGCTCTTTTAGAGCCTTTCAGCTAACCACTGGCTGAGTTAGAGTCTATCGCTGGCATTGAAGTGTGATTGAAGATTGAGTCCCAGCCTGCCAGGCAGAGGGAGCGAAAGAGTCTTTCCTCAGCAGCGGGGGGAGAACGGTGGGTCAATGGGAGACTCTGTGAAGGACTGGAGCTCGTAGGCAGCACCACTGTCCACCTCCATGGACTTCCTGGAAAACAGCAAACGAATGTCCCTGTGGAGGTAGATCTTCCCAGACTTAGAGCTCTGGAACCTGGATTTGATCAGAAAGAGAGACACGTGACAGAGAGATGAATGAGAGAGCAGAAGCTTTACCACTTTACACAGCTCAACTATAGCAGTGATAAAAATGATAACAATAAATAGTGGCCATCTGACCTCAGGTGAACGAGGTAGCGTAAGGTGCGCCCATGGCCGAGGGCGAGGGGCTTCCTGCTGGTCTGATTGTTTGTGTCACGACGGACGGGAACAGAGAAAGTCCTCTGGCGTAGGAAGGTCTGATGTCCAGCTGGCATGGCTCTTAGGTCATACATCACAACAAACATCTTCACCACTGTCTTGTTGGGGTTGAATAAGGTCTGAGGGGAGCAAGAAGGACAGATTTTTACAGTCAGACAACAGATCCTAAGTGGCAGTTTGGAAAACATTACGTAAACATCCCACTTGACTTTACATCCTGACTGTGTAAAGTATAAAAAGGAAATTCCCTTCTTATTGAGGGTTAAATCAGCATCAATGAATAAAAAGACTTGCCCTGTTAAATGATACATCTCTAGTGCTACCACTAGGGGTCTCCCTTTCCTTCTTGTGTAATTTGCCCTTTGTTCACAGCAATGCGTACAAAATGCTGCAGATACCCCATGACATACAGAATTAAAGAAGAATTCCACCTCTTTAGACATTTCCTTACCACTTGAATGGTTCCTGATGGAGGTACACGGTAGCCCCTTTTCCCCAGAGACTCCAGGTTTATCACACCCTGTGAGAAAACACATGACAACCTCTGAGTCACATACACGCCTGTCAAGGGAGTACTTGCAAAGCTCACACACATATCAAGAAAGCTATTAGCTTCATGGTCAGCGTTACTCAGTGTTAAACAAACTGAATTATGGATGAACTGGCAAGAAAATAGCTGTTGTTACCATATAAGGTGATGGCGCGTTGTCATCAGAGACGCTGTAGAATGACACATCCACAGGTAAGGTCAGGTGACTGGGGCAGAAGGACCCACTGGCTCCAACCTCTGCTGTGAAACCCTCCACTGTCCCTAAAGGCTCCAGGCGATAGTTCAGCACACACTCCTGGAGAAACACAGTTCAGTTTGATTTCAGACATTCAAAATCAATCATTCAGACTTTTTATTCAAGAAAGACAGTCATACAGTGAGCACAGAAGTCAGGGGATAATTGGAAAACACTGATTGAATCACCAAAACATACAATCTGTAAAAGAACGGCCTGTCCTGACTTGGACGAATTCATTTACCTTTGCGAACATTTTGTTCAGTTTAATTTTGAGAGGATTGAAATGGCATTAAAAGAGAAAACTATTAAAACAATTAAAAAAAATGTTCTGATTATGTTTTACCTCAAAGTTCCCCAGCAGACTTAGACTGGCAGGGGGAGCGCTGGCACTGAACAGCTGTGACTCATCTGTGTATCCCTCACTTTTTGGACACACCCTAAAGGGTTAAAACACACACATACACACACACACACTGATCAACACATTTTATAAAAGGTTATCTTCAACATCTTGAGATGTTTATGTAACAAACATTCCTGCAATGAATGAACAGATCTGAGTCCAGGGGGAGATAAAATCACCTTTTTATGGTGTTTAAAAAATCCCAACAGGCATAACCTCAAAATGTTGCATCATCACAACTTAATAAAAAAAACAGGCATAAAATAATAATAATTGTGTCACGTTTGACAGTTAAAGATACGGGTCACATTTGTTTTCAATGACGCAAATCCCCCAGGATTAGAAGAACCCTCCAAATATCAAAACTGGCAAAGGTCTCAACCGATTCTATCGGATGAATTTTCCACCTCAAACGCTCAAATTCTTGTAACATCTGCTTTATCTAAAGCAGCTCTGAGTTGCCACCTACGCCTGCAGTGTGTAGGCAGTGCCACGAAGCTCTGTGTATTTAAAGCCAATTCAGCTGTGTCTGCCATTTTGAGCAAAATGTGTGTGATTGTGGATGCAGTCACAGTGCAGCAGAGCTTCAGCAGGTGGCAGCGTGAGAGGAAGAGTCGGCAGAACAGGGCTGACCTAACCTCACCATACAGAACAACACGTTCATTGTGTGATCTCTCAACATACAGACAATACTTCAAAAACTTGTTGTTGATCAAAGGGACGTCAGTGTGTGTCGGGAAAGAAACGTGCTGATCTTCTTTGTCTAATCTTATGGTTGTAGATGTTTGATAAATACTGGTGGGTAACTAACAAAAAGGACAACAAAGACGCCATCAACACAAAGTTTGCTTTGCTGGCACTTACAGATAGTAACAGCTGAAACGTTGCAAAGTGAGAAAACAAACAGGTTTTTTAAATTATGATGCAAAATATGAGTAACTTTATCCAGATGGCGCTACAATAAACAGATGATGTGGGAGGCAACTGAAAAACAACAACTCTTTGTCCATTTGACGGTCACTTAGACTACATTAAAGCTGTGAAAGTGTCCTGACAGTTTCCCTGTGAGCAAACTCCACAGCAGTCTAGTTAACTAGAGTGACACACAGATCCCAGGTGAGGAAATATCTACCTTTTCCCAGAGGCCCAAGGCAAACCCTTACAGCCAGCCAGAGAGGTGTCCAGGTCAAAGTAGCCTGTTTGATTTTTCCTCTGAGGAACCTGCAGCACACACACAGGACATGATTTACACAGAGCAACAGTCACCGTATCACATGTTAGAGCTAGGGCGACAACACACCTGTCTCTTTGTTGAAAACTTTGGTTAACAGGGTGAAATTTACAAGCATAAGCTGTCTAGAATCATACTATTACATACTAACCAAAAATGATATGTATTAAAAGAAAAATCACAATAGGTTCATCTGCTCTAGGAGATTCAATCACAACTATCAGGATGTGAGATGATGTGAGTTTGTGCGGTGGAGAGGCTGAGCGTTCTCATTTGTGAGTGAGACTGTTCAGACGACGGAAACCATGATGATCTAGGAGTGCGGTGATCTGACTAACTCTGTAAAACAACTTACTGATGAGGCACAAGATGACTCACGTGCCTTACTCACTCGCTGCCTGGTTGTATGTCTGTATGTGTGTGCGCATTCCTATGTTACAGTGTGTATATTGACCTTAGCAACAACTCGGTGGCCAGGTGACGGTAAAAACACCTGCCAGATATTTCAAATTCTCTTTCCTGTAAACATCCACTGGCCCACTTCTCCGGTTGGTGAAAGTACCGTGAGTAATACTTCAGATGGCGTTAAATAAAAGAGGAGCGAGCGTGGTGTTTTGATAAACACAGCTGCACTGACACCAGCGATGACTGAGTCAGTGACTGTTAGAGTGTGCCTGTGAGGCCGCCTGTGAAATCTAAAATGCATAAAGCAGGATCTGACTATGGCTGCCAGTGACACCATGCAGATGAGTGTGCGGGTGTTTCTTACAGGGCTGGAGAGCAGAGGCAGGCCCGTGCAGGGGTGGAAGGCCTTGGTTGCTGTGGCGTCTAATGAGTGGCGATTGTGTTTCTTCCAGCTGTTGCAGGGACGCAGGGGGGAGGGGCTGTGAGCTCGCTGGAGCAAAAGAAATGAGAGAGATTAAAATATTGCAAGTAGACGGGAAAAAACTCAAGTTTTCATTATTTTATGTTTTCAGTAATGTGTATGCCGCTTTGTAGCACATGATCCCAACAAAACATCAATATACATAGATCCATGTGTACTTCTGAGGAAGTTACTCAGTAATATAACTGAAATAAAAGAACAGGTTCACAGATATCACTGACTGAACTACAAATAAGCTGCTATTGTTGACTGGAGGGGTTACCTTTGCCTTGCTGAGCTTGGAAACTCTGAGATATCGCTGTTTCTAGACAGAAGCCTGTTTTTCAAATAGTTTTCTTTTAACCAAGACTTGTTTTTACAACAACAGTTCATTCTTGAGCTCCAGTTGTAACAATGGGTGAGAGGATTTGTTACTTTGGACAAGTGTTGTAGAACTTGAATCCACATCCTGGACTCCAATCCAAATCAAGTCTTGACTGATTTAGAACTCAAAAGTTGGAGGAGAACTCAGACCTTTTTCTTGACATAGCGATTGATTGTTGGTTTTTGTTTGTTTTTTAGTATAAGGTTTCAATAACTTTTGCACTTTTGAGCAAAGACTATCACATGTGTGTAAGCCTGCCTGTAAATTTGTACGCCACCTGATTCAGCAGCAGTTCCTTCCAAGATGCCCAAAGAGAAAACACAAATTGTGTGTTTTGTTTTTTAAAGATTTTGAAGTTTTTTGCACAAGAGAACAGAGCAACATATCTTATTTGTGAAAGAAGCGTTTCAGAGTCGCCAAGCTAGAAATTTCCAGGTCACAGTTTGAAAAGTAAAGTTAGCCTACTTTGACTGATTACGCTGCTGTTAGCAATACAGTAATGTTAACAATCAAAGTAGGTCAGAGATGTTTGCTTAGTTAAATCTGCGCAATAGCGGGTGGAAAGCAGGTTATCTTTAGGTTTTTAGACACCTGTAGTGATCCCACTGCAGCAGGATTGATGAGTGTGTCCCCACATTAATGAAAGAGCCTTGCACTCACAGCTCAGTGACTTCATCGATAATTTAGATCTCCAGACATGCTGACTGGATCAGTCAGACTTACATGTTAAATGGGTTTTCTGCACATCCAAAACGTCCCACACAGTGAGTCCAGATTCATTTGATGAAGAATTTAGAGTGGAACAAGCACCCTATATATAATAAATAATAGAAATGAAGAGAGCTCCACTAGGATTCTGACTCATGTAATGGGGACTCCACTTGGATCCCTTAACACGGAGTACTTGACACTTGACTGAGATTCAAGGTTTGGTATCTCGACTGCTTTGGAGAGCACATGACTGTCTGTTTCCAGTCTTTGCTTAAGCTGAGCTGACTACCTCATGAGCTATCAGTCTGAAACATAATGACACATGAAGAGTCTCTTACCAGAACAGTAGAAGGGGGGGTCATGTCTTGACTGGTGATGCTAGAGCATCCAAATTCTGAGGGTGCCTGGTTCTCATCCTGTGGGGTAGAGGCCTGGGCTGGTGCACATGTCTGCGTCTGCATCTGGTGCTGAGGCTGAGGCTTGCTGTGGCTTGTGTTACAGTTCACGGCTGGACTCGCATCATTGCAAGTCCAGCTAAAGATGTGGCCGTTCCTCTGGCTGTTCTCAAGGACAGTGGGGGTAGAGGGGGGTTCATGGCTGCTGGGTGTCCTGACTCTGAGTTTTTCCTGTGGGGGGGTTCGTAAACACTGACCAGCCTGGTTCTGGGACTGGTCTTTCAATGAGGGTTCTTCAAGTGTAAAGAGAGCACCATTTTGGGCCCGTGGTGAATGGCATTCGGTCCTCTGATCCACTCGGGACTTGTCTGTGCAAAAGGGCGCGTGTGTGGCAGCCGAGTGCGTGCTGCCTCTGTGAGGTTCGTGGCTTGGTATGTGGCCATTGGAGTAGCCGTTTGTGGCAGTGTGTGAGGCTTGTGGGCTGTGTGGGGTGTGTGAGTATGTGCGGACCGTGTGTGTGACAGTTGTTGTGTGCGTGTGGTGCAGAGGGCTGCCGCTCCTGCTGTGCCTGGGGGACAGAGAGGGGACAGACAGTCTCTCCTGGATGAGTCTGGTAATGTCTTGAACAGCTTGGGCGATCAGGGAGCTGTCTCTCTCCCTCTCCTTCTCCTTCTCCTTCTCTTTCTCTCTCTCCGTATCTCCGTTCCTCTCCTCCTCTAAGTCTCTTGATTCGGTCATCTTCAGCTTCCTGCAGGCTGCAGGTTTAGGGGAGGAGTTTTCTTGTTTGCTGTATGAAGTGTCAGTCACAGGTGTGTTAAATGGACTGGGCCATACTCGTCCCACAGACTCATAGGGCGGAACCTCAGGTTCTTTGGTCTTACTGGCAGTTATGTCATCATGGTTACTGCTCCACATGGCTTTGGGAGGGTTGTCAGAAGCAAAAAGACCAGGAGGGAGTGGCGGTGCTGTGGGGTCACAGAAGTTGAGCCTCTGTGCGATGCGGGCGATAACTTCCTGTCTCTCCTGCAGCAGCGAGCCAATCAGGGGGTTTGTCTCGGATGCAGAGGGCCTCGGGGACGGGCAGCGGGCTGGTTCAGCCAAGGAGAAAGTCTTAAACGCTCTCAGTGGCTCAGGGATGGGCCCCTTTGATCTGTCGCTGCTGTTGGTGCCAGACCCATAGTCCTCGACTTGTGTGGGGTCAGGGGAACCATTGAGAGTCGAGTACAGCCACTTCCCTGCTTTAGTCGAGGGGAGTGGAGAGGGGGAGTGGGAGCGGGAGGATGTAGGGGAATGAGAGGATCTGTGAAAAAGAGGGGAGCCCTGACGTTGGGGGATGCTGACCTGCGGAAGCTCTCCGTTCTGATACGTGTGGTCTTCGATGGGCTCCTGGCCCTTCTTGCTGTAAGAATGTGGCACTGCAGTGAGTGGAAGGCTGTTTATGGGGATGTTGTTGATGGGAAGATTAGGAATGGGTAACCCATTGAGGACAAGGCCAGACATGGAGTTGGAGCTTTTGCTGAACATGTTGGAGTTGTGATGGAGGTTATCTTTGCTGGGGTCCTGGCTCTTTTTGAGGTTGGGCAGACCGCCATGGGTGTTGAAGTTGGGGCTGAGGCTGGTGGTCTTGCTGTAAAGCGGAGGCAGGCCGGTGTGGATGCTGCAGGCCAGGGTGGGGTAAGTGGGTTGACGGGGGAGCGACTGGACGCGAACCTGGAGCGCAACACTCTGGGATACATTGGGCACGGGGAAAATGTGCTCTGAAGGCGGCTGGGAAAACTGCCACACCAACTCCTCATCAGCAGCACTGATCCTGTTAGACAGAGAGATTGAGAAGAGGTTCAACTCAGACCCCATCAATAAAAATGTGTGTCATAAAATATGGAGGAGTTTTACCTCCTCCAATTCAATTTTCAAAACAGCGCAGTACCTAACATTTATATTGACATACTTTCATAAATTTAAAAACAACATAACTCAGGATCAGGTTTCTTGGAGCTTCAATATTCCTCAGATAAAGAAATACACAGCCCACTGGTGTCAAAGTCTTGAGTGAGTGTTATGTCTGACCTGTACAGGATGTTTCTGGGGACGATGCCATGTGAGGCACTGAGCCAGGCGCTGAGCTGGGAGAAGAAAACGTAGGAGCGAACAGCCAGCAGCAGGGTCTTCTCCTCAATGAAGCGATCGCCGCTTCTATTAAAAACACAGTCATAAAGAGGTGGAAATGTGCCAGTGTGTCAGGTTAATGAGAAAACAGTTCAAGGATGTGTGTTATCAAACACAGTGTCCCTTGTTGCTACATATGACTGTAGGAAAGTGGGCCAACTTGTAAGGATACTTAACCCTTGTGTGCTGAGCCTCAGAGTGGGGTCTGTCTTTTAATTCTATTTTTTCTTTTAAGTGTCTCCATTCATTTTTTTTTTCATTTTCTGGATCCTTTTTTAAATATGTCTTCTGATCTGGTGGAGGAGGAAATGTGTGCATCTCTTGTTTGATTTCTTCCATAGTAGGAAATGCACACAAAAAAATGCAAAACAGTTGAGAGAGTGAGAAAAACAAACTAACACAACAGTTAGTCAACGCTCAGTCCCTGTGCAATAAACCTGCTGGTTAGACCTGTATACAGGAGTACATGTGCTCACTTGAACACACCTCCACAGGCACTGTTTAAGGCATTTTTCCTTTTTTTTTTTAGCTCTGTTTCTACTTTTTTTATGTCATTATTTTGACTGAGTTTAAAATAAACAGAATGTGTTTGCATTAGCGATGGAAACAATAAAGATAACAAGAGACAGCGATGTAGAATAGACAAAAGGAGCCATGAGTCACTGTAAACTAAACACAGTGTATCTCCTTTACACACTGCTGAGGAGAGGGGCCTTTGGATGACTCACTGATGTGTACTTGTCAAGGTTTGCATGCATTTGAAGAGTAAAGTCCTCCGTGTGTGTGTGTGTGTGTGTGTGTGTGTGTGTGTGTGTGTGTGTGTTCACGTGTGACTTACTGTCTGGGAACTGGCTGCAGGGTCCACCTCTCCAGCAGCAGAGCGTCTTGTTTGATGACCGGGTCGCTGATGGGGTCACTAGGGGGGCATTCGTCACCATAGCAACAGTCCGGCAGGAGCATAACCTCAATCATGATTGGGATACTGTTCCTCCAAAGCAGGATCACCTCAGAACGGGTTCGCCTCGCCTGCCGACACTGGACACACAGACAGCCACAGAGGAAGGTGGAGGGTTAGCGCTCGTTAGTGAATGTCAACACCGGGACCCTGATACTTGGGGTGAAGCAGATGGGGCCCAGAAAGAGCTGAACTGTAGGCTCAATGTCTCAGTTATAGTTTTCAGGTGGCATCTTAGTTCACAACATGAAAATCTCTCTTATGTGGAAGTTTATGGTATAAATGGGAGGGACTGAGTGCAGCAGTAGAAATATAATTCATAGTGCCTTTAGCTAATTGTAATATATTCATGACTTACATATTTAGGTGCTGTGATTAGGCCATATTTGTAAATTGGCATAAAATGTAAAGTTATCAATGATATCTGAATTATATAATATGATATTCTGGGTCTCATTTGATAAGTGGGCTTGGCTGAGCAGTTATAACACGTATGACGCAAATGAGGCAGCAACATCCTCCAGTTCCAAAATGAGAACAGAGTCACTTCTGTTTAAACATTTGGAGAAGACACGGGAGGCTGTGTGCACAGATGTGTGTTTGTGCACGTGTGCTACCTGGGGCAGTTTGTCGCTGCATTCATGCTTGTGAAGAGGCGGCATGGCTGACTGGGCCGGCGGACAGTGCAGCCCCTCGGTTCTGCCCTTCACAGAGTACTCTGGGGTCCGTCCCTCTGTGATGAGCAGGGTCAGGAACACCAAGAACTCCTCCGCATCATACTCGAAAAACTCTTCTGTTGCATCTGCACAAAGAAGAGAAACAGAGGGTCAGCAGATCTTTTTAAATCATTCCACATCCAAGCGGAGAACAGAGACAACTCTGCGGTAGCTCACAAGTAGACTCTATTTTCTCTACCCGGTGACAGTTGCTGGGCATTTTAACAAAACAACCAAAGAGAAGAGACACCTGAGTTGACGTGACAAGCACATGTCTCTGTTGACGCTTCTACTCAGGTGGAAACAGCTATTTAACTTTGGCTGGAAAGACTTGTTTAGAGAAGGGGTGTGGGGGAAGGCAGGGGATGACACAACTTTTCCAGCTTGGCCACTTCAAAGGAATATATTTAGACCTTCCCTGTCAGCTGAGCTGAGGGTGAAGCTCCGTCTCTTCATGTACAGTACACATAAACATACACATACAAGAATAGCCAGTGACGATGGTGATGTTATTCAAAGTCACTAATAAACAAAAAACAAACCAAAACACGAGGACAGTAAGGAGCAGAAATAGAACTGCACCACCCTTTGTTCCACCGATTTTGCCAGGGTGGAGTTGGGTGGGGCTGGTACGGTGACCAGGACTTGGCAGAAAAGAGAGGTCGTTCTCTATTCAGGAAGAGCTTATTCTCATCCAAACCAACACTTTTCAAATTAACTTCACTAAAGAGAAGGAGAGACCACTAACATGACACTTTTTGCTCCCCTTGAGCTTATCTGTTGTGCCCCTATTTCACATCAACCCAACAAAATGAAGCACATCTATCAGGAGGTAAGAAGATAGGGACTCCTCTTATGATAAGCCACTAATCAATTGCTGCTAAATGAAAGCTGTGTCTCGTGGTTGTCTCCTGCAAAAACAAAATTAACAAAGTCCTGCTCTGTTTGTGTTGTAATTGAAGCTTAGATGTAAAGCAGGGGTATTTTTAGCAGAAGGTTGAAGAGCCCGTCTTAACTCTCCAGCTCTTGCGCTCCTCCAGAGAAAACTTCCAGAATCCCACAGGAGGTCAGCTGATACAAAGCAGCTTGGAGAATCACACAAAACACAAGCAAAGACACGACGTGGAAGAAGCCGCTTGCTCTACAATCCCAGACCCTCCTCCTCCTCCTCCTGCTGCTGCTGCTGTTCTAATTATAGTCAAACAAATTTAGGTCACACTTTGTGGATTTTTAAAACATTTTTAATCATTTTTTAATCATACAGACATATAGAACCAGCCTGTGTTTATCCTACCAGAACCTGCCTGGCTAGTACAAAGTCCCTCTCGGCCTGCTATGCACAAGCATGAGCCATGAGCTGCTGCTGCATGTGTGTGTGTGTATATGTGTGTATATGTGCAGTGTACGTATTGCAGTCAGCCAGCCAGTCACGCACATTCCTCCTAGGGAACTCCTCCTACATGCCTTTGAGCTGCTGCTGCACGTGGAGAGAGGCGCAGTCCAACACAAAACATGAGGAGGGGAGGAGGGAGGGAGTAGAGGAGGGGGGTGGGGGTCTGTTAGCCAGCTGTAGGGTGAATAAGTGTAGGGTAATGGAGACAGAAAGAGAGGCTATATTCAGGGACAGCCTCCGTTTATTTATGGGCGGCAATCGGTATAGAATTCAACAAAGACAGCAGAAAACCAACAGTGAGAGTTCAGAGGAAGACCACGGAGGGAAATTTATGATTCAAATGAAGTATCTGGGTAAAGACTGAATCATCTTTATAGTCTGTATGAAACACTCCTATCTAACACGATATACTCCCAAAACAGAGAGGAACAGGTTTTCAGTCCCTGCTCCTATTAAGAGGATTTGGGTTAAAGGTGATGCTTCATGAACGAGGTGAGGAACAAATAAGAGAGGAGGCACGGAGGGATGAAGGGAGGGAGGCAGGAGATTGATAATGGGAGCAGAGAAAAACAGCCTTGGAGAGAGGGTGGGTTACACAAACCCCCCCTTTAACACACAGATGCACATACAAACGCATACAGATGGAGCCTCGGCGCACAGAGGGTGTCAGATTGCTACTTTCTAGGAAAGGCAACTAAGGAACACGTACATACACACCCCTTATACACATAGAAGAAAAACACATATGTATGAAAGGACTGATAACATGCAAACGCACACACACACGCACGCACGTGCAGCGCAGGACAAAGGACTAGTGATGGAGGATTTAGTTAAGGGGCCCAGCAGCCTCCGTACACGCATAGATGAGAACTGTCATTCTTTAGGGCGTTGTGCCTGAATAGAGCATTCCTCTGAAGCCTACACACACACACACACACACGCACATACAAAGCCTAAGTTAAAGCTGGGAGGTGATCAGAATGCATGACATGAGGCAGGGATGTGGGAAACATATAGACATGAAAAGAGAGCGCTGCATTTAACATACAGAAGACTTTTTTTAAAACTGAGACCTGGTTTGGGCTTAGATTAAAACACGTTTGATCTAAAAATATCAAATATAGTATATGATCAGGAAAACTGATTGTGATATTTGGGTTAAAAAACAAAGAAGCGATGTTTCAGTTCTGTAAGACGATGCTGGGTTCTTGAGAGCTGGTTGTTTATTGTGTCTGGGGTACAAATAGTTAACATCATTTGGGAAATTTGTGTGATAATCTGTTTACCAATCATTAAGCTTTACAAGCCAGGCACAGTGTTCAATCCTGCCTTTTGTGTCCCCCCTCCTCCTCCTCCTCCTCCTCCTTCTCCTCTCTTCTCTACTGCACTGTGACCAATCCATCCCTGATCCTCCATCTCTGTAAAATGTGGAATCTGTCTCTTATCCACCCAATGTTGTATTTCCTGAGTTTATGATTATAGTTTCTCTACAATGTGTTTGTTTTTCTTCTTGCTGTGTGTACAAAATCCAATTATTCTTTTTTTTCCTCAGTCGTGTGTGTAAACTTCGCTGCTCCCTCTTGCATTCAGGCTTGAGAAGAACCATAGCAACTACTAGCTCCACTTGAGAAATGCAAACACAAAAACATTTCAAGCAGGAAAACACAGCAAGGTTTAGGTCCACGGGTTCAATAATAAGAAGCTTTGCAGAAACATCCTGCACTTGACAGAACCAATAACATTACACTCAACACAACACAACACAACACTGATCTTTCTCTTCTCATGTGTGACCTCTCCTCCATCAACCGATAACGTGTGATGTGAATTATGTAACAGGTTGGATTTGGATTCTGGCGTCTTATTATTAGACCTGTGACTGCCTGCCACTAAGTGCAGCTGGAGTCCCGCCTACCGATTGGTTAGTTCTGCCTGTACACGCTCACACACACACACACACACACACACACGCTGTCAGGCAGGCACACACACCTCTCAGCTGTCTCGGTGTCCTCGGGCCAACAGATCAGTAAAGAGTCATGTGGGATGGAAAAAGGCCTGCAGGACAAGAGTGGAGGGGTCAGCCTCCATAGCCAACACAGCGTTCTCATACGCACACACACACACCTCTGCACACACTTATACACACTTAGTTTGGCGTGATTCATCATTACCTAAGAGGGAAATGAAACGTCAGCGCCTGGTCAAAACGCTGATGACTTATGATGATTATGTTACCGAGTGTGTTTGACGCTTTTAATTTGAATACGTGTTGCTGGGATCAAGTTTCACATTTTGCGCACAGTTGTGGGTCCATTTTCACAGAGAGACAGATGGGAAGAGGAGCGCAAAGTTGGAGACGGATACACAGACATTCAGATAAGCCGACCCATTAATCTGTGCACTGTGGACACACAATCACTGCCTGGTTGTCCCTCTTTCTAAAGCAAAGCTGCTCTGCTCTCCGCACTCATTCACACACACACACACACACACACACACACACACACACACACACAGACACTCACAGCTAATTTGAATGCTGTGTAAGTACCCATATGGTGAAAAAACAGTCCAATCCTCCTCTGCACAGCTCCAGCAAGCTCCCAGTGTGTGTCATTTGTTTATGACCATGTTTCATTTAAATGAAACAGGAAAGGCATTAGAGTCTTGCTCTCTTCTCATTAGTGGTACATCTGCGCTGAGAGACAAAGGCCAGTGGCAGATGAGACAAAAATGAGAGTCCCAGATCAAAGACACGACAGCGATGAGCTTACCTAGAAGAGGGCGACTGGTTATAAAAAGATAATATGAGATAATAGACTGCAGGGCAGCAGTCAGAGAGCTGAGCGTACTTCAGAGGGAGAGAGGCAGAAGGTCTGTGCAGATACTGGAAGAGACAGACAGAGTGCTTTAAAGGGCAGATAGAAAACACGCACAGTTACTTGAAAAGGCAGACAGGAAGTCATAAAGATGATGTTTCCCGTTAACTGTCTGTCAAGCCAATTTCACGCAAACGTTCAGATTCTTGCAAAAACCAAAGAGAAATCAGTGGCATTTACATCAGCCGAGTTGATGTAAAATCTGAGCTTACTGAATGTCACAACACATTCACAGAGTCTGTTATGGAACAGCAAGTTATTCACATCACATATTTTTTACTGGTATTGAGTCTCTGTTTCAACTCCATTTAGAAAAAAACAAACTCTGCAAATCTTCCCACTGCTTTTGTTAGAAAACATGCTTGAAGTTAGATAAATAAATGAGAGTTTTCCCTCTTTATGTAAAAAAAAAAAAAAAAGTCCAGACACAAAAACAGAGAAAGCAAACTGACAAAAAAAATTGAACTAAGTTATGCAAAATGTCTCAGTCAAATATTCTCTTCTCCACTAAAACACTGTATTTACTGGTTAAACAGTTGCCAGGCTGGTCCAGATGAGTTAACTTGTAACTGCATCAGCCTAGTTAACATCCTGTGACTGGCTTTTAAAGCATCTGTCCACAGCGACTGTTGTGGTTTTCTGAGCAAGATGATAAAGCCCCAAAGTGTCCCAGTGGGGCTGAATCAATTTTCTCAAGATGAATAATTAATAATCTAAAAAAAAGTTCAGAAGTCTGAACTATTTCTTTATGAAAAAAAAACGTGCTGCTGCAGACACACCAGAAGATTCCTCACATTTCTGGGATGCTCTTTTTTCAAAGGCATTTTCTCAAAGACCTGAAGCCTTTCCATTAAGTGGCCTGTGTGTTTAAGACATTTCAATGCAGCTTCAGTGCAGCAGAGACAGTCTGCTGAGATCACCGAGGTGTGTCGACTTAGCACACAATGGTATCTACCTCCCTCTGAAAGGAACCAAACAGCAAAGCTTTAACCTTACTGTCTGCTAATTCTTCGTTCTGATCAGGTACAGCACAAAGATACAGGGATGACAAGTCAAAGGAAAATCTTTGTTGTGCCACACCCAGTCTGAGCTAAAAATGTAGAAAATAGATGCACGGAAAATGGTGATGTTGCAAGAGTTTGACCTTGAACCATGCATGAATATGCATTAGGGCCCGACCAATATGGATGTCTTGCCGCTGATGCCGATACCATCATTAGGGGGGACAAAAAATCTGGTTACTGATTAATTGGCCAATTTTTTTATGAAGTTATAAAGTTATCTTATATAAATATATATATATATATATATATATATATATATATATATATATATATACTGTAGATATCAACAGTATACTATAAACTTTACATGTATTACCGAATGATCAAACTCGGACCACAAAAGCATTTTCAACTGAAAATATCGGCGAAAATCTGCAAATTTTGGCCGATTACTGATTAGTCTCAAACAGGCTAAAATTGGCTGATTTAATCGGCTCGCCGATAATTCGGTCGGGCCCTAATATGCATACGTAAATCAGCCTGAGTCTATGAATGGAACTTGATGCCTTTAATGAAAAATGGTTATATAATCTGTTCTCTGTCATCCGCATAAACACGAATCTAAGCTGCATCAAACAGAGATCAAAGTAGCTGAGACTGAATGTGTTAAAGTGTAGGTAGCCGGAGCAGAAACAAAACAAATCTAAATTTAAAACCAGCCCTGTTGCCCTCTTACTAAAAAAAAAAACTATCATGGTGCACGTGGAAAATAGTGAAGACACCTACACATGTGTAAGACAGCTTTTGAGATTGTGAGAGAACTACAGGAGTACAAAATAACAAGTTCTTCAAGCTGTAGGAATAACAAAGTGAGTATGTACTGTATGTTTATTTTCTCAACAAAACGTGCAGTCCAAACACCCACACACACATACATGCACGTACAAACAGCTGCACTTCAAAAATGATACTCAGAGGCAAAATAGGAGATTACTGCAACAGTTCTACCACGCTAAATCTCCTTACTTCAGCGCCCAATTAGATAAATATAGGCACAGTTTTGTTGTCCTCATTTTCAGTTGTTCTTGCCCTGTGCTGGTTTCTCCCTTTATCTATATGATGACTTCTCAACATGGGCGCTGCTAACAGACACCGTCACAAAGGACTAACGCAGTGAACGCCTCAAGTCACACAGTATGGAGTGATAAAAATAATTGCATGACTGTTAGGAGAGCTCCAACAGCGACAACTTGCCTAAACGCTGACACATCTGCAGTTCTGTGCTGCTCTGATTTCTATGTGCTACATTTTGGTGGAGAAAGCTACGGTTTTTAATGTTCAAGTGCTCCCTCTTTTCACAGCACAGAGCAGACAGCTCAGCGATTTTTTTGAAAACAACAAAGGGACTCCCCTAAAATTCAAACCACTAGGCTGAGCTTTTGAAGGCTGCCAGGACGTCCAATATGTGGATATTCCCAGAGGACGGGAGCACAGAGACATTTTCAGAGTATTCAAATGCAGTGGTAGCAAAGCAGGTGGCAGATTGAAAGTGTCAGCAGCTCCTGAAACTGCATTTTACCACTCTGGGAATTGTTTGCAACTTTGTCTCCTTCTGTTCCACGGCCAGTTCTGCAGTCCGACTGACTATATTTGGAGACCAGCTGGTCTTCCACACCAAATAAACTGCGTCTCCTTTCTCTTTTTTAATAGCAGATAAAAGCTGCGTCATCTTTTTCTTTGAATATGAGCTCTTAACCATCTCCTCTTTCCTCAAAACGAGGATGATACTCCTAACATCCTGTTTTAACACGCCGAGAGAGACACTACATGACAGCGCGCAGTCTCCTCCAGTCTCAGTATGTTCTGTATGCACTCATGCTGTGTGTGTTTTAAGCATCATATGACAAAATCTACAATGCAGCCAACTCCATAACCTTCTGAGCATTCATTGACATACCCTCATCTGTTATTCAGGACCTGTTATGATTACATAACACTCATTAAAGAATTTCCATCGAGCATTTTTCTAGTAAACAAAACTGTACTTGAATAGCAGCATAATGAATGTGCTACCAACAAATATCAATGATACACTAGTGTTTTTTTTGTTTTTTTCCAGGGCTAGAAAAGTGCTGATGCTTTCAAGATTTCTTGCTGAAAGTCCAACCTGGTGTGCAGTGTCATGGTGTTTAATTTTTAATTCTGACAGCTCTGGGGTGAGCCAACACTTCTCTCCTGTCTTTTTATGTCCCTCCTAACGGTGCCGAAGAACCAAGCGGTCAAAGAGGGAGTCTTGTGGTGTCTATTTCTGCAGTCAGCTGTTTATCTGTGGTGTTTTCATGACTTCACGCTGATTGTGTACACAACTTCCCACGGTGAAAACAGGTAGCGTAATATAAGTGATGATCTGGACAGCTCAATAAATGTTAGTTGAGAGGAGTGGATACATCATTAGCTGGCAGATGGCCTACCTCAAAAACTAATAAATTATAATCATCATTGACCACATCGCCTAAATCATGGAAGGGTTATTCTAAAATGAAAAAGTACAAGATCCCTGGAAAGAAGTGACTGCAAAAACAAGAGCACACTATCTCTGTACAGTTCAGGGTTTCTACAGTTATATCTAGCAAACATACAACTGAGGGTGTTGGTATTTAAACTGGGCTGAGGAGGTTTACATGTTTCAAAAACTTACATTTATTGAAAAACTATTCCTTTTTTTAGCCTTTACATCCGAGGAGATGCTACAAAACAGTCATCTTTCTCTCTCTTTCTCTGCCTCTTCAGTGCAGCTGACCTGGAGGACAGTGATCAATGATCACAACTGTTCAAAGAAGAAGTTTGGTGGGGGGTTGTTACCCAGGTGACAAGGGCCTAGTGTTGCACACCCCTGTCAAGTTGATAGATGAGTGTCTGCGTGTTGTGCTCATGTGAGTCTTCATATGAGAGAAGGTGTGTGTGGTGTTGTTGTCCTCTTTGAGTGTGTGACGTAAAGCGGGTATATACAGCATATGATTGTTCTGCTTAGTGTTAAAGCACGTCTGCTGTGCTCGGACTGTTATGTATACTGAGATGGTCTGTTGTGTCTGTCTTCTTTGTGTGTGTCATTGTTGGATGTTATTCAAAGTGTGTCTCAGTGTTGATTCTACTCAGATTAAAGCAGAGATTTGCTGCTGATTTCCATTTTTAATAACAGGGTCAGCCGCCTCTATAGTGTTTTATAACACGGCGCAAACGCAACTGCCAGCTCACCTTTCCTGTTTTTGTCTGCCTTGTGTTACAGCAGTCAAAAACACTGGAAGTGGTTGCCAAGTCTGCCAAGAACATGGACATGTTTTTTTTTTTTGCCAGAGGACTGTCGAGAACAGTGAGAACAACTTGGAATGAAGAGCTGAGCTGGATTTGTTGAAACTAAACACATCACAATAACTGCTTACATCATAGATGACCCAGATATTTTCCTCAGAGACGTACTTCTCAAAAAAACTTTGAGCTTTGTTTGTTAACTACTTTGTCATACCAAAAAGTTTAGTCACAGTCAGAGTTCATGTCTGTCTTTCAAACTTTTCTATTATCCTCCCTTTGGATTACCAAAAACATTTCTTCAAAACTATGGACTTTGGATCCCTGACAACTGTGTGTCCCTCTCTCCCACTCTCCAACACAAAGGGGCAGATTCACAGCACACATAGCAACAGGCCCTGATTGGCTAAGAGGCGTTAGCACAGCTCCAGCTGAGGAGAACCCTTCTTCTGTCCTGTGAACTCAGCTGCCATTATTCTCCCACAGCTAACAAATAAACTAATACACACTCGACCCAGACTGACACACCACCTTGCCCTCTCGCTCACACCCGTCATTGTCAGGGACAAACAGAGCTGTTGTTCAGAAACTGAGCAACTCACATACTGGTGAAGTCACATGGTAAACAAGCTCTGGGACTGTGGAAAAAACTTTGCAGTGTGAGGCCTTGACGGACAAAAGTGATCTCAGCTGATGTGGGAAAAATAACTTAGCTCACCTCATATTTCTTCAACTCATTCGCACTTTTTTCTCTCTTTTTGGTTACAAGAGCTTCCACACCAACTGGTTAAGTTTCACCAGACAAACCTCGCTATACTGCTCATCGAACAAACTACTGCAGTAACCTTTTGCTGAGTTCAAGCACACGAATCCAGTTTTTAATCACATCCTACAGTATTAGATCAGTACTGAAATGATGAAATTACTGCTAACAATGGTAGCCTATCATGGTTAGGTAACCAGCGCTGAAAGAGAGCCAAGAGTCTGCAGGGCTTTTATTGCCACCACATGCTGAGCAGGCTGATCTGGAGTTAGACACACACCTTCAACCAGACAGGATTGGTAAAAAAAATATGATCAGCTGCCGTGGTCCTGCACACTGTCTCTGCCTGCCAGCTACTGACCATAATGATATTCAGTATGCTCTCTCCATCTTTGACAACCATAGCAACTGAAGTCCAAGAGCAGGGTACTCAAGACCCCTTATTATTCAGATGAGTCACTGGACGGCCTAAAGAAAAGGAAACCTGTTGCATTGGGCTGCTTCCAAATGTAAATGCATTAGGCTGAGTAATTGCCAAAAAGAGCGGTACTGAAATATCTGCCATAAGCTTAATTCAGACTACAGGCTGATAAGTTTGAACTTATCTGTATAAACAATAAGGCAGTTATACTTGTTAGTTAACTGCCTGAAGCACATACCACATGTCCTCTTACATTTTCCCAACATTCACCATGTCTCTCTTCTGATCTCTACTCGTATTTCCTGAGATGCCAGAAAAGAAAATCCAAAAGCAGTGACCTGCGGTTTTCTTTGCCCTTTTTTGACCCGACTTGCACATACTGTAGCTGGGACCCCTAAGCCCCTGTTATCCAAGCAAGAGCGGGCCTTCACAGACTCATTGTTCAAGTAATACCTGTTATGTAATGTAGAGTGGTGTGAGAGTACAAGACAAGGTGGGTAAAGTGCGGAAAAAAATAAACCTTGTTGAGCCATAGAAATAACGCAGTCAAGCCTTAACTAATTTTATCTTTGCGCCGTAAGGCTGCACTGGAAAAGCCAGAACTTCATCTCAATGAATAGAAACAGTTATTTAAAAGCAGGCTTCAGCCTCTCCCAGCATGCAGACATTTTACCTGATGAATAGAGTTCCTGGTGTAATGGACTGTGCTCTGTTTGGATGCTTTCAAAAGAATTTAATCCTAAAATTAATTGTTACCAATTTGGTGGAAAAAAAAGAGAACTTTTTAGATTTGTATTGAATTGGAAGTGACATGTGAATGCAGGTATTGTGTAAAATGTATAGACCAGCAGACAGACAGAAACTGTTGTGAACAGCTCAAACTAACTGGGTATTTTTGCTGATTGCATTCATGAAGAAGTAAGAGCGCACTGTATGTTTTTCTCATGTCATGAAGGCACTTAGAGACAAAGTACTTAAAGTTTCAAATGTAATACACTTTTTGTATGTGCAACACCACAGAGAAGTGAGGCACATGTTTTAAGTGAGGTGCATTATCAAGAAGCCAAAAGCTGACCTTGTGGCACTTCCTCTTACATTAATGGTGACTGATAATAATCTTTAAATGCTCCGTTTGTCTTTTATGTGCTTTCATTCAGTGGTATTTGATGAAAAGTAACTTGTCAGGTGATGCTAAGAGTGCGGCGGTGTTCTGTAAAGTGATCCATTCTTAACTGAGCGTGCTCCGGGTGCAGTGACATAAAACAGCTGATGCCAAAGGTGTTATTGCGTGTCAGATGGCGAGCTCCAAAAACAGTGAGCTGGATTGATTTCATACAGGAAAAAGAGACTGCCACTTCAAAAAAAATAGTTATATCAGACACACCCTTAAGAGCATATTTACATCCTCCAAAAGAAGGACATAATTTCTCATTCTGCAACTTTCTTAACTCTCAGCATCTTTAGGGTCTCCTTGAGCAACTCCTGTTTCCTTTCAAGGCAAAATCTGACGCTTCATCATGACCATCGAGCAGTTTAAATTTCGGCAAGCTGGCTAACGGATGCCACAGGACACTAGGGCAGTAGGACAGACAAGCCTCTCTCTGTAACCAGAAACCCTCTGTCTGAGTTGAATGTACAGGCCTCTGACCTCTCCTCTGCTGCCCATGCCAATTTCTAGTAAGGAGAGTCCGTATTGAGCAACCCGAGCAGCATAGCTCCAAGGCCCACACACACACAGACACTAAGTGTGTCAGTTGTAGCACAGGCAGTTTGAGGTGGGTTGTGACTGGAATTAACCACCTGGGACCAGGAAGAACAAGGTCACACTCTTGTCTCTGTTGTGGAAAAAAGTCTTCATCTCTATTCGTGGAGCTGTAAAAACGGTCTCGTTTGTCGTCACACCTTTTTGGCGCATCTCATTTTTAATGTATCTATTGTTATCTTAGCTGATCCTTTCAATCCTTTTCCTAACAGGACACAAGAGAGCGTCTTTACCCCCCACATTCACAGCCAGCATTTATTAACTGAGCCTTCAAAACAAAAACCTAAAGTAAAAAGCAGCTGAGTGAAAGGAATATGAAGGAACATTAACCCTGTTTAACAGGACAGACAGTCTGTCAGCTGCTTTGGTGCAGTGATGAAGCAATACTGGGGGTGATAGGGGATTTAGCAGAGTCAGCCTGGAAGCACTGAGATGAGACAATGGAGAAAAGGAAAGAGGATAGTTGTGAAGAGTTTCCAATTAACTTTAGCTCATGCAGTTGTTAATAAACAATGTGCTTAACTCCTCCACAAGGAGCCCCTGGGGTACTCTCTGTTAACACTGAGCTCAGACTGGGAGCTGTGTGTGTAGTGATTCTGTGACTTTAGAAGAGTAGATCGCCTTTAAGGTGGATCAATTATTGCTTTTTGATTATCACCTAGTTGATATCTGATTTTTCTTAATCGTACAAATTGAGAAATGTAAGAATCGAAGAAAACAAAAATGCTTGTTACCCTGCTTAATGCTTAACACATCTTTTTATCTTGTCCGCACTCCAAACTGTGGTTGGACATTAATACTTCTTTCTCAATCATGGTCTGTTAGTACTACTCCCCCACAGTACACTGTCAGCATGGGAACACAGAAAGAAGATGAGATGTGTGTGTGTTGTGTGTTGGTCTGGTGTACGAAACTGATTAAAGTGCTGGCTTACATCACACCGAGTGGTGTCTGGTAACAGACCTTAAAAGCTAGAGAGGATCTGAGCCCTGTCAGGCCAATGAAGACTCTCTGTCGAGGCTAAAACTAACCCCTCTCAGCTTGACAAACCCTTTTTTTCATTCATATTTCATATTCGACAAGAAATACTGTTTTGGAAACTACATGAAGCTCATGGTGCTTAGAACTGGGCTGAAAACCAGATCTTTCACAGAGGTAGTCTGTGTCAGCGTGATTACCCATGTACGTTTTAGATAGATATCAGCAGAGCTCCAAAGATTTGGTGTAGGGCTGAATGATTAATTGTATTTGTCATCACATCACAGTGTGATAAAACATGATTTTCTAGCCGCAAAGGCTGCAATTTTGACCGGTCAAGTGATCTGATCACGTGATTTGTGAGCAAGCAGAGCAGGTAGAGAGAGAAGTCAACATTGTACTCTGTGGCAATGTGGCCTAATTCCGCAACAGAAGCTGACACTGCAGCAAGTTAAGTGCCAAAGAGGGGCAGCATGGCAGTTGTGTGGATTTATTTTGGCAAAAAAAGATGCTGCTGTGCAACATGTGCAAAACCTGCTGTTGCTACATCAGGAGGTCACAATACGAACGTTTATCAACTCTTTAAAAAAACGCAACAAAGCTATATACGATGGTTGAATGGCTAAAACACCAGCAACCAGCGCTTCAACTTCAAACCACGTCAGCATAATGATGGAAAACTCATCCAATAGAGTGATGGAGGCAGAGCTGAATGGATAGCATGTGTGTGCGCGACAGTGTGTGAGCAGAGAGAGCCTGTGTGTGTGTGAAATGATAATTGCCAAAAAGAAAAATTTATGTAAAATTATTCTGATATTGTTTACTGTGATACAGATTGATTATCGTTTGTTTGATGAAAAACACATTAGAAGAGGACCTTGAATAAATACCTGTATATTAAATCGCAATATTGCGGAAAAAAATCACAATTAGATTATTTTCCAAAATCGTTCAGCCCTAATTTGGTGCCAACCATATAGAGTTTTAAGACATATTTGTGGGATGGACAACAGACATAGTAAGTCGGACCCAAGTGGGAACCTCTGGTCTGTATCCATTAGTTTAGTGTTCACATGTTCTCAACAACCACTTTCAATGACATATGATTCTCAAGAAACCATTTTCAAGTATTGCTTTACACAGTCTGTTAATTTTTTTTTCTAGTCGATTTTAAGAGTTTAGTGAGTGAGAAAAATAAGGGATGTGATCTGAACATGGGCAACATTCAGCTGCTACATAAGAGGGAACATCCAGTCCTGTAAAGTACTAAAAAGATGGAGGGTCCATCATTACTGTGGGGAAAAAAATCTAAATGGATTCTTAGGTATTAACAGGTAGTCAGTTAGTAACAGGTATCTCACTCTCTGTAAAGGGTTCAAACATTTACTTGCTCTTGCTGGGTCAAGTTATGTCCAGTTGGACTCATGGACATTACCCGAGCTTTGCACCTGGGAGGTGGAAATATATAACTATACTGTAACATTGTGAACATCAACTAAGAAATGCACAGCAAATCAAGCATGAACATGTCTTTAAACTAATGTATCTGTCAAACCTTGTTTTCTCCTTTTCTCTTTCAGTAGTCTGTGATAGTAAGTCAGCTCCGCTGTATTTCTGCCAATATGCTTTTTGTGGAGATATTGTCAGCAGATAGTCGTGGAGGTGTGAAGTGTTGAGGTGTTAACAGCAGCTGAAGCCTATGTGATGTGACTCAGAGGATAGAAGAGAACAGGAGAGAAGAGCTAGATAGGAGAGGTAGAAGAAGACCAGTGGAGCAAGGACTGGAAAAGTTCATTCACTTCAAGGTCAGCGAGACAAAATTGCCTCTATGAGGTGCTCTCTGCTGACAAGTTGCATGTGAAGAGATGACCACAAAGCTGTCATTAGACTAGAAACTTCAAATAGAAGGAAATGGTATTTTTCTGAAACACTCAGGCACGAGTGCCTGTCTTTTCTTGACTATGGGGTTTCTAGGGCTGGCATACTATTCCCGCAGAACTTACAGTAGATCCACTTATTCCACATAAGGGATTAAGACTCGAGAGTAAAGTAGGATGCACTACAGAGGTCACAAGGAATTAATATAATAATATCTAAGCTCCTTCATTCAGACTTTTCTAAGACTCACAGGCACCTTGAAGAGCAGATACAGGACTTAGCGACAAGGAATCAGAAAATATCTATGGCAGTCTGGCATAATAAGTTCAGACAAAATAATCATTCCACAACAAAAGCACTCCTACCAGCAGAAAACCACCAGGTCCAGATGGCTCTTCCTGTTCCTGCAGAGACGGCAGCTAGTTGGCTATGAGGAACCACAGGGGCGGGAGGATGTGACGAACATTTAAGCCATGACATCACTGGCTCAGTGGCACCCTGGCAGTCGAAATCTGACCCACGCTGCTTCTCCCGGCTTCAGCCAGCTCAGCGTTAAGTCTAGAGTGTTTATTTTGATGCGTCGGTACAGTCTGTTAACCCTGAGTCGCTGTAACAGATACGTACATCTGCTTTAATGTCTATATCACTATCACTGAAGTGATGATGAGCATTAAGCCAATAGACGCAGTGTACAAGTATCCTTATAAAGTATGAATTGATCTCTGTACGTGTCCTTACAAAGGGTCACTGTGCTAAATGAAAAGCTGTAGCGTTTCGCAAGATGACTGCTGGACTGGGAGGACTGGGTGTCCAATCCCATGCAGTGGCTCGGCATGGCTAGGCTACTTACAGTGAAACCTGTCACAACAGCATTGATTTAGGCTGATTACTCCCAGGGCCAGGGCAGTAACTCACAGCTGAATGCCTCCCCAGTATTGGTATTCATTGCGAAAGGCAGCACTGAATCTCGCCGCACAATGGGGAGTCCAATATCCATGTTCAGTACAGCTGGGTCAGCAAATGGCAGTGGTGTTGAATTGTAAAGGCAATACGGTGCAACACTCAGACAGGTTGATGCAATTAATTTCTTCTGCAAGAGTGTGAATGTGTAAAGAGAATAGAAAAAAGCAATTGCCCCTTTATAATTAATGTGCATTCACTTTAAAGTTTTCAAAGAGGTTCTTCTCGTGCTAAGTTTAGAAGAGAAATAAAAGATTTGAACACCAACCTACAGTGGAGTAAAAACTTTGAGAAATAAGACTCATGGTACAAATCAGTCCATCAAGAATGAGGAAAAACAAATATTGAAAATATTGTGAAATGTAAAGAAGGACTCAGCGTGCTGCATAGCACCTGTTGTGGCTGCCTTCTGCTCAAAGGTAAATCACTCCTGAGTAGGAGGAGGGGGTGGCAAAGGGAAAACAGGACCAGACAGGTGCTGTTCAGGACAACAGTATAAGTCATTCTGTGTTATCTAGGCCTCTCGTCAGTGAGAGTGTATATTCTCTGATCCGCTGGCATGTGGCTGGGACATCTCAGGGCAGCTGTAATCTGGCTGAGCGCTCGGCTCGGCTCGGCATAAGGCAGCCAGTGGAGAGTACACTAGGTGGGGGGTGGGTGGTGAACTTTACTCAGCTCCTCTATAAAAAGACCGAGGGCTCCAAACAGGAAGTACAACCTCCAAACAAACACACCAAATAATCATACAGAGAGCAGGAGCAGAAGCAGGAGTGGAGCGCTGCTGAAGTGTGACTCCAACATGACTAGCTCTGAGCTCATCTGAGTGTTGTTTAATGTGCTGCTGAGTGAGAGCTGTGGTTAAGAACATAAAGGAGGAGGCACTGAGCCATCTTTCTTCAGCGTTTGCTCATTTATTTCATCATATGACCTCACTACATCATCTTATGCAAAACTGTTTTATTTCTAATGTCTCCTAAGCGATTCTGGTTGTAAAAATGACCACAGGAGAGCAAAAACAGCCTATTTTTATGTTGTAAACAATTCCAATGTGGTTTTGAATCAACTTTACTTCTTCTGCATGTGGATACAACACTAAAACAAAATGACGTCTTTAAGGATACAAATCAAGCCCAGTCTAACCACACTTGAGCTGAAACGCTCTGACAGGCTGTGTTCTTCTTCTGATTGGTGTAAACAGGTCTGAGCTGAGTTTTCCAGAGCCACTCTTTATGGGACCAGTAAAAGCTTTCGGTTGAGCCACATGGTTTAACAGTACAACGCTTATTAGGGCCAATAGCAATCTGTTGTGTGCTCTGTGACACACTCACCCCTCTCTTCACACCAGCATACGCACTCGCACACACACGCCATCCCAACTCATAGCTCGAATAAGTGGAAAACAAGGGGGTCAGATGACTTTGGTTAGGCCCCTAAGCAGGACATAAGTGCTCCTCTCCTCCTTTTATAACAAAAGCACAGTTTTCCCAAGTGCAACAAAAATATGCAGCGCAAAATTTCTGCTCTTTCAGTCAATTAGAGGCTGTTTTGGATGGTGTATACAACACAATTCTTCTTTGGTGTTTGTAGGAACACGCACACACCAGCATTATTACTACCCTACAGGACTTTGTAAATGGCATTACTCTAATATCTCGATGAAACTGTGTTATTATAGCAGCGAATGAGAAGCAGCGATCAGGGCTACAGGATATTGAAAAGAAAAAAATTGGGAATATTTTTTTTTCCTTCCTGGCCATCACAACTTTATCCAGACTTTTTCCTGCTAGCCCTAAGTAAAGTCACTTTGAAAAAATTGTCAAGTGTGGTCAATCTTTTAACATCAAGTAAACATATCTAAGGTCATATTCACACCTAATGGTCTGTTTCCTTATTCGAATCCAAGGCAAGACGATACATTTGTTTTGATTGTTTAACTGGTCCAGTTTGCGTTCACAAAAGGACAAACTCAATCGCTCCAGAAAATGGAACCGGAAGTCACCTGACCGCGAATTGGTCATTAGTTTGTGCGGGAATACATCGTAGGCTGATTTTGCTTTAGCTACTCATCTGGAGCGCGTATCAAAAGACGCTAGTCGATTGTGCGTTTGAAAGGCTCGTTAGCCAGCGAGCGCGAACTGTGGCATTAATTAATACATTCCGGAGTAGACGTGCTGCAAACAACAGACGGATAGAGACGAGACGGCGACAGGCATAAATGAGAGCCTACCACGATGTGTTTTCTCTCTGGTGTCAATCGGAACAAGTGAGCTGAGCGGACAATATTTATTTCACAACCAGCATTGGTGTGGTGCATTTCCTGTGATTGATGTGGATGATGTTTACACCAGAAATGAACTGCTCCAGAGTTCACTTGATAGCGGTCCGAGACCACCTCTTCAGGCGGACCAGATTTCGTTTATTTGGTCCGCACCAGGGTTCGAGGTGTTCGGGTTCACACCGACCCAAACGAATCGCACCGAGGGGATAAATGCTCCAGGGTTCCGTTCGACTACACGAGGGTGGTGTGAACGTGCCCTAATTGTTCTACAGAAAACATTTATTTTTGATACTTTTGTCATTTATTCAGCTAGTTCTAAATGTGGCTCTAAACTATTTGTTCCCTGGAACACAGTGATACTAACTTATCATTGGATGGAGGTTTTTGAACATCTTGTCATTATCATCATCACTCTTATGATAACATCAGAAAAATACAGCTGAACAGTGTGTTCAATGCGATCTATATCTAAGGGTTGATAGCATTACCACACAGAGATTCAATAAGTTGGATGTAAACATCCCTTGTTTATTACCCCAGGTGGAGCCAGAGCAGATATGTGACGGGGCACAACCAGGGCACAATCATCACCCACCCAAAGCCTATGCTTGATTTTTCACACCCTTTTGATCAGGAGGTCAGGGCTTTTGAAACTCGTTGTTGGGGTGTTAGGGTCACAAGCACATGTCTGAACATGTTCAGCTCACCCCTTCAAACCTAAAGACATTCAAACTTGTGCCAGAGCAGTAAAACTGACTGTTCTGTGTTCAGTTTGGTCTTGCCGTGGTCCTGTCAGGCTAAAAAGGTAAACAGCTCCTCTCACCATGCAGTCTCTTCCTCTGAAAACAGGGAGAGCAGGGGAGCAAAAGTATAAAGGCACGTGGGCTATAAGCAATCTGGTATCTCCACCACAGGCACCGTACAGTATGTTCCAAATAACAATAGCCCCACAGTGTCTGCCACTCAAACTGGGAGCGACTGCTGTGAAGCTCACATAATTAGAACATGACAACCTGACATGGTGACAATACATGAAGAGTGAAGTACAGATTTGCTGTAGTGATGTGCCTGTGCCGGTCAGTTTTCATTCTTCCCAGTGATACCAGGTAGGGCGCTCGCACTCAAAATGAATATGTTGTAAATAATTTGAATACCCCCTAACATGAGAGTCATAACCCCAACCAATGCTACAACAGCAGTGCTGCTGTTCACACTTGACCCAGCATGCTGTGCTGCATTATTAGGCTATAATTACATAACAGAGTGCCACTCAGTGTGCCCTTTACTTTGAACAGTCCCAGATGTCTGGGTCACTGCTTCTATATAAAGATAGAGTTAACAGTCTACACCCATTTAGGGCATATGTTTATTGTTTGTTGGGGTCCAATAGCCAGCACTTTGTTCTCTAAAAAGATTCCACTGTGGACAAGCAGCAGCCAGACAGCAGTTTCATAACCTATGCAAACACTCAGACTATCTGTGATTGACTGCAGCTAATCTCATCATGACTGAGAACAGTGGCCCTACACTGTTTCCAAGTATGGTGCTATTGTGTTGTTGACAACAGTTCAAGTCACCAGAATGAAAAACAAACATGTTCCGACTCTCACAAAGTGAAATATTTACCTTTCCGTTCAAAGATCTCACACAACACTTAATAGGAACTGTGTCAAGGCAGAGATTAAGCTGCCAAAATGGCCTGTACAAATTAATGCAACGGTAAAATTAGCATAATCACATTGAAACAAACAAGGCTGTCCCCTCTGTCCCTGTTTTGCCTCTTGCTGCGGATCCAGCGACATGTAAACAGGTTGCAGAGCATATGGAAGGAGCCTTATTTCCACAACAGGGTGGGTGTCAGGAACATTTTGCAGTGCGAGAGACTGTCAAAACAAGAGCTGCCTGAAAAGGGAACAGTATTTGGCAGGGAGGAGATCTTGCAGGTTGTATGTTGGTACAGAAACGGGGGAAAGAACTAGCTGACATTTTGTGTTTAGATCACAAATAAGAGTGTTGTATTTACACGTCTCAATTAAGCAGGGTCAAGCTTTATAAAATCATATAACCAGTGGCCAGGCTGACCAGCTGTTACATAACTCTCTGGCCTGATTCCTCTCTCAGGGGGGGACGGTTACAGTCGACTAAAACTGGAACTGCACAGCTTGACCATCAGGTTCACCTCACACACATATACATACATATATATGTGTTTGTGTGTTTGTGGTGCTCCACATACCTCGCTCAGGCTTCATGTTGTCCAGTGTCATCAGGATGCCTTCAGGATCTCTTGCAGGGGGTCTTCTCTTTTTCTGGAGCACAACGGTGTTTGGACCCCACCAAACCCCCCTTCGGTGACTGAGACCTGCTGTATTAGCTAAGCAATAATATCAGCTGTGAAGCCTGCGTGTTGATGCCAGCTGCCCCCTATCCAACAACAAAGCATCGCTTTGTTAGCATGCTACTGTACGCTTCCATCGAGTCGCACTGTATTGTCCAACAGACTGACACAAAGACAGCTGACAGCGAACACCAGATACTCTTAGGTAATGGTGGTGTCAATCTGCTTGCTAGCGAGCGACCGATCTGACCAGTGATTTAACTAGCGACCAGGCTACCCTCACAAAATGTCTCGAATTCCTCCACCTGAACCATAGTTACGTCGCGGTGCATCTCCGTGTCTCCTCTCCTGTAACGCCTGGCTCCTCTCTCTCTCTGCTAACTCAGCACTGTTAGCTAGCCACACAGTCAGCTACCACGACTAACTTTATCGTGACTGTTTGGTTAAGCGTCCAATGGCGACTGAGACCCCCACAAACACGCCAACAAACCCCCCAACGGTAAGCACAGGTACCCAGAAACGTTGAACTCGGACTGTCGGTTACTTTTCATTCGCTACGTCGAGAACCTTTTAACGCATCTTTTTTTTTTTGTCAACCAATGTCAGACAGATATGGTCCACCTCATTTCCACCGACAGCGTCCTAACACTCTCCATAAACGTAAGGTAAGAAACGCCACATACGCTCACTTCCTTCGAGATGTTCATTAAAACTTTTCGAACACCGACTTCGCTCGAGCACTTCGGTTACGATGACAACGTTCCCCCGCGAGCGTCGACACACCAACGGTCGCTGTTAAAGGGCTGACACGCGAGCGGAGTGCCGAAACTCAACGAGACTGGGTCGACACGAACATTATTCGGGGCGAAATGCAGATGAAAGGAACAGTGAGTCCTCCTAGTCGTGATGCTTACAGTCTGCCTCCCCTCCTCTCTTCCCTCCCCACTGCTTGTCAAAACAGATCAGTGCAGCTCCAGTCACGTGTCCCAACAACAGCCCCAGTCGTCACTTCCCTCTCTGCCAGCCAGCCTCGCATGAACTTGCAGCCATAGCAACCGCCAACTTAGAAGTGGTACCAAAACTTGTTGGTGGGAAATGCGCTGGTTTTTTGAGGCGAACACATTTATATGAAACCCTCCAGCTTTAATGTCCCCTCCTCGCCCGGTCATATCGGTGTCAGCGGGCGTTTGGGTGGGGAAATGGCACAAACATAAAGGGTTCACTCTCCCTGCGCTGATTGGTCAGCGCATTTCTGTGCGCGTTCACGCCTGCACGAGGGTTCGCTTCCCGTCGTGAACATTTTGTTCTTGCTTGCTTGGCTTGCATGTTTCCAAAGATCGTATGTTTGGAGTAATGCCACAATAAATTAAAGTCTAAAGTCCTGACAGTCTGTGAGACCCTGGAAGTCACTTCTTTTGAGTCAAATTTAAAAAACTCACTTTTACGGACTTGCTTTTGATCTTTTATCTCTTATCCCTTTTACCTCTATATTATTTCAGCTTTATTGTCTTTTTAGCTTTTGTTACACTTGTACTCTTTTCTTATTTAACCTTATAGGCCTTTCATTGTTTTATGTCTTGCTCATTTCTGTTGCTCTATTTGATCATTACTACCTGTTATTATATTACCATGATTGTTGATATTGAATTTTATATTTACTATCCTGTTTCCACTTTCGAAACCCCTTTTCTTAACTATTTATGTTTTTATTTTGGTCCTCATGGTCTCATTTTATGTTGCACGGTTCTTGTATTGTCTGGGTTCCTTGTGACAGGAAACGGCCTTCAATTCTGTTTTTACTGAGCTTTTTGTTTTATCTGTCCTTTTCCATGTGCTCTATGACTATATGTCAAAGCACTTTGTAAACTTCTGTTTTTAAAAGTGCTATACAAATTAAGTTATTATCATTATTATTATTATTATCATTAAAGTCACTGATGAGTTCCTCTCACATTTACCACACAGTGAATATCAAATTAAGATAGCCTTTTGACTTTGGTTTTGTGACACACGAAATGAGCAGTGTTTTCCAGTGTGTATTTTCGGCACAAAAAATTACCCTGCTTGTACCCAGTTAAGCTTACTGTCAACAAAAGATATGTTTGATATATTTATTTTGTAATTTCAAGTAATAATAAGATGATAACTTAGCAGAGATGGCCCATATTCACAGGTAAGACAATAAAAATGTAAAAGTCCCTGAAAAGAAATCTATGGCGATATTGAGTTGAAAACAAACTCTGCGATCAGAGGATGAAGAGGAAAAAATCTGTTCAGCCAGTGGTGCTGCTCATTCTTTAATATTGGATGACATCCATTATCCATTAGTACAAATAAAAAAAGGTCAGAGGGAGAGCTCTTTGTTATGACCTCATCTCTGCTTAAACCTCTTGGGACAAAGGCAAAGGCCAAAATGAGGACAGTAGAATCAGCTTCACAAATCTGTTTGTCAGCTGCAGTTGCACTTTGTGTGATATTGTTGTTTGAAACACAAAGACAGAGTGGCCTTGAGTCTGAATGCAAATAGTCCTGCGTGTAAGATTCTGTTAATTTGCTATACATGGAAGACCATTTGTTTGTTCTTCAGCGAATGGCATTTTGTGCTCACAAGGCCTGAAACATTTTACAAAGAAATCTGAACTTATTCAGAATTGAAGCATTCATCCTTTTAATCTGAAACCGGAGACAAGTGACCTAGATAGTGTCTTTAAAATGTAACAATCCCAAACTCTCCTTGCAGGATATCTGTATTTATTTGACAAAGGAACAAAACTTGGCAAGACGACTTTCGCTTATTTGTTACAGCTGATGCTCTTGAGAAACTAGTTGATCTCTATTGTAGACATGTCTGAAGGAAATGGTGCAAAGAAAGGGATAAGTACAGTTTTTTTTTTTACATCACAGCAGTCAAATCATACCGTTAGACTACAAACAGATGTATAAGGGCCGCCTTTCATTGGTTCTTGGTCAGGGATTAGAAACCCTGTATCATAACATTCATTCATTTAAAATGAAAGTGTTTAAAAAGTGATTTATTCTTGAATAGGTTACTTCTACCCAAACAATTCTGAAAAAAAACAGGCTTCTGTGGTTGAAATTCTTTCAGTCCTCTTACTTGTCCCATTTTCATTCTGGCCCCAGCCAATAACAGTCCAACGGAAACAATGTAGGGACATTTGTCTATTTTAAGGCATAAATTTTATCCCCCACAACAATTAGACTTAGAGGTTTAGGTAATCTTATTTAAGTGTGGATTTTCCCTTTATAAGGATGTTGGCAAATCTAAACAAAGAAGTTTTTGTTTGGAGAAAATCCATGTTATAGCCCCATCTAGTGAGAGGATATAAGTAGTACAGCAGGAAATATTTAAGGACACACGAGGAATATAGAGCAAGGGTTACAACCTCAGAGACAGGACGACAAGTGTTGCACAAGTACAACTGTGCATGATATTAACAGCACCATCATGTTGCAAATGGTTATATCTACTGGGTGAATGTCCTTGAACTTCAGGATCCCTATTTAGAGGCTGTCCTTCATCTGTTTCTCACACTGCCGCCATAACTGAGCTACTTGCAGAGCAGAAAGAGTACATATGCATCATTACAAAAGACACAACGTTATTGATTTATACAAGTAACTAAAGCTTATGATCTTTGTGTAGTTTTAGAGTCAGGTGAAAATTTATGCAAGATTACTTTTGAGAAAATTAATATTCTAAATTTGATATTTGATTGAGGCTGTTCGTGCAATTTTTCAGACAAATTTGAGCTATGAATTTCAGTAAAAAAAAAATTCAATGTCATCCAGATTTATTGCTTTGCTTTCAAACATAAATTAGTGTAATCAGAGCTCAGTATATTCTAATCATGTGTCACAAACAAAAGAAACAGCTGGTTTGGGATCAGTGAAACAAGTAATGGGTTGAAGATCTCTAAATGTTTCAGACTGGCTTTTAATACATTTGTGATTCTGTATGACTGATAGTAATCTGTCATGTCTAAAATTAGTATCCAGAATATATCTGAATGTTAAATGAGCTCAGTTATTAGTAATGACTGTTTATTTTGGATTTCCCCAGTGCCAACATCAGTGCTTTTCTGCCCTTTAAATTCTAATCCAGCTGGTTGTTTTCAGCAGCATTAGAGCTTCAAACAACATGAAATGTAGCTGCTCAGCTCCACCCTTATTAAAGTGCACTGGCAGGGGGGAAGAGGTCCTGCTGCCTTTGGTGTAGTCTATATGTAGGCTGCCATATGCAGTTACTACTCTGTGAAAGGTCAGAGTGGATCCCAAATTTAAAAGCTCTATAAAAGAAGCATTACTTATTCAGATGAAGAGACATATTAATTAAATTCAGTTCAGTTCAAGCTTTGTTCCAACTAAATGTGAATATCTTGCTGATAACCACTAAAACACACTGAGTGTAGCAGTTACTGGTTAACTCTAAAGCTTGTATAACCAAAGGCATGTCTGCAGAACAACAATTCAAAGCTTGTATAGGAACCTTCTGCATGTCACTTTAACATGAAAGTATAAACATTAAAAACAATCCTCTGGTGCTTAGTGGCACTGGACCAATTGATCAGTCAGGCCAAATCATAGCATTTTGGAGTTATTTGCAGTAGCCAATGTTTGAAACATTTTCTAAAATTTTTTTGAAACAACCGGCCAAGATAACCATGTTTATTAGATTGTATTGGCATGGAATAATGGCAGGTATAACTGCAGTGAATCCCAAAGTGGGTTAGGCTAAATGAAAATAATGCACAGGCGACTTGAAAATGAACTGAGAGTGGTGATCTCACAGCTGCACTCAAGACTCAAATGCTATCTGTGGCACTAAACAAGCGCACTGTAGCCACTGACTTATTTTAGGCCTGAAAGAATTTATTTTAAAGATGTTACCTAAGTTTTCAAAATTTTCATCTTCAGAAATGCAGAATTAAAAAAATAGTTAAAAGGTATTACCGTTGTTATTTCTACAAAAGTTTGAAGTTTCATTGAAAAAAATTTGAAAAACAATAGCAGCTTGTGACAGACGGTGTGTTTTTTATACATTCACATATTTTTCATTTACATGTAGATGTGTACAGTCAGGTGCAGAGGGGCCTGAAACAATTTTTATCTGCCAAAGGGGGGGTGGGTAGAAAAAGTTTGGGAACCACTGTGTCACTGTCAAATGTTATATGTTATCTAATGCAAAAAAATACTGTATATCGGCCATCATCTGCACTGGCTGCAGATTCTCATCCATGACACACTCATATGGTTTGTCTATTTGTGCTGTACTCGACTTCCTTGACATTTTATTGATTCAATTTGTTGATGTGAACAAAAAAAAAAATAAAGAGGAATGACAAATCCCACCCAAAAATGCAGTGAAATAATAACAAGAGGCAGGATTCTGAGGCTGGAAATACCAACAGTTTATTTTCTACTTTTTTGTGACTACAGAAATGTTGAAACATTTGAACACTGAAAAAAGCTGGATGACATCATCACTTGCTTCTCAATTTTCTTTCTTTTTTTTTTCATTTGCTTAGCAATCACAACAGATGATATTGCACGGCACTGAGAAAGCAGTAGCAAAGCCTGGAAACAGCAATGACAAATCAAGTCATGAGACATGGAGTTATATATCTGAGAGTAACACTGACGGCATTGCCTCTCTGGCACACAAGCACACACACTTTCTCGCACACGTACTCAAACACACAAACACACACACACACATACTTAAACTGAAGAAGCATTGTGAGTCGAGAAGGAGGTCAAAAGAAAGAGATCAAGTATGACAGAGCACGAGGCGGATGTGAGCAATGAAATTTCATTCTGAAAATGCAAGTGCAAGATGAAGACTACTGTGATCTAATCCTAAATGTGAATGACAACAAATATGCTTGTTTATCAAAACCCTTCAAGCATCTTTGCGTATGAAGAGCTGGAGGACACCCCTCTGCGGGCGAGAAACTAGTTCCCCAGCGTTAGAGATCCAGATGATTGTCTTAGGCGCTGCAGTATTGTTATGAGACTTGTAGCCAAGCCACCCATCATATGGGAACTCCTTAGGGTCAAAATAAATAAGAGAACATGTCAAATGAGTAAAAAGTAGATTCACACAGCATCATCCATCCCTTCTCTTCTACAGGCCTTTATTTTGTTATGTAAGCACCTGTAGTTTTTGTGAAAAACATCCACAATCTGTGACATAATGACTGCATAACATGCTGCTGTTATCTAACAGTAAGGCCTCTGACAGGCAGAGGGAGTCAGACTTACTGTGATATGCACCAACCAGCCACACACACATGCAAACACACCAGCAGCAACAAACTGATTCAAAACAAAAGACAAACACACAGCCAAGAATGACATGCATGTGAGCACACGCACAAAAGAAATGAGCAGTCCGGGTGGTTGTCGCCATACACACTTACACACTGATTCCTTTGTAAGCTTCTTTACAGTTTTATTAGACTTTGCTCATAGTCATTACACGAGTATGTACCAAAAGAACAGATACCAGATGGAGTGAGGCGGCTGTGCCACGGCAATAAAAACAGACCCAGCTCCGTGACACGGCCCCTGGCAGACCGGCTGCCCAGCCTCAGCTCCACCTCACTCTGTGTATGAGACAGCAAAGTGAGCAGGACTTGCAGCCCTCGTTTCTTCAGATGCTTTAGATTGTACATTGAACAGGAGGTTCCCCACATGGTCGAGTAAGCTTGTCTACACAGCCCTACGCCTTCTACATTCTATACCCGTGCGAATGGCAAATCAAAACTCAACAAGTCTACCTCACAAATGCCAGTGCTTTTCAACATTATACATATTTTTTTGTCCAATTTTTGGTTTGTTTTAAAAATCTTTGGATGTGCAGTAATACCCATAAAATAACAGTTTTCGTTAAAAAGTCAAAAGAATAGAAAAAACACGCACACACGTACACACTGCTTTTTGCCAGCTGTTCAACAAAGTAGCTCCTGTATAACTTTGTCTGCATTGGCAAATCAACTGTCTGGGTTTCTGGCAGTGTTTAAAACACATTGAAATGCCGGCTAGGATTCAGCTGAAGAAGAATACAAACTACTCCTTTGTTAAATCTAAGCGTGGGAAATAAGGCTGTAACATAAAACTGTCTTTTTTGTTTGTTTTTTTTCTTCCAAAAAACCTACTATATACAAATCTAGAGTTTCTACAAATGCATAAATTAAAGCAGTGGTTAACCATTACAAAAATGCAATTAAATTAAAATCACAACACAGAAGTAGAGAAAAGGGAAAATATGAACACAATATCACAGCAGTTGGTTTTACCCTGTAAAAGCAATAGTCTACCATCATAATATTGGCATAACCCAATGTCTGATAAAAAATACGCTTCTCCCTCCATCCCTTAAGTTTCATACATCAACCCTGAAACTTGTCCTCCGCGACTTTGAACAGAGCACTTCTGCCAAAAAACAAACTTCAAAATAGATAATCATACAGCTTTTCTTTTTGAAGTAACAACAACAGTTACCACAAGAGTGGAGTTCTGCTTTGCTCACAGATAGACGTCTCAATGCAGAACTCAAAGGAATTATTACTATGAGGTATTCAGAGACATTGGTAAAGACATGCACGGCCAGAGTGCTGGACTTTTCTACACAGAGCAGAGAGACAAAGCAGGTCAGGAGGGACGAGAAAGAGAGAAGGAGGGCTGAAAGGGGGCGAGGGAGAGAGAGAAGAAACAAAGACCTTTGGTTTAATCTGTAGAAGTGGACAACAGAAATTCCTTTGGTATGTTTTCATTGCATGGTTGCGCTGGCAAAAGCACCACGGTGTGATTTAAAAAAAAGAAGAGGAAAAAAACACATTTCCTTGTTTCTTCAGTAGTGGCCCTTCTACAGGCTGAGGTATTCACAGAGTCAAAGGTGAGAGGTCAACAGCGGTTTTACACTTTGGTTCAAGCAAGGCACTCGTCCTGGGAGTTTTAGAAAGATTGCAACACGTCTGCTTCTACTTTCAGGAACATGTCTGCCTATAGTTGAGTCAACAAATCTGCCCATGGCTATGTCAGCTTGTCTGCCTATTGTCATGTAAAGATGTCTGACCTAGATGGAGGATCAATAAAATCATAGATACACACGAAGAGGCAGGGCTGAAGGAGAAGGGAGGCTGCAAAGAAAAGAAAGCTGGGTGCACCATCAAATTTACATTTGTTATTTTGAAATTAATCGTAAACCTTTTCACAATTCTCAATTTTTTTGATCAAGTTCTGTGTTCGAATATGTCTGTTCTGCCAGTAAAATCATAGAACTGATCAATAAGGTGCAGCTGATGAGCTAGAAGAAAAACCGATCACGTTCCCGGCGACTCCCCTCTGTCCCCTGCTGGCCCCTGAGAGGCCACTTGTGTGTATCCATGGCCAGATCAGCATATCTGCCTCTAGCTACATCAGCATGACTACCTATGGAGCTGTAATCAGAGTACAGATGAAGCAAGAGCACGCATAGCAGGGGTGCATGGGTTGAGTGCAGGTGGGAGGGGCAGAAATGGTAGAAGAAAGGAAGAGAAAGAGGAGACAGGAGGGGGGGGAGGGGGAGAGACACACAATATCTTCTAACACCACTCATAGAGGCCGTGCAATGAGAAGAAAAAATCTTTGGTTATCTTTGGTATCATCAAAGTGATAGAAATCACGTATGGAACTTGAGTGAGGTAGCATCTTTGGTTCACACTATAAAACATCAGCAGGTCTGAACACATTTTTTTGTCTCTTTTTCGTCTTTTTGGTTTTTCTGTCAGAGATGAAGAGGCGAGCGAACTCTCTCGCCTCTCCTTCAGCGCTTGTTCTGATGAATGTAGAGCTGCTAACCCAGGCCATGAGGAGGATGATGAGAGGGGGGCCAGCTCGATATATTTAATGATACGCTGCCCTGGGCCGGCCCCGTGTAGTGCTTTCCTCCTACTGCTGAAATGCATAGCTTGCTAGGACAGGTGGTAAGTGGGAGTGGGAGGAATGGGTCTGGGGATTTACAACAAGCAGGGTGGGGTGTTTTCGTATTCAGGTGAGGAGCTGACATTGCTGTGTAAGTGCCTTAAAGTGATTTGATCATTGATATCATCCCCCTTGGCCCAACATCTTTGATGAGCAGGATAAAATCATATAGATATGAAGCACACAGGGGTGAATGCTTTTTATCATAAGAGCGGCGACACAGAGGATGTTGTCTCCCTCACAGTGCCAAGAAAGCCCAGTGAGAGCCATGTCTGGTTTTCACCCTTGCAGAGAAAACACACTGCTGAATGGATTAATCATTGTTTTGAAGGTGCTAGTATTTGCACTCAACACCTTGAGCTAATCTGCTAAGAGGGGAAATTATGCTTCTGCAGTGATTCATCTTCACAAAAAGACTGTTTAGTGAGATGTAGCTGGATTTTTGGTTTGATTTAAGAAGGCATCAATAAGGCAAACTTTAGTCCAGTCTCGGCAGATGGCTGTCTGTCAATGAGTCTGGTTCTGCTCAAGGTTTCTGCCTGTTAAGTCAAGTTTTTCCTTGTTGCTCATAGTGAGTCTGTGTTTGGTCATAAATGTTGAGTCTATCTCCATATTGTTGAAAATAATTCTCACTGGACCTGCTTTGTATTTGAGGATTCATGGGATTAATTTTGACACTATATAAAGGATTTCTTGGCTGATAGATTTCTAGGGTTGTGTTGCAGAAAGTTTCCATTTGCAGGGACAGAAATCTAAGTATGACTCAGAATGTTTCATGAACTTCAAGCATTAACAACCTCCTTGTTGTTGTTTAGCCTAACTAACAGTCTGTCTCAGAAGTAAAGGCAGAAAATTAGGTAAAAATACTCTTACACGCTTCAACGTTGATTAATTGTACTCTTTGGTCTAATCTCTTTCTCCTCGAGTGTTTTCAATCCAAGATGAAATGAGAGGCTTTGGTTTGAAGAAGGCTTTGGTTTCTCTTGTTTAAATCATCTGACGCTTCAGCATGTTGGAAGAGAGCACTACCATGAGGGTTGAGGTTTGGTATTGTTTTGGTTTTGGGTTAGCAGTCTACGTATGAGGCATCTCCCTGTCTGTCTGGAATGCTTGATAGAGAGACAGACAGCTTGACAGACGGTCCACCTCCACCTGTCCAAACCCAACAATCCAGTCGCTCCTGTAGGATTAATTTTGTCTTTAAAGTTGATTGGCCAATCCCACTGGAGCTCCACATTCTAGCTGTTTTTTTCAAGGGTGTGGACGTCTGCAGACCAGGCTGCCAACAGGCTGATTAAGACCTCCATCGTTAAAACCAACCAATCAGATTAAAGATAAGGACGGTGAAGATTGAAACTGGCTGGGGAGGTAAAGTGGGGTATATTAAAGCTATAGACCAGTGACAGTGGGTGAGTGTGTGTGAGGGGGAGGGTAAAACTATAGTCTTTTTGCAGTATGTTACACATAATCGTGTTGCTGAAACAAACATTTCAAAGCAGGTCAAACAAGAAGTCTTTGGTTTGTTTTTTCATCTTTGGATACTATAAATATCAATATAGTACAGGTTTAAGGGCAAAATGTTGCTTCAAGGTCTCTTTAAGTTTCTCTTTGTTTCTCTAAAGTTTTAAAGCTTTTCCACCGAGGTTGAGTCAGTCCATGAGTTGGTCGGATCAGTCCGTCTTCAGGCTTTGGTGCAGGCATTGGGGCCAGAGTTGATGGGGTGACCAGAGCCGTCGTCCACCCACTTATCCAGGCTCCGGCGGCGTGCGTTCATAAAGAAGTTGCTGACTGTGGCCAGCTCCAGGCCCAGCTGCTGGGCGATGGTGACCTGGAGCTCTTTGGATGGACGCTTGTTCTCTTTGAAGATGGCGTGGAGCGTCCGTCGCTGCACATCTGTGAACACCAGCCGTGGCTTCTTGGTCATGTTCCCCCGATCGTTCCTGCCGTGGTCCTGTTCCTTACGTTTGCATGCTGTGGAGAGACAGAAAGAGAGACACAGTGTGTTGGTGAAAACAGGTGTGATTTACTTGATTTGAAAATTATAAATGACAGAAAACTATTGTAACTTTTCTCAGTAGCTATCCTTCTGAGAAACTTTGCAAGTTTTTAATCAATTCATACAAACTGGTGAGATAACTTCGGAGTAATATCAATATCTAATATTTTCCTTTTTGTAAGTTGTTAAGCTTTCTATAAACTTTTAAGATCACACCTCTCTCATTCATGTTGCTTTTAAGAATATAAAATGAAATGATGAACCTCGAACACATCCTTAAAAATACAACTTTAAATTAAAGCTTGACCAATAGCCTTGAATTTCCAATATGGCATGAAAAGGGTGCTGAAGACTTTTGAAAACAACTGAAACTTAGATAAATGTGATTACACTGACTTGAATATCAGTTCGAAATCTCTTGTTCCGCTTGTATTCTCGCTTTCATTTATTTGTGATACCAGCTACTGCAGTTAGACTTAAACAAAACCAATTACTAAACACTTTCTAGACCTGTAAAAGCTGTAAGCATTCAAGTTTCACAGAATAGGCGATAATGGAAAAGGTGTTGTTAAAGCTTTATCTGTCATCCACTCATAAATGACTTGAAATGTTGATGGGATGCTCTTTTTCTTAACTTATGAGATTTGAGATTTCTTTATAACTTTGTATAGAATATTTCAGATTTGATTATGGTGATATTTTTGTTCAAAACACAGACATCCTTCCAGTGCTTGAATGAACTCCTCTGCATTCTGCCTGGGATCCCCTCATGGGACCCTATTTCCTTCTGTTAGTGGACTGACCAGAAGCTGAGCCATGTTTTCTTTAATGGAGTGCAGACAGACAGGAGAACAATGAGTGCTGTCCAAGGTGCTGAAAACTAATACTCTTCAACATAGACCACAACTCTCAAATAACCCCTCAAAACAAAGACTATTTAATATTCAAAAATAGATCATCAGAGTCTGTTTGACTGCATAAAAAAACCCTCTTGCCTCTATGCTCTTACATTTTGCTTTTTTCTCACAAATTCCTGACATTCACAGACACACGAGTCACCTGTGAGCCGACGCCAGTAGGGGGCAGACGTGAGCTGCTCAGACAAGCCGAGGGGCCCAGCATAGACTCACTGGGGAAATTAGTGAATATTCTTAACACAAAGTAATTACCGACAGGAATGGAGATTAATTTTACAGATTTCAACATTCAATAAAAAGGAAACTCAAAACTCAGCGAGGCACGTAGAAAACCTTTAGTATTAAAATTAGATTGGGTTTCTAACACAAAGAGAAGGCACCAATGATGAAAAGCGTATCACTCTGATATAACAATAACCTCACGCAAAATGTCAGATATTATGGTTATATGTGCCACTGCCTCTAAAATTCGTGTAAAATTCGTATTCAGGGAGAAATTTAAACACATTTTAGCCTCTCAGCACACACTCTCTCTGAACAGCCTCTCCCTCAGGTGTGTGTGTGTGTGTTAGAGTGTGTGTGTGTGTGTGATACAGTGAATGCTGTCCTCATGACCATAAACTGGAGTGTATTAGCGACACAGAGCAGCCCGGTGTCTCCAATGCTGCTAAATATTAACAGAGAGCCGGGGCTCTTCGTGGAGGGGCGGCTATAAATCAGCGGCAGTGAAGGCCACGCAGACAGCAAGAGCCTCCACTGAGCGCGCGAGCCCGAAAACAGGAGGAGCACGAGGAGCGGGAGGAGCAGGAGGCCCGAGCAGCACAGTCAGGAGGAGGCCAGCAGCTTTCCCAGGACCAGAGGGACACACAACAAGGGCCTCGTTATCAATAATCACACACACACACACACACACACACACACACACACACACACACACACACACACACACACACACACACACACACACACACACACACACACACAGCTGCTGCTCCCGGCTAATCATTACAAACATACAGATAACTCCACACACACTCAAACACACACAGCACACACTGACAGCGACAGTCCTGCGTTTCATAATCTCACCGAGAACAACAAACAGACCTCTGAGCGCAACATACTGCAAATATTCACCTGGAAAAGAAACCTTTTAACCCTTTTCTCAGACAAAAACATCTACCACCATACACTTTATAATGGTGTTCACTACATTTGTCAAACAACCAGCAATACATATCATTTCTGCGTAAAAAGTTCATTCTTCATTCTTTTATAAATCTCCTGTTTTTAATATATTCATCATCATGCCCGGTGCCAAATCTGCCTACTTTTGGATTTATTCTATTACATTTTGTTGTAGTCAAGCAAATTCAGGTGGGTAATTGAATACGTGGGAAAAAGAGAAAAGGCCTGAGATTAATTTCAGAAGCCTAAAATCAATAAGTATATCACATCTACTTCAGAACACGATCACATATCTGCTTCACCTAGGAACGAACGGATCAATACACAGGCGCTCAGACGATTCCCTCCAAATTAATTTAGATTTTTACTGTACATTTTCTCCTTGTTCTTTTCTACAAGAACAAAAAAAGACACATTTATATTCTTACGTTTTTGTTTCCAGAGAAAAACTTTGAGTTTCTTTTTTTTTTCCTGTTTGGACACAGAAAAATAGGTAATAAAACTGCACAAGAAAAAAAGACAAAAGCAGGCCTGACATAGGCGATTTCACAATAAAGCTCATATCAATACACGTGTTCAATTGATGTTTTAAAAAAGTAATCAATCAATCAGGTAATCAAAAGGCCTGATTCTTTGTTTCAATTGCTGCTTTTAATCTGAGACATTTTCCATCAATAATCAAATTTAAAAATCAGCTTTTTGAACCAAAGGGTTAAAAATACATGTTTATCAACTGATTTTTAAGTCTCATTAAATCACACACAAGAAGCAGAAAAAGGGTAAAATGAACAGAATCTATTGCGATTACACCCACGTGCACACGCCTCCTAAATACAACACTAATGCACGCGCACTTTCCTCCTCCTGGCCGCAGCAGCCTCACTTTTCCAAAAGCCAAAAAGCCCATTTGTAGGTCATTGATTAGTTTCGTGGACGTTAAAGGAAAAAATCCATTGGGTGTCTGTGAACGCGCACGTGCGATTGGTGCCTCAACAGCGCACCCTAATTGACTCGTGCGTATACCTCAGGGACAAATTAATACAGAGGTCTATCAGTTAATTAGAGAAAGCTCAGCCAAGTCAGGGTTAGTTTACGGCCAAAACACAAACACATGCTCTCAGCTCCAACACCTATTCGTCTATTTAAACGAAAACCACACAAAGCAACACTCCAGATTTGCTCAACATTTACATTTAATTCACTATAGACTCTGAACAGCCCTCTCTCTTTCTGTTTACAGCATGCAGGAACAACACCAAAAAGCTTGATCAGTTGCATCTGCACCAAAATAAACACATTCCTAATGATTTCTCGGCCTGGGATCAGTTTACGCACACAGTCCAGCGGTCGATATTTTGAGGTAAGATGACATGAGCACTTGTTTCACACAACCCCAAAATCCTTGCACAGACAAAAATGGATGCGGATTGATGTCAGGCAACAAGAATTGGTGCTCAGGCTTCAGCTTTGAGAAGCGTCTGAACTTCTTTTTTGAAATTATGCTGAACTTAATTTACCAACATGCCTATCTTCTCATATAGGAACCAACATTTGGAACCAGAGAATGAACCTCTCCAAAGCTGGGGCTGGTGTGATGTGTGAAGGGTTATGGAAACTTAATGTTATGTAATCTAATGATCATGCACAATGAGCTAAAAGAGACATATTTCTAAATCTGGTGTACATTCAGCCTTTTTGTAGCTTTTTAAATTTATATCCAGTTGTTCCCAGACTATTAAACCCAGTGCTCATTTAGGAGTAGCATGCAGAGCTAATGGTTCTGATAAAGTGACCGGTTTTCTCAGCAACACATTCAAAAAGGATAAAAACAAAAAGGGGCTTTACCGAGGCTTCGCTCACCTGCGAGCCTGAGCGCACTCATGCGCTGGAACTCAGGCTCCTGCAGCCACTTCCACATGCGCCGGAAAGTCTCTCTGCCGGACTTGAGCTTGGACCAGGGTTTAGGGTTCCTCAGCAGGTCGGACAGAGTCCCTTGGGATCTGCACAGGACCCGCTGGGCAAAGATGGCCTGAGGGATGCTGTAGCGCTTCAGCTCCGTGGTGATCCTCTGCGCCACCTCTTTGGTATTCACCTCCTCCATCTGGCCTCCAGATACACCGCCCCCTCCACCGCCGCCGCCCCCTTGCTGCCCGGGCCCGGAGGCCTGCTCCCGGCTGCTCCCCAGCCCCTGGCCGTGCCCCTGCGCGCCGAGGTGGGCGTGCGGGTGGTGGTGGAGGCCGTTGATTTGTACCATGCCCGCCGAGGAGCTCATGTGCTGCTCCGTGTGTCTGCCGAGCATGGCCGGGTGGTGAGCCTCAAACCCGCTGGGGGTGAGCATCTTCTCACCGGGCATGGCGGCACCGGGGTGAGCGTAGGGAGGGATGCCTGCCTGGGTCGTGTGTATGCTTGCCAGACCGGAGCCGGACAGCGGGGACAGGCTCTGGCCCATGCAGGGATCCTTGTGATGATATGCGGGGTACAGACTGTTCATGGGCGCCAGACTCCGGTCCTCGCGCATTAACGTGAAGCTGCCACTGACGTTCCCGGGGATCCTTTGGTGGGGGTGATGGTGAGGATGATGCGGATGGTGGTGGTGGTGGTGATGGGGAGGAAACTTGTCGGACACGGTGGAGATGGGGGGTAAGGGCTGTAGGGGGGTGAGGGTAGTGTAAGTGCTGCTCGCGCTCATGCCAGGGGGGGCTTCACACATGCTGATGGCCGGGTGCAGGTGTCCGGGATGTCCGGGGTGATAGTCTCCGCCGTCCAGCAGGGTCGCCATGCCCATCGCGCGGTGGCTGAGACCCCGGGGCCCAGGACGGGAATGTGGACTGTGGCCGCTTAGCAGCTCTCCGTGACCGGACACGGTCTCATGGCTCACTCCGTGCAGATCGCCAATATTCTCCATCGACAGCTGTGCGTTCATGATCCGGGCAGCGCTGTGGACCAACCATCTATCTGACCTACCGCAGGTAGCTGATGCCCACAAGTCCTCACGTGCAGTAGTAGAAGTTCAGTTTTCTTTTGTTGCTTTTTTCCTCCCCTCTCTCTTGTAGCAGCAGCAGCAGCAGCAGCAGCCTCCTCCTCTCACTCCTGATATTCTCGGATTTTTCCCTCTCCTCTCTCGCTGTTTTGTTGAATGAAAACTCCTTCCCCCGAGTCCTTATTTTTCTTGATATTTTTTCTCTTTTTTTCCCTTTTTAAAAATTTTTGCGATTCTCTTTATGATTCAAGCCCCCCCACCGCCAACCAGCTGTCCTCGCGCTCCGGTCGGGTGCCGCGCCATCTCTCTAGCTGTGTGTCTCTGGCCCCTCTACCACCGCAGCAGAGATCACTGTTTTTGCACATGCGCACTGTGGGCATACACATCTCTCTCTCTCTCCTTCTTTCTCTCTCGCGCGTGCACACGCCGCCCTGTTTCTCTGACGTCAGCTGCCTTATTAAGGAAGAGGGGTATCAAACCACCTGCTAAGAGCAGCAACGAGGAGGAGACAGATTCAGCTGCATTTAGCTTTTACGCTCTAATGTGTCAACTTTACAAAAACAAAAGACGAGAGGTGGAGATGAAGTGCTTACAGAGCCTATAATGGGTGATGTAGTTGTCTGTGTGGGAAAATGTTCGATTGATTAGGTCTGTAATGAGGCTTGATCTTCAGTCCTCCTTAAATTATTGGGTGCAAATGAAGTAAACTTCCGGGTTCATTTGGAGTTGATTTTTAACTAGTGAGGTGGTCTGGGATTCAAAATCGGTCAATCCTCCAAACACACACATGCAACCCAATTTAGAAAATAGACTTTTGCAATTGCAGCTCCAGCAGTATTGTTTAATCATCAGGTTAATATTGAAGAGACAAACTTTGTAATTATAACTTTAGCTGTAGCCCCCCCCCCCCATCTCCAAAACCCCCCAACCAAATATGTGGCGGTTTAAAGAAGCCAAGGAGACTGTAGTACCTTCTCTTTGGATAGAAAAGATGAGCAGATGTGTCTATTGTTCAACCATTAGGCTTAACGAACCAAGCCCAGCACCCATGTGTGTGTGTGTGTGTGTGTTTGGAGGTACACACATGCACATTTAATTATTCAGTTGAAAACACATCCAAGAATCTGCGCAATGACATCAAATTAAACCTCAAATGTCTTTTTTTTTAACATCATTTTTTATTTTAATTTACATTGATATGTCCGCACACACTCTCTCAAACACGTCTGTAGGAGGAAATGACATGCTGACACATAACATGCACGCTCCCCCCTTGTGTTGTTGTAAAAAAAAAAAAAAAAAAAAAAGCCCGTGGGCCCTGCATGTATGCGGACATGTCAGGGGCCGTTTATCCTGATAGAGCGGTCTTACAGGGCGTCCTCAGCCGGCCGAGGTGACAGCTTGCAGCGGTCAGTGTCCTGCTGGACCCCCCGCTGAATGAGGGACATGTCAAAGGTGACGCTTCAAGACTCCCAAAGCCAACATCTGCGGGGGGACAGATTAACCTTTCAGACTTTTCCCTGTCCTGGACCTGCTAGGGGGCCCCGCATCTGTCAGTGGGTCCCCCCCACAATAGCCGCAGCGTCCGCTTGAACGAGTTAAATAAAAGAAAAGAAAAAAAAATGGAGGAGAAGAAGTTAAACTGTCTCTGATGTGAAGTCAATGTCAACGGCGTGTGTGTGACGTGTGTCGAGACAAAAGGACACTAATTCCTCGAAGTGTGGCTGTCCAAGCGTGGACACATAATGGGCTTTATAGAGGGGCTGACAACTTGACAACAAAAACACCGAGGATGCGCGTATACACAATCATTATATAATCAGACATACCCTGCTTTCTTTGGAGGGTTTGCATTTCAATTCCAACACAAAAAACAAACAAATAAACAAACATGTAAAATTTCTCCCAAACTACTTCGACAATTTGTGAACAATTTAAACTAAAACTCACTCTCAACTTTAATTCTTCCAGCTCCGAGTTCATCCAAGTTGTGTTTTTGTTTTGCCTGACGCGCCCACATAAACAAACGACATGCAGAAAGCAGAGGAGGACTAAAGGCCAAGGTTTGGCCTTACATGGCAGCAGACCTCATCCACACATTCTCATGCGGATCGATACGCTGCTGCCATGTCTGCAGCACGACCTGAGCTCTCTCTCTGCGTGTGTGTGTGTGTTTATGCGTGCAGGCTCTCTGTGGCCATTGTGCCGAGACAGGCCTGCGTGGCCCCTACGAGCCGCTGACATTTGCTTTGCGGGGAAATATAAGGGCCCACGATTTTTTTTTTTCTGAGCACTTTTGAAAGAGGATACATGTCAACACAATAAGGATAAAGATGAAGTAGTGCCTCTTATATTATCTATACAAAAAAGTGTCTGACTCCAGCACCTCAATGCACAAAGTCAATGACTCACAGGTTTCACACTGATTATTAATCCGGGGCATCTTCCCCCGTGAAAAAACCCACAGCAGCAGCACAAGCAGCAGCAGCAGAGCCAGGGCGAACATCCTGTGGATCAATATTTCTGCAGCTCTGCAAAGTGACACAGCGATGCAAGCGTTATGGATGTTCAAAATGACAATTACTGCCTGTTTAGGGATAAGTCTGTGCTAAATGGCATCTGGTGAAACTAAAGTTAAATAAATGAGGCTACACGACTTCTACATCTGGGCTCCTCAGCTCTGCAGGATGATATAGGGACGCATAGATTGTGAAAGTGAATTAGCCTTTGGAAAAATAAATCTCATTGCTCTTGTTAAATCTTTTTACTGCCATAAACTCATTTATTGGCTCACCTTTGAGTCTTCACTCCCATAAATATTATTATTCTGCAAATGTGTTTTATGAATTATCGCCAAAGCTCACAGAATTATTTAGATGTGAAAGGAAAATCAGATTTATTCAAGAATGAAATATTTCTCCTCCTCTGAGCTCTCTTTTCACAGGAATGTGCATTGCGGTGTTTGTGGCTGGCCTTTACAGCATATTTGAAGTATAGGCCTTGAAAACACAGCACAGAGAGCCAATCAATACTGAATAAAATTATTATTCCTGGAGGAACTCAGGAGGAGGCCTTTCATTTGTTGGAATAAACACCGAAAAATGTAAGGTTATTTTAAATGGGCTCTGGCATTTTTTAGGCGTAAAATTATCAGCGTCCTGAAAACGAGTTTCATTCAAATACAGTTGGACTATATTGAAATTGTAAGGTCGATTATTTTCACATAATCGGACTTAAAAATTTAGAGTGTGTTACAGCGATATAGACGAGCTTTTTAACGAGTTTTAACTTGACTCCGAGTCTTAAAAAGAAAGAAATACATAATAATCAAAGCATCATTTTGACATATCTGACAATGAGTGAGCAGGAGATAATCCGAGATGACATTAAGGGCTAAAGAAAGATCATCTCCAGTTAAAGCTGCTGCACTTTTTAATCCCCTATTATAGAGCATTTACATCCACAGTCCTCTGAGGGCAAACATCCTCATCATCATCATCATCACAGCTTTCTACACACTAACTTAACTGACGGGAATTTTTCACACTTGATTCAGGAATTTTTTCTTCCATTTTTTTTTGTCCTAATTAATAAAAATACCTTCATGGCGGAGCAGCAGATGCCGGACCTGCTGCTGCCTTGCTCAGGGGTAAATCAACTGCCTCTTCTCTCGCGTTATTCCGCGTCACTTGCTTTGATTCGTGCACTCATGTGCGATTAATAAGGCATCACTTTACATTAAGGAGTCCATATGCCGCCCAATTACTCCCTCTAACTTTGGAGAGACTCCAATTATGACAACAAACCCGTGTGTCAACGATAGCCAAACCACGAAGAAGAGACACACTCAGGATCTAAATGTAAGATTACAAACCTGAGGGGACGACTCAAACTGTCTGCAATTATAGATATAAGAATTATACTTAAAAAGAGATTAAAAAAAAGAGTTTCGTTTCTATTACATTTTAAATTTTGTTGAGTAGTAGCCAATTTGTCCTTGGTTTTGATGAAAAAAAAATACAGCCTAATTTAACACGATCCCAAATAATTGTAAATGTACAACCTGTGAAAATATCCCACTCAGGAAAATTAACGTGGATTATAGGGCGGACTATAATCTCTACAGTGGCTCTTGACTGACAAAAAACATCATTTCTAATCTCTGCAGGTGTTTATTTTGCTCTAACTCCTTTGCAGCTTCTGCTTTTGCGTTTTTTTCTTCTTATCTTAATCAACATTATTCCCAAAATTTGGGGCTGATTTTTACAGAGTTTATTTTTCCTGCATTGTGTCTATTTAGATCAACATTTCTGATCATCGTGAGGGTGGGGTTGATTTCTCATGATAGATTTCATAACATAACTCTGGCCATATTTTCGTCCTTCTTAAATCTCACTTTACCTGACATACACATGGAAATTAATGAATTTCTTCCTTATGAAACTAAATTTGAAAACTGCCAAATGTGCACTTCGACATTTTATGTTGTCAATAAATCTACATTTGTATTATTTAGAGCATATTCAATGTTAAAACCTGATCAACTGAAATAGAAAAGCCTGTAAATGAAACGCCACAGATGTATTCAGCAGACACATCGGTGAAGCTGCATCAGTTCAGTGACTTCTTCAAATTGTTTTTTTTTGCTGTTATATCAGAACTTTGGATCATGACGCCTATAATCTCGAGGCTTCCTAAAGCTGGTGCTAGTTTGCGCGTAAAGCTCGAGCAGGTTAACCAGCGCGGCTGTGGAGGTTTCTCAGGTGTAAACACGCCACAGACAGAAGCTCGGGGTTGGACTGATCTTTAGACAGCTCTCTCTTTTGTCCATCTTTCTTCTCAACAGGGTGCCAGAGTGCAAAATGTCTGCGTTAAAACTTCTCTTCTCCTCGGCGCCACACACAGAAAACACACCGCGCACGCACTGTACAAAAGGACGCACACACACCAACACACCCACACACACACTCTCAGATGTAGTCCCCGACTTTACCGCAGCATCCGTTTCTGTCATGCATCTTTAACAGCCGCCCAGCTCTCTCCCAACCACAGAGCTGAAACATCTACAGCCTATACTTGGACTCTTTTAACTCCAACAAACACGAGCTGGAAGAAGAAGCGGAGGGACGTGCTCACATCCGCGCGTCTCCTCCGTGTGTTTCTCCCGTCCCACCCTCTCTCTCCCTCGTCCTCCTCCTCCTCCGATCCCCAGCTTCGGAGTCCACACACAGTCCAGCCTGCGGTAAACATCCTCACAGCGGCTGCATGGAGATGACTTCTCCGCTTCAAGTTTAAGCAAATGATCCGTCCGGTAAAAAACAGCCCGTGTTTCCCTCCTGCTCCGGTGCCGGGCTTCTCTCCCTGCTTTTCTCGATGCAGGCGCATTTGAATAGCTGGCCGGTGTTGTTATGGATCCGTGCGCACTGAAAGAGAATCAGTATGCAAATTGTTTCAGTATCAATCGAAAGGTTCGATCCGCAAGAGCGTCAGCCCCTTTGGCACGAGAGGCTCCTGCGCTGCATAAATGTTTATAATGATGCCATGCATTAACACAAGAGGAGAGAAGAGGGGGAATTCTGGAGAGTTATTTAGACCATACTAAAATATTATTCTGCTGCTTCAATGAAATGTTAATTTAAAGATGCAGGAGCTGACTCAGACTCTGACTAATGACTTTGTCACCATTTTATTAGAAACAATTCAACCGAGTCACAGGATTTATCATAAACACTATATTTTTTTTATTAAATTATCATTAAAACCAGGTTTAGTTTAGTATTTTGCAAGTTATCATGAAGAAAAAAGGGGAATTACACCTTTAATTTTCCTCTTTTTTCTATTTTATATCACTGCATCAAAAATTCTGTATTTTTCAGATGTCATATTTGGAAAAGAGCCAATGCATGTAGAAAAATGTTAAATAAACACCGTTCAATAACCGGAATTGACGCAGGGTGTTACACTTTTTGGCACGGCCGTTGTTACACTCTGATATTCAGATAACAAAGCTCAAAATTCAGCCAGGAGAAGTGCTGACAAACAAACACACAGTAGAAAAGAAGCACCATGTGTGAGGATGGAAAGAGGAGGAAAATAAACAGTGGGAGTCATGAGAAGGAGTGTGAAAAAAGTGCTGGGAAAACAGGGTAGAGCGCACAGGTGAGCACAGGTAAATCAAGATCTGAGAGTTTAGATGATGAGGAGCAAGAAAGTGAAGATGAAGGAAAATGGAGGTGAAAGGAAAACCGACGGTGAGTGCGGGGAGAAGGAGAGTGTGGTCAGGAGGAGATAAAGCATCGAGTCCGTTATCCATCTGTTCCAGGGTTAGAGTTTGACCAGCTGAGGGGGTCAGGGTGAAAGGTCGACGACCCCTCGGCCCGAGGGCGCCGTGGTCAGTGCGCTCGCAGGTAGACTCTGGGGATGGTTTTATGAGGTAAATAAAAAAGGAAGATGCTTTTGTTTGGCACAGATTGAACATCCAGCTCACATAAAGACAGGCTGAGTGTTTCTGAACAAATGATCTTTTTTTTCCACATACCGCTGGCCTCTCTGAAGAGGACTGGAGTTGGCTATTTCTGGTGTATTGATATTAAAAAGCTTTTATTTTTCATGCACTTAAGAGTGCAAAATATGGTCATGATGTCTGTGAGCTTCATTTGGCTTGTTGACATGTTGGTCAGGCTGTGCTTATTTCTATTATTGATTATATTAATGACTTTCTGTTGGATGTGCTTGTGTCTGTCAGATAATGAGAATTTTCTTCATAAAGAACCCACTGGGCGATTTTTATTTGATGTCTTTAGTTGTGACGGTTAGTTTTTACGTGTATCTGCTTTAACATGCGCTAACTTTAAACCTGTTATTATAACAGGTGAAAATGAAAAAAAAGGAGCACAGTGTGAGAACTAAACCTCATTTTCATTCTAGTTCTAAATCTTAAATTTATTCAGATGAAGATGTTTTATACAAGCTGAGTTATAAACAAGTAAAGAGCAATTCTCTGATTTTACATGCACTACTATATTGTATAAGTTTTTAGTTGAAACTTTGCTAACACTTTGAAAGGGGTCCTCCCTCTTGATCAGTTAAGATACCCTAAGCCACTCACATCAGAGGAGGAACTATATTTAATAACCAGGCTCCTCTTGTTAAAAGTGATGTGTGAGCAGTGCACAGTGTGTGAAGATTTAACAAGGCGCTCAGTGGTTAGGTCAAGGATTGCTGTCCTTTAGTTGTGCCTGAAAATCTATATCTCTGAAAGGGGAAGGATTATATATTTTATGTCAACAAGAGAGTGTCCTCTCTTTTCTGTGTGTGTGTGTGTGGCTGTGAGCGGCTTACTGTTGTGTTCAATAGGTCCCTGCTAGCCTGTGTGTGTGTGTGTGTGTGTGTGTGTATGAGTGAAAGTACAAATGATGGCATGTACAGTATGTGGGTGTGTTTTGTGTTTTCAAACCTTTAGACATGTATTCTTAAACTGTGACGACACTCGAGACATACACACAGACACAAAACAGCGGTTTTTCTTTAAGCCACAATCTGAGGACAAAATGGTGTTTTAAGAGAAAGTCTAACAATGTTTGAAATTTGAAAGTCTCCTAAACTTGATAAAAAAGTTAAGGTTTTAAGATGAGCCAATCAGAGACAAATGTATAGATAAGCCTCATAACAAAGGTGAAGTCAAGCAAGCAGGGTCAACTGAGTGACAGTGGATTTTTCAAGGGTAGTCGACATTTGCAAATGAAGCAACCTTGCCAAAACTGTTCATCATTAAATCAGATCAATCTTACATTGGTTTTAGCAGCACAGTTATTCCTCCCCTAACTATTTACTCTGTCATCCAATTTCTCTCATGGGTCTCTTTCATATATGTTACATTACATATATATATGACTGAATATCCCTTTGGGGATCAATAAAGTTCTTCTTGTTTTATCTTATTAAAAAATGGTACCAAACAGGCCTGTGTGTCATCATCTTAAAATGCATTTTACAAACAAATGAAAACATTTAAACTCTTGAAATAAGCTTTCAAATATCTTTTTGGGGGAGAACTTTATTTAAAGATCCTGCGAGGAATTTTCTGTGTTGACTATGGCGCCCCCTGTGGACAAAGTAATAACTCTTGCATTCTATCTGGTTTTGTCTCATGTGTTAAAGTGACAAAAACCTCCCCCTGTTTTCTTTTTAAGGTGAAATTATTCCCTCACAGGGCTTGGAGCACATAAGCTTTTGAGTTGAAAAAGTAAGGAGAACACAAAGAAATTTAGGGGCACAATGAAAACTGATCAAATAATGTGTTGACCTAAGTACTATCATTGGTAATCAATTTTAGGTCTCTTGTAGAAATTTTTTTTTAGAGGGCGACTTTGGAAAATAAAGAGGTGTGTCTATTGTCCGATCTTAGTTCGATTATTTGAAATCAATTTTAAGGTCAATTGGTCACATGATATGGAAGCTATTGAAGGAAAACAGCCCTCTCTGAGAAAACCAACCAGTAATTTATTGACAGTCCCTCATTCAACACCCGACATTGACAGCGAGGATGCCGAGTAGATTTAACCGCCCTGCTGTTGCTATTCCCAGTTAAGGAGAGTGAGAAGACACTGGCAGATCCGCAGTGAACGTCCGTCAAATAGCCAACTTAAAACTAACTTCACCGCAGTACTTACAAGAAAAAACATTTGTTGCCTCGGCTAATTATGTATTGCGCACATGTGCCCCTAAATGCATTTTACAATTCGCACACATCTGTTTTTGGTTGCAAATGTGAGTGAAATAGTCGCACTGTTGAGCCCTGCCTCACCGTGAATACTTCAGCGTACCTCCACCTTAACAGCAGTTACAGACATTCAAAATTACAATAAAGAAATGGTTAATTTTGTCATCAATGGTGCAATTTGCTTTTACACATCACAGAGACACATTACTGTACATTTTAGTTGATTTCATCACCCACCAAGAACTCCTCATAGGAGCTTTAATTTGCTCTGTTTGCAGTATGAGTGGGCAGTTTGTGAGTACTATACCTGAACAAGTCTGCTTCAGAGCCAGTGCAGGTGGAAGTCTATGAGTGGATCTGTATGTGGACACAATGTGGGAAAAAATAAAATAACCATCACTTTCATTATTGACTGGTATTGTGTGATAACCGATGACTGAAATTGACAATAATGAGTATCAATATTCCTTTTTTTGTGCGATTATTGGTGCAAACTATGCAACAATCAGTCCGATCAGTACAGCTCACTTCGGTGTGTTCCTCTGTGTGTGTTTGGGTGCTGGGTTGAGGTGCAGGTGGAGGGATTAGTAGGGAAAGTGGCTGGGGTAGGGACAATGATAGCTGCATCAGAAAGAGGATTACACAGGTCCCCCCTGTCATCATGTACCTGCCATTATGGGATTATGGGACGCATCTCCCACCTTCTCTATTCAGCGGTGCAGCGCTGGGCAAAGCCCTCAAAATACCTCCACACTCACAGAGGCTCAGAGCTCTCCGAGACGGGAAAGAGCGAGGGTGGTTTCTGTTCAGGTGAGAAGGTAGGAGTGCAGTGCTAAAGCTGCCTGTTGGAGTTGGGGGGGATTATTATGTGTTTGTTCCCTGCTGTTTTAATCCAAGACCAGACTGTACGCTCGTGGGTAAAAATATTCTTCACATGGTTTGTTCCTGTGATTGTAGCAGTGCAATTTTCACAAACAAAAACACATAACTGCAACCCAAGATACACACATCAACAGCCTGGTGCACAACCCACAGACTCACATTTATTGCAAGAGAAAGTTAATGGAGATTTGATTGCTCACACACATACACATACACACACCCACACCCTCGTGGAAACAGTGAATACTGATTTGGCACAGTCTCTCATGATATCTATTGTTCATTAGTCATTGTTATCCCACTTTGATGTAGCTGTAATGGGCTTTAGATGTGCGGAGCGGCTCCATAAAGACCCCTGTTTAGTAACGGCCACAGTTTAAATGCTCTTAATGTGCTGCCGAGGTGTGGGGAGGGGCCAGGGAGCTGTAAATCACAGTGAAAAAGTGGGGGAGCAGAAGAGAGAATTGGAGGTGAAGAAAGGAGCAATTGGTGACGAAAGGAGAGAAGAGAGGCGAGGGAAGTCGAAGAGAGGAGGAGGAGGGGGTTCAGGGACGAGGGAATGGAATCTGTGTGTGTGCATCCTGACGAGGCAGAGAGAGCCTCCCCACGAAACTGCAGGCGTGTTTACACAGCAGAGGTTCACACACTCACTCTAGTTAAGGCGCTCCTGTGCATGCTTACATTGAGTTTAGCACTGGGCTTGGAGACATGGGATTAGACTAATGTAATGTGTGTGTGAGTGTGTGAGTAAAAGAGTGTATGTGTGTGATCTGCCTTGTTCCCAGTAGGGACAGAGCAAACAGACAGAGGCAGCTATCAGCCGCTCCATTGTATTCATCTGATCACTAATCTTCAATGGTTAAATCATTATCCATCCAGCACCTCAGCAAAGGGCCAGGTAAACACTACTGGGCTGTCACCAAGCTGCACCAGTCTTTAATATGTTACTAACACACACACACACCCACAAACACACACAAAAGGCACACAGGACAGAACACAAAACCGTACGACCTCTGTGAGTGTTTAAGTGGTATCATTAATACTGCTCTGCTGGCAGCCGGGACAGAAAACGAGCAAATTTAGTCAGTGGAAGAACTTCATGGATTTACAAACAGGATAATACACAGTGAGTGTCTAAAAGAAACATAGAACGCAGACAAGTAGATGGGTTTACGTTACCACATTTGAATGTTATGATCTAAATATTTCCTATTACAATTACAGGGTTTCTGATGAAATCTATTCTGATCTGGTGCTTAAAGATAAAATGGCCTTAAATCCCTACGGTTTAATTCTTCAAAGTGTTCTTGTGTGATTCTGAGTCATGAGAAAAATGTCTTCCAGACTACCCACTAAGCAGCAGACGGCTATTAGACATCTACTTTTTTAGATCTAATTTCAACTGTCTAGATTCTGTATATTTTTAGATGGAATTTAGACGTTGCACTTTAACCCATTATTTGATAACTATTTATTTTAAATAGCAACTGTGAGTTGCATAACTGATCTCCAGGTATGTAACCAAAATAATTATTATAGCCATTGAGTAATATACAGTGTAGTATAGATATAGCCCAAATTTAGACTTGGTCTAAATTTAGACGTCTAAAAAACTTTAATTTTTAGACCTGTGGTAGCCTCATTTCAGACCAGTCGTCTACATTAAGACGTCTATTAGACCTCTTTTAGACCAATAAATGCTCAGTGGGTACAATCGACTATTTAGTTTGAAAAGAAAAGGAATTAATTATCCTTTTAGCAAAGCAGATTAGCAGTTTTATTCTAATCAAAGTTTTATTGGATTTCATTCTGAAAGATCGTCTCAGTTATAACACAGCAACTTCCTAAAGGAATAATTTGATCTGATTTTAACCTGATTTGATATTAAGTTTTTTGCTGATGAAATATTCCTTTAAATTATGTATTTGTAGCTGTTGTTTTAGCAAAGGTAAACTCAGAACAAAATTAATGACCCAAGTTTCACCACAGTACCCCATTTAGTTTTCCTGCCTTATCACTGTTTAGTGCATTGACATTTTCTTTCTCAATTACCCTTGTTAAATGCTATTGTTTCCCATTTACTTTACTCTCTGCCATATACTTTTTAAAGAAAATCTTTTAGTTAGTTAGTTAGTCCACCCAGTGATTAGAGCTGCATGCGTATTTGCAGTGTGTGCTTCTGAGCAGGTCTGCAAAAGAGCAGCAGCCATTGATGACCCGTCAGAGTCGACACAGCCGTGTAATAAATATGTTGAAAACCATAAACACTTGTTTCTGACTGATCAAAATACGATAGCATCAGTGTTGTATTTCTTGGCAGGGAAAATTTGATCCCACAAGTTATCTCAATCAATCACTGGCACATTTCACCTCTGCCTTTCGACACTGTCACAAAAACGCAAATTCCCAACAGCATCTTTGCATAGAAAGGATTTCAAAAAAATATTTACTAATTGAAGCGAAAACTTCAGAGTCATAGATGGTGGTCACACAAATATCTCTGCTCAGAAACAGGGTTAAAAAAAAAGAACATGAGGAGCTGAATGAAAGAGGAGTCTTGCAATTGAAGACAGGTGCAAAGACAACACAAAATAGAACAGAATATGAATATAAAAGTTACAAGGCAGAAAACCATCATCAGGTGCAGGGGTCATTCGGAATATCAGTTCAAAATGCTCATGTTTGACTGAAAATGTGAAGTTTACTGTTAGTATGGCTGGCAAGGAAGCAGTTAAGAATGAAGTGGCATGGAGGGATCATTATTTGGCTGTCAAAATGACTCATTTTTAAATCAACAAATAATGTTGGGCGGTATGAACAAAATCTTATATCACGGTATGAGTAATTTCCTGGTGTATGTTTTTTCCCCCTGTAAACTCAATTAACGGCTTAAAAATAACCATAATGTCACATTTTGATAATTTTGCTTTTATTTTAAAACTCGGATTTGTAAACAAATTCCAACAAAATGACAGACCAGTTTGGCAATTTTTATCATACAGCGTACCTTTGGCAAAGACTCTGCCAAGCTCTTTCGAATGAGAGGAGCTGCTGCAGCTTCAGTTTTTGGTGCAGCGGGTGCGCCACACATCTTTTGGCTCTCCTAATAGAGTTTGGCATGTTTCATCTTTAGGTGGTGGAAGAGGTTGCAGGTGTTTCCTCCTCCAGCTACGAATGCCATTGCATACACTCTTTGCATAGTATTGTTTTTTGATCATTGTCATATTTTCTAAATCCGAAGAATCTCCAGACGACCAATGTCTCGACTCGTGCCTTTTTTCAGAACGAGTTCCTCCTCCACTTCCTCAAGTTGGGTGGGTTGGGCTGCCTCCATTTGCTCGATACTGCCACTAATCTCCGCGTCCGCCATGACTACCACCAGTGAAGCTGTTTCTTCTTTATCCAAACTATGCCAAGCAGTCTGCTGGACACGCCAGTGATTATCGGGAGCGCACCCAAACCTGACTAATCAAACAAAGCGAACAAACTCTGCACGAAACGCTGGTAAATATACGGAAACGCACCCAAACGGATGGGCTTCCCGGTAGACACTTTTATACCGTCACACGGTATGTACTATCATACCACCCAACACTATCAACAAATATTTTAAATCGATAAAATTAATCAAAGCACAGTGACCCCCTCATGGTGAGACAAAACCCCTCCACTGGTTTGGGATCGCTCACCCTGGATTCCAATCTCCTATAACCACCCTCTCATTGTGAATACGCACAGTGACAGTTGTTGCCATGCTGAGATCTGAGGGGCCTCCATCTCTCCCAGCAGGATACTGGGCTAAATCTAATTGCAGGTAAATGTACAGTGCTGCTCTGTGTGGCTCCTGTGTGGGGAAGATGGGAGGAGTGGCCCAGCGACATGGTTAGTATTGGTCGGGATGACTGATTGGCCCCTTGCTAACTGCATTAGACTGTAGAGAAGCGGCTCACTACCGTTCCCTCCCCCCGTACACACCAATGCTACTGCCCAGTCTTACCACTTCTTCAGGGGAGGTAAAGGTGAGTAAATAGTGAGTGAGGCTTCTGTGGGGCGACTGGGTCTGAGGGGGCATCAGCCAAACTTGCCAAGGATCCCTACGTATCAACCTCCAATAGAGAAGCCCACGGTTGATTGGAGCGCATTAGTGGGCCATTGGGTTGGAGGTAGTCCAGGCCCAGCGGAGGGCTTGGCCATCTAAGATCTGATCAGAGGTTATTAGCAGTAAAGAGCCGCTGAGGATGAGGGGAGGAGAGACATCATTTACAGGGTCAGAGCCTGGCCGGCCAGAGCACACACACACCAATAACACACACACACACACAGTGGACAGTAAAGGGCGGCTCATTACTCAGTGAGAGCTCAGGTTTCCTGCGTAGACCTCTCCATTAGACCCCCAGTTAGGGAGAAATGAATGGCTGCAGCTCCTCCGCACTCATAAACCATCCAACCGTCCACAGCAGGAGAAAATGAGATACAAGTAAAAGGAGGGAGGGGATCTTAGAGGTTCTGTGTGTGTGTGTGTGTTTGTGTGTGTGTGCATGCACAGGAGAGAGAGCTGAGGGGTCCTCAGGGGTCTTTGAGATGGAAATGTCCAGCTGGCCGGCCGTCTGCTGCCTGACCCCCGAGTTCGAGGTCAAAAGCCAGGGCCCCCCGACCAACCGGCCACTGACCAACACACAAACACATTCAGTACACACACACACACATAGACACAAAATCCACACAGTCATGCCTTGCTTGCATATGTACGTGTGTATTTGTGTGTACGTCGGAGAGAGGGAGCGTGCTCTCTGCTCAGCACGTGTAATTGATCATTTAATCTGGCTGACATCATAATCCCCGACGCGTGTTTAACTAACTGGCTGACTGGCAGAGGAGCAGAAGGCCTGAGTAATTATCTTATTTGGATACATTAATAACGAAGCATCACTCACCGTTCGCTCGGCTCCACCAGTCCTAAATCAATCGCAGCGCACAGCGGAGTGGGTTTGCATGTCCGCCAGAGTAAAGAGTGTGTTAATGTGTGTGTGTGACAGTGTGTTTATGCAGTCTCGTGTCTTCAAATGCATGTTTGAGAAAGCTGCATCGATATGTTGCACCTCTAAGCGGAGCGTCGGCCATCACACAACCTGCAGCAGGAGTGAGCTAAAATGGAGACCGGTGCTTGTGTATGCGTCTGCAGCAGAGCGCTGGTGTATGGATTTTCTATGAATAGTCAAAGCGCTGAAAAGATAAAGCACAAATCAAAACGATTGGACGAGTAACAATCAAGGAATTGAATTGTGTGACAAAACTATGAAAAGGATTTGTCGTGCACATCGAAAAAAGGCATACTGTTTTGGTTCAAAGTGCACATTCAAAGCCGATCTCTTAAATGACAGCGATCCACACAAATGACGATCAAATTAAATGACTGCTGAGACAAAGGGAAGCAGACCTGTGTGTGTGTGTGTGTGTGTCCTTGTGTATATGTGTGTGTGTGAGTGTGCGCATCAGGGTCTTAGGAAAATTATTGCTATTGATTTAAGGCGGAGAAACGTGGAAATGTTACCAGATGGGACATTTAGCTGTGAGTGGCTTCAGATGAGACGAGTCATCCTCTAAAGGCCAGGGCAGAGAGATGCAGCGAATGCACATCAAAACACCAAACGCTGGCCAGACCTGCTCAGGATGAATCCTCAAGTCACCATCGCTCTGAGGTATATTAATTCATGTGCATGAAGAATGGAGATGTTGTATTGGATTTCAAATGTGCTACATTTTTATGTGTTTGAATTAATGTGCCTTTCCCATGTTTGTTTGTCAGTTAATGTAAAAATGCATATGATGCTTTATAGTGCAGTGATGCATCCAAAAATACTCTTGTGTTACTAGGTTTGATGCAAGATTGTTGGGAGGACCCATTTACCCCATCATTGTGTCTGAGTGATATTTACACTCAAAGGAAACTCAAGGCTTTTATCTCAGAAACACAAAATTAAAGAAGAGAAAATCTCAATTTTTCTTCTCCCTTTTGTTCTGTTTGATAAATTCTCCTGTTATGAGGAAGCAGCAGTTCTACTGAGAATGATAATGACCTCAAACTGTTTATGCAAAGAGAACCAAAGTCAACCTGTGGGCAGCCTTGGGCCATACTGGATAACACAAACCTCCATTCAACTACCTCTAGCATATTTTAACAAGATGACCAAGCACAGTTTGAAGATTAGAGTCTTCAGTTTGCTACATTAGAATAATTCCCATCATCAATCCATTTTCTTCTGCTTATCTGGGTTGTGGGAGCAGCAGTCTCAGCACCTCAACCCAAATCTCCTTTTTTTCCCAGCAATCTTTTCCAGCTCTCCAAGTGGGATCCCAAGGTGCTCTCAGGTCAGCTGGGATATGTAATCCCTCCAGTGAGCTCTGGGCCTAACTCAAGGTCTCCTTCCCTTTGGCCGTGCCTGGAACAGCTCTGTTGGGAGGCATCCTTATCAAGTGCCAAACCCCTTCAGCTGACTCCTTTTTGAAGAAACAGCGGCTGAGCTCTGAGCTCCCTCTGGATGTCCGAGCTTCTAACCTTATCTCTAAGGCTGAGCTCAGCCACCCTTCAGAGGAAATTCATTTCAGCCGCTTGTATCTGCGATCTTATTCCTTCGGTCATGACCCACAGCTCATGGTCATAGGTGAGGGTTGGAACAAAGATCGACTGGTAAATCGAAAGCTTTGTCTTCTGGCTCAGCTCCCTCTCCATCACGACAGCCTGGTCCAGCGCCTGCAGTACTGCTGACACTGCACCAATCCGTCTGTCAATCCTATGATCCATTTTACCCTCACTTGTGTGCAAGACCCCGAGGTACTCCAACTCCTTCACTTGGGGCAAAAAGTTATTCTGTCCCAATCAAAAATTGGGATAAATGTTGAACAATTTGAGAAGTCCAAAAGTCAGCTAAAAAAATCTTTCTTTTAGTTTCACCAGCAGCCAGTTTACACGTGACAAACCTGCTGCTGGCATGGTTTGCTGTACACCAGCCTCTGTAGTAGGACTGGGCGATTATATGATCGTGATCGATGATCGTGATAAATTTCAGTTCGATCACGGTGATCAGCTGTGAGCATATTTACTCGATCAAACATGGCGGAAACGTGCGTCACAACAGCCAATCAGAGTCGAGCTTTTCCTGCTCACTCCTGTAAGTTACCGGAGAAGTAAACAGGAGAAATAAACAGAATGACCGAAAACATCCAGACATGCCAGATGTCGGAAGTGGCTACAACTGCTGCTGGGCAGTTTCAAGCAAGAAAATGGAGCATCGTACATGATGCATGCGTTTCCTTTTTCTAGAGATGAAGTGTATGCCACTTCTTAACTGGTGTTTTTGTTCTGGGGTAACGGGGCTGTGGTGCACACACACATGCATTGTCCAATCATACTCCGACTACACTGGTTACATGGTAGAGAAAATCGAATTCCAATCACATTATCTGGGTGTCTTTTTTGGAGTTCTCCGACTCCAATCAGAGTTCTCAAACTTTGATTGTAGTCAGACTAAGGTGTTTACATGCACTTCAGTTGTCTGGTCTTAATCAGAGTTAGGCAATAAATTGGTTTTCTTGAGCGTAATGTAAATGTACTGAGTGATAAGGCAACCCAAAGTACCACCTCGCCAGTTTCATTTTTAAAAGACCTGCACCTTCACTGTTCGTCAGTAAGATATGGTGAGTGCACTGTAGATCAATAAAACTCCAGAACATACAGCGCCATTTTATGCAAAATTATAAATAAACTTCTGCTGACAGACACTAAGCCCTTAAAACAAGAGAAATTATAATAATGTAATTGTTAAAAAAATCATTTAAAAAGTGTATTTACATTATAAGCTGTACAAACTCCAAAACATTTTCCTTTGAAGTATTACAGTGATAATAAATCACAGCAGACTGAAATAAATCCTCTACGTAATAACACGAGAACTGTAAATCAGTTCAAATAGAGAATTGTTTCTGTATCGCAACGTGAGCTCGGGAAAAAAAAGTTAATTATAATTGTGATATTAAAGCATTTACAGTAAAAGAAAGAACAGAGGAGGGTGGGGCTGACAAGCAGCAAAGGGCTTTCAGCTACTAACACTCAGCCGCTAAACATGAGAAAGGTGCAAATCAACTGAGCTGTCGGATTATTTTTGAGCTGCTAACTGCAGAAACACAGTCATGGATTCACAGATTCATAGAAAGTGAAATTATCTTTGGAAAAATACAAAGAGCTGTTGAGATAGCAGCTGGTTTAGCCACACATCCCTTTGTCTGATGGCTTCAACTCTTTTAAAGAAAGTTTGCAAAGCGCTTCAGTCACGCCATGCAGCTGTTTGATTTCACTCCCTACAGCAGCTCCCAGCAGCGAGTGTGATCATCATTGCGCTGGAGTAATGGGGAGCTCAAAGGCTTTTCTCAAGGGGCAGCCTGAGAGTGGAGGCACCTTCTGACCGATGAGCCTGCAGCATCCATAACCTCTGCAGGCTGACTTATGTTTTAGAGCAGATTGTCCCTTTAACCGTCTGTTCTCGGTGACCACTGACCGCCGTCTGTCTGCTCTGGTCCAGGTTAGGAGCCTCTCAGTAGAGCTCTTCAAATTACACCAACAGCTCAATACAGACAAACTCAGCATGCTGCAGCACACACACACACACAAACACACGTGCACACAAAGGGCACGATCACAGCTGTTTATGAAGACACACATGCCTGCACATAGACATTAATTTCATTTGTGTGAACGTAAACACATCTGGAAACACACAGACTCAAACAGCCGAAGAAAGCCGGGCAGTCTGGTGTTCCTCAAGTTAATTTGACACAGAATCGATTTGATCCCTCGTCATCTCAATAATGATAGAAAAGATGCTAAATGCAATAGAATCGCTGAAATCTAATGTTTTGGGGTCAGATCGTTTAATGAAGAGCAATCTGAGTCTTGATTTTCACTGCATGCTTTCTGTTACCCATGTGCTGTTTTCTACAACACTTTATTGAAACGAAACAGCCATATCGTCTGAGGGAACAGCAACCAAACCGTCCTTAAAAGTACAGTTTCATTTAAGGTGGACATCTGATTGTAATCTTACAGGGATAACTTCAGTGAACGGAAAGCAAAAGATTGATATCAGAAATCAGAACTAAAGCAGACTCTTAAATCGAAAAACACATTGTGGACATTACTACTAGGGGTGGAAATCACCAGTGGCCCCACGATATTATCACGATACTTGGGATACTTGCAGTACAGTGAGTATTGCACTACAATATATTGCACTTTATACATTTTTTTTAACGGTTAAGCTAATTTAACCTTTGTCTTTCCTTTATGTTTGTCTTATTTACACTGTGTTTTATTTTCATGTAGCACATTATGAAAAATTGATACTTGGTAAATGAGACGATATATTTCATCAGACAAAATATCGCAATACTATGCTGCATTTATTTTTTTCTCCCACCCCTACTGATATGAAAAAACTTTTACAGTACATTTGTATTCCAGGACATTGTTTACAGCAGAAACCTGTAATGAGTTGTGTCTGATGTTGAGTTAAGAAAGTTCAGATCTGTACTTATATAAAAATGTTTAGTTCTAGGCCTGGATGATATAGAAAAAAAGCATATCGATAAAAAATAAATCATATTGATCGATATCGATAATTATCGATATAATTATTATAATTATTTAACATATATTTTAATTGCAGCCCTGGATGTTTTATGCTATTGCTTAATGACCTACTTTTAATAAAGAACACACAAGCACTGAAATCAAATTCAAACCTTTATTCAACCACCTTTTTATTTATTTTTTTACCACAACTGAAAGTTTTTTAAAAAAGAACTTAAAAAAAAAAGAAATCAACTTAAGTGGCCTGAGTGACGTCAGTAAATACTGACAAACATTAAGACTAAAGTGACCAGAAAATCTGATAAATAAATATTTAAATAGTCTTTTGATGAAAATAAACAAAACAAACAAATATATAAATAAACAGAATAGCTTTAGGTGGGAATAGCATACTACCAGTTTTAACTGTGTGGGAAACTGCCCACAACCTGGTGTCTGAACACTGAAATATTTCTCCCGGGGTCGGGAGATTTATTTTTTTTAATTATCATCTGATTGACTTGATACGCAAACTAAGCACGAGAAGCAGGACTTATCCACGCCGGTGTTGTGTCGTAGAATGCACCCCTGCCGAACGCACCCCCTGCTAGTAGTCATGATCCAAATACTCGCGTCTTTGTAAAATATGAGCTCATTTTCTTCCACTTTAAGAAGCTAATGAGTGGACGGGATGCAGGGGTGCATTCTACAGCACAACACCGGAACGTATTTCCTCTGCACCCTTCTCAGCTTTTCAACCCCTGACCCATTTTCATGCCTGAAGCGCTGTGTTTGAGAAATACTTGCGGCCGGGCACTTCATATCGCGGGTCAAGAGTGGCTAGAAGCTGGTCGAAGCCAGGCTTTTCAACGGTAGTTATTGGCAGTATGTCCCTCGCTATGGAGCATGTTACTGCATGGGTGATGTCCTTATGCCGCTCGGACGCTTTGTCGTATTTTGGCAAGAAACGAAGTCCAGTTTGGTCTGCTTCACTTGCTTTGTGCTGGTGCTGGCAGCGGTTCCAGGGGATTCCTCCTCCGACGACGTGGAGCCGCGGCGCGGCCGACACAGCTCGTACTCCTGCGGGTGCGATCGGTTTAGATGGTAAAACAAGTTGGTTGTGTTACCAGACTTGGTTTTTACTAATTCTCTGCAAATTTTGCAAACGACCGCTGCTCGCTTTTTGTCAGACTTGTAAAAGCCAAAACATTGCCATGCTGGAGAACTACTGAAACCGTTTTTCGGGACAATTTCCTCCGCTTCTCCTTGCTGTAACATTATTTCTAATACACGTGCTGTCTGTTGTGGTTTGAGAGGGGCTGGGCTTGGTGCCGTAGCGTACCTGGGTCTGCGTTTGTGATTGGTTGGGAGGAAGTAATGACTGTAGTAAAAGCTACATGATAGGCTATGATGAAAAAGAAAGGGAAACTGTGTTTTTCTATCGAACTTTTTATCGACCCGTTTTTTTTCTATCGCACCACACGTCTATCGATCGATATATATTGTTATCGAATTATCGTCCAGCACTATTTAGTTCACAAGTTTTTTTTTTCTTTTAAAGAATTAAATAATTTATTAAATGTCATTTATAGTTTGGTAGTGAGGTGTGTTGGGTATTTGAGTTGTCACTTAAACTCTCTTGGTTCGGTATAACTTTAGCAACGGTGGCATATAATTTAGATTGAGGGAAAAAAAGCTGATCTTTCCTCTTTTGTCTATCAAGGAGGCTCTTCATAAACCTTCCATTCCCCCCTGTACAACAGTTATACATTTCTTACTCCTTCTTTGGTTTTCAAGATGTGCAAATAAACTAAACAAACTAAGCTAAGTGTGACAAAGCTTGTGTGATTCATTTGCACTCATGACCAAATAAATACCACAGCAGAACCGGCTCCATGTCATGGTGCAGTCAAGTAAATCACGGGATATGAGGTGTGCTTAATGATGCCTCATGAAAAAAAACAGCTGCAGACCACATAGGATCTGTGTATCCAAAAACACTGGTTATACATCTGTATTATTAGTGACAGAGAGTGAAATAACTCTCAGAGTGACATGTATTCCTGCAGAGGTTGATAATAGCTGTGATTATGTGTCTGAGCTGCAGCTTACTGAAAAGGGACCTTTGAGTTGTTTATTTTTCGCAATCACGTGCAACAATCATACTTTAACCTTATACGTCGGTGCTTTGTGGTGCCTTACATGGTGTGTTGTGTGTGTGTGTGTCTATTTCTGTAGGCGTATGTGTGAGTGTGTGATTACCCATGCTGTTATCAGCAGCAAGCCGCCATTCACTGCGGCTGAAATGAAAGGTTTTCCTCTGTCACAAAGCAGTTTCTTTGTTTCCATGGTGCTATGATTCTGTCAAAATCCCAGAGAAAACAGAGGGGGGAGAAAAAAAATCAATGTCCCCCATCACCAGCAGCAGTCTCAGCCTAGCAGGCTGCCGCCATGCAAGTACACACACCGACACATGCATACACAGACAGTGGGAGACACAATAACAGGGGAAAAGTTGGCCATGCGAATTAAATCTGTTTATCTGATTTTTGTGGACCAAAGGAAGTTGACCACGGTACATGTTGGATTGATTTGATAATAGCAGCTTGAAAAGGAAATAATCCTGAGAGGTTAAAAAGGAGAACTTTCATACGACCAGCAGATTCTGATCACGCTGACATTATTTACAGCAAAGGCCTGCAGTGACTGTGGCCTGGTGCACAGTGGAGTTAAAAAAAAAAACAACATTAGTGATGTGGAAATACTGGAGGGCCACAGACTTAACGACGGATTTTACCTATAGTTTTATCACAAAAATGTCCTAGATTCAGTCAGGATGCAGGACTGGAAACTTGGTGATACAAAGGATTTTGGATCTCCAGAAACTCAAAGTAAAGGGTCATCTTTAAACAGTCTTACTTGTGTTCGAGGTGTTTTGAAGCTGAAATTTTTTTGTGGAGCTTCACCCTTACATAATGTCATCACTCTGCAGGTATCTGTCATTAACCGAGGAGTCTGATATTTCAGAGAGAGAGAGATCATAAGACTGCCAAACACTTGCAGTCTTTATAAGTCCATATCAGTAACAGGCAAAGGTTTGATTCTAGAGTATCTTGTACAGTGTACTGTTAAAAAGGCTTTTAACTCTTGATATTAGGTTACATGTATAAAAAAGGTAATAAACAGTTGTAAATGCAAAGCTGTGTGGCATGAAAGTAACTATGATGTGTGAGATAAAAACAAAGCAGCTAAAAGTATTTTTCAGATCAATTCGATATGCAGCATGGAGAAGGTTTTAAAAGCAAACAAGTTTTTTGTGCTGCTTGGCTTGCATCACACCAATATTAAGGTCCTTTCACACCGGGACCGTTTTATCGTGCAATTATTTCGCTTGTTGTTGCAACATCTGATTCACCGGTAAATCCAACATGGCCGACTGGCTGATTGTTTCCGTGTCGGAGAACTGAGTGCTTTTTGATAAAAAAACACAAACATTACAAAGATAACGACCTGAAGGACAATTTGTGGAGAGTCATAGCCTCTGATTTCTCATATGACAATGGTTTGTGTGCTTTAACAGTTTGCTAAATGTCTTGTTTTAACTTTCATCTGTGCTAAGTAACTTTAGCTCGTAAGCTAACCTGTTCAGATACAACATACCACATGTATTTTCACTGTCTCAAACTCAATCACGTTGCTGTCTCAGCATCATTAGGTCTCGGTTGTTACCTTACGTTTATGGATTAAAGTTTAATGTGCTTATCTGGTACTGGCCCCGACTCAGTACATGCTATCATGACAGACAGACATCTCAACACTAGTGTCTAATCAGAACTGAAAAATAGTCAGTCTGCTGTTGTGTCCGTCTTCTCACTTCCACCCGGGACACGTCTTTTTTCCCCCCGGAAAGTCGAGAAAATCACATCAGGCTTGATGTGTCTAGTCAGGTGCGCCAAATTCGCCTCTGAATATTTCGTAATTTCTTGTCATATATTTGCATCAGTCCCGGTGTGTAAGGACTTTTACACTAAAGTTTATGGTTTAAGGGCACAGGCATGGAAACTCCAAGCAGCCCTATAGATGTGGGTGGCACAGGTTCGACTATGTTGATCCCCACCCTCTCTCTTCTGTTTTGAGGGAACACGATCCTATCCTTGTTACAAAGGCCAGAGAGTCTCAAAGTAAATCTTGACAGTGACAGTCAAGGTGGGTCAGAGCGCTGTGGCAGAATCTGGGAGTAAAAATACAGACCATTTAAAACGATGTTCCTCAAGTTTCTGACCTCACCTGGTGTAAAATAAATGTAGATTCATGTGTTTTTACGTTATTACTGTATGAGTTTTTAAGCCACTATCCACCTTTCACCGGCCACAGACTCACTCAGAGCTGCTGTCAGAAAACGCACAAACACGCTGAACGCTGTTTGGGTTACTGTGAGGTCTCGCGGGGCCAGGGACGCAATTTGAGATTTTTGACCTTACTTTCAAATGAAACTAAAAAAAGATGATTCAATTTTTAGGACTCTGTAGGGGCCTCCAAAACACCCTTCTTGAAGACCGGCCAGAAGAAAAGGGTCCTGTGAAGTGTGTGCGTGTATGTGTGTCTGCCTCTTCTGCCACTGATGGCTAATGTGAGGCCATTAGTGTGGGTTTGTTTGTGTGTCCCTCTTTGAACCCCCTTCAAGCTTTTAAGACACTCCTCAAGATTCTTCAAGGCTGCAGATACTCACAATGGACTGTCTGAAACATGGGCAGTGCGTGTGTGTGTGGGTGTGTTTGTTTGAGTGTGTGCTAAAGTCTGTGTATGTTGCCTTTAACAGTACTTGTGTATTTTTGAAAAGCCACTTGGTGATCTTCGATGAAGCTCTCCATGAAGTTGGAGACAAGCAGCCAGGACATCAAACCTGGTCATTAAAAGAGGCTTTCACGGAAGTAAGGAGGCAGGTGATGAAGATGAGGATGATGAGGAGGAGTAATTAGAAAAGATGAAGGAAATGGACTCACTGCTTTTATCTGGTTTTTTAGACCTTAAAGGCTTGAGCAAAGTTGGAAGAATCTGAGGCAAGCAAATATAAGGGAAAAAAGATGGAAAAAGCAGTGATAGAAAGATAGAGAAGACGAGAGAGAGAGAGAGAGAGAGAGAGAGAGAGAGAGAGAGAGAGAGAGAGATACTGTACAGACACTCAACACCACCTAAATACAAGATGTAATTCCCTTTTCAGGCAGTCAGATGTTCCCGTTCCTCCTATATTACATCACAGCTATAAATCTTGATTTCTTTCATTGATCACAAACAGGTTCTGCAAATACAATTTCAAATTTAAAAGCTAATGCACAAAAAAGCTTAAAAAAATCAATTTTTATTCCACTAAAGCGGGCCCATATTGCGAGAAAGTAGACAAAAATCAAAGCCGATATATACATTTTCCTGTGAAATCATTCCTTTTTGGCCCGGCGTAACGAAGTTCGAGAGAACATAAAGCACAGAGTTTTTTTTTTTTTGTTTGGTGGGGGGAGGGAGGAACAGCGTTGAGATGTAGGAGAAGTTTAGACCATTAGATTTATTACCCAGGGGCAACAAAAAAAGGGAAAGTGAGGCATCCCATCTAAAAGAGATTAGAGACGCGTGAGCACTCCTCGGTGGGTGAGGTCATGCCCAAAAAAATACAACACATCTCAGAAACTAAACTACACATAATAACCTGAAAAACATCAGCTACACAATCACACATTTCTCTACTCCTTTTTGGGTTCAATACCCCTGAATAGTGACTTTCATTACATGTGGAAAATAAAAATGCTAAAAATGTGTAAAATGTGCAAAGGAGAAAGAAAACATTCACATTAGATGATGACTGTTTCTTACTCAAAGTATTAATGATGGAAACTGCTGGTCCCAGGCTCTGGAATAAACTCCCCAACGAAATGAGACTTATTTCTCATCTGGGCGTTTTCAAATCTCGACTGAAAACGTACTTACGTATGCTGGCTTTTGATACCCAGTAGCATGGTGACACTTTATTTTATTGCATTGTATCTTATTCTTTTTTTTATTGCTTTTATTATTTTTGTTTATTTATTCATATTTTTACTACAGTACAGGTCAAGAGTTCGGACACAGCTTCTCATTCAATGCATTTTCTTTATTCTCATTACTATTTAAATTTTAAATTCTCACTGAGGGCATCAGAACTATGAATGAACACACGAGGAATCATGTGCTCAAGAAAAAAGTGAAAATAACTGAAAACATGTTTTATATTTAAAATTTCTCAAAGTAGCCACCCTTTGCTTTTTTTGATAGCGCTGCAAACTTTTGCTGTTCTCTTAAAGGTAGTCACCGGAAATGGTTTTTACTTCACAGCTGTGCCTTGTCAGGGTTACTTTAAGTACTTCTGTCATCAAGAGCAAAGGGTGGCTACTTTAAAGAAACTACAATATAAAACATGTTTTCAGTTATTTCACACTTTTTATATAAGTACAAAATTCCACGTGTTCATTCATAGTTTTGATGCCTTCACTGAGAATCTACAATGTAAATAGTCATATATAAGAAAATAAAGAAAAGACATTGAATGAGAAGGTGTGTCCAAACTTTTGGCCTCTACTGTATATGTATTGTCAAGCACCGTGGTTCACCGAAAGGGTTGTTGTAAACGGCTGTATGAATAAAGAACATTTACATTTACATAAAGTCTTACCCCTTTATTGCTTCAAAAACCAGACGCAGAGAGGTTTATAGCCTGACAAAAAGCAAATAATCTGCCTTTATTTCAACTTTAATCAGCTTCTTAACACAGAATCAACTATTTCCTTTAATTTGAATGTGTGTCCGTATTAAAAGCCGTCTGATCTGATCCGGCACTCTTTGTAAACTCTCATATTCCCTTCATGTTACCTTACCCTCCCCTCCTCTTTTCATCCTTCAAAGCTCTATTGAGGAAGATGCTGCTGCTGCTCTCAGTGGGAATTCTGGCTTAAATAAAATAGAAAAACACATTTGAGAAACTAACATTAAAGACATGTAGAAATGAAAAGTGCCTGCAAAGCTTTGAGAAAATAACGAATAGAAAAAGGCACTTTTATCATTATGTGGACTTTTTATTCCTGCTGAGCAGCGGAGAAGAGCAGCGCTGTATCGAGCAGTTTCTTTGTCCAAGCTTTATAGTTTCAGTGCAAAAGAGTTGAGCTGCAATATTTTGGTTTGTTTATGTTCAGAGCTCTGTTGTTGGTGCGTACAGTCAATAATTTCACCTCTGTGATCGTGTTGCATTGTGTAAGGTGCTCGCTGTCTCAGGTGGCAGGAAGCCTCAAGTGTGTTAAAGATGGTCCCTTGCACCCTCTCCTCTATGTGCAAGAAGGACAAAGAGTGATGAAAGAGTGGAGAAAGTGAGTGATGAGTGGTTAATGAGAGGTGGTGGAGGTGGTGCTGTATGTGTGTGTGTGTAAGGGGGGGTAGGATTTGGGATGGAAGGGGTCACTCCACGGGGTGAGGAGGATCAGTAGCCACAGAAAGAGAGAGAGAGCAAATGAAAAGAGAGAAGGAAATATGAAGAGGAATGGGAAAGAGAAGGAAGGATGAAACGGATGATGAGAGAAGAGAGTAAAGGAGGTAGAGGGAAAAGAAGGAGGAGGAAGAAGAGGGAGAAGACAGGAGCGGAGAAAGGGAGAGAGAGAGTCAGGATATTGATCGATCAGACCTGTCGGCAGCCAGACAGCCAGGGAGACGTCTGTCCTTGTGCTGCCACTCTCTGGCCTGCAGACACCTAAACACCCCCCACTCCCTACCCCTCCACCCTGCTCTTACAGGGGTGTTGGCGTCAGACCAGGGACTGAGCATGTGTGTGCATGTACTGACGTGCATGTCGGCGTCTGTAGCTGTACATTTCTACGTGGCATTTAGCGTGTATCCCCGGTTTCTCTGTGTGTGCACGGGTTGCCCTGCCCCTGCAGCCTGCCTGCCTGCCTGTCGCTGCCCTGCTCTGCGTCTCAGAGGGCCTCAGGTGTGGTGTGTCTTCTCCTCTGTGGTATTAACTAGGTTCCAGTCAGGAAACTAATCTCACGCTCTCCGTCGCACACAGATGCATCTCAGGAGTATGGATTTTATCAATACAAGGAGCGCCGTGCACTGAGGCAGTGTAGTCTTTTCTGTCAACCACCAATAACCGCCCCTCCTCCTCCTCCTCCTCCTCCTCAACCTGCTCATCCCCGTTTGGGAATTTGTCCTTCGATAGAATTCTTTTCCTCGACAAGAAACATCATTTCCAGCAAAGTGTCTGTGGCAGGAGGAAGCCAGCAGAGAGTGATGTGGCAGCTGCAGCACAGGTGGAAAAAGAATGACTTTTCCTGTTTTATTTTAGGTAACAATTGTCACATGTTGGATTTAATGAATGTCGCTATCTATCGTCAAACTGAGATGACACTTTAGTGACTGAGCCTCACTGATGGCAGCTCTTAAATTTGGAGGAATAAAAACTGGATGTGGATGGCAAAATTCCTGGAGGAAAAAAAAAAATACTACAACGATTTTTTCTCAATTGTGTGTAAAGTAGTTGATTGTTTTTTAAGGTTAAAGTGTAGTGTAGAGAAACTTAACTTTCAGTTGAAGGATGTCCTTGTCTGTAGCATAAACAAGACCCACAGAAAACTTCCTTTTCTTCTTTTTGGTCAGTTCTGGCAGGAGCATTTCTCCACCACAGTGATAAATCTTTAAAGAATAACATCCATAATTTTTCTGTACTGTCTTTAACTGTTTAGTGTCTCTTTTAAATGTTTCATGTTTACGCACAAAGTCAAGAACTGTTAAATATTGTATATCCTTCAAAAAACCTCTTTAAGGTTAAGCTACACTTTACTGCGTTTCACGTTTTTTTTCTCTAAGAAGAGCACTTATACTGAGTGGCCTAATGTAGGGCTGGGCGATAAACCGAAAATTTACCGATACCGAAATTTACAACAATAACCAATGTCATTTTGCCCATGTCAATATATTAGGTGTCAAAAAAATAAATAAATCAAAGTTTGTTTTGGATGTGTGTCAGTAAGCTATGGTCTCATGTCCCTTTAAAGACGCTGTCCTACGTCGGAAACGTGACTCCACCTCATCCAGTCCCTAACAAAAAAGGGAAAGACAGGTGAGGAGATGGAGGACGGTTCAAAAGTTGTAGCGGCTGGAGCGGCAGCTGAAGTAGACAAAGTTAATGTGGGAAGGAGTGAGCAGCTTGTGGAGTAGTTATTATCCATTTATAGTTGTTGAGGTGAACTGCTCAATGTATCGTGATATTGATTTGAGGCTATATCGCCCTGCCCTAGTCTAATTAATACAGCGGGTTTACATTTTGATACAAAAGCTCCAACATGCAAAAGTGTTGTAGAAGAGGATATCAAAAATAAAACGATAAAAAAATAAAAAAAGGCAATGTGTTATTGCAAATCCACTGAGGCAGGAGAGAGAGAGAGAGAGAGAGAGAGAGAGAGAGAGAGAGAGAGAGAGAGAGAGATGAGTTCATAACACCTAAAGGCCAACAGGCTAAGGGTGATATAAAGAGCTCGACATATCAATAATTGTCTTCCTGACTCAGTGGGTAATTATGAAGATGGCATATGACTCTTGCGCATCAACAATCCTCAAAAGTCTCCAACTGGAAGAGAAATAAAGTGAAGCCTCTCTATGATATTATGAATCTAATAATTCCTAATCCTGAGCAGGTAAATCTCTGTCTGCCTTTCATGAGGATTGTCCAAGCAACATGTTAGTGATGAAACTTCTAAAGAGCAAAATTTGGCTTTTATGTAGAAAGTGAAGATTAATTATTAAAAAATGTGAAGATATCCACAAGAAGAACTGATTTACGACAAATAAAAAGAAATAAAGTGTTTGACACTCAACGATATCTGGAAGATGATCCTACATTTTATTTTGAATGACTGTGCTTTGAACAGTGTAAATTAATATATTATATAGGATTCAGTTAGAATAACTTTTCTCTGAAAACAGTGGTCTTTCATTTGGGATCATAATTTCTCCAACCATATATCCTTTTAACATCCCTAAATATGTAAACTATCAAAAGTGTTTGGTGGAGATGCATGAATATTATGTTCAACATCTGACATGACGATATTTTCAAACCTGTTTTTTTTTTTTTGGCTGATACTCATATTAGGGATGCACCGATATCGGCTCTGATACTGACAAATTAACTGGATCAGATATCTGATGAATGATGCCAATCCAGCATTCCGATACTGTCTTTCTTTTCTTTTTGCTGGGTGCTAAAGTGCGATTGGTTATTTGTTAATAAATAATATCAAGTATATATAAATCTGTGTTAATTTGTTTTTTTAACAAGGTTAATATAAAGCCTGATGTCTTCACTCACAGGGCAAGGTATACAGTTCATTCATTCAACAGTAGTATTGGATCTGTATCCGATATCGGCTGATACGCTAAGCCCTGGTATTGGTATCAGATTTGATCTGAAAAAATTTGATCTGTGTATCTCTCAGTGATCTCAAAAGATTTGTTTTGACTGAAAATGAAGTGTTTATTTCTGAATATTGAGATTCAATGATGTCTGCTTCCAACACTTCAAAATATCTCCACACAGCTTATATGTTGTCACATACATGTAATTTATGTGTCAACTTTCTCGCCAATAATCATATCAGCAGAAAAATTCATCTGCTGATACCAATAATTACCTTTTTCATCTATTATTGAAGACAATCACACTGTATTTCTGCAGAGTTTAGCTGATTCAGTCTGCTGGTGTGTACACACAGTGTAGCGGACGCTACCTCAGCCTCATTCTGAGTCAAGAAAAACCCCCGAGTACACCGAAATGGTAAGTAAAGAGTGAATACCATCAATAAAGTTCCTTCAATCAAGTCAGAATATCGTCCTCTTCTGCGGGTAAATTACAGGATAAATTTGACAGATTGAGGGTCCCACTCTTCCCTCTGGCTGTCACTCTATCTTTTCACCCATTACAGCTGATCCTATTGTTCCAAACCCAGAGAGCTGCGAGTTGACCCCAGAGGTCAGATAATCAGATGCTCTCCTGTGTGACCCGCACTAACCTGCAGTTCAGGGGACAGTTTGGTATAAAATCAAGCCTCTTCTCTGCCTGAAAGAAGAGCTCGGATAATACTGGGCTGCTGTGGTGTTGCAAGAGATATAATTGAAGTTTGAGCTTCACTGGGATGCAACAAAACATAGCAGTGAGACAGGAGCGCAGGGCATTAAATGAAGATACAGAAAGACAACACTTGTTTGTCTGTTATTGTCAAACATAAATGAAAATATAAAACAAATGAGCCTTTTCTTGGAGACAGGATGAAGGCAATAACTCTGCGTGGTCATGTCGATACCACTTTAAAGGATGCAACTGTCTATAATTTAAGGGAAATTTCTGAACGCTATTTTTCCCCATTCTGACCTCCTCCTGATACGAACATTTTTCTGATTTCATACAGTCAATATTTAGCAGCCTTGGAGAGTCAATTCGTATTTCGTCTTCTATTTAAAGCAACGCTTGTAATTACAGCTTCAGATGTACTCAAAGTGCCTCGAACAGTGGCTCATGGTAGTGTTGACGTTAATGCTCGTCTGTAACAGTGTCAGTGCAAAGTGTAACTGACATGATGATCGGACAAAGGCAAAACACAGAAAGCGCCCGAGAAAATGGAGGAGAGACGCAGGTTTAAGTGAAAGAGAGGCGAAAGGGAAAGAAAGAAGAAACGAGCGTATGGGAGAAGGTGAATCTGATTTCTCCCGGTAAATTGGACTCCCCTGCTTTCTCTAATTCATGTTTCAGAGCTGCTGCATCGACGGGGAGATGGAGAGGGCTGAGAGAGCGAAAGAGCGAGAGAGAGAGAGGAGAGAGAGAGGGAGAGAAGAAAGAAGGGGAAAAGGGAAGACAAATCCATGCAGGGGAGAGCAGAGGGAGAGAGGGAGACTGCGGCCGCTCTCCCACAGGCAGACAGCAATCAATAAATCAATAGGAAACTGTGGTTGGCTGGAGAACGGCTGGGGCTGGGAGGATGGAGGATGGAAAAGAGAGAGACCTGAATCAAAGTAGCTTCAAGATGGATGGAGCAAGGAGAGGAAGAGGAGGAAGAGAGGGAGGGGAGGAGGGAGGGGAAAGAGCAGGGGTTCAATAGAGGTGGAGGCGTTGAGAAGGATGCAGGAGGAGGGGATGAGTGCGTTGAGGAAAGGTGCTTTTAGCAGGAGCTGTGAGGGGGCAAATGGGTGGAGGTCTAGCAGGCTTTTTGGGGTCCCCTCCCCTCCCCTCCCCGCCCCTCCTCACCCTTCCCTTTCCCTCCCTGTCCTGCCCGAAGCACATCCTGCATCAGTGGTGCAGTGATAGGGCTTGGCACTGTGCGATGCCCCGCTGTGGTCTGCCCAATGAGCCCAGTGAAGCGCGGCTGTATCTGGGGCTGGGGGAAAGCCGTTGGCCCCCTCTGCCCGCTGGGTGCAGCCTGGTTGACTGGCTGCTTCCCTGGCTGCCTGCCTGCTGGCTGCCTGGCTGGCTGGACATCGATCTCAGTGGGTTGGAGAGTACAGCTGGACGCACACTGAGAGCTGGGGCTAAATCTGGCTCAGGCTCAATCAACGTTTGCACCTGTCTTTTCCAAAGGGAATTAAACATAGTAGATAGAGAGAAAGAAAGAGTAATGGTGTGTGTGAGCACACGTGTGAGTGTGTGTTTGTGTTTGAGCGTGTGTGTGTGTGTGTGTGTTCAGGGTAAGTTTTGATGGTGCAGAAACTGTAAAGAGTTTGTGAGGAACGTGCTGGTTTTATCATTAATCAACATGGTTTTACTGCAGCAGGTGAGGCTGTACTTTGAGTGTGTGTGTGTGTGTTTTAGATAGACTACATGTGTGTTTGCACCTTCTCTATAGTATATAGACCTTTGATGAACAAATGACAAAGTGAAGGCGTGAAAGATGCAATGCTGTATGCAGACCAAGGCTGAAAATTACAGCTATCATGCCAGTAAAAAAGTCATTTACTACTGAAACTATCATTCTGTTAATTGGATTGTGAACTGCAAACGTTCTTATAAATCTACCAGTACTCTTTAGACTCAAAACAACATTAAAATCTCAACTCAAGTCATATTTTATCTTTGCTTTAAATACGAGTGTTGATGTAAAATGTGCACAGAGGAGGAAGAAAATGAGGCTAAAAGAAGAGAAAGAGATGAAGTGTTCTTGAGTTGGGAAAGATTTTAAGGTGAAAGGCTGTAAATATAAATGAGAGAAAGATCTCACTACATGGCTGTGTTAACCTGGAACTTTTAGGTTGAATGTCAGAGTTAATATTTAAAAAGACGTCCAGCGAGCTTTGAATGCTCATACATTACTGACAGGCACCCATGACGAGCAAGGTCCCCTTTTACAGTTTCTAGCAGGCAGCTTTTCTTCGCAGCCTTGAAGGCAGGAGGACCTTAGAGGATGTGATGGTGTTGCATCCATCACTGCTATCTGCTGTTTTGTACCTGTAACTTCCTGGCAGTCTGCATTCAAGCATGTTTACGCACTTTTAGTAAAGATTATAGGAATGTAAGAGTAACCGACTAATTAGTGGGAATCACTAGTGGCCCATGATACGATATTATCATGATACTTTGGTCATGATACAATATTAATGCGATTTTTAACATTTTGCAATACAGTGAGTATTGCACTACAATATACTGTGATTTACACATTTTTTTTTAACTGTTTAGCTAATTTAGCATTTGGCTTTCCTTTCTGTTTGTCTTATTTACACTGTATTTTATTTTCATGTGGCAAATCTTACAGACCTTATATATATTTGTTGCAAGAACTTTCTCCTGACATTTGGTCAATGAGACGCTACGATATATTGCCAGACAAAACATTGCGATACTATGCTGTATCAATTTTTTCTCCCACCCCTACGACTAATAATTAAATTTGTCACTAACTAATTTTGTCATCAGTTTCTGTAGATGTTGCCTTATTATTGTACCCTAAGACTTGTCCATATGTTTGAGTTAAGCAGATAGTGAGATAAAATGTTAATCTTGAAGGTTTATCAAAGACTGTCTGTCACTGTGTGTTACTGAATGAAACTGGGCGCTAGGTTTTTACTGTCTAGATGTTCACAGCTACAAAAGCATCTATTTTGTAGTAGGCATCAAGAATAGGAGTGGGTAAAAAGTCAACATATGGCACTGACTTGTTTGGGGAGTCACTGCAGCGTGCAAAGAAATAGTCCAAACCCCCCACCGCCAAAACAAAGAAAGGAGGGAAGGACACATAGCTTGTTATCAAGTTGAATTTGGAGATGTGGGTTGGTAAACTTTTCTACCTTTGGACCGAGGCAGATATGCTGACCTCTGGTCTGTCTGCTGTATGCTGAGGCAACAAAGCCTTCTTCATATTTAGCTCCTGTGTATGTTTTTTTCAGTGTTTGTGAAGTTAACTGGAAGTCATGTTGAACATTAAAAAAATAGATTGATGATCTCCACATTGAAATTTCTAATGTCTGAACCCCCTGCAAGAGGGTAGGTATCAGCCAAGAAGCCAGAGATACAGCCCTGTTTGACAGTTTTTCACCGTCCAATGTCAGAATGATGAGATTTTCTGTCAGAAGATTTCAGCATGTAGAGGTGAGACAGGCAAAGATTTGTCCACAGAGGGCGCCAAAGTTGACACAAACTAAGACTTTGTCATAACCCTCTAATATAAATCTCAAATAGGGCTGGGTGATAAACCGAAAATTTACTGATTCAGAAATTTACAACAATAACCAATGTCATTTTGCCCATATCGGTATATTCTTTGTCAAAAAAATAAATAACTAAAAGTTCTTGGATGTGTTTTTGGATGTGTGTAGGCAGGCTATGGTATCATGTCCCTTTAAGATGCTGTCCTACGTCAGAGACGTGACTCCACCTCATCCAGTCTGTAACAAAGACGGAAAGACAGGTGAGGGGATAGTAGAGGACGGTTCAAAATTTGTAGTGGCGAGAGTGGCGGCTAGAATGGATGAAGTTAATGTGGGAGGGGGTTAGCAGCTTGTGGAGTAGTTATCGTCCATTTATTGTTATCAAGGTGAACTGATCAATATATTGTGATATTGACTTGGAGCCATATTGCCAAGCCCTAATCTCAAATGGATGATTTTTTTTTTTTTTTTAAACGGTCCCTCTTTAAATGTCTTTATGAAATTATGGAAACACCTGGAAGAAAACAATGATCCTTGAAATCCTGCTTCATTTGTTAAGTCTATTGTCCATGTTATCAGTTAATTTTTACATCTAAGAGTCCACTGTAATTATAGATTTCTAACTACTGTAAATGCTGATCAACATCCTGAGGTTTCCAGGAACATCACAGAGGACGGTAGTCGCTGGCAGCGGTGGCCTTCTTTAAAGCACCTCAATAAAAGAGCATTACATATTCACTCTCCCTGAAATTACCACCTTCATAAATCAGCTCCCTTCCTTGTTTTACAATTTCATGGTCTACTTGGTTTAGTGATTGTGAGAGCCAAACCGCACAAAGATCAAGGATTGATGCGTTTAACATATTTTATTGGTTTGAATATTTCATCTTATTGATAGGTGAATATTTGTGATGCTTTTTACATCCATGTCATGTTTTTCATGTCTGAAAAACATCAAATTAGTTAAAATCAAAGTCCATGTGGAGGAAGCATGACACATCTGTATGACCACACTTCAACATCTTTTATGTTCACTAATTTCTGCTCCTGAAAGCAGCTTCAAATGAGTACTGGAGAGTGTAAATTAAAACAATCAGATATCTCTGAGCTTCCACCAGCAAACCTTTAAAATGTTTAAAGCTGTTATCAATAGTCGTTGTTCAAATAAGCTTTTTGCATCGATAGCTGATTAGATCGTTTTCTACAGAGTCTTAATCAGCTTCAGGCTCATGGTGCAGACTGTTGGAGACTTGTAGCACAAATATAACCAACAATCAGTGTCCTGCAACTGTAACAAATAACTAGTCGACTCCTGTTTCCTCTTCTTCCCCTTTTCGTTTTCCTCTCTCTCTTCTCCCATCTGCTATATTTTCTTCACTTTACCACACTCCACTCATCTCCTCAATTTTCTTCTCCCTTTGACCTTTCCTCTCTTACTCTGTCTCCTCTTATCCTTCCCTGTCTTTGCTTTCCTCCTCATCCTGCATTACTTTTCTCTCCCTCCTCTCCTTCTCTTCTCCTCTCTGGGGTCCCATCCTACAGAGGCTGCTCCCACCCAGACACAGATGGCCCCCAGATCAGATTTATCAAGGCCAGTGGAGCCCTCTGTAAAAGGTCACTCTCTTAAAAGCTGACCGATCAATGGTCCAAGTCCTACTACTAACAGCCGAGCTCTTTCCGTACCTTCTTTTTTCGTGTGTGTTTGACCATGAGTTTGTGTACCTACATGTGTATCTAAGCAGGTGTGTATGCTTTTATCAATGCATGTACCTGTGTGTGTGTGTGCAGCTCCGAGACGGGACCCTGGGTGTTACTAATCGAAGGTCCGTCCCTCAGACGCTCCTCTAATGACCTCTCCCACCTCTATAGTGCAGCCCTATTGAGGCTCTACTAAATATTTCAGCATGTCATTAGCTCATTACACGTCATTATCTACAGCACGCTCAGCCCGCCAGGATTAGCTGCGAGACTTTTAGCAACTTCTCGGTGGGAAATCAATAATCAGCAGACACTTTCAATCACTGGGATCATCCGTGAGGCTATCAGAAATTCACACAATCATACACATGGGTGCAAACACACCCGCCCACACATCGAGGTGTGAATTCGCTTCAGAAAGTCCATATTTTCAATACATCTGCTTCTTTTTTTGTACCTGACCAATATAGAGGTGGTAGCAGTAGGTTACAGGTCTTGTTGGTACATTTCCTTTTTACCTTATTTTCCTGTAATTAGGCATAAACACAAAGACATACTGCTGTATTAATATTATGTTCCACCTCTTTTTTAATCTGATATGATTGTTATTTTTGATGATATTAAATCCTTGGTCTGTTTTTCATGCACGTCTTCCAGAGGACTTGGCAGTATTTTTAGACTCCACAGGTTTCCAGTCGAACCAAATAGACTATGGGTATTGAGAAACAAACTGAAGTCTTGACACTGGTACACTTGACAGACTGTGCAGACTATTACTGCTGTTTGAAACACTTTAAAGGGTTGCTCCAGCAGTTAACTATTGCCCCTCCATTAAGATGGTGGACTCACAGGAGACAGTTTAGAAAACCAACAGCCAGACCCGGAGCAGCAGAGGCCAAAACATCCTGACTTTTAGTCCCTTTAACAGCTCAAACTCTGGATCCTACATTTACCACAATGCAACTGGTCGTTGTCTTTTATTAGACCGTGCCTCACCGGTAGGCACCGAAACCTTTTAAACTCCTGACCACTTTTTCCTCCCTGTGAAGGGCTCTCTCTGGGGTCACAGATACTGTAGATGATTTCAAAGGGTTTCTAAATCTCTGTGCTAAATTTATCCTGGCTGACCAGTAAAAAATAGAAAGATCTTCACGATTTCAACAGCTGCTGACTCTCACGAGTTTCCTGCTCATTAAAAAAGCACAACAAATTGTTTCTGCTGATGTTGGTTTAGTCAGTCAAAGCAGTAACAATCACAATGTTTGATGGGAGCTTGAAGAAATGTGAGATTATGAGAACTGTTTCTTTTGTGGTGTTGATAATGTTACGGTTGGTTGACATAAAAAAGTCAAAAGATTTATACCCGATGTAAATGCAGTATATTAAGATTTTAAGTAATACAATTCTACCATTTATTATTTGGATCTTTGGGTCAGCTTTACAATCATACCCCCTCCAAATCTTACCCCACTGTTTATTGATCAACCTGACTGCTTACATACACGTCATCATTGGTGTTTGACAGAAATCATAATGAGCTGCAGTGTGTAGAGTAGGGGTGGGAGAAAAAAATCAATTCACTCAAGTATTGCGATTTTTTGTTTTATAATTTCTAAATCAATTTTTATGTTCAAAAAACTTTTTTTTTCACCCAAATTTAAGAATAAATCTTGAAAACTGACTTCCATGTGATGTGTATTTTTTTGGGGAAATTGTAAAAGTCAGTAGACAATCATAATCATTCAACTCTCTCACAGGTGTTAAAAACGCAGACTGACAATCAAGAAAATCGAGAATATTGCAGAATCGCAATTTAAATCGAATCGGCATCCAAAACATCGTAGAAGAATTGAATCGGAAGAAAAGCATATAGTCTCAGCCCTAGTGTAGAGCCCTTCTGCCCATCTCACTCTTTTTACCGACTGTCACTGCACCTGACCTTACAATGTGCTGCAGGTGCAGAAATCTAAAAGTAAACACTCTACAGTCCTATTAGCAGATTTCAGCCTTGGCGAGAATCTGAACGGCTGTCTTAAAATCCGTCTCACTTTATCGGGCATTCTCTGGAGCATCTGTGACAGCAGCAATATTGTGTGCAGGTTCACACTGCACAGTCACGTGACACACAGTCAGTTTTTTTGTGTGCTCAAATGGAGTGATATTTAACAGATGCTCATTGTTCAGGTCGTGTGACTTTTCCTCCTCATTTCTGGCGTATTATCTTGTGTGACAGGAAACCTATTCCTTATCAAAATATTGCCCCAACAAATTAACGCACTTTGTACCACAGGGGAAGTCAAAAGTATGAAGTTTCACACCTTTAGATAATGTAAAAAAAAAATCTTAATCATTCATATCTAAGGATTTGAAAGTTTCTCCCCTCACTAGACGAAAAACAGATATTAAAGCCATCCTGTTCAGAGCCACCGTTCACTGTTTGCAGCATCTTTGGACTTCCCTTCTTTTCTGCCTCTCAGGGTCACAGGCCAAGGTTGAGTGTCTCAGCTTTGCTCCCTTGAAGGGTTTGTGCGTTGAACCTGAGCGTGCCTGCTGCCTGGGAGGGAGGCGAGAGCTGTTTAAGGGAACCATGAAACCTCTTTGACACACTTTAGGAGTCACTTAACAATGGGCAGGGTGTGCGTGGTTAAGTGTGTGACTAATTTCCTTTAACACAGTGTGAGATTGAGGGACTCTGGGCCAGGAGAGGGCGGAGCTGCTACTTGTTAAGAAGGTCAGAGGTCAACCCTTCCGTGAATAGACACAGAAATCCCCAATCAATTACGCAAACACATACACAAACAGAAACACACGCCTGCGTTCGAATGCACATACAAATGCACACACATGTGAGAACAAGAGGGGTCTATTATATACTCATACATTTTTTTGTTCTGAGCAGGGGCGCTGCATACCAAAGAGAAACAGATATAATTCTGTGGGGGCAGTGAACCGACAATCACTCAAGGACGAACAGTGAAACACAACATCTATAAACAGTCCCAATAGCAGCAACCTCACCAGCAGCTTCCTCTAATCCTGCTTTGGCCTTAAATGACATGTCTGTGAGCCCATCTATCACTCTCTCCACATCCACTCCAAATGCTGAAGCAAGACAGAAGAGGGGGATGTTTGAATCAGCTCGAATTTTAAAGCTTTATCATAAAGAGGAATTACAACTACACTCTTTCCTCACTCGTCTGTTTTCTCTATGCAGCTGTCAGAGGTGTGTTTGGATGGCAGGGTCATTACTCAGCAAAACAGCCAACCTCCTCATCGCAGAAATTAACGAGTCATATTTGATCTGACCTGAGTTAACATTTTGGACGAATCAAGGGTAAGAGGATGAAAACGGAGACGAAATTTCAGCAACTTTTCCATTTAAATGCATCATGTAAGATTTAAAATGTTTTGTTATGGATTCACCAATTAAAACTGTGTATTCAATGAAACATGTTTTTTTTTACCAATCAAAATGTTACATTTTGTGTCACATACACATTTGTTACAGTACATTGTATTGAGAAAAACAAGGTATTATGTTGTATACAACGGTAGGAATAGGGGTGGGAATCATCAGTGGCCCCACGATACGATATTATTGCAATTTTTATCATTTTGCAATACAGTGAGTATTGCAATACAACTGACTGCAATTCATACAATTTTTCAACTGTTTAGCTAATTTAGCATTTGTCTTTCCTTTATGTTTGTCTTATTTACACTGTATTTTATTTTCATGTTGCACATCTAGCCAACCTTAAATATATTTGTTGCACTAACTTCCTTCTGCTCTATAACGTTACCTCTGCCAACCTCACTGGACAAACATCATAGATTTGAGTTCATATTATCTTATAATTTGAAAAATGGATACTTGGTGGATGAGATGATACAATATATCACCTGACAAAATATCGCGATACTATCCTGTATCGATTTTTTCTCCCACCCTTGCATAGGAAGAGAAAAATAAGAAATAACTGAGCAACTTTGAATCAATTTCAATCTGAAAACAACTTGTATGATAAAACTATCAGCCAAGAAGACAGAGGACTGCCTGGGCTGCAACTAATGAGCTCCTCCATATTCCCTCTAATATTCACAGATCTCAATTATGAGAAGTAAAGTAGTCATCCACATTTCTTCAATTTTCCTAAACTATAAAAACAGTATGGTTTACTGTTTGCCTGAATGTGTCCTTTAAAAATGATTCCTGAGATGTGCTAGAAACGTGTTTTGTAAAATTCCCTGAACCCCATTTTAATCCCACCACAATCTTACATTTTTACATCACCTGAAATGTTTTGTCCAATCCTAAAAAATCTTACCCCCCTTTCTCTTTGTCCTGCTCTCATCTCTTCCCTCTCCTTACTCGCACTCATTTCAGACGGAGGCCCGTCCCGGCATCCACCCTAACAATATTTCACATCCTGATTTATTTTGGTCCTGGAGTCATGTGACCCTAAATATTGTAACTGACCCTGGGCGTATTGATCTCCCTGTGTCGGCTAGCACTGCGACTTCCTGCCTCATAACAACCCCGAGAAACCCTCCTCGATCTGTCATTAGCTACAGCGTCATCGTCATGCAGTTAGGAGGACATGTATTCGCAGTGAACGCTGCTGTGTGTTCGTTATGCATATATTTATTTGTTTGTTTCTGCCTCATCATGTTACCTCCATCATTACCTGATTCTAAGTCAGCAGTGTGTTTCTGTGTGTGTGTATCTTTGTTTTTCTGCACATGTGCCTTGTAACTTTTGCATGTGTGTGTGTGTGTGTCTGTATCCTTAATGATGCTATTTTGCCAGAGGAGAGAAGAAACCCCTGTCACCATTGTAATGAGGGGTATTTATATCAGTTACCTGGCAGTAAACCACTCTGATCCCCTCCCCTCCTGTCTCATTCCCACAAGACAGGTGTGTGTGTGGGTCTGTGTGTGTCTGTGTGTGTCACTGCTGTGCCGCTAGTTTGCATTTAAACATAACAAAATACCTGCAGTTAAGACACATTATAGCTGCTTCCATTAGTGTGTAAGTACATATGAATGGCTGAAGGTACAAGAAATGGAGAGGGCATCCTTATGGTGTGTATGTGTGTGTCTGTGTGTGTGTGAGTGAAAAGAGGAGTGTATTGAGGGGAGATGAGACAAAGAGGGTAAATTGAAAGGAAATGATGAGGGATGAGTCTGTGTCGCACATTAGTGTTCTGCAGTTTTTTTTCACCATGATTGTCTGTTTCCTTGGACCTTCCTGTGTGTGTGTGTGTGTGTGTACGTGTGTGCGTCTGTGTGTGCTTTGTGTAGCCTTAGGGCGCAGTTTTTATCCTTATCTGTGCATGCACGAGTGTGACACATCCAGAAACGCCTTGAGAAATTTCTCCATCTTTTGACCGGAGGCCTTAAAGAGTGTGTGTTTATAGTTGTGTGTTTTACACCTAAAGCCTCGGTTGTTGCAGTGCATGTATGTGTGGGTGTATATGTACATGTGTGCGTTAGAGGTGTAGGGGGTTGCATGGGAGGGGGTGGGGGGGGGTGAGGCCGTATCCATGGTAACACCCCACCGCCACCCCCACTGGGCCCTAAAAGACAAAGCCTCACACACACACACACACACGCGCGCACACACATGTACACAGAGCACTACAGGGCCAGCTGAGCCAGATCAATATTTCTCCCCATTTAAAGAACAGAATTCAGAGAATGGCTTTTCAGCACCCAGACTGCAGCCCCGCTTTAGACCTTGGGTTTTTACACTAAACACCCAATCTGCAAAGTGGCACATTTTTTTTGGACTGACCCAAAATAATTCCAGGCTCGAATCTTTTTCTTTCTTTCCTTTTACTGTATTGATGAATCCGTTCAGCCCTGCAACGACCTCTGCCTCGCTCTCCATCTTTGTCCGACTCCCCACGTCTTTCGCTCTCTCGATTTTCCCTCCTTCACTTCAACCTTCTCTCCCGTCGGTGTTACCACTGCATGAGTGACAGGGTCAGATTGCATTCAGCATCCCCGCTCTTTGTCCCACCCTGTAGCTGACCACAGCTCAGGCCCCTGCAAGTCCCCCTCTGGTCCCCTGGGGCGTCCGAGCCCATCACTGTGGCTGAAGGGCTGGACTGGCCTTGGCCCGGTCGCCCCGCTGGCTGCATAGAAGGCTGATGGGAGGGGGGGGCATGTGAGAGTGTTTTTGGGGTATTTTCTCACTGCTGTCAGTGGGTGAAATGGAGAAGGGCTCCCTCTAGCACTACTGGGTTGCAATAACAGAAGCTTCTCCTAAAAGATCCAGATCTCCCTGGTGCACACAAAGAGAAGTAAACAGATGAAAGATAACTTCATTTGCATTGGGCTGATTTCCCCCCTCTAACATGAGAAATGCAACAAGTCAGCTGATGTATTCAGATGCATGAACATGTATGTAAGACGTGCATACAGCCAAGCACACAGTCAAACTCTCAGACACGAATAAATGCACAAACACTCAGAAAGAATCGCTCCAGGCTGATGGGTGCATCCTGTTTCTGAAGCAGCCATGGGAGGTTTCCGGGGCCTCTGGTTCGATATCTTGACAGCCCCTGTGTGTGAACACCGTGAGTGTCTGTATTTCATTACAGACATCCCACGTAAAGAGCGGTCTGTCACTCTATTCCTCCAGATAGAATAATTAGTTGTTGCTTGATTTTTTTTGTTTGTTTGTTTAAAGTTTTACTTGCCACGTCTCCAGCTCTTTCACCGTTACCAGTCAGACAGTGATCTGAGCGAGGGAACTGATAATTGATTTCATCAGGTTACAAGCTGCAGGCCAGCGGAGAGTGAGAGATTTGAGGGGACTTTACCTGAGTGGGTCCATTTTCTACATAATCCTACACAATCATCCTCCAGTCATCACTATGCTGCTGAAGAGCCGGAGTGACACATTGAAGATTACTGTGCAATGCTCTCATTAGATGTTAACACTCAGTGACCTGTCAAGTGCTCTCCAATAAAGCCCTGGCAGCCCGTGGTGGCACTAATGAGAGAACGGCGCATACGAGGAGTGAGGACAGAGTCAATCCTGTCTCGCTGTGAAACACAATGACACTTTGAAAAACGGATGAGCCACTTTTCACAGACACAACAACGGCCTGCCATCACATGTCATATCCCACATGTGAAACCACAGAGTTCTTGTCTTCTGGTCTCTATGAAATCTATTTCACATTTTCCCGTGATTCCTTCTTTTTTCCATAACTTTGAAAGTTTTCTAGATTCTGTGTTTTACAGTGAGACCACACTTTGTCACCTGTAGAGTGTCTCAACTCTGGATTAAAGGGATATTCTGACATAAAATTGAGTTGGGGTCAAACACACTGTAACACCGAGTTAGACACCCCCTTGAGAGATGAATGTTACCGATCGCTTGCTTCTCTAGTTATACCAACTTCAGCAACAACTGCACGATAGCAATACACAGCAGTCTATGGATCCACGTGCAAACCTCAACCAAAACACCACTCTATAGCCACAAATAATGCTCAGAACAGCACCTAACTTCATCAACACTTACCGATTTTCCTCCAGCAGCCGCTTGTTTGTAGCGAGACCTCAGGCCAGTCCATTACCAACTACAGCGGGGTGCCGCAGCTCAAGGAAGAACATTTATGATCATTTCTTTATCATTTCCTTAAAGTGGTAATCACCATATTAACCATTTTGCACTGCAGACACGTTAGCTCTTCTGCCTTAGCGTCTCGGTCTGATTGTATTTCCATAAAAAAGACAAGATTTCACTGAAAGGAGGAGTGTCACACAGACATTATGTGTGGGGGCTGCAGGTAATGTGCTGTTCTTTATTCCTCATCTAACAAGAGTCATAATTCTGTTGTACAAGGCAAACAATAAAATGACTTCCTTAGTTTGTTGATTTTAAATTTGATTTTTAAAAGTTCTTAATTATCACTGTGGTAGATGTTAATGTGGGGGGTTTGTTATAAAAGTAAAGCTCCTGGTGATGCCGAAGTGAAACTCAAATGTAGCTGACAATGTGACAATAGCTTCATTTTTAATTAATCAATCGGACTGAAAACTGCAGGAAATGTAACATCTGCAAAGATTTTGATAACAGACATTTCTCAATAATAGGAGGGAAATATTTACTCTTTGCAACAAGGTAGCTTTCAAGGGGGGGAATGATCAAAACCACACAGTTTGGACCTGGACTACTTTGAGTGAAGTTCTTGTGTTTTTGTTAACCCCCCCGCTGTTGTTATTCAATGCAATAGTTGGAAGTTTTTACATGCTGAGTGAGAAAGTATCGCCTCTGTACATAAAATAACTGTTGTTATTTACTGTGGGGAATTCAGACACTTGTGATGTGTTTACTGCAAGTTTGATCAAATTTATTGTAGTCAAAACTGGCCACTCTGATCACAAGATTCTCTTGTCGGAGAAATACAGTGCAAGAATGAAGTCCCTGAATGTCAGTGAGTGCACGCCTCCTCTGTGTTGTTGTGACCTGTTAGAGTGTTGTGTCTCAGAGCTATTTGTGGTGCTGCTTCTTCCATCAGCAGCTACCAAGGTTTTCTGCTAAAGGGAAGAGTCAAGATATACAGACTGGGCAGACACAGCCATATTTCAGACCGGAGAGGGAGACGTGTGCGTACCCACACTCCAACACACACATCGAGCCACACAGATATGTTTATCGCTGCACACACACACACACACACACACACACACACACAGAAAGAAAAGGGAGAGAGGGTGGTGGTGGGGAAGTGGCGAGCTAAGGGAACAGACTGAGGTGGGGCCAGGGGTTGTGTGACAAGGGGACAGGGACACGCTGTCGGTTGTGTGTCAGGGTTAGTGATGTTTCAGTGTGTGTGTGTGTGTGTGTGTGTGTGTGTGTGTGTGTGAGTGTGTGGGCATGCTGGGTGATGACACAAACACCTTAAAGTGAAGCCGACAGCCACCAGCTGCCTGTGAATAATGTGTGCTGGACAAGAAAAGTCAAAATACCCCAAAAATACACAAAGTAGTTGAAAGTGGTTACACTTTCGCAAAATATATCAGACTGAAACTTTCCATGCAGAGCGGTTAACATGTTATGTTTATGTGTGAATGTGCTGTGTTGACACAAGACTGGATTTTAATCTGCATTAACTACATCTGGAAAAAGAAGGATTGTCTCTAGGGTTGGGCATCGTTTGATCTTGAACGATTCCGATTCCTCATTTCGATTTTGGTTCCAGACGATTCTCGATTCTGATCCTTTTAAGAGGCAGGGTCAAGAAAAACTGCACTGTTTCATTGAAGGCACTAACCAAAGTTCTATTTAGATGGAATGTTTTAACTTCTCCATCAATTTTCTAATTATATGAACTTTTTATGAACTTAACTATAAATTTCTCAAAGGGGCTATTTTCAACCAATACATGAATATTAACTTTGCTGTCAGGTCGTTTGTCTATGAAAAAGTACACAGGCTAACATTGGCTGGATAATTAAGTTGACCCACTGTATACAGTACAATTTGTTTTCCGCCTCAATGTTAGCTAAAGACAGACAGAATTTATTGTTGAACTTATCTGTTCTGACTGGTTAGAGGAAGACCAGTCCATTGTTGTGTTATTGATGTTTTTATGAGCACTTAAAGAACTGCATTAATCTGGTATTTAATTTCTGCTTTTGTTTCATTTCCAACATACATTGCAGAAAAGTTGTTGTTAGTTTTTTTTTTTTCATGCAGCCCTAGTTTGAGTTGTGACTTAATATAATATCTACTCACTTCCGGCAACTGTGTATGTTTATGTGACATCTAGGGGATTTTCTAATCCACAATGAGGATCCATGTCTTTACAGAGACTGATCGGACCCAATATGAATGTTTTATGTATGAATATTGGTTATTTCTGTTGTTAGCTAACAATGCTGCATAGAGGCGGCCTTCATTGCTTTGACTGATCAGAGACTGTATCTGCGATAAGCTGACCTGTAGAGGTCAAGTGATATATTTGTTTTTTACCAAGCTAGTTCAAGGCCAGTGCAGCCCAAGACACACATCCCAGTCTGCTCTCAGTGAAGAAAAACATGTTAGGACTGTTTCAAAATCATTCATGATATTCAGCTTATCCTAGTGTGAAGATTTGGTGCCTTTTCCACAGACACCACATGCAAACACAAGATAAGTTTCAAGAGCCCCTTGAAGCTCTTTTTGTGAGTATAGTCATTTCTCAAACCTTTCTCCTAGAGTATTCAGTATACAGTATTTTGAAATGAAGATGTACTGAACTTTCTATCACATGCCTCCACCTTTAGCAAGTGTAAGTCACTGGACTGTTGAACTGACCATAAAAACTTGATGGAAAATGTCCAAAAGCAAAATTCAATCTAAAAGTCTCTGTGGACTTGTGGAAGAGTTGGGTTGAGGATAATACTCAGAGCTCGACAGATTCCATCTTTGAAAATGGAAGAAGTCAAAAACCTCTGAAACTCGGAGACCTCCCGCCTCAATGCATGAGTTTGTCTGGAGAAAGAGGAGTCTTTCAGAGAGTGGCGACGCAAGCAGCCGACAGCCTCTCAAACAGAGCTTCAGGGTTGCTCTGTTGAGATAGAAGAAGCAGAAGCACTCCCATACGTTGGCCTTGAGGGTAGAGTGGTGAAAGAGAAGGCACTCCTGCTAAGAAGTACTCTTGAGATGACTTAACGCTGTGGACTGCCAGTAATGCTTCTGTAAAAGATCTCAATATGTACGAGACAAATATTTTCACTGGTATAATGAAGGACAATGTGCATTTAGATGATTCAGATTTTCTTAGATGTCAGTATGACATGCAGAAAATATGATTCCAAATGACTTACAGAGAATCGAGCATTACATACATAAGTGTGTAATTTGTATGTGGGAATAACCTATACTGTACCACTGGGTGTACACCTATTATCAGACTTCAGAAATTACTGTGAACCTAACATTGACAAACATCCCATGGTGAAAGTGTGGGCATTCAGATGAAGGCAGGTTCTAATTGGTGGTTTGTCTGCCAAGTCATTGATGACTGGCTTAATTCATCAGTTTAAACTCTCCACAAGGACGTTCAACATACTGAGGTATGGAGTAGGACACAATGCAAACCAATCAAATCTTTACACATCAGCCTTGTTAAAAACGGATATGTAATAATGACCTGTAATGTAACAACGACCCAAATTATAATTAATAGGGTAATAAAACCCAAAATGAAACAAGTTATTACATTTTGGGCTCAGTATCTTTTGAGTCAGTTATTACATTTTAGGTTTCATAATATTTTTTAAATTACATTTCAGATAGTTGTTAAATATCAGGCTTTAACAAACCTCTTCTTGCTGAATCCAAAGAAGACATTTCCACTGCCCTAGAGTCAAGTTTTCATGAACTTTTCACATCAGCTGATTTTGGTGTTGCATTCAAATGCAGCAGTGACTGTCAAAACTACTGCCTGTATGTAGGCATTACAGGACTGATGTCACACCCTTCCCATTAACCCGAACAAGCATTGAAATCACCCATTGACATCCACAAGTGGGTACAGTCCATAGCAGAATGGATAGTTACACTGATTCAGAAACTCATGGCTATGGAAAGTTCAGTAACTCTTGTGTTATTGCTTCTTCATTTTCACCTGTGATTGCTCCTCTATTCTGCTCCTTTATTCTGCTAATCCTGCAGTGAACAATGCAGGAGCCTGCAGGAGCTGACAATAAATCTCTTTTTTAAAATTCAGATAACTAACTCACAAAGATGATTTAAATATTAAGGTTTTGTACTCTTTTATGTTCTTATAGCCATCATCAAAAATCCTCTCTCCATCTCCGTGTCATTATACTCACAATTCTCCAAATTTGAATAAGTCTCACACATAACAGTAGTCCAGCTCCACATTAGACCATTATGAATAAACTACACATTTAGAAAAGCTGACATGTCCTGTACACAAGTAACACAGTTTTGAATGTGCGACGTCTGTGTTCACCACAGCTCATCAGTGTAATTCGTCTGTCAGAGCTGTATTAAAAGCCCCTTTAACTGTGGCTCTACAGATGAATATGGTTGATTTTACATGGCAAAGAGTAATGTGAAAGCTGTCATTTATAGGTCTCTGCTGTGTCCTGCAACAGGAAGCTACAGCAGGCGCAGCAATCACACTGTATTGTTTTATGGTTCTCAAATAAAAACATGAATCACCTGGCTTCCTAAAGTGCAGTGTCTAATAATATCAGAGTGACTGTTTCTGCCTGCGTCTGCACTCTGAAGGAATCATTGCGGTGTGTGTGCGCGCGCGCGTGTGTGTGTGTGTAACAGACAGAGTGAGAGAGACAGAGATTGAGAATGTGAGTGAGCAAAAGCAAAGCTAGAATAAAAGTCAGGTATGAAAGGAACTGGTGAAAGTGTGTGTGAGTGTGTGTCGCCTTCAGTGCTGGTTAATTAAAGTGCTTCTGTCTCAGTGTTGAGCAGACGGCAGAACTTGCAGAGATGCTCTAAGCATAACACAAACTGAATTAACACACACAAAGACACACTCCACAGACAAGAAGGTGCCATTCCTCCTTCAAACTTCACTTATTGTAAACCGTCTAAAAAAAGTGCATTAGCTGAATGTCTAAAGTATAAATGTTTGCTCTGTGGATGTATACAGCAGTAATACCACAGCGTCTAAATACGTGTTCCTCTCTTATCTAACCAGACACTTTAGTGCATGAAAATCTAATTTGAGAATCTGATTTTCTGAGATAGCTTAACTGCGCCGTCTGGCAACAACAATCACAGCATATTAAAAGTTTTCTGGCTCAGACATCTCGCCCATTTAACCATTTATTTGTCTGCATTCTGTTTTGCAAATGCTTCGTTTTCCACTTTGAATGTCTTACACAGGCATAAATCTCTGAGAGGTTACTGCTTATTTGAAAACAAGTTCATCATGTGTTATCAAACTGTACAAATCTGTGTGATTAATTGGTGTATAAAACATAGCATTTGTTTTATATATTTGACTTTTGTCTTTTCTTTTCTTCAGTAAAGTTGTCTTGAGTGGTTTGGAAAAATTCATACACAAACTGTTTGACTCTTTTTTTACCCCAAGAAGTTGGCAGCGCAAAAAACCCAAAAACCTTGTGACTTCAAAAACAGCTCAAAGCGTAAACGACAAAATAAAGTGTGTGCAATAAAAGGTCTTACCTTTCTCCATTAGTCCCAAGTAGGAGAGAATCTCCATGACGTTAGATGGCAGACTGGATAGACTTGTAATGATGAGGATGAATGACAGCAAACTACAGCAGGTCTGCAATAAATAAAAAAAAAGATTAAAAAACATACCTAACATTTAGCATTTCTTCTCTGATATCACCTTTGAGTTTCTGCTTTGATGGCGGTTTCTCTTGTTCTTTATTAATGATGTTGCATTTGTAAATATAATCACCTTGATCAATGCACACATGATCATTATGCAACTCAAGGTGAATGAATTTAACATGACCACTTCAAATCCAAATACACTCAAAGATAAGCCTACAGGATATATAGTAGTGTACCCACTCATATATTTTACATTTAAATAACACACACTTGTTAGCAGAGCCTCATGCATAACTTAGCCTGAACAGAGATTAGTCATATCGATCAGCTACAAAATTTAAACTAGCAACACCACCTGCAGCCTCCAGCTGTTATTAACATCAGCCTCATATCAAGAGTTGTAAATCACTAAAAACATAATTACCACGTTTCAAGGAGTTACCTTAACCATCCGCAAGCCTATTTCTACAGGATGGGATAGTAATACAAGGTCTTTCTCCACCTAATATTGATATTGTTATTAGCATGCTAAGCAAACAGTCCTTGAGCTAGCACTCACCGGGATCAATGTTCGTGGTTTAAAGCGACGTCCGCAGTTTTTTCGAGTAATTCCTCTGGTTTAAAGTCGGAGTTTTACTCACAGACTTCTAGTCATTGCAATCCAAGAATGGTATAATCCAAAAACTTTGTCAGGACCAGGAAAAGTTCATTTCACGGGTTTTACCGTGGACTGTACATACTATGGACAACTTGGTTCCGCCTTTTGCCAGTATACGGATTTGAAGCCGAAAAGCTCTCGGCATTTCCGAGAAGGGTCCGGTAATTCCGCGATTTTTCTCCACTTCCTGAAACTACGTTGCTGTATTCGGCGGGACAGTCGCTGTGATGACGACTCTGGGCTCAAACAGCGTATTTCGCGGGTGGCGACATTTTGTTTTTCGTACGATGGTAGGGAAAGGTCCCGCCTCCTTTGCCTCTGATTGGCTAGAAAAGCTGGGCTCCGATTGGTTATTTCTTTTGCTGTGAAACGCTTTGTTGCATAAATCACACGCTCAAACCGGGCGCGAGCTGTCGGCTATGTACATCAAACAGAACATTAGAGAACATTATCGCAATTCTAAAACTCCTATCCCTAACCCGACAGATTTTTCACAGCCATAAGAAATAACCAATCGGAGCCCAGCACTTTTAGCCAATCAGAGGCAAAGGAGAGCGGGACCTTTCCTTACCATCCAACGAAAAAAAATACCCCCCGGGTGAGCTACGCAATCTTCGTCACCCATAGGCTGTATCAAGTGTCAATCATCGAAAACATGAACCTCCTAATAACTTAAAAATGGAGCTGTACAGAAAAAAAGAGGACTTGAGCACAAATCAGTCTTACAGTAACTACATGTCAACATCGCAAGCAGGGGGGAGAAAAATTATATTCTGTGTAATTAATTTCTAAAGTTTAAAGTTACTCTTATAAACCAAGAAAGATCGTTTGTAGAAAAGAGGTGCCACTCCTCCTGATTTCTGTGCGCTGAGACACAGAGTGAAAACTTAGACCTTAAAGAGACAGTAGCATGATATATTTAACTCTACCGATCACTACTGTGCTTCTCAGGTGGGGAGGAAACAAAGACAGGTGAGCTTCAATAAAAATGTTCCCAATATCAAAACCACAAATCAATGTACATAAGGCACATCGTTATACCCACAGATATGGACACGTAGATATGACATGCCCGTTTGAGCTCCGTGCCTTGGCCAGGCTAAGCTAGTGAGGGCATAGTTTCCATTAAAGGTAATGCATGTACATTGAAAGTAAATCATTACTTGCTCATTTCTCAACTGTATTTTCACTGCCGAAAAATCTGAATGTATCAGCAAATACTCTGATCCTTCTCTATCAGTAGTTACACACTACACTGCTTCATGTATTAGAGAAGAAGAGGAATCTCTTTTATAGAATACATGAGTGTAAAATTGACTCAGAGAATGGTACCAAGTCATTAAACTAAACTGAAGGAGTTCTCATTTCTTCACAGATTTGTCTAATGACAAGTTTGTAATTATGCTTAGACTATTAACTCTAATCTACTCCCATTAGTGGGACGTGGTGTCTTGCCACTGTTTTAACTCCTCTGATGCAAGAAAGTCCTGCAAATTTAAACATGAATTTACAGATGCTCCTCACAGTTGTTCAGCAGGATTTTCTCCTCATTACAGAGAGGGAAGATTCACCAACACTCCTTTTTTATCTCAACACCTACCTTTCCCTGCTCTCAGCTCGCACAGTTTTCACCCTCTCTCTTTCTCTCCTCTCTCTGTGTATAAATCTCTCGCCCTCTCCCCTCTCCTCTCCCACCTCCCTCTTCACTGCTGAAACAATCATCAATTACTCTTATCCCTCCATGTTATCCTTCCCTCCATCTCCCTCCATCTCCCAGGCCCATCCAGCGGAGTGGTTCCTCCTGGTTGGCTGCAGGCCACCCAACCCCGTCCCCGTCAGTCACCCAGCTCCAGGTAGCCGAGCAGAGACTGACAGCACCACGAGCAAATCAATAATAATCTTCAGCCAGTGTAATCCTATACCTGGGGATATCCCTCAGTGCACCAACAGCTTCCTGGTTTCCCTCAACGTTTTAAACCTTCTGATTATCATATTCAGGGGGGAAATTAGATCAAAAAGAAAAATCAGAGGGGTGGGCTGATACTGTAGTGATGAGGAAAAACAATTCTTTATGTAAACAGATACAGAAACACACTCGTAGCCTCATGGTGTCCTGTCCTGACTGTCACTGAGGCTAAGGTCATCTGGTTTGATGTATGAGCCCAGTCGTATGACAACCTTCATATAACTCCAACCTCTCTCCTTTCCTGGAAATTAACAGGACGGCTGAAGGACTGAGGAAAACGACAGGCTCTTGCTCTTGTCTTATGAAAAAAAAAAACTAAAGTAAAATTTTTGTGCTTTTGTCTATTTGTGACCATGAGTATTTCTCACTTTTGTCCATGCACTGAGGGTGGATGTTTGTAATGGAAGGGACTCAATGGAAGAGGTCCCAGTAAAATTTCAAATACTTGATTGACAATCACAATTAGCATCTAATTGGCAATGCTGTACTGTATTGTTTTCACTGCAAAGACAAGCTGCTAATTCACTCCACTTTAGAGCGACTATCAGTGTACTGTTGCCAGTTCAGTGTCTATCCAGAGCCACTGTGATTAAAGAGGCAAAAAGGGGCAGATGATCAATGAAACTGTACAACTGAAAAGCTTTGTCCAGAGCCTTATTTTGTTGTGGTTACTTAACTCTATGGCACTAAATGAATCAAATTAGTCAGGCACTTCTCAGACACTTAGAAAGAAAAATAGCCTAGATGCAAACACTGGAGAATGCTTGGTAAGAGTTTTTTGGGTACTAGCAAGCAGTATTTTAGCACCAAAGTTCAGGACTTTACCTTAAAACCACCCCAGTCCTGATTCAAATGACTTAAAATGATTGATAATATTGACAATGAGGTCTCAACTTTGACTGTTTGGTGATTCAGCAGGTGCTAGTTAGACAGAGAATATGATGCATAAAGAACAAACTGATTTTGTACCTTTTCACACCTTACATTCATATGTGGTGATTTATCAGAAGTGGACAGCACTGAGATGTCCATTCCTCAGACAACATGTGGGGGTGGTCTGTGCTTTAAGACTGTATAACGACATGGATGAAGTCTCTATGACATCACCTATCGCCTAAAAAGTGCGATGCAGCCCAGATACAGCAGATGGTAATGATGAGTTAGCCTTACGTTGGATCAGTTTAAACAAAAGCAAGTGGGCTGAGATGAGAGCTGAGGAGGATTCTTACTGTCCAGCACAAAGCTGCAACTTCAAATCTGTCAATCAAATCAACTCCGGGCTTTTAAAGATGAGTTATTAAAACAATTTGCACTCAGCCTTAATAAACACTCAGAGAGCTGCAGCTTCTTCTTATCTGCACTGGCTTCATATTTATAACATCAGAGGTTGCACTTTATATGGACCAAACAGCAAACTTCAGTGTTGATATATGGATATAACTCATCTGTTTTGAAGGTATTAAGACTGAGAGTTACATATATATTTGCATAATTGGGGGTGTGGTCAGGTTGACTTAAAAGCTAGTGTAATTCTACCATTTGCTCAAAGGCATACAGCCTATTTCTGACAGAAATTTTGGTTCAGACAGTAGTTCTCATTTGGGGCTCATCTTCAAATTGCTGTAGTAGACCCCTCTACAGATTCTACTGGGCGACGTCTCTGTGTCTACATCCATGTTTTTACAAAGTACATTACACGGACGCATCTTTTAAACTGTGTGTCTGTGAATGGGATGGACTTTTATTTAAGCTAATTAGCTAAGAAAAACATGCATAGTTTTATGTGCGTGGGCTGCTGATAAAAAACAACACATTAAACCTACATGATGTGTGTATTTGTGTAAACCAAGAGTTGGAGAGTCAGATCCAGTCCTAAGTGGTGCCTATGGACAGTTTATGACACATTTCAACAGCAGGCAAACACAAATCTTGATACATCTGCAGCCTTTGTTGCACTTCATTCTGCTTCATGAAATGTTTCATGTGAGTAAAAGTTGATGACAACAATTCATGACAAGAATTTGAATGTAGAAACACGTACTTCAACAAGTATGACGTGAAGTTAAGTATATCTTGAAATGAATCAGGGCATATTTCTGTACATTGTTTTTTCTACATTCATATGCATTGTTTGTGTCCTTGAAGTCTCTTAAACATATTTCCTATACCAGCTTTCAAAACCTTCATTGTTCTCATCCATGTTTACATCAGCGTGCGTTCCACTTCTTCCTTGCCTTTCGCTGGTGTCGTCCCACATTCTTGGTGCATCGCCTCCCCCAACTGTCAATCAATGAAATAACACAAAACTGTCAGCAAGAATATTGATCACCTGGATGCTGGTGCACATACCAGTCCTTCCTTATGCTTGTACATGATGTACAAACAATGTACAGACAATACAGGTACCCTCTGAATAAGACATGTGTCCATGAGTTAAATACAGTATGTTACATTATGCTCAAACTTTCTCCACTCCTTCTCTGTGTGTTGAGTGGATTAAAGGGATGAAAAGTCAAAGAGGGGATCATTGTTTCACTTGGATCATTGTTTTC